TGTCGGGGACAAATTTTAGTAGAATAAATTCTAAAGCTAATTACCAGTATTATGGTACAAACACATAGTCACATTATTTAAACATATTTTTTTTTTGGAATGGTATTAAAATTGTAATACATCAAAATATAGATCTATTTATCTCAAATCCCTTTTTTGAACACACAGGTGGCTCGCTTCATTGAATTGCTTCTGAATGATCTGAGACAATTCAGAAAACACTAATGTAATTTATGTAATATTTGTAAATAAATTAGTTGCTTTAGTTTGCTTAGTTCTATGTCTTGAATTTGTTTGCCTAATGGGCTTAATTTTGACTTATTACTTAACGACTGTGCTCTGTGCCAGTATTACCATGCGATATTTGAATATTGATGGGTTATCCAGAGACTGAATACAGAGATAACAATCCCATATAATTTTAAAGAATCTACCAACTACATCACGCCGATATATTCAGTTCACAGCCTACCTGTAGCACTTTGTGACATAGTCGCCTTAACTTCTACATATCCCACAATAGACACAATATATTTCACGTATATCGTCACAGCTACTATTTTATATTTTGCTCATTTTTGAACAAAATATCTTCGGAAGCATCAGCGTTGTGAATTTGGATATTAACCAAAACAAACGCCACATTTGAGATTTTTACATTTGGCTAACGATAGAGAATACCGGCAAGTATCACATGACTTGATGCTGGTAATTTAGTTATTTTGCCTGTAGTGGATGACTTTGGCGTTGCCAGTTCGCCCATAAGACGTTTCACCAGTACACAAAAGCCTGTGCGGCTCCAGACTTGCAACATCATGCTATCACAAAAAATGACTTACTGTTCTCACTGGAAACAAACCGACGGCAACTCGATTACTACCGGATTTCGATTTCAGTTGCATTGCTTTTGCGTTCTCATGGAAACCATCTGCTGAGCAGCCTCGTTGTGGAAAGTTACTATAGTCGGGTATCAAAATGAGAGAATGCAACAAAAAACCTCGTACGGCACTGCTAATGCAGCGTATCTTTCAATACGCTGAGATACGCGCGCACCGATACAAAGGAACGCCGCGTTAGCGTTTGAGTACCAACTTCCATTTTCGTTCCCGAGTGTAAGTATGTAGTTACTAAGAACGTGGAGTATAAATATACTATTTTTTTCCAGAAAACCTTGACCAAAACAGAACCGCATAGTTAACGTATTTCACAAATAAAATCTATCCAGATCATTTAATTAACAAAAACTCGCACCACATAACAAATTAAAATAATTGCAATGAGTGATCTACGGAAAGCAACACCTTATAAGCAAACATATTTCTAGAGTCTGATGATTACTCGTATACTATTAACTTGCTTGTCACACTTTTTTTATCAGAGAAGATTTCGACACTGCTGCTCCAATTGGATAACTTCAAAGAACACAAAAATATGACATGTACATCCAGAAAACATGTCACTAATTTTCGTCGGTCTGCCTTTCTGTCTCTCCGCTATTCCATGACCTATAACTTGGAAAGTACCGCTCGGAATTTAATATTTTCCCACACGCTATGCCAAGGGCAAAAATGTTCCGTAGTCTTGTAGGGGTTTATTATTATTCTTACGTATATCATATATACCCGTAAATTAGCCCTTTGAGAACTTGAATGATAGAGAAATATTTTCGACTCAAGCATTTCTGAATATACCTGCATCGGGGTCTCACCAATGAATGGGCGTGTTTCGTAATGCCATAGAACCTAGAACCTTGTTTAACAAGTGACAAGAAGCAACGTCGCCAGATGTCTGTACTGTCGGCAGGGTATGCAGGGCAGACATTTCTATGGACTAATTGTATGAGCCTGTTTGGTTAATTTGAACCGTTTAATTTTATTGTTAGACACGGTCTAAGCTAACCTGTTTCTCAGAGGTGCTAACTTGTACAAAACATACTCCTTTATGAACCGATGACATCGTTGCGTTGCAGAAGTCAACATATTTGACGCTACTTTTTGATCATACGTGTTAAGTTAGCTAAAGTGTTACAATCACCGACCGGTGACGGCAGTGCGAGCAACCAATGAGCAACTGGTTGGGTTGCCGCCTCTTTGGTGAAAACGCTTATAAAGGGTGTCCCAAAATTAACGCAAGATTTGAATTAAATAGAAAATGCCATTTTTAGTCTTTTAATAGTTATATTTTTATTGACTCATAAAGTACATAGGATAGGGTTATGTATGGAATAACACATCGGACAAATGGCCTCCACGGCTTTGCATGCACATGCGCACTCTTTTGTCGAAATTTTCCATGACCCTTCTGCATAAATGTGGCTGAATTTCGTTGATGCAGCGTTGAATCTCCTCCTTTAATGCACGGGTGGTTGTGGGCTTGTTGACATAGACTTGTGATTTCAAATAACCCCATAAAAAGAAGTCTAATGGTGTTAAATCACACGATCTAGGAGGCCAATTTTGATCACCGAAACGAGAGAGTACACGACCGGGAAATGTCTCATGCAGTAATTGAATTGTTTCACGGGCTGTATGACATGTGGCACCGTCTTGTTGAAACCACATATTGGGTACATCAATATCATTCAATTTTGGCAGAAAGAACTGTGTAATCATGTCGCGATATCGAGCACCAGTAACAGTCACTGCTTGACCAGCATCATTTTCAAAAAAATATGGCCCAATTATGCCTCCAGCCCAAAATCCACACCAGACAGTCACGCGTTGTGGGTGCATTTCTTTTTCGACAATCACACGTGGGTTCTCCGAACCCCAAATGCGGCAATTTTGGCGATTGACAAAGCCATCAAGATGAAAATGTGCTTCATCGCTTAGGATGATTTTGCTTGAAAAATCAGGGTCCATTTGTTGATGTTCAATAATCCATTCAACAAACTCTCTTCTCTCTGCATGGTCATTAAGCTTCAATTGTTGTGTTAATTGAAGTTTGTAAGCATGAAGACACAGATCTTTGGTGAGTATACGCTGTAGAGAGGTTCTTGACATTTGCAATTCTTGTCCACGACGTCGAATTGAGGTTCCTGGATTGTCCGCAACACTCTCACGCACTGCTTCGATATTCACATTTGAACGGCTTGTTTTTGGACGACCAGTGTGTTTGGCGTCTCCAACGGATCCAGTCTCCATGAATTTTTCAATTAATCTCTTCACAGTTGACGAAGTTAAAACACTATTCCGGCCATATTTTGTATGAAATTTTCGAACTGCAGCCGCCAAGCTTTCACTATTTTTGAAATATTCTTTAATAATGAAGACACGTTGTTCTATCGTGTAACGCTCCATTTTTCATAACCCTATACTGTTAGCTGTCAAATTGCTTTTTTTCAGGGTTGCCAACACTTCACTGCACAAATGGCGGCAAATTCAAATCTTGCGTTAATTTTGGGACACCCTTTATTTAAATACTTTACTCGTATATGTGTTGAGACGGGTTACCGTGGGGTTGCAACTAGGAGTATCAGAAAAACACTAGAATGCTAGTTTGAATCTAGAGCTCTATCCAAAACGCTTGACAGCAAAATGACAAAGCTTATGTTTGTCGTTTGTTTTCCAGACCCCCATGCAAGAAGGCCGAGATATATACTGGCACGAAATCATTCCAGAGGCTTCGCCTAGTTGTTACCCAGAATGGGTGGAAGCTGAAGATCCTATGTTCATGTTATACACTAGTGGTTCCACAGGCAAGCCGAAGGGAGTCGTACATACTACAGGTAAAAACATTTTAGTTTCTTGTTTGGTGAATTGGTGAAGGTTTTCGTTGCTCCTGTAACGTTCCCAAAAGGACTATTTTTTGAAATTTAATGACAATGTGGTTGATTGATATGTTTTTCGAAATCTATTGTCTATAAGGTTTATTGATTTACGATTGATGTGGTCTTCAACCGACCCATACGTCGTGAATAGGAAAACCTTACATACAAGGAGTCCGAGAAACAACATCTCATCCAAAAAGGAACCAATTACACTATTTACACATTGGATATTTTCATAGGTGGCTACCTCCTGTATGCGGCAACGACATTTAAATACGTCTTCGACTACAAACCGAACGACGTATACTGGTGTACGGCAGATATAGGATGGATCACAGGTCACACATACGTGGTGTATGGGCCATTGGCAAATGCTGCTACCTCTATAGTGGTAAGACTTTTCAAAGAATATTAATAACTAATACCGCAAGTAGATATCCCTCAGATAAAATGAAACCTAGTAATAAACTAAACCAATCTACAGAAAAAAAGAAAAAAGCAAACTTAAATTATACCGGCGTTTCATATTTTTCACAAATCATTGTTTACTTACACGAATTAAAATAATGATTGTAATCGTATGTATTGTGAGTATAAATATAGGAGCCAGACGAAAAAAAAGTTCGTCAATGTATGTGCCATATAAATTATAACTCGCAATATTTAAAATCGATTTCGCTTCCGTACACTGTAGTGTCAAGGATACAAGGTGTCTGTTTCATAGTGATACATAGTTATTCGCAGCAATCTTGATAAGCATAACCACTGATTAACGGATTACCAACCATGTTCCCATATGATCATGTAGTTAGCAGCCATTTATGAGACGCTAACCTTGTCATCTGTCCACACCCCGTTAACATCGAGTTAAGGGTGGTAGCCATTGAGCGGCGTTATTTTACGGGATAACACAATGCATTTCGTAGTTCTTAATTTTATCAGATGTTTTTAGACGTAGAAACTTCAAATTTGGAAGTTGTTTATGGTTATGGTAATAAAATGACTATATATCAAAAAACAATTTTCATCTGATTGAGCTGAAAACTGCATCAAAATCGGTCAACAATGTAGCGAGATATACTGAAACTACGTTAGCGGTAAGGAGAGGAGAAAAAAAGCTGTCACAAATTCGCATAGATGACGCTAATATCTCATTTCGTCTCTGATAATTGTTTTGTTTTATATTCAGGTATAATACTTTAATCTCATTGGTATAACACTTTTGAATATCATGTACTGTCCTATGTGATTCTATTTTTTATGATTTTATAAACATGTATCGTTATAAACAATTACGGTATTTTTGCCTCCTAAAAGTTGCGAAAGTAAAAATCAACGTTCAGTTGTCAAGGAACTTAAGTTGGAAAATTTTCATAGAATAGATTTCCCTTCGTGTCTTATTGCACCTTAGGCAACTCAAAGATCATAACAATGTGCTTGTAACTCGGGTTTCCGGATCGGTTCGGGTATAACCGGGTATCCAAGAGTTTTCCGACCCGGGTAAAAAAAAACTTGAAAAACCCGGGTAGCCGGGTATCAATAAAAATTAGGAAACTTAATTTTTCTACTACTCCTGGCGCCTTAAAGAAAAGTTCATAAGCATATTTTTTTGTGAGAATGGCCCAAGAAACGTTGAAAAACTTTTTGCAGTGCTAAAAAAACAATTTTTGAAATTTGTTTTTAAAAATTGTTGACGTTATTTTGAGCCTGGTAACATGCATAATCGTTAAACGAGATCCTTTTTAATAAGAGTTTGCAACAAAACCGAATCAGATTTTTTTTTCGAGCAGGTGCTTGAAGATATCTCCTGCACTATACGTGTTCAAAATCTTAGAAATAAGAGTGTGGTCACTTGTCGTTCTTGTTTCATTACTTGTTTACATTTTTATTCAGTTATCAATTATGCAGAACATACTTTTTTTACGATAAATAGGCTACTGGTGATTAAAGCCATTAAATGTAATAGGTTGGTATAAATTATGGCAATGCTGTTACAAGCAAACATTATTTATTTATTGCTTTTTATATATGTACCTGCTGCAGGTAGATTTTTGGAAAAAGCGACTTTTACCGAAGAGCTTGGTGGCATTCAAAAATCAAAGTCACACAGGTTTCCAGGATTATATTTTATTTGTCAATCCACATTATGTTACTGTGTACGGTATTTACAAACGCACCTCGGCTGATGAACCGAAAATTTGAAGTTTTCGTTGCAACGTCACAGGTCTTGATTGTCACAATCACCATCGAGTCGACCTCGTTTAGCTGGTTTTGCCTTTAAAATTACGCATAGAAAACGAAGTTAAGAAGTTTATTTATGTATAAATAAATATTTGAATGAACTCCCGGGTACCCGGATATTTAAAAAAAAATATCCAATTCCCGGGTATCAAAAAAACCTGGGTACGCGAAAACCCTTCCTGTAACCTCTTTATAGCAATCGCGGTTCAAAAAAGAAATAGGCGCAAATTGTTTAGTAGTCGCAAATCACTTGCGAATTTCCCAATGTCATGGTATCGACTTATTACTAATTAGAATAGATTCACATCGAACTGATCATTAGTCTAATCTTTAATCCCTTCTGTACATCCTGTCCAAACAATAAGCCAATAAATATAGTATTTTGTATTCCAGATCATTTATAATATGAATATGATATAGTCGCTTTCAAATTTAACTAACATAAATAAACCATCAGAATTCAACTTCAATACAATAATCAATTTAGATGTTTTTAAACAATTAGTTTTATGTTCATTAGCATTTCGTAGGTACCTATGCATGTACGCTGGAAATTATAATATGAATTGGTCGTTACATTTCTTTGAATTGCCTGTAGTTATATGCAAAATATAGCAAAATTTCATACATAATTTGGTTCATTGTCCATTTATGAAAAAAACGTAATGTGAGAAATTCTTTGGATCACAAGCAGATACATTTTTACAGAAATAATTGGTGCGGTTATAAAGCATTCCATGCAATTTTATTGATTTCAGTCTCATTTTGACGTCAAACTATTCATATATATGCGGTAACTAGTATTTCTATTTTTATACAAATGTACAGGGTTTTCCAAAGTATAAGTATCTTTACTTAGAATCAAATACAACAGAAATAATCTAACGGGTGAGAACGCAAAGGTACATTTTTCATGAAATTTTATTATATACGTTTTCCAGTATGAAGGAACGCCGTTCTATCCAGAAAATGACAGGTTTTGGGCAGTAATCGATAAGTACAAAGTAAACCAATTTTACACAGCACCGACAGCCATTAGGGCTTTAATGAAGTTTGGAGAGGATCTAGTCAAAAAGTAAGTTATTTCTTGATTTAACTAATAAGTATAATAATCTATTATTGTTCTCTATCTCTATAACTAGCAAATTAATAATTTGTGACTATAACACAACAACAAATAAAAATCAAAATTGATTCTCTGAGTTTTTTTATTGTAATTAAACATGTCTTGTTTTCTAGGCACGACTTATCAACACTTAGGGTATTAGGATCAGTAGGAGAACCCATCAACCCAGAAGCGTGGCTGTGGTATTATAAATACGTAGGACACGAAAAATGCTCGATAGTAGACACGTTTTGGCAAACAGAAACAGGTGGACACGTTTTGACACCTCTACCAGGAGCTACACCTATGAAACCTGGGGCAGCGGTAAGATTGTTTATAATTTCTATATATGTTATTCATTGCATTCAAACTGAAAAAGGAAATAAAATACTTAGTCCGTCTGGTTGGAATCTTCAAGTACGGCCTGGCTCATCTCTGTCCGAGTAGAGCTGGGTCGGATAGTAACCGGCACGGGTATTCCGTATCTTGAAAAGTGACCTTTCTGCGGTTTTTTACATAATGCCCGTGCGGATCGGATTTGGACAAGCGGTTTCAAAGGAATGCTACTGATTGGAAATTTACAAATGCTGCTTTCGTTTGCCAGACCCCACGAATTCCAGTTTTTGTCGCCAAAATTGCGTAGTTTTAGTGCATACTTTTGACTCGTATTGTCACCAATGAATACCCAGGCGATAGCGTGGTATCAACACAATAATAATACACTTACTGGTGGGAACATTTACTTTCGTTAGGCTTGTGCTGCAAGTTGTGTAGAAGTATCAATTTTTGAAATCGTCCAACAAAACAAATTATCTGCAAACACTCGCACTTTCAAAAAATTGTACTAAAAATATGAACTTAACGACAGAACTGTCAAAAAATTAACGTATGCCAAATGTATTATTGTATGCACTTTGATCCTCACTACAATCCTTGATTGGCTAATTCTGCCTAGTCTGAATTCGATGGTGAGACCATAGTCAGTCAACCATTGAAACCATAGAAACTACCCGCTATCCAAGGCATGAGATCTAACGTTAGCGCATCTGCTGTCTGATTTTGATAATGAATACTGCTGTTGGATTCGGATACTTCTGATACTGCAATAAGAATAGTGGCACTAACGCTTTTAATTGCAGTGGCTCCAGATGAGCTATTCTAAAAGGGCTGAATACGTTAATCAGTGCTGAAATACTTTTTTTAATGACGACATGTTATTTCATGCAAGTGAGATTCATATAAATGTAAAATTTTCTAGCTTGAAATATGTTTTTTTTTTTATGCTTTGCTACGTAAGCCTATGTCTGTGTATGATGTGAGCCTAAAAAGAAGGAGCCTGATCAAATTTTATACAATTTGTGGCCTACTTTAACTATGTTTCGGTAAGAGTAACACACTAAATTTAGGTAATTTTTTGGAGTTAGTGGATTAAAAATTGAAATGGTTTTAAATTTTGGGTTGAAATGTTTACATTCGGTTTGATACGTTAAAATTCAATATTATTTTTTAATCAAAAAGTATAAAAAATCTATCTCGGATACGTATTGGATTAAAAAGATTTTTAATATTTTACAAAATTATTTTTTTAATAAAAAAAAACAAATCCTATGTTCAATATCTCAATGGAATATTCTTTAATTTGAAAAAATACCTCAAAAACATGCCAATTTCAACTATGGCTGTTCTTTATTAAAAGCCCATAACTGTTTAAAAAATCACATTACAATACACATGTTTTATACTTTACCTTTTTGTTTTTACTACCTTGTGAGTGAACTCCGTTCTTTTCACCACTCGTCAAAAACAAAATGTAATCCCGCTAAATTGACAAATCTCTTTCTTCTGTACTGGCAACTCTTTGTCACCCAGAAACGGAGACTTAGATGAATAGAAGCAAATTTGGAATGCAGATTTGAGGAGCAGACTTTCTAATCGCACTTTGTCCATATTTCAAACATGTTTGCCCAAAGGTGGCGTTCGATTCATGGCACTGCTTACTACAAGATTCTAAACTGAAAGACACTCGAATCGCACTATTTTGATATTTGAATTCAAAAGTATCCTAGACAAGCTAAACGCACTTTGTCCGATGGCAAGAGACAATCAAATAGCAATATAACGGACAATGTGCGATTTGTCTATCTGTCAGTGCTGCAGTACAACGGTATTAGCTGTCAAATGAGTGCTGTTAAGTAGTGATAGCGCAAAATATATTATTCTGTAAATAAATTAGAACAACATGAGTGATGGAGAGCATGTGCTTGGCGATGGTGATGGAGTTGCCAGGAGAAGGGAAATGAATGCTACCTTAAACGGTAGGAAAGGTTCACTTAAAAAAATTGCAGGAACTTCCGAGGCCAAAAGAATAATCAAAAAAGACAACATCTAATAGTGGTCAAGGTGAAATCTTGTATAAGATTGAACTGTTATACAGAAATGATGATCCTCAAAGAAAGTTTATCTGCATTTTTAGTAAGATTATCAGGCTAAGATTGGGAAAGACATTCAGAGCTAACATGGCTTGACCCAATTTTAAAAGATCTGTATAGGAAACACCGTGACAACGAAAGAAAGGAGCAGAGCTGTGCCCACGGTGAAGATGACGAAGAATCTTGCTACCTGGCGGAAGACGACTTACATGTAATACCTATAATTGGAATAGAACTGTTTGCTTTAGAGTTTTAATTTAAAAATCATTTTTCATTTATGGACAAACGGACTGGCTTTTGTCCATTGTGGACATTCAAAGAGCCCTTTGTCCATTAATTTTTTTAATGTTTTTAGTAAAATATTAATATTTGCTGAGCCTTGTTACTATAGCAAACTGTTAATAATAAAATACGTTTTGTCATGTGTTACTTGTTTTCCAAATGTTAGCAATAAGCTTACAGCAGTTTTTCCCCTGTCCTGTAAAAAGTCCAAAATGGACAATGTGCGATTAGAAAGTCTGCTCCTCATTTATTGAAAAGGTGTGACTTTTTCATAAATTATGATAGGCTCGATTCCGGATGGTTCTAATACCTACATACTATCGAGCATTGAGTCCAGTGTCGAGTTTCGTTCCGTTGCATAGCATGGAACTGGTCTCGAAAAGCATCGCATCAGAATCGTGAACGAATGGAAGGAATCCCTTCAGAGGCCGGAATCGAATCACCAAAAGGAACGATTTGGTCCAGCTCTATGCCCGAATGGTTTGAGCCTGCTGGATAATCAAGATACAAACTCGCCAATGATACTCACTTCACTTTAATGCACTCCTAGCCCAAACATTCTTGGCAAGTAGGCGATGAAGGTTCTACCTAGAAATGCGACCAACGGATATGATGAATTTAAAATAACCATGTGATGCGCGCCTCGGAACTTATTATCACAGTACAAATCTAGTTCAGCAGTCACCAATACTGATTTCGAAAACGCGGAATTACTTTCCTGTAGGCAATTTTCAGTTTTTTCAAATTTTCGTGAAATCCGCGTGACCCGAAACGCGACGGCGCATCGACCGATATTTGGATGTATTGCGGCATTTTTCCTTTAATTTCGATACTGTTGTACCTGGTTTTCAACCTATTTTGACAAAATCGGCTAAAGGGTGTGACGGTTTTTTTGAAAAATCGAATTTAAGGATCACTTGAGGTTTGGCCATTAATATCCACATCCATATAGGGTGTCCCATTTCTGCTATATCCGAAGTTATACAGGGTGACAGGTAAATAGGTGTAAAACATTTTAGGAGGTGATAGTACAGCCCCTTTGCTATCGAAATTAGTATATAATACCATACCCTATATTCAAAGGTTGAACAGTTATTGAAGATTTAAGATTTTTTTAAAAACAATCCATATTTCAGAGTAAAAAAGTCGAGAGAGAAAGAAGTTGGCGATTAAACATTTGCTTTTTGTGGTTTTGGGTTATTATTTCAATAATTAACTATTATAAATTAAAAAAGATTCGAAAACAATACCAAACAACGTATTTATTTTGATTCAAAGATGTTTAACTAAGAAAAACAAATAACGTTTTACAGTAAGCAAGGTGTTTTACAAAAAAATCAGTATACAAAAAAACGTACAAACAATTTAAATAATATCCTTGTTTCATAAGGAATCTAAATTGGTATGATAATTGCACAAAAACTGTGTCAAACTAAACATAATGTATTGTAATACAACAATAGGGAGTAAATTTACCAATGGCTTGTCTCCTATTTTCACAACTCTCTGATTGATAAGAAAGTGTTTTTGTGAAAACAATGTAACTGTAAGCTATGAGATAGTTATTATTTTAAACTACGGTTATGTTACACGATTAGATTATTTACACAGTTGTAATTGTACTACAGAATAATAAAAACTGACTAAAAGTTACTACAATTGGTAAGTAAAATACAATAATGAAATGAAGGTAAAATTCATTGCAATTGTTGTTCGAACTGACGCCCGCCGTTTCTTATGCAAGCCCGTAGTCTTTTTCCCATGTTGGTACGCGTGATGCGGCCAGTTAGTTGTCCTCTGATAGTGTCAGCAGCAGCAATAATTTTTTCTTTCAACTGTGCAAGAGTGTCTATGGGCTCAGCGTACACCAGTGACTTCATGTGCCCCCATAAATAATAGTCACACGTTGTTAAATCTGGGCTCCTCGCCGGCCACGGTGTCGGTCCACCTCAGCCAATCCAGCGACAAGGATATTTCTCGTCCAGCCACTGTCTAACACCCAGACGGAAATGCGCGGGACAGCCATCGTGTTGGTAGATCATCTGCATCCTGATATTCAGAGGCAGGTCTTCGAGATACTCCCAGAGTTCGGATCTCAAAAAGTTTTCATAGGATTCGCCATTCAGGTTGTCAGGCAAAAAACTGGTCCAATTAGATACGTATGAATGATTCCCATCCACACGTTTGCCGAAAATCTTCTTTGATGGGCTCTTGGCTTTGCCATGTGGGGATTTGCCTCTCGTGGGGCCCAATAATGTAAGTTGTGATAATTTGTTGTCCCCTCTCTGTCAAACTTAGACGCGTCGGTCCACAATATTTTAGTTAAATAGTCGTTTTCTTCTTGATCCCGATGCAGCATGTATCGACAACAATCAATTCTTCTTGCGGGATCTCCTTCTTCTAATACTTGAACCGGTGTGTAATGGAAAGGGTAAAGTCTCGCTGAATGCAAAACGAACCAAACTTTCCACTGAGTTAAACCAAGCTGCTTTGCTATAACTTGTGTAGACGTCGTCGGGTCTCTGCCGTAGCATTCCAGTATTGCCTCTTGATCTTCGTCGTCAAACAACCGAGGTCTACCAGCATCATGACGTCTCTCATGAACCTGTACACTTTCCTTGACGCGTTGGTACACAGAAGCAAATACTCGATGACTCGGTATTCGCCGATTCGGAAAACGGTTTTCGTATTCTCGCCTGGCTTCAACGGAATTTCCAGAATATCAGCGTATTCTTCGTTACGGTAACTCGCCATTATCAAAACTGATCAAAAAAGTAAAAGTACGTCCTACCACGTTAAAGGTTGATATTCTACTAACTAACTTAAGCGTTAGTTCCCTTTCCTTGATCCGTCAGCTGTGTCAATTCACAACACACGCAGAGCTTGCTTCCGAGGAGCGACGACAGATTCCGAATACTTAAACCCGAATAACGGCACAGGGCACAAAAAATAACAAAAAGGGTCGAACCATGAAAGGTTCGGTTTACCTGCTCAGTACAATGAAATGCGCTTAGCGGTCCTTTCTAGCAAAGTAATATTGTTTTGTTAAATGGTTTACTTACTGATATGTTATTATACCATTTTAGAAACCTAATGAAACGAGGAAGTTTTTACAGTTATTTGTACATTTTCTTTATTATGATTTTTTTGAAAAAAAAGACTTCTTAATGTGAAAGTTGAAAATAAAAATTTTCATTTAACATTTAAATGAAAATAAATACGTTATCATATGTTTTTTAATTTATGAGAATTATTTATTTGAATAATAATCTGAAACCACCAAAAAAGAATGTTTAAATCACTTTTTTTTATCTCAACTATTTTACTCTGTAATCTGGGCTTTTTTTTAAAAAAAATTAAATCTTCCATAACTTTTTAACCTTTGAATATAGGGTATGGTATTATATACTAATTTTGATAGCAAAGGAGCTGTACTATCACCTCCTAAAATGTTTTACACCTATTTACCTGTCACCCTGTATGATTCTATGAAATGAAAAAAATCCAATTTCAATGGAAAAAGTATGAATATAGTCCGTTGAACTGTTAGAGAAAACATTTTGAAAGTGTAACATTTTTTAAACGACAACTTGATCTGAAAGCGTTGCCAAATGTATTATGTTTTATACGTACTTCGGAATTTCTGACTAGGCACATGTCAGATTCCAATAAGTTAATTTCGATACTATTTCGCATTATTCCAGTCATTCCCGTTCTTCGGAGTCCAAGCAGTGCTGTTAGACGAGGCTGGCAAAGAAATTAAAGGCGAAGGTGAAGGTTACCTAGTGTTTCCTCAGCCATGGCCGAGTTTGATGCGCACCCTATATAACGACCACGATCGATACGAAACCACCTACTTCACGAAATTCCCAGGATATTACTGCACAGGAGATGGTGAGTTCTAGCATGAGACCACCAGGTCGCATATTTTCTAGCGCTGCCGAAGAATTTCTATTTATATGGAAATAGAGGTTTTGAGTGCTTATGCTGAGGATTATTTCCTTGGTGTTATTTCGTTCATTTTCTTATTTCTTATCTTCTTCGTACGTGACTATGTGGTAATAAAAAATCTTTGGAAAGGCTTTCTTTGGTTTGGTTGAGAGAAAAAAATAATGTTTACATTGGTAATGGCAATGTTATACTAGAATTCCATAAAAACACATTCGACCATTTATAAAAATTATGAATATGATACTAGAAATGAAAATAAACAAATAATTATTGCAACACCAAAAAAAGAAGAAATAATGTTGAAATCTTATATAAAAGTATATCGTAACTTACCAAAATATATTAGAAAATACCCAATATCAATATTAAAAATAGATTTATACGAGTGGCTATTGAAAACTGATATAAACATGTAATTTATAAAAAACTAACATAAAAATATCTTTTCTTCATTGCTAATCTACGATCCAAAATTAATGTACCATTTTACGTTTATATTAAATAGATTTTTTGGCCTATCAATTTGTAACTGATGTGAATAAATTATTATTATTAATGCTTACAGTACCTGGCCAAACTTCAAGTGGCAATTTGTTTGGTAACTCTAAGAAGAAAGATTCATATGTATAAACGTAGGTCCAGTAATACATGCTTCGTTTTCAAGATATATTTGTGAAATCACCAATTGTTCACTGAGAGAAAATTTGAAATGCTCTACAATAACACCAGTTCCCAAAATAAAAAATTCTAAAAGATGCAGCGATATGCGACCAGTAAATGTGTTACCAGACAATGAAAAATTATTAGAGTCCATAGTGCATGACCAATTAATGCAGTTTATAGAAGAAAACAAAATTTTAGTGGAGGCCTGGAGGCGCAAGCAAGCTTTCGAAAAAAATATTCCATAGAAACGGCTTTCCAGTTGGTAACTGAGAATTGGAGAAGAGCCATAGACTCAGAAGAAGTTGTCATAGCAGTATTTTTGGATTTGAAGAGGGCATTTAAAATGATTGATAGAGATATTTTGTTAGGTAAATTGAAGGCATATGGTATAGCAGGAAGTGTTTTAGATTGGTTTAGAAATTGTTTGTCTAAAAGGATGCAAGTTACAAAAGTTAATGACACTATTTCATCAAAAATTGAAAATACGTTGGGTGTTCCACAGCGCAGTATCCTGGGACCACTTCTTTTTATTTTATTCATAAATGATTTACCTGCCATAGTCAAAAAATACAAAATTCAGATTTTCGCCGATGACACTATGATTTATATAAGTACCAAAAATATTCAGTCTGGTATCTCTTATATAAATGAAGACTTGAAACTTGTCTCAAAATGGTTAGCATCTAACAGACTAAAATTAAATGCAAGTAAAACGAAAGCCTTGTTAATCGGAAAAAAACAATGTACAAATGTTCAACTGAATATTTATGGTGAAGATATTGAATTCGTAGAAAATTTTAAATACCTGGGGGTTTTTATTGACTCTCGATTAATTTTTGATATTCATTATGAAAAAGTTATAAATAAGATTAGTAGTAAAGTGGGATATTTATCGAGATTTTCTGGATGTCTGAGTTCATATAGCAGAAATATTATCTATAATACCATCATTCTTCCAAATTTCTTTGACTGTTCGACTATTCTATATTTAGCAAATAATTCCATTTTTGAAAGACTGCAAATTTTACAAAATAAATGCATGAGAATAATACTAAATAAAGATAAATATACTCCAATTAGGCAAATGCTTAGCAAATTAAAATGGCTCAATGTAAAAAATTTTATCAAAATCAAATTCAAATCAAAATTGTAATTCATTTATAATAATATATTTCCACCAAGTCTAACTAATTTTAGCATCATCAAATGTCGACCATCATTTACATAATACCAGAAATAAAGATGACTTCCATTTAATGACCAAAAAGTATAACATATGCTACAAATCTGTATTCCATCAAGGGTTGATTGAATATAATAAATTATACTCGGAGATAAAAGACCAGAAAACTTAGACAAAATTTAAAGTAAAATATGGCTTGAATTTGCTAGTTCTGGGTTGTTTATAGTTATTTTGTTTATGTAGCCAAATGTGCTAAATAAATCTTTTTACTACTACTTGTATGGTCAGGTATTTTATTAACAAATGCAAATTATTTATTGTTCTTTAGACATTGAGATATTACACCTTGTATAATAATGCATGGATTCCAACCAATTTTATAATTACACTATATCGGAAGATACTTTTTACAAGCTTTTATTTCCCTGTTATACAGGGAAAACCAAATTTGTCTGAAGACTTGAGTTCAGTGTGTACGAGAGACAAGCACGAGAAGTGTGTATCAACACAATAAGCAAAATGGCGCCATTCTTAATCCAAGATGGCGGCCACCGCAATATGACGATTTATAATTTCCATAGTCATCCCTATACTATGCGTATCAACGGTAAGGGCTTGATGAAGGAAACATAATACGCAAAGTGACGTCACTCTAGATACAATTTGACGGCGGCTGCTGAATGCCGATTCATAATTTCCATAGTATGGGTATCAAATGAAAGAACTTAATGAGAGGAACAAGACAAGCAAATAACGTCATTCTAAATTCCATACGGGGATCGTAGCAACGATTTATCTTTATATGATTTATATCTAACAAAATTTTATAATACAAATAAAGTAAGAAGTTTTATGAATTCCTGTTAATAAAATATAATGAAAGATATATAGAAATTACTAAACCAGCTTCAAATAAAAAGAACTGAAAGTTCAATACTTACAATACTTTTCCCAATGGAAATATTTAAATGATAATGTAGCTCCTCCATTTCATGTTTTCAAATAGAAGAGTGTTCGTTTCGACAGGAAGATGGAGAAAGGGGGGTTTTACCAACATGACAACCACAGGATCAGTTTCAGGAGTTACATTAACCTCCATTGTAATTGTTTATAACCTCACTTTTGCCAGGTTGCCATACACATTTTTCATATCAAATTTCATATCGTGCCATATAGCCCTAAAGCACTCGAGCAGCAAGTAGCACTCTAAGCTTTAAAGCACACTAATAACTATCGTTAAGCAACAAACTCTATTCCTTAGTTAACAAGAAAAAACGGCTCCAGATATGTAGCTGGAATATTGGACTAGGCCCCACAACGACTTTTGCATAGAGTAAGCGCGAGGGTGATGCTTGCGTTTACTGTTAGACTTTATAAAGTTGTACTAATTAATAGCGTCTTGTTTTCTCCAAATTCTAATCTTTTCTAGGTGCGAAGCGAGACGCCGACGGCTACCTCTGGGTGACAGGTCGTGTAGACGACATGTTAAACGTCAGCGGTCACCTGATGTCCACGGCGGAGGTAGAGTCCGTCCTGACAGAGCATCCGTCCATTTCAGAAGCAGCTGTCGTTGCCAAATCACATCCTGTCAAAGGAGAATGCCTCTACTGCTTCGTTACCACCAATGAGCACGGAGAGTTCGACGAGAAATTGCAAAAGGAATTGAGGCAACTGGTCAGGGAGAGGATAGCACCCTTTGCCATGCCTGATGTTATACAGAACGCGCCTGGGTTGCCGAAAACTAGGTAAGATGCCAAACTCATAGCCAGAATTACGTTGATCCATTTGAAAAACAATCCAGCCGATTTGTTACCTTGGCCCCTAGATCTTCCGATCTTTCGCCCATTGAACACGGCTGAGACCCCATCCTCCACAGGCAGCGGCATTCCGGAATGAGCCACAAATAGCTTGGGATGAGATACCTCAAGAGGAAATCGATCATATCATTTGGAGTATGCCCAGACGTGTTTCTGGTTGCAGTAGACATCGTGGAGGCCCAACAAATTATTTTTTTTTCATTTCTTGTTCAACAGTTGGATTTTTCTAAAATTTTGATCAATCACTTATCCTAAGAAACATGTATACAAAAAATTGTTATAATAAATTCATCATTACTGGGTGTTCTTTCATGTTACTTATACAGGGTTATCTCTTTTGCCCTGGATATTATTACGGGTTATGCCAGTACGGCGCATAGTGGTCTAGAATACCCAAGAAAATGTGAAGAATACGACTTCTTTTACAATGAAATTTAGTACAGAACGGTCGCCGACTTCAGATCTGATGTCAAAATACAGAGATTCAATATATTGCGTCGGATCCTTGAAATAAGTTGATATTATGATGTTAGGAGTTAAGTTTCGAGTCATCGAGTTTGAAGGTTCACAAAAGTGAGTTCTGCAAGAAATTAACAAAAAAGTAGTGTTTTAGCTCTTCAAAAATTGTGAAACTTATTCAAATAGTAGTTGGTATGTTAGTGAATCGATTCGTGAAACAATCAAAAGAAAATGTCGAAGAGTGCGTAAGTTACAACGATTCACTTTTCATTCTCCGCATATACCAAGAAAAATCCTTTGAGAAGCAACTGATACAGTTTCTCCGGAGAAATTGCCTTTTGATTGATTTCTATTTTCGGTATCACACAGCCTTTTCCTGGCCGGTTTGTTTCAAAATTTCTGCTTGGAATTCATGAAACTTTTTATCTAGATGCTTTTATGGAAAAACACCATGTAGCATGTTGTACAAATCACCATATGTAAAGCAAGTTTGAATCTGAAAGTAATAAAACGTAACATAACTATAAATATGTATATGATAAATTTCATTAATTTCCATTGTTCCATTTTTTGTTCTTTTGCCAGCTCTGTGGGTATTCTAGACCACTATACGGCGGCGGAATAGTCAAATACACGATGTAGCAAAGTGGACATTCGGAAAGAACATGCCGATGTCCAGACCCAACTTAAACTTTATTTATTTCGGATTAAAATACACATGAGCACTCCTTCGCCTGGCACTGTGTGCCTTTGCACTTATGAGCCGATAGCCACTGGGAATATAATTTTTAGATGACGAGTTGGTGTTTGTTTTGATGCAACGCAGTTTTTAGTGCTATTGTTTTGCTTCTTCGTTACGATCTTCCTTATTTCGATTTTGCGCAGCAGCGAGAAAATCCTCCGTTATCCGTTACCGAAATAAGAAAGATCCGTTAGTTACGGAGAAAGTGGGGGGGCTTATTTCGTGAGGTTATATTTACCTTATTCAGCGCTGTTGCCGAAATTTGAAAAGCTGGCTAACCTTAATTATGATAATTTCACGTTATACAAATATAAACATACTGGTTAAAATATGATAGAAGTGTAAGTTTTATATCACACATAAAAATAAATGCAAGATACCCAAATTGAATGTTTTTTACATATGCAATGTGACAATTTAGCCTTTTATTGTAGTGTCGATTTGTGCTGGGTGTGTCGTGACTTGGCCCTCTGTGGTTCTATGATTCTAAATCTATTTGCTTCTTGTCCGGTTTGGACACAAATATTACCAAAACTTTTCACGTCAAAAACGAAAACAATAAGTCAAATCACATGGTTCTCTTTAGTGGTGATAAAACACTCTTTCTTCGTCACGTTATTTGCTATCAAAAATAGCATACCGGAAGGTTTAACGATTCGTTACTTTTGTTGCACTAATGAGATCTAATCAGTTTTCAACCGCTATACAATTCTTTCCATCCTAATCATTGAATTCAACACTCCTCTTTTGTAAATGTCGAACGTTTAAAACTACAGAATTTAACAAGTTTATTTTTTCCAGATCTGGTAAAATAATGAGACGAATCCTGAGGAAGATAGCAGCAGGCGACCGAGATATAGGAGACACAAGTACGCTTGCCGACCCCGCAGTAGTGCAGCAGCTTTTCGCAACAAGACCTATTACCGCTTAGATTTACTATTATTTCAATAAATATATAATAAAAATTTAAACCATGTTTTAGGGCTTTAAATGTTCAGTATTTAGTTTTGTTGTTGAACTATAGAATATAAATTGAAACGTTGTAGAGATGCATCATTTCCATTAGAATTAAGTCAAGAAAATTGGACACGATGACTTGAAAATGCCGTATTATTGGAAAAAACCTCCGAGTAGTTCACATTAATGCTGACTATGCTTTTAGGCAGCAGCGGTGGCCGCAGTAGTACACTCTTCGGTGTCCTGATCAGTCGCCGTGCGCTGTGCGGGTTCGAGTCCCGTCCCAGGAGAAATTTTTCTCTTGGCTATGGATGTTGTGATTGTCCGTAGGTGGTAGACAGTCTCCGACTGTCGAACGCGGAGGTACCATCCGGCGGATCTCGTAGGCGGAGCCAGAATGTGTGCATCTTGCATGCACACGTGTTCCCTTGCCAGAGTCCGTGTGGCGTTCCCCCTTTCCCTTGTATCCCCCTATAGCCCCACGGTACCCAATGGGTGTTTAGGCCTTCGTGGTAGTTGGAGTATAAAGAAAAAAAAACTACCACATCCCCAATCTCTCGTAGACAGTGCCGTTTTGTCTTTATTAGAAATTATCAGTACGACATTCAAGAAGGAATGGAGTATAAGCTTTTTTACGATACTTCATTACATTTTTAACGTCTATTGACGTGGCCGATTGTTCTAGAAGTGACATTTTGTGTTGTCTGACAATAAAAAAGCGGGTGAAGAAAGAAGAGACTGTTAACATAGTCAAAACTGTTAAATGTTATAGATGACTTGAAATATAGAATTGACTATAAACATTCGCATTGCTTGTATAGTTTCTGTTTTTACATAGGAACTTTTCTAAATAAAAGCGTTGTTGGAAAGAATGATAATGTAGCGTACCAAAAAATGTCATCAAGAAGGTTGACTCTGCACTTACCATTCAATGCTATCATCATTTCATAAAGCTATGTTCGGCACAAGTTAGCCTCTCTGAGAAAAAAGTTACTTACGAACATTTATACCAAAAAAATTAAATGAATCAACATAATCAAACAGGCTCAAACAATTCAAATTTGCATGTTTAGTAGAATTTCGGGGCTATTCAAGATTTGGCCCACTGAGAAAATATGCTACTCCTCACTGTTGAAAAAGTTTTGGATGGCGCTCCCTGAGAAAAACACATGCACATGCATTCGGGCAGGCCGCGAAGCACATAAGTTTCGACAATAAATGTACGGGAAAATCTATGATGAGTGAAATGTGTCTAATATCACAAAATTAAGATTTACCCTCACCCAACCCCTAGAACCCCCACCGCCATATTTTCCCCCAAAATGTTTTTCAAAAAATACGGGTCCTCTGAAACGTCAAAAAATGAAGTATGAGCGACGTATTTTTTTTTTTACTTTTTTGCCCGTAGCTCCGCCGCCACTAAATTGATTTTCAAAAACTAAAGCTTTTTCGTCATTGGCATAGTAGTAACCTTGTCTGAAAATTCCATCAAAATCTGACCAGTACTTTCCAAGTCATAGCGGGGTCAAGGATTAGCGGACAGACAGACGGACGGAAATGGATGATTTTTTTTATACTCCACACATTCTGGCCCCGCCTACAAGATCCGCCGGGTGGTACCTCCGCGTACGACAGTCAGAGACCGTATACCAGCTAAGGTCAATCACAACATTCATTGCCAAATGAAATTTTTTTCTTAGGACGGGATTCGAACCCCTGCAGCACACGGCGACTGATCAGGAGACGATGCGTCTACCACTGCTTCTACCGCTGCTGCCTAGACTATGGTCTATGGTATATCCTAATGTAAGTGTCATAAAACATCAAAAAGTGGCGTAGGAAGGAACCCATCAAAATACGGGTCTGTCATATATCTTTCGTTCACAAATCATTCAAAATTGCAAGTCACTTGTTGATATGGAGGATTTTAAATGTGACTAGAAAATCAGCTCCTATTTACTGTCACGTTCAAATCAGGTAAAGTCGCATTTCACAGAACTAATTCTCTTTGCGTCGATCTTATAATGATCTTGAATGTCATATTGGGTACAGGAAACAGCAAGAGGAAACTATTCTGTAGTTCCTAAAACATTTTTATTTTCAAGTTGGGCAATACATGGAATAAAATTCTGCAATAATAAAAAGCTAACAGTAAAATAACATTAAACTCGGATTTAGTTTTTTCGATGAAACCTGAAACAAAAGAAATACGCTGTCAGCTGTGGATATATTTTATCCAAACATCAAAACTATAGAAAACAACGTACGAGAACCGCCTCAAACTGGACAATTCACCATTTTCATTCACTCACTAGACTTACGACGATTGATGAATTGCTGCTAGTTTTGTTTTTACGATGGCAAAAACTGGAAGTGCTTCAAAAATTCATAGTTGAGAAGGTAAACCGTGACCTAACACAACAATAGAAGCGCAAGACGTGTAGAGCAACCACTTCATACTCCATTGTGTTCTTCTGGCTTTATTTATCCAACAACACTAAACTACGCGCGATAAATGTTAGTAGAATTTTCAATTTAGCCGTCAAACAATGAAAATGAGCAAATTGAAAAAAGTATCCATAAATGTTGGGGGCTGAATGGCGGATCGATCTGCCAGCGCGCGCGAGTTAAACTAACTTTTGTAGTGACTTCCCATATAATTTATATGCAGTTTTGAAATTTCTATAGTTCAATGAAAATACGACGAAAATCTGTCCATACCTCTTATCCTAGTCTTCAGTCTCAGTATCAGGATCCTGCTCGTGCGGCACACCGTCGATGATCCCCACTTGCCTGGCATAATTCAGTCCTTCCAAATAGTTAGAATGGAATTCTTGCGCGGCATCTTCGTTTTCGAACGTGGCTTTTAGTGTTCTCCACGTCATGTCGCCGGCCCATTCAACCGCCCTCCATGTACATTCGTTTTTGTTTATCTAAACAGAAACAAAAGGAAAAGCTTGATGAAAATCTCACTTAATACCCGTTCATAAAAGAGGTAGTTTGAATAATGCAAATGTACCAGAGCCACCACAAAAAAAAATCTAAAAGAAATCTACCTAGCCTAGAAACAAAAGACGTTCCAGGTTTCTTTCTCCTACAGTGAACTTATACCTTTATAAAAAAAGTCGTCGACGGCTACTTTTAGGCCATCACCCAAGTCAAAAAAGCGCAATTTTTGTTCAGGTGTCATTAGTAGTGGAGCAGACACCTGACGTTCTAATTGCCGTGCAAGATGGTTATTTCGCTGGGATATATTTCATGTCAAGGTAATGGTAGATACCATAACACGACGATATTCGAAAAACATGGCTTCAACTTTTTTCGACCAAAATTTTATTGAGTGATATGATGGTGCAACATCCCCGCAACTATTCTGTCAAGTATTGTTTCCTGCTGATGGCCCCCTTTTGCGATACTCTAATGTCAAGTTATTCATTTTTCCTCACAATCCATTTTATAAATTTGAAACTGGTCATGAAAACTAACTCAAACTTTGCAAGTAAGGTTAGAACACTTGTCACTATTTAACATATGCTTATGAGTTTTAATTGTTTTTGTGATTCCAAGGCAGATTTCTGTTCTATTGTCCCTCATATTTGCAGCCTGAATAAATGAAAAGAACTGGTATCGGTGGTTTTTGATCCCACAACTCCAATATTACGTCTTCCATTCAACATGGCTGAATCGCTGAAGAATGATGCTAAACTTACAATCATAAGTGTGTTCACAGCAATAAGCGTATTGCTGGCCACCTCGCCATTTTCATCACCGACAGATATCTTTGCAGCATACAATTCTGGATCATAGTAGACTTGCAGTTCACCCGTGCACACTTTCTGCCAAGTATTGTTCGACAGTTGTTCACTCAAAGTGCACTGCTTCGTGAACATCACTGACCTAGAAGAGATGAAGTGACAATTTAGCGACTTGCTGACAAAAATTTATAAATAAACAAGATACACACAAGGAAACAACGTTTTCTGTAATGCTACAAGACATCGTCTGTGCAAAAGAATTTAATTTTGATCTAAGTATTGGATAAGTAGCAATGTACTAGTTCTCAAACAAAAAAGGAATTTTATCAACAAACAATTTATTTATACGAGCCCCTTCCCACTTCAGTTGGCCCACTTCAAGATTTGTACCAAAATATGCCTTTATAAAGTAAACATGATGAAACTATTTACTTCTAAAACAATTTATTTTCTCAAAAACATTTTAGATACACTTCTTGAAGCTTTTGTCTCGGTTCAGTGTTTGTACGAGCAGGATGTTGTCCTTTTTCATCTCGTGCCACAAAGTTTCAATAGGTGACAGATCTGGTCTGCTAGAAACCCATTTCAAAAGCGGCACATTATTTTCTTCCATCCATTTTAAGCCTTTTTTGAGGTATGCCACGATGCACCATCTTGCTGAAACACAAAATCTTGGCCGGATGTTAAACATTCTTCCATCACTGGTAAAAGCGATTCTTCTAAAATTGCCACATATTTGTTTGTATCCACATTTCCATCAATAAAATGAAGTTTTCCTACTCCTTTTGATGACATACTGCCCTAGACCATAATGGATGCTGGAAATTTCACTTTTCTCTTTAGACAGTCAACATGGAATGCTTCATTTTTTTTGCGAATAACTCTACTGCGACTGTCACCAACACAAACTTCGAATCGGGCCTCATCACTCCATTGTATTGCACACCATTGTTGAGGTGTCCATTGTCTATGTTCTTTAGCCCATCTAAGCCGATTTTTCTTTTGCAGTGGAGTTACTAGTGGCTTTTCTTTGGCCTATAAACAAGTTGTGCAACTGTAGGGTTTTTACTTCACTTTTTTTATATGAAAACTTACCTTGCAAGTGCTAAATCCCAGTTTGTGAGCCTCTCTATGAGTTGTGGACCTCGAAATTCTCCTTCCAACAGCGTCATTCCACAGAGCACTTAATTGTAAATAATTGGCACGCCTGTTTTTCACGATTATTCGTCTTAACGGTGCTCTCACAGTCAAGCAGAGTTTCTGAGGGGTATCGGGGGGGTGATAGGGAAACGCTAGTAGGACGGCGTTGTGACAAGGCAAGCGCTCTACGTTAGAAAAGGATAGTAATACGCAAAGGTGTGCTGTTCGCGTGCCTGGTTGAATTTGCATATTGCACAGAGTCGGATTTGATTTGGATATACGATCTAGCGTACGACTGTTTCCCTATTTTGGCGCATAGTATACTCAGCCCCTATTACTCTTATTACCGTTATTGTATTGTTGTATTATCGTGTTGTTATTGTTGTGTTGTTATTGTTGTGTTGTTATTGTTGAGTGTCTTTCTTATCAAGGTATCAAAAATGAACAATAAGAGAAATAAACGTGGCGTCTCGAAGAAGCCGCATTTAAATACGCACAGGAAAAAAAAAAGTTTTCCAGATAGAAAGGTAGGTACCAAAACAATTATGAATTTTAGCATTCATTTTGCCAATAAATTAGACTATACGTAGTTACTATTATAACTATATTTTATATGTTATTTTAGCTTAAAAATGACAGCAAGGTTTCGCATATGCATTCTCTAACAGAGACAGATGGCATGGATCTTCAAATTCAGGTGTGTATACCCTTTTTTTTTAGATTTGCACCAGAGGTTGATATAATTTCTGGCAATTCTGATTAAAAATGCAGTAAGTTTACTTCATGACGTCGATAATAGTATTGTAGAGCAGTTTAACTCAATCATAGCTAAATTCATTGGGGGTAAACGGATTAATCATTGCAAGAAGAGATCCTACCAAGGAAGATGTGCTGCAGCCGTAGTGAGCCACAATACACAGCGACCTGTTTGTGTGATCCAAAAGCGGCTAGTCCCTAGTTTCAGTCCAACCTCTTTGATTGCTAAAGTGGAAGAAAGGAGAGCGCACAAAAATCTGAAAAGGAAGCTGAAACCAAGGAAAATTAAAACCAGAGATAGTGATACTAAAGAGAACGCATCCTATGGGGAATTCTGTGAGAAGCCTGACATGAGCAACGAAGATATAGAGGCTGCCAAGGTAGAATTCTTGAAAAAACTTGCAAAAACCGACTCCGAAATTTCCCAGATCGAGCAAGCCACAAAATCTCAGGATTGCAATTTGTGCCGTCTTCATCGAAGAATGAGGTTGACTGCGTCTCGGTTTGGTGAGGTTTGTAGAAGAAGAGATACAACAAGTTGCAGAGCTCTAGTAAACGCCATAATATACCCAACCGAATTCTTTAGCAATGCATGTGACTATGGAAAAAAGCATGAAAGCGTGGCAAAGGCAGAAATAGAGAAATCATATTCGCAATCAGAAGTACAATCTTGCGGGTTGTTTATTGATAGGACCCATCCATTTCTGGCAGCATCGCCAGATGGTTTGATAGGCGAAAAAGGTCTGCTAGAAATTAAATGTCCATGGTCGGCTAGAGAAATGACCCCTGAAGAGGGCATTCTGAACAAAAAAATAACGTTTTGGATAAACGATGAAATAAATAAAAAACATAAGTGGTATTACCAAATTAAAGGGCAGCTACACGTTGCTTGGTGTTTGGACCCCGTATGGTTTGAAAATAGACGTCATTCAAAAGGATGACGTTTTCTGGAAAAATGAAATGGAAGAGAAATTGAAATTCTTCTACACGAACTGCTTGCTCCCAGAACTGGTCGATCCCAGGAAAAGCAGAAATATGCCAATCCTCGATCCCGATGTGATCTTGAAGGCACAAGAGAACCGTTTGAACAAGAAAAAGAGTTCTTGAGAATTGGCTGTTTTTGCTGTACCCGGGTACCAAAATGGAAGAGATTAGCATATTACATTGTACGCCGTTACTAACCCCGTGCGAGATGTTATGCTAATCTCTTCCATTTTGGTACTAGTACTAGATGTTCACTATTTATTGTATATTATGTATATATTGTTTATTTAAATAAAAGTCAATCGTCAGGCTCAATAGCACGTAGCATCGGCTAGCTTTATCTAGCCTGTTAGATGGCGAGTATTGAAATGTCACATTGACACGTTAAGCGCCACAGTAGAATCTGAAAATCCAGTCCACTGGGCCAAACTGTTATTATTGTCAAATTAGCTTGTTTTAAGTTTCGGTTTAATATTTTGACTTGACTTTTTTCTCAAATCCTATGATTTTTCCCCTTTTTTGATTTTTTTTTCTGAGGTACCAGTTGTATGTCGCGTGGCCCACAGACCAGTCGGGTCGCGTGGCACATAAGTCGCGTTTTTTGTAAGTCAAGACTTGCATCATGTCGCGCGTTGAGCACTGTTTCGTGTCATTTATTATTGAAGCGTTGTTGGTATTGTACGTCATCTTGTCCAAATTGCTTTACTGTTTATAAATTATTGAATACCAAATTTATGATGTCGCATTACGAAGCGGAGCAAAAAAGGCTTGAACAATTGTGTAATGAAATACTATCGGATGAAGAGAGTGGCAGTACTGAGTTATGTGGCGATGTATACTTATCTGATGCGTATTCTCCAAGTGGTAGTGAATCAGATAGTAGTTGTAGTAGTAGTAGTAGTAATTCCATATTTATCTGTATTACTGTTTATTTATACCGGTATTTTGTTTATTCCTGCATAAGACTTTGTCAATCTGTTTAGTTTATAAGAGTTCCTCCATATTTGTGTTCGTTAGAATATCGACATTTACCATAACTTACTGATTTGCTGTGAAATTACTTTGTTCATTTTTGAATGAGAATGTCTGATTATTTTATAAGATTTGCTTTTTGTTTTAGATTTGTAGAATATCCTCTTTTTGTAAAACTCTATAAACAACGTGTTTTTTAATGTTTTCATTTCCAATTCAGTATAATTTGGTCCCTCAGGCCACGGACTCTTGGTTACCGTAAGAAAATCACATCAGCATGGCACACGTCTTACGTTACGCGGCCAAATATAACTGCCAGCAGTGAGACATATCATGCGTGTCACGAGGCCCAAAGCGCCAAATGAGGTGCGACACACGCATTATATCTCATGACGCTTATCGTGTTAAGTTTATTTTACGATACTCCATAAGGTTAAAGCTAAACAGCAAGTGACATTTTATTTGGGTTAAATGCGTTCACTATAATTATTATTTTTAACTAAAAAGATTACCGCCTCCAATGACCCTGGAACCACCTGGAAACTTTTGGTCACAAAGTTCTGTATTTTACCACACATGGCAAGTCTTTTCATTTGATATGTAAATTGGGGGTTTTGTACCAAAATATGTAACTCGCAATTTCGAAACGGCGGCAATCTTGGAATCAAATTTTTAGTGAAGTACTGTATTCTACAAGGCGACGGCTCTTATTTGAGATATTAGCAAGTATGTTATCCGCCATTTTGTAACGGCCGCCATCTTGATTTGAAACTGTTTTCGTATTACTGTTTTGTACAAGTGCTTCCATTTGATATCCATATTGGGGTGATTGAACAAAAATGATTTTTTGTGGTATCACCTCTGAAGCATGGCCTATTGTATAAAAAGAAATGATCAAAATCGATTAAAAATTTCCCCTCTTTCATTGAAGTCTATTAAAAATATCACTTACTGGTCCGATGTTTATCTCGAACGACCGACGTTAAAACTGCTACTGTTTAACTTGGGACAACAAATTATCTGAATACGTCCTTTCTTAGTCCGTACACACCGCCGCGTTGCTTCGACTGGCAGCACGAGATAGTGGATAAAATTAGTGTAAAAGCCTATTTGCAGAGGTTTTCGCGCTTCAAAATTGACGCTTCATTTTTGAATATTTTTCAATGAAATTTTCACAGTGCACTAAAAACAAGACTCCACAGGGTGCTATAGAGCCACTTTTTCGTTTTTTCCTCTGGGTTATTTTTAAAAAAATCGAGAAGTCGAACAACAATTATCTGCACTTCCACCCACCATAACTCCTGAAAAAAATTTTTTTTTAGAAAAGTGGCTCTATAGCACCCTGGACAATTGTCTTCTGAAAATACTGTATAAATTTTATTCAAATATATAGAAAAATGGAGCGTCAATTCCGAAGCAGCTAAACCCTTGTAAATCGCCTGAAACTCACTGCGTCGGAGCCGCCTTAATGCTCTTCGGTCGGCATTTGTGATATTACTTTTTTTCACATATCGTGGCTTAATATTAACTGAACCAGTTACGTTATAACTTCTAACAATATTTCTCACACTGTACCGCGATAAGTCTAACAAAGTTGCAATTTCCGAGTTTGATTTCCCAGAATTGAAAAAATTAATTATCAGTAACCGAATTTTCTCACTAATAACCTTTCCTCTACCCATTTTGAAAACCTTAACTACCCAAAACAATTTTAAACGTATTCTGACAGCTGTGATTAATAAAAACAATTGTCATGGCTTTTATTTTTCACAGCCACCTATGCGTTATAGACTTATTTTGCATTGAAATGAAAATAGGTTGATATGCTGTAATTGCAACATGTGTTATTTTTATGCTGCAAATTTGATTAGGGAGTGATAAAGTTGGTGTTTTCTACTATATATTATCAAAATATTCGTTATTAATATTTTATACCTATAACACCCTGCTACATATTTTTATTATTTGTGTTTGATAAGAAAAAAACTAAGATTTCAATAGTTGGGCCCACTGAAGTGGGAAGGGGCTCATATACTGCTAAACACTTACCTATCATCTTCATCATAGTCTTCCTCCTCATATTCAGTATTATCTCTTGATTCTAGGGGATCTTCGCCGATGACCTCTTCTACTGAACATTCAGCTGAAGATTTGTTGCATTTAGATATTACATCCTATAAATTATATGTATGATTATGACCTCATAATTTCATTTTTTTTTAACCCTATTACCTTACCCAGGGGCTTCCCAAACCCTACAAAATTGTGCTGGCCCTGGCTTGTTGACTGTATTAGTGGTAGAGTCATGCAATTTATTGCATTAGGAGGGAGACTTGTTTAGAGAAGAACAATGTCCCGAAAATCTTCAGTTGTTTTTTAGACGTGACAATGAATATTTTTTAAAAGGGCGACTTTTCAGTTTGTTGTATGTGACTATTTTCAGTATTATTTCTGATAAGTATGATCATGAATTGACAAGTTACTTATGGAATCTTTATTCAAGATATGTAAAAAAAATATTTTTTTTTTCATTAGACTAAAGCCATAGAAACACGATCGACAACACTTCACTCCCAGGAGATTCGCAGAATTTGGTACATCTATTTTTGTTACGCCGCCTAAGTTTTCCTAATCTGTACGTTAGTGCTCGTACACAGACTGAACTGTTTTACAAAATGAATTCACAACACGTGTACAACGGCTTGTGCTAAATTAACATCTTGTGGAAAAGCCTACGTTATCTTACAAAAAACCTACGAAATGGCAAAAAAAGTCAAAAACAAATTATATTTGCTCAAAATGTCGATTTTTGCGTTGTCAAGATCACAGTTCAATGTAAGGCATACAGTGTACACGAGATAATAAAAATGATTCTTTGAACAGACAGACCGACAGAAATGAGTGTCAAAGGTTTTTCATGAAGTACATGTCATTTCACACCCAAAAAACATATGTCGAAAATTTTCGCGATGACAATACTTCTCCGCCAGTAGGCATGAGAAGTAAAGACGTTATTCTACGATAAAAATTAAGTTAACAGTATTGATGTTATATACTGGAGTACACGTAACCCATATGTAGGAGATTTGTCCTATTTGAATAGTGTAGGGTACTAGGGTTAATGGAGTTCATCCTGAATGTGCACTCATGCAATTTTCGAATATACTAGAATTATCGATTTAAAGAAAAAATACAGGTTTGTCTTATTCAAGGCAAAAATTGTGTTGAATGGGATCAACATTATGGAGTTGAAAGATTATTAAGTATAATAAAAAATTTACCTGAATGACATCATAAAACTGTTTAGCCAATTCAACATTCTTGAACTTTACTGCAAGTTCTTCGAAGTTACTCTCGTTTTCAACATAGTTGTACCCTGCCCACATCCAAGCTCTGTCAGAGGCGGTCATTGGCATGAACTCTAACGATGGAGTTATCCGTTGGTTCAGAACGATTTTGTGGACTACATCGCGACGCAGCAGCAATCTGTAGGTGCCTGTAAAGAAGAAGATATAAATAATTGGACGGGTTCTAGGTATTTATTTACTTCAAGGCAACCAGGGTTACTAGAAATTCAGTCACCACAAGCTGATATCACCGCAGGCTCAACTTCTTCCATGCATCATCACTCTACCTATTTGAGACGTATATTGAGAATTTGAAGTCATTTTATACTAGTCAGCTAGTACTGAACGGAGTCTCGAAAATTATAGAGCCCCTTTCCTTCTTGTCATTTTTTGATTATGCAACTGCAACTGACAATGACGTCAAGTAGGTTGACTTTCTACACACATATCATCATTTATCGTAAATAGTTCTAAATCTCTTAACTATAAAAAATAAATCAATCACTTCTTTATTTAAGTTGAAAATTTATAAACAATACGTATGAGATATTATTTATATCTAACGAGTGCGTAATATTACTCAGATCACACACTTCTTAATAATAAGTATTTCACTGATACTATAGATGCAACACAATGTAGATCGGATCCAGTGAGTTTACGTTGATACTGTTGTAAAATACAAAAGCTACGCCCGCGTGCCTGTTTCCGTCGATGCTATTACACTGCGTGTTTTATCTCGAGACGCCTAGCGTAACATATTAACATAAAATATGTATGATTATATCATCTGACAGGTGTGTACTATTACTGGAATCGAAAACTTCTTATTGTAGGTCATGTTTCAGTGATTCCAAAAATGGAACATAAATAACCCCCCACCACCTACAAACCACAACCCTCAATTTTATACCCTTTTTTTTTTGTTGACTCTCGATTAATTTTTGATATTCAATATGAAAAAGTTATAAATAAGATTAGTAGTAAAGTGGGATATTTATTAAGAGTTTCTGGATGTCTGAGTTCATATAGCAGAAAAATTATCTATAATACCATCATTCTTAAGAATTTCTTGTTCTACTATTCTATATTTAGCAAATAATTCCGTTTTTGAAAAACTGTAAATTTTACAAAATAAGTGCATGAGAATAATACTGAATAAAGATAAATATACTCCAATTAGACAAATGCTTAGCAAATTAATATGGCTCAATGTAAACATTTTTATCAAATATTCATTTATAAAGTAAAAGATAATATATTTCCATCAAGTCTAACTAATTTAACATCATCAAATGCCGACCATCATTTACATAATACCAGAACTAAAGATGACTTCCATTTAATGACCAAAAAGTATAACATATGTTACAAATCTGTATTCAATCAAGGGTTGATTGAATATAATAAAATATACACAACGATAAAGACCAGAAAACTTTGACAAAATTTAAAGTAAAATTGAGGAATCACTTGTTAAATCTACAATTATAGCTTCCCAGCATTTACATCATACATCATATGACTTGAATTTACTAATTCTAAGTTGTTTACAATTATTCTGTTTATGTAGCCAAATGTGCTAAATAAATCTTTCTACTACTACTACAAAATTTTGGCCGAAAATGATCAGAAGCCTCTCACAAGATCCGCCGCCACTGGACCGATTTTTAAAAACTATAATACGTCTTTAGCGATCGGCATAGTAACAACCTTGTGAACATCAAAATCCGAGCGGTACTCCTCAAGTTATAGACGGGCTGAAGATTAGCGACCGAGAGGCAGACCGACGAAAATAACAAAAATAATACAATAATCGTAACATAATATATCGTTTCAAAAATGTTCCGCGATTTCAATACTTCCTACTTATAAATAATGTGTGTATATATGTTTGTATGTTCCGTTTTCACGGCTCAACGTATTTTGATGAATTTTAACAAACAGGGTTTGTCCGACAGGACAGGCATTTTCTCGCGACGAGTTTCTGTGAGTGGTGCAAGCCGAAAATGCAGCGTTCGTTAGAGCAGAGGTACGCGATTGAATCTGCATGAAACTCGGTAAATCTGCGACAGAGGCGTTTGATATGATCAAGCAGGCTTACCCAGGTTTTGCTTTAGCAAGAAGTGGTGTGTTTCGCTATTTTTGGAGGGCCGGGAAGAGGTCGTTGATGAAGACCGTGCTGGAAGACCTACTTCGACAAACACCGATAATGTGACTCGTGTGCGCAATTTTTGAACTCAGACCGTCGACTAAGTATTCGTTTAATTGCCCAGATGTTAAATTTACCAAAATCTGTGGTTCATGACATTGTGACACAGCATTTGAACATGCGCAAGGTATGCGCGAAGGTGGTCCCAAAAGTGCTCACTGACGACCGGAAATTGCGGCGAGTGGAAGTGTGTCAAGAAAATTTGAACATGTGTGAAAGTGACCCCCAATTTTTGAATAACGTAAACATCACAGGTGAAGAGTCGTGGATCTTTGAGTATGATCCCGAGATAAAGAGGCAATCTTCCGAGTGGCACACGACGGCGTCTCCTCGCCCAAAAAAGGGAAGAATGAGCAAATCCAAAGTGAAAACGATGTCTTTTTTGACATCAAAGGCTCGTCCACCATGAATTTGTTCCTCCTGGACAAACCGTCAACGTCAAGTTTTACATGGAAGTGCTCAGGAGACTCAAACGAAGGGTCAGTCGGGTCCGACAAGACATCGCAGCCGACTGGAAGTTGCACCACAACGCCCCGGCTCACACCGCCTTTCTTGTGAACAGCTACCTGACCAAGGCCGGCACCCCAACGCTTCCGCAGCCGCCCTAAAGCCCAGCTGTGGCCCTCCCGGACTTTTTTTGTTTCCTCGCTTGAAAAGGCCGATGAAAGGCAAGCATTTTGAGACGACAGAGGGGATCCAAGCAGCATGCACCGCGGCTCTCAAGGCGATTCCGGAGAATGCCTTCCGTGACGCCTTCAATGCTTGGAGAGGAAAGGGGGGACTTTCTCAACCGGGTCATCAGTGGAGACGAATCTTGGTTCTACAAATTCGATGTGGAGCTGAAATCTCAAAGCATGGAGTGGAAGCAAGCAATGTTGATTGTTTTCTTCGATTCTCGGGGCATTGTTCAGCAGGAATTTGTCCCTCCCGTCCAGACAGTGAACGGAAATTTCTACATTGAAGTTTTGTCGTCTTAGAACTCGTGTGGCCCGAGCTCGAACGGATTCGGCTCAAGGGGGCAGGTGGATCCTTAATCACGACAACGCGCCTGCTCACACGTCTCTCGTGAGTTTTTGGCCCGAAGCTCAATCACCGTTACAGAACACCCGTCTTATTCACCCGATTTAGCCCCTGGCGACTACTTGGTATTCCCAAAAAGCAAAATAGTGCTTCGGGACGGCACCTGGGGTATGTGGAAGTCATCAAGGCAGAAACGACACGGCAGATGAAGAGCCTCACAATTGGAGACTTTCAGCGATCGTATCAACAGTGGAAACGGCGTTGGGACAAGTGCATCTTGCCTCAGGGGGCCTACTTTGAAAAAGACCATATTGAAATACCTGAAAAATTGTAAATAAAGTTATTATTCCACTTTTATACGTACTTTCCGGAAAAACCTCGTATTGCATATTGTATCATTAAAAAATTTCAAAATTCCGATAGATATCGTTTTTGTAAATTCTAGTTATTACTCACCATTAATAGGATGATGCAGCACCTTGAAATGCCCAACTCCCCTCTCCTTCCACTCATCCGTCTTGGCGTCGAACCGATATAACTTCGCCTTCTCGTTGAACACCGGTATCTCCTCTTCCTCTCCCGTAGAGACTACAATCTGGTCCGGCAAGGGTACGATGGGCTCGTAATGAGGGTCATAGTTCTCTTCGTTGGCGTCTTCAGCGTTACCGCCCGCTGCCTCGTCGCCAGAATCACCTCCACTGCCGTTCTTCGATTTGTCTGCTTCTTCTTTCCTCGCGGGTGTCTTTGCGCCGAATACCGGAGCACCTGCGCCCAGGAACGCGAACGCATTTTTGCCGCTGGATTCTGAAATAGAAAGGCTTAATATTAGAGATCCAGATAGAAGCTTCACAAAATGGTTCACCTCCCAGCAACACAAACACTTATGAGAAAAATCTTTATAAATAGCGCTTATATGGCGCATAGCCACGCATAACGCATAACACATAGTATAAACAGGCACAGACCAGCAATTACACATAGAACTGTGATGGTCTGCGACTATTTGAATGATTGGCTACCTACGGTGTAAACAAACAACAATAGTTTGTTAGTGCATAAACTTAGACACGACCGCCAACCTAACTGCATTTCTCTATGTATACTTCGTATATTTACCGTCAAAATACACAGTGAAAGTATGTCACCGGTGTTTGGTGTAAACAGATTTGAATACGGGCCTAGAATTCAATAGATTCATTATTCTTAGACAAAAATGTCCCTCACTCAAAAGACGACAACACATGATGAAATAAAGTGAAAAATAGATTATTTCAAGGCATGTCAATTAGCTACCGTTATGGCACAAATAACTTACACAGAAAATTTGCCGTTTCATGCAAATTTGAACCAAAACGGACTATGTTACAATTTGTTTTCAGGTGAGTAGTTTGCAAGTTTGGCAATAAGCAACAGTTATTATATTATATTTGTTTTCGCAAAAAGCTCTTCAAAGTACATAAGAATTATTACCTGTCTTAGCAGAAAATGCTGGCTGAGCATCACTTGAAGTATTTGCAGCTAACGAAGCAAATGAAATGCTAGAGTCGCATTTAAGAACCACCTCATCGTCCTCTTTCAGGTGAGTAGTTTGCCCTTCTTTAGGCACAAGACTGTCGAAGCTGAGGTTTGCTGACGTTGTGATTGTATTGCTTCCAAATATGCTGGTATTTGAAGGAGTTGTGCTAGTTGTCGTTGCTGCAGCAGCTGAGGAAATTAAATATCAAACATAATCATATTAATAGAACAATTAGAATTGTACAGAGAGTTATAGGATATGAAGCAGCAATAGATCCATAGCGGCTGTTTACCACATTAATGCCCTAGCAAAAAGTGCTTGGGACGCCGGCTTGATGGGGGCCCCAATACCGCTCTCTAAATTTTCCAATAGCCAGGTTCGATATTTCGCTCTGTCCTAGGACCCCTTCGGCAGCAGACCCCCAAGGAACTGTGTACTGAGGGGGCCTCTATATGGCTCATCACGGCTCCACATCTCAGAGGGTCAATGTATGTACCGGGGCGAGTTTGCAAATCAGTTGGTAATGTAATACCGTACAAAGTAATGGAATGAAGATTGCCAGATGAAATTTTACTATGCAATATTGTGAAACTTAATTTTTAGAACACTTCAATTATTACACTCATGTAATTGAGACTTTATGAAATTTCTATCCTCGTTTTCTGCCACCATGGCATTTATTATAAGAAACGCTATGGATACGAGGTAGCCCTTTTATCGTACAAGATGACAATTATCGAAATGGTGGCACCGTTTTCAACACAAACGTGGTTCCACTGATCTTGATCAAAATAAATCAAGTTACAAACAATAACTGCTGAGAATATGAAATGCTATTTTCATGACAAGATTTTGTAAGCCCTATAAATGTTTCCAATAAGGTACTTACATAAGCTGCTAGAACCAAAGACTGTTGTCGTGGAAGCACCTCCAAATACAGGAGTTGCGCTAGCTGTACTTGCAGGAGTACTACCTCCAAATATGTTACTTTTGCCTGGAATAAAACAATGAAAAATGGAGAACCCTGAATATAAAAAATGTATTGCGAGAAACGAAAATGCCAAAAATGATATTGAATGATAATGTGACACTGATTTAATAAAAGTAAAACCAAACACTTGCAAAAACATGTGTAAACCTGAAAATATCGCAGCATATTAGATATTTTCTGTACTTTGTTTACAAATTAAATGCTCTGAAAATGAAATAATCATTTATTTTCAAACAAGAGTATGGTTCGGTCTATTTGTTAGATAAAGATGAAAAACCATTCTTTTTGGTTGAAATGTCAGTTAAAATTATGTCACAATTACAGCAATTTTACAATTGTTTAATATTTAATTGATAATCTTAGTAACATGATATGCCCGTCTGACATTGGTGTCCATTTCTGGATCACGCAAGTTCGATTATCGCTGAAGCTTAGAATAATAAGAGAAAAACCAGTATATTTTACAAATTCACTGGTGTTTCTACTTTGAGAAATCAACTTACCGCTTCCAAACAATGCAGTACTTCCACTGCTACCGAACACTGGTGCAGCTCCGCCAAATACAGGTGTTGTATTGCTACTTCCTCCGAACACAGAGGGCGTGCTGGTCGTATTTCCTCCAAAGATACTCGTATTTGAAGAAAATATACTCGCTGCAGTGGTGCTAGTGGTATTTGTAGTAGTAGCAGACTGTGTGTTACTGAATATGCTTGCTGGACTGCCGAATAAGCTTCCAGCAGTAGTAGTAGTTTTTGCTGCAGCATTATTAAAAATACTGGCTGGGCTGCCAAATAAACTTCCAGTGGTGGTAGCACTTTTTGGAGTGCCACTTTCTGTACTGCGAGTAGCACCAAATATGCTGCCTGAGCTGCTGAATAAACTTCCTGTCGTACCAGTACTTTTTGGGGTATTAGTATTTGCACCTGGAGCTGAACTACCAAATATGCTGCCTGAACTACTGAACAAACTTCCTGTGGTAGCAGGACTTTTTGGAGTAGAGGGGTCTGAAGCAGAAATGCCGATGCTGCTGAACAAGCCTGTTGTAATTGCAGTGGCACTTTTTATAGTAGGCTCTGTATTGGACGTGGGAGTACCTGTGAAGAATCCAATAACTGAGAACCCGACGATAAAATGACGGAAAGCGAAAGAATTTTACCCGACTGCTTTAGGAGGAAGGTTATGTTTTTCGAGGATTAATATGTATGTATATGAACAAAAAGTTCTATTTTACAGGCTACTGTCTGAACTGCTTGATAGATTTTGACATATGAGGTATTATTGTTGGATTCGTCTTAGCAGTGTGCACTCCACACTGCACAGTACTGAATGGCGCATTTTTATACAAAAATTCAGCCTTGGAATTTATATTTCTCAGGCTACAGCTTAAAGATCTTGATGGGTTATGATAAGATTTGTCTTTACAGTCCCAGTAGCTCTGGGTATACTAAAATTTCATGAAAACAAAATGGCGGATTTTAATAAAAAAATCCAACCTCAAAATTCCTATTTTAACAGGTTAAATGGCTTGATGGATTTGACATATGAGGTGCCTCTAGATTTGTCTTAAAAGTGAGACTAACAGTGAGTATACTAAAATATTACAAAATCAAAATGGCGAATTTTTTGACAGTGCGAATAACATTATGTATCTAAAGTTTTATAAAAAAACTGACGGAACTTTATCTAAAATTTTAACTATGAAATTTATATTTCATGTGCTGGAGCTTAAATGACTTGCTGGATTTTGACTAAAAGGTGTCTGTAAACTTGTCTTGATAGTACGAATGACACTAGGTATACTAATATTTTATAAGATCATAATGAAGGATTTTTATCTAAAACTTAAACTAGAAATTTTGATTTCTCAGGCTTGAAGGGCTTGATGAATTTTGACATACGATGTGACCTAGATATGTCTTAACAATGTGACTGACACTGAATATATCAAAATAGTATGTAATCAAAATAGCGAATTTGTACATTTGATAGCACAACTAAAGCTTCATACTATTCGGTCCTTGCAGTTGGGTTTTTTGTATTATGTCTAAACGAATACCAGTACGAGCATATAAAATTCTTACAAGTCGAAGCGCCGACCGAGCGCTTCAGTTTCGCTTCGACGCAGCGTAAATTGATTTAAAAGAAATAACTTCTTAATCGCTCATGTTTGTCCGCCCAAAGAAACCAGATGTATTTGAAAATTTTCTTTAATGTAGTAAACGTTTCAGTCACAATGGTGACCATTGTCTGTTATGTGCTTTCGTTTTGGGTACAAAAATTGTGAAAAAAGGCAGACAAAACTATTCACTAAGAAAACACAAAAGAAAACTATAGAAGAAACAAAACGATGACAATAATCGAGCGTACATATTAAAAGTTATTATATGACAATCCAGACTCCAATAAGTTAAAAATGTTTTTATTTTCAATATGGAACATTACAAAGAAACATATTAAAAACCATATTTAAAAATATTGAAAAATTACGGAACTGTAAAAGCCAATATATCCTTACCTTATTGAATGAGACACGCAAAATACGTCCCAAGGAAAAAACATCCCTTAGGTCAACTATGAAAATAAAGAATGGAACATGAAAAAACAAACAAATAGCCGCTTTACACAATCAAATAAATTCACGAATAAATTGTCAGCGAAATTACATGATTAAATATTTTCAAGCCAAGCAGCCTATCAACACATATTGTAACTTCCTATAATACCAACTTCAGAGAAAAAATACCAAAACATAATCTACGTATAATGGACGTAACCAGTACGAAGACGACATATTGATTGTTTCTGTCGAAATATTAACTCCTAAATTAAAACCAACAGTTGCATTAAACCAACTGAAGCAGAACAGAAGAAATCCAAATCAGTTGGTTTAAAACAGTCGAATGAGCACCTCTTTGTTTTGTTTCTTATGTTCTATTCTTTTTTCATAGTTGAGCTAAGGGACGTGTTTTGCGTGTTTTGGCTTTTACAGTTTTGCATATTTGATCGTTGTTTTTAAATCTGGTTTTTAATATGTTTCTTTGTAATGTACCCCTTTCTTTGTTGGAATCTGACATCATATACATAATGTACGCATGCTTTTTATTCATCGTTTTTGTTTCTTTGTTCTATAGTTCTTATATCCTTGTGTATTTTCTTTGTGAATTTTTAACTGTATTTTTTCACATTTTTGTAACCCTGAGGAAGGCATAAAATAAACGCCCAAGAATCACAAGAAATTGAAAGCATATGCATTGCATTGATATCTATAGTCAAACTTACCGAATATGTTTGTTGAAATGCCGAACAAGCCTCCTGTGGTAGTTTTAGCTCCATAACTGGTATCCCCGCTCGAAGTGATAGCGGCTGTTGTAGCAGCGGGCGAGAACAGGCTTGCACTAGTTGCCGGTGCAGTTGCTCGGGCAAAAGAGAATGTGGATTTAGCAGAATTTGATCCAGTTTTCGGTGTTGCACCATCGCCTGCTTCTTTGGGTGTACCTGAAGAAGCAATAACAACATTTAACAGGATCTTTTGTTTTGAAGAAAAATGTTGTTTTTAAATAACGACAGAAAAAATACCAAGCAAGAAGATAGCATCGAGTACACATATTGGCTCTGTACTTCCCATGAAATTTTGGACAAATGGACTTTGGATATGCAGCATGTGTAAGTACAAGACAAATTTCGCACACTCTGGTATCTTTATTACTTTATTATTCAATGGCTGAAGATCGTTGTACCTGAATCTGTAGAGCTGAATGAGTACCACTGGAACCGGTGAAAAAAAAAGGAGGCTGAGTGATTTTTATTTTTGACCGTAGCTACGCTGCCACTGGGTCGATTAAAAAACTATCTAAAACGTTTTTTTGTTCTTGGTATAATAGCATTTTTGTATGGAAAGTTCATCAAATTCTGACCAGTACTTTCTAAGCGGGTTCAAGGATTAGCCGACAGACAGGCCGCCGGAAATGAGTTACATGGTTTTTCGTGATGTTACATGTCATGTAACATCGAAAAAAACATAGTATCTCATTTTCAAAATGTCTCCGATTACAATACGCTAACGGCGTAGAAAGTAAGACATTAGACAACGAAGTACTTATTAAATCAATTGATGTATCCTTATTTCAGGTAGAGATAAGGGCCATTCCTTCAGATTTTACTGAATTAATTATTTTTTCTTATACATTTGATTTCAGAAGGAATTATTATTAAGTTATTTGGGACATGTTTGGTTCTGGTACTGGTACTCCAGCCAATTATCTCTTGTTCCTACCCAGTTAGTTTCTGGTAAGTAGCATAATTTAATGATTTACTGTTAAATAAGCGATATATCGCAAGACTATGGAATCAGCTGCCTTTTGTCTAAAAAATTCATTTAATCCCATAATTTTGTCAAAAAGTGACTGTACTGAGGACAATCACTATTGTGGCCAAAAGGTGTACTACAATAAAGAGGATTTTAAACACATGTGGTTTGATTTGCCAAACAAGCCAAAGGATGTTTCAGATGTTAAATTGAAAAATCATGTTTTTTTTTAATATCTTATCAGAAGGATACGTTTCTGGAAGGTTATGATTTATTTTCAACATTTGTTTTGTATTATCTCAAGTTATATAGAAGTTAGCAGAATGCCGTGAATCAGATAACATTCTATTAAAGTGTAGTATATTAGTCTTAGTTGTGAAATTTGTTCAATTTTTATTTTTATCTTCATTTTTGCCACTAGCTCCGCCACCATTGGACCGATTTTTATTTACGCCAAAGAAGCCGCACATGCAGAAGCCTAAATGCCAGGTCACCGTGGCTGCTATCAGGATCCCAAAGGAGCTTTGTTAATCCAATTTTTGAACTGCCTGTGGTTAGTACAGCTGGGAAAAACCTCCTCTTGTACATTGTTCCACAATCTCGACACCATATGGACAAAGGAGCGGTAGTATCGGCCAGTTCTGGAAGAACGAAGATCGACACAGTTAGGATGGGAGGCCGAAGTCAGGCGGGTTTGTCTAGCAGGCACATCGCGCGGCGGCATCATGGAGCTCTGAGAAGCAAAACGGTAGAGGAAATCTAGATCGCCGACGGCCAGCCGGAGAGAAACTGAGAGACTGTCCGCTAGAGAGGAGTCATCGATCAGTTGGACAGCCCTCCTCTGAACAGCATCGAGCATGGATAATGTTGTCTAGGCGGCAGCACCTTAAACATGTTAGCAATACTCGAGGCTAGGTCTTAACTGTGCATTGTACAAAACAACGTGCAACAGTTGATCGAACGCTTTCGTGATTTCAAGAGCAACGACATGAGCCTCACCATAAGACTCAATGAGTTTAGGAGGTCCCCTGTGAATCGCTGGTGTCGGAAACTATACTGCCTGTGGCTAATCAAGCCGTAACGTTCGAGGTACTCCAGAAGCTCGCGATTTATGCACCTCTCCATCACCTTACTTCTACTCGTCGGTCTTACATCCATTTTTTGAGACATGAACAAATTTCCATTTTTCTGGGAAAGTGCTGGATTCGTGAAGATATCTGGAAGAGACGCGAAAGAACTAGATGGACCAAGCTCCGCTGCGCGCCTCAAGAGCTACAAAGCCTTTTCATCCTTGAAATAGTAGTGTAACGAACTATAAATAACTGGAGCTCTGAGTACCAGCGAGGCACCCTCGTACATCGAGCAGAAGATTCGACAGATGTCCAGAAACATCGCTTAGGCGACCAGAGTTACGGGGCTATGTGTGTTGGGAATTGCGGCCTCATAGGCGAGTTCATCACGTTCGATGACTGAAATATCGTTTTTTGGCGTTTTAGAGAATCCTGATAATTTCGGAAAACATTTATAGCGGTGAAAAATTAGGGTGTGGGTGAGGGTATATCTCAATGTTTTGATACCATAGTTATACGCTCCCACCACCGGTAACACGCTCCCACAACCGGTAACTCTACGCACCCATTAGTCTTTGAAACTTAAAATGATAGACAAATGTGTCGTACCTCCTGCTATCTAGGCTCAGCGTCCCGGGTAACGGTATGATTGATTGCTTTGCTCGTATTGCGGCAGTGCTTTTGTGGGTCCTGTGCCGTCTGACGGTATGGGAAGGGCAGGGAAAGAATTTGTATGGGCCTGTTTGACTGACTTGATCCGTTCAACGTCTCTATTGCCCAAGTTTGTGGATATTTTTTCTCAGAAAATTTAATTTAATACTGTATGAACGGATGACGTCGTTGCGTAGGAAGTACAGAGGCAAGCTAATCGACTACATTTTTTCTACAATCGTCCGAAAAAGTACATTTTACTGTTCGAACTTTAACGCACAAAATTCACGTTTGTCCAGAATCTTATGTGCAACTAAGCATACCGCTTTCGTCCGTTCGACGACAGACGGCTAATCGTTCCTTTTTATCAACTCATCAGCATGGAGTGAGACAACGAACAAAGTCAGAGCAACTATCTTTTATCTGAAGTAAAAGATAATCGAAGTAAGACAGCATCAAGTGTCATCTATCATTTATCAGAATCAACTCTGTTCTCTCTCGCAGTGGTCGATTCTGGTAATAGATCGCACTTTGTGCTCTTATTCCGATGTTAGGTGTAGTTGCGGGCGAAAAGAACCGCTTCACGCCAGGAATATTGCGTATTTAGATCGGCAAAGTAGTACATACTTTGTACTCTTGACATAGAAACAATTATTCCCGATTATAAACTGTAAAGCTACGTACCGAAAATAGGCGGCTTCAAAAGCAAGTTTTTCAAACTATCACCACCTGGCTGAGGCGACTTAGCAACACTAGCAAGCTCAGGGGTGGCAAACACTGACCCGGCTTCAGATGACGCTAACGATGGTGTCGAACTCGCCGAGAAGTAAACAGTCTTGGTTGTCTTAGGAGTCATCACCAAGGAAGCATTCGTTGCACTTTTCATATATTCGTCGTCCTTCTTGCACTGTTCACAGGTGCAGTCGGGAAGCTGTTTGTACGAAAAGAACTTGGGAGGAAGGCCTAATCTGATGGCTTCCTTTTCTTCTTCAGGAGTTACTTTGGTTTCAGAGACGATTTTGACCTCGTCGCTATCATCCTGCGAACTGACCACTACTGGAGTTTTTCCTGAAAATGATTACCATTGTTAAAGTACATGAGTAAACAAACTGACCTATTATTTTGTTTATTGTTCAACGACTTACATATCCCACTTCAAAGGACGAAGCAAACGCAAACATATTGGTTGGAAGGCATGAGCCAAGTGTTCTCTCCTCTATTCAAAATGTGATGCAATACATTAACTGATGGTTTAATTAGGCCAGTTTATCAATGTTTGGTAGAAAAAATCTTTAGCATAAACCTAGTGTCTCACTGTCAGTAGCGAATACGCAGACGGATTTCGAAAAATGCATTTCTCCCAATAATTGCATTCATTTCAAAATTACAGACCCCACTCTGTTTTCAAATATATCCGTAAACTTATTCTTTTGACTATTTGGATAACATACTTTTGTTGATCATATAACTAACTTTTATTAATTAATCTACTCAAATAGTGGTTATGATAACCTTTGTTGTAAGATGCGAGTGAAGTGTATGCAAAAATCAGTCTGATTCAACGAATTCCGACTAGGTAGAAGGGTACAGTCAAGCATTTGTTTGTTTGATTCTCATAGTCGGTTTTGAGGATCAAAGTGCACTTGACATAAACCAATTTTTTGACAGGTCTGTCATTAAATTCATACTTATAATGTTATTTTCTGAAAGTGCGAGTGTTTGCAGATAATTGTAGTGTTCCATTTCGAGACGTGCTACTTCTTACATAATTTGCAAAGAGCAGCACAAGCCTAGTGAAGGTAGTTGTTTACACTGTTAAGTATTATTATGTTGATACAGCACTGTCACTTTGGTACGCATTGGTAGACAAATGAGTCAAAAGTATGCACTAAAACTAAGTAATTTTAGCTACAAACAATGCTATGCAATCATGTAAGCCCTGACTCATTCTAATCTATTCAAATTCGTTGATCTGATTATATGATCAGAACAAAGCGCAGATAGACCTGGCTAAAGCAATGATTTTTAATGATTGTACATGCAGCTTAAAATTGTATTATTAGGTTATTGTTAGTGACTAGCATATACTGTTAGACTTTTTAGTGATGCTTGACGTCAATTACGACAAATAATTTTGGGACACTTGAAAGAATGTAAATGAAAGGCTTCAATGGTTATATAATATCTTTATTTAACCAACAGTGATATTCCACAAAAGTCCTTTTTCCAAGTACACACGTCTGTAGAATAAAATAAAAAACCTTTACACAAAAGGTAACAAACCATGAATACTGTGTTCCAATGTGAATAAGTTTAAGAATGTGACTAGCGTCAAATAATAAAAATCGGAACAAAGTGTAAAAAACAAGAAAATAACTATGCCTTTACACACAATACTACAGCCTTTTCCTCAGCGTGTCACCCAGCACAATACAACAACAAAAAAAATACAACCTTGCCGAGATGCGCTTAGTCACGTGTGGAATATTATACTCCAAGGTGTCGTTAGCAACATCGCCAGTCATCAGACATCAATAAATGGTTGAAATGTTGCTAAAAACATAGTTGCTGATTCTTCTTCAACATTCATAGACATTCATTGTTCAAGCACGGTCAGGTGAAGGAATTTGACAACAGAGTAATTCTCATGAAAGAACAGATCATAGCCGCTTTCCAGTACCTCATTTGTGTTACTCGGAGTAACTCGGTGCTGCCCACCACCTGTCAATACTGTTCCACTGCTCTAGAGTGTAATGCACCTGAGGAACTCATGCACTAGCTTTTTATTCAGTATTATACGCTCCGAAATAGTGGGGACAACGGAAATGACAAGATTGTTAGATTATGTGTATTCATCGTTTTTGTTTGTTTTTTCATTAAACTCACATCAAACCGATATCAGACGATGGAGGATGGTAAAAAACTGATAATGTTATGACCCAGAGTCACAACGTACATTTGAGATGTTCCTGAATAATAAGATCAAAAGAGAGCACAAGAAGGCAAGTTCATAGTGGCTTATAGTTGGCTTCATCTATAACTAGGCACTTTGAATGTAATTTTGAATATCTACACTAAAATATGAATTTGACCCATTTATCCAGAAGCCTGACAATAAAAATGCAGATTTCTGACGTGTTGCGCCATCATTCTAAAAGCATCATCAGGCACCAATTGAATAGTCTGACAATGCTTCTGAAAATAAAGGCAAAATGTGTTTACATTTTCATTGTTAGTTTGGCAATGTGATACAGATGGTTAACGTTAAGGTAAAATATCAAAAAACAGGTTAGGTTTTTATCGTCGCGTTCTCGTGTACATTTGCTAGAGCAGTTCGGGAGCGTCACACTCCGGGAGTATACAACTCTCAATTCAAAAGCACTGGAAAGCGGCTCATAAGTAAAGTTTTACCCCGAAAGTCAGATTATATTTATATCTATCTACCTGGTTGTAAAGTATTCCCAGATCACAGACATGTTAAGTGCGTACATATTAAGGTAATAATACTGAACAAGAATCACCTACATTTCCTCAAATATACGAAGCACACAGCCATGGTTAGTGAGATTATACCCAAACATAAAAAAACATTTCTGTTACTAATGCAATCAGTTAATGCTGCTTTACCTAAATCACAGCCATCCAGTGCGTCAGCCACAGCCTTTTTGAATTCTTCGGCTACCTCGGGCGTTTTGAAACGCACGCAAAACTGTTCGCACGCTAGCTCGCCCTCTGAGAAGTCAGCAGCATGGAACAACCAAGTCTTCTCGTCTTTAGGAAGGTATTCGACATCTTTGGTAAGCATGTGGTTCAGGCAAATCTTTAAAACTTGATCACGTCGCATCACCACCCTGTGAAGAAGCAAAAAATTAAATGATATCAGAATCGTACGTGTATAATTTTGATGACAACTCAAAATATACTTGAATGAAAAAATGGCGTCAAGTAGACTGACTCTAGACTTCCCACGCCAACGACACAACTTCTTGTAAAATTTTCCATGAAGTGCCATGATACCAAAAAGATATAGGTTTTCCATTTCATGGAATAAAAATTCCCCACATTGCAGCAATGAGTGAGCCTCATTTCTTTGGCGTCGTGGTGTAAAACTGCTTGTCAACAATGTTTAATAACTGATTATAATAGCTCTTGATAAATACTTATATACTATATAATATTACGTCACAAACTCAAATATCATTGAATTACATTCCAAGCACGACGCTCATATAAATAAATAAAATAGCGCGCACCTCAAATGTCGCCGCGATGCTTGCCTGTCAAAGATAAATAACCCTATGGAGCATGGCATACGCGACTGATAGGCGATCCGTCTGCTGAACGTGTTTTTTTAGGTTAAATATGTTTTATAGGTGTAGAATTGGAAGTATATTAATATACTATCCTAAAATTGCCAATTTCTTAACTCTAATATTTTTTCAAAAATTATCAGGGTTCTCTGAAACATCGAAAAGTCAAGTTTGACCAATTTTTTTTCGTTAGTGGAATTTTCATGCGCCGCCACTGGACCAATTTTCAAAAACTACAAAACTTTTTCGTACCTGACGTAGTGGTAACCTTGTGTAAAAATTTCGTAAAAATCCAAGCAGTACAGTATTAGCAAACAGACAGGCTGACGAAAATGACTAACATGGTTTTTCGTGATGTATATGTCATATAACATCCAAAAAACATATCTAATTTTCATAATTTAACGGGATTACAATGCCTTCCTCCGCCATCTCGCGTGGAAAGTAAAAATTACAATGATATCAATTATTTGTTACCATGAACTTGACAAATTTATAGAAATATAGGTAAATAGATATTAATCAGTCTTTTCGACATTTCAGATTTCCAATGCGAAGTTACAGGGTGTTGATAGGAACCAAAAAGTGTCTTAAAAAGTATGGTTTTCAAGGGTGGCAAATTTTTATCAACATCATAAAGACCCTTGTGCCGATTTTGTTGAATTTGGGCATTTCAATAAGATGCTAAGGTAGTCGAATAAAATTGACAAAAAATTTACGCCCTTGACTACTCAAAACAATATGTTTTTTGTCGGATTAATCAGCTTAATAATACACCTTTTTTGTTTCTTAATATCACTTGGTATTTTCATTTTTGAGAAAAAAAAATAAAAACACCATTAAGCTCCCCATACACGTGCGAACTATTTGCGCAAACTCGGTGTTTGTACAAATGCTAGCACATACACGTAGCAACCTGTTGCGCAAACAGGATATCGTTTTGTCGTCTTGTTCGTTGAACATGTCGGACACGGACGATTGCTGTGCCGTCATTATTCTGGCCCTTAGTGACTGAGAAACGGAAGGTTAGAAGAAAAAGAAAGCAAATAGTGTGGGTGAAGAGTTGGCTCCAGAAGAGGAGCGAATTCAGTCATGACCGCCTGGTCACTGAGCCCAAAATAACGTCAGCCGCGGACTACAAAAACTTCGAATGGACGAAAAACAACATGGTCATGAGAGACGTAATATCTCCAGAAGTGAGATTGTTGACCACTGAGATAATTTGTAAATTTGAAGAGCTGAAATTACCGAAACTTCGTTTTCAACCACGGAATAGAGAGGAAACTGCCTGAGGAGCAGGAGTCGACTGGCTCAAAGTTTGCACAAACCGTGCCATACACGGTCAAACTATTACTCAAACAGTTTGCACAACCATTCAAACAGTTCCATAGATGGTCTAACTGTTTGCACAAACACAGAGTTTACGCAAATTGTTCGCACGTGTATGGGGGGCTTTACATGTCGAAAAATTATTAAAATATGCCAGCAGAAGCCTGCAAGTAGTGGTTAGTGGTAATTTCCAACATTTTTCGTAAATAGTTTGTCAAATTGTCGCTTTCCATTCCATACATTTCAGAAATGGCTTATAAATAAATAGTGTGGATTGAAATTAAATTGATTACATTTTAACAATTTTTCAACATGTTTGTAATGAAGTTATTATTTTGTATTATCGAAAAAGAAGTAATATACGAAAAGGTACCAAGAGACAAAAAGGTAATATATTTTTTAATTTGTCAATATCATTCGTAAGGCTGTCCCTCGATATACACGCAATACATAACACTGCCAAAATTCAACAAAATCGACACAATGATCTTTGGGATATTAAGAAAAAAAATGTTAATCTTGACAACCTGTATCTTTGAAACCAGACTTCACAGGACACATGTTTATATGAACTTTTCTAATTAAATTTGGTTCAGGAATGCACCCTATCATCACGTAACACCCTGGATATTGTACCAATTCACTTTGTTAGTCCACCATGTATTGTGAAACCAGATCCACGCACAAGGTTATATAAGTGCAAATAAGAATTATTATTAAATATCTTCTGCTGGTAATGAATGGAAAGTAGAAATATAAAAAATATAAATCAATGGGAAAATGTTTAACCGTGTACGCAAAGACTTGAGTGTTTAGGCAAAAAGTAGTTATATCAAGAGAAAACACTTCATCCAATGGAGTCATCTGCATTGTAGTAGGACCATGTCAAATAGAGTGACTAGATGGTATTAAAAGTTAAATAGCTATGTGATAACTTACAGGTTTTGAAAATAGCTTCTTTCGCGAAAAGTGTGATTTATAACTTTAACAAAGCATTTATTTCCGACTAAATGAGAACAGCCGTGTTTAAACGGCATCATCGATTCTGTGGATGCCATGTTTCTGGAGTCAACTCTTATATCTCTCTTGTTTTATTCGCCTTGTCTGTCTTCTCTTTATGTAACTACTCTTTGGTTTAGGTCTACATGTGCTCATACCACACTGCACGTTTGCTACTATCACACTTAAAAACAATACAATTTTTGTCTCCAGTGACAATTTCTCCACAGACAATGTCAAAACTCACCTCAATTTTCCAGATGCCTTATTCCTGAGAATCTTGATATCTCCTAAGCCCCTTTCCTTCCATTCATCACCAACAAACCTGAACAACTTGGCTCTCTGGCTGAATAGAACTTCCTCATCCTCTTCTCCAGTCTTCACTTCGACCTAATATATGAAAGACAATCAAAATATCATTCTGACTCAAAACACTACAGGTCAATAATCTGGAATATTGGGAATGTTGCTAATTATCTCTATATAAAGGATACCCTGAAAGTTGGGATTTTCCTTTTCAGACTACGTTTGCTATTTGTGGCAAAACAACACCGAAAACGTAAAAAATAAACTGAAGAAAATTACTCGCTATTGATTTGTTTATTTACATCTTCCTAAATTTACAACATTTGGTGCTGTCTAGGTATTCAACTGTGTTCAAACAGACCAACCGCTCTGAGTACACCCACGGAGTATTAATAGGAGCTTGAAGATGTTCATATCAAATACGAGCGCCTTCCCACTTCAGTTGGCCCAACAATTGATATCTTATTTTTTTCTTATCAAACACAAATAATAAAAATGTAGGAGGGTGCTATAGGTTTAAAATATTAACAATTAATATTTTGATAATATATAGTAGAAAATACGAACTTTATCACTCCCTAATCAAATTTGCAGCATAAAAATAACACATGTTGCAATTACAGCATATCAACCTATTTTTATTTCAATGCAAAATAAGTCTATGGTGGCTGTGAAAAATAAAAGCCATGACAATTGTTTTTATTAATCACAGCTGTCAGAATACGTTTAAAATTGTTTTGGGTAGTTAAGGTTTTCAAACTGGGTAGAGGAAAGGTTATTAGTGAGAAAATTCGGTTACTGATAATTAAATTTTTTAATTCTGGGAAATCAAACTTATCGCGGTACAGTGTGAGAAATATTGTTAGAAGATATAACATAACTGGTTCAGTAATATTAAGCCACGATATGTGAAAAAAAGTAATATCACAAATGCCGACCGAAGAGCATTAAGAAGAATAATCGTGAAAAACAGACGTGCCAATTATTTACAATTAAGTGATCTGTGGAGTGACGCTGTTGGAAGTAGAATTTCGAGGTCCACAACTCATAGAGAGGCTCACAAACTGGGATTTAGCACTTGCAAGGTAAGTTTTCTTATAAAAAAAAGTGAAGTAAAAACCCTAAAGTTGCACAACTTATTTATAGGCCAAAGAAAAGCCACTATTAACTCCACTGCAAAAGAAAAATCGGCTTAGATGGGCTAAAGAACATAGACAATGGACACCTCAACAATGATGTGCAATACAATGGAGTGATGAGGCCCGATTTGAAGTTTGTGTTGGTGACAGTCGCAGTAGAGTTATTCGCAAAAAAATGAAGCATTCCATGTTGACTGTCTGAAGAGAAAAGTGAAATTTCCAGCATCTATTATGGTCTGGGGTAGTATGTCATCAAAAGGAGTAGGAAAACTTCATTTTATTGATGGAAATGTGGATACAAACAAATATTTGGCAATTTTTTAAGAATCGCTTTTACCAGTGATGGAAGAATGTTTGACATCCGGCCAAGATTTTGTGTTTCAGCAAGATGGTGCAGCGTGCCATACCTCAAAAAAGGCTATAAAATGGATGGAAGAAAATAATGTGCCACTTTTAAAATCGGTTTCTAGCAGTCCAGAACTGAGACAAAAGCTTCAAGAAATATGGGATTGTTTTACACAAAATTTTTGCCAAAACTTGGTTAACACTATGCCCCAAAGAATTTCAGCAGTAATAAAAAACAAAGGTGATGTTACCCAATGGTAATCTTTCAATTGTTGCTTTGTTAACTTCACGCATTTATTCGCACATTGTTTATTTGTTCAGATGTTCTATTAGTTATAGGTCTAAGTGATTTCAAATATGTATTTTTTACGACTAGAGTGTATCTAAAATGTTTTTGAGAAAATAAATTGTTTTAGAAGTAAATAGTTTCGTCATGTTTAGTTTATAAAGGCATATTTTGGTACAAATCTTGAAGTGGGCCAACTGAAGTAGGAAGGGGCTCGTAGATAACTACGTTAAAGCTATAGGAATATGCCAATGTCGTTTTTTCAAATGCGTAATGTTTATAAATTAGGTTAACCTAGACAAGATACGACATCTGATATAGATACTGACTCACAGTCACATAGTCTTAGTACATCAACATCACACGTTTTGGCGTAAGAGGGGATTGTTGGAGGGGAGGGAATGAGCGTCGTACTGGATCATTGCTTTTTGGAAACACAGTTCGATTATCTTAAAGCTTTGGTATATATGTTACTAAAAAAATGCTTATATAAGCTCTGTAAAGGAAAGTCCCAACTTTGAGGACAGCCTGTATAAACGTGAATGTGTCCAGTGCGTACGCGTCACGTCTGAACCACAATACGGAGAGACATGAAAATGTGTACACTCACTAAATGATACATCACGAATACTATAGGCATAGTTTCATCCGCGAACTCATTGTCGATTTGGCAATCAACTATTGCACCAAAGTACCAAGTACCAAAATCTCCACCGTCAGCGGCAAGTCGGCAACAGCGCGGTCTGCTATCGCTCACTCAACCTGTGACCGTCAAGCGATATATTCTATCTGGAGACACCCAACCATATCAACAATATCCTAGCGCCATCTGAGACACTAGCGGCACACAAATATGAATTTACAAATTTACTTTGAAAGGTCAGTGTTTTGTTCTGCAATTATATCACGGATGGCGCTAGAATTTTTAATCCCCGTTTTCACGCCTCTAATGCTTATTCTAATCGGCTATCTTCAGGTAGAGCACCTTACCTGAAGATACCTGATCAAAATAGGCGTCAGAGAGGTGAGAAAATGGCAGCGCCATCTACCCAAACTGCTCATTCTAAGAAAATTTTCTAACAAAAATTGTGGTTTCGATGGTCATTTTAAGGTCAAGAGAATATTTTCAAATGAAACCCCCGTTTTTCATATCGGAATTAAAAATAGGAAAACAATTTACGCCCTACCATCACCTTGGCCATGAGCTTGAACTTCACCTTCAAGGTCGTTGCAAGGTCAAAGCCGTTTGCTCTGACAAAAATGTTCGACAGCACAGTTGTGAAGTTTGTGGGGAATAACCAAAGCTAACCTTGGACATGGCCTTGACTATGAACTTCAAGATCAAGTGAAATTTTTTAAAGGAAACCTCTCATTTTTAAACTCGATATGAAAAAAGCAGGCAATTCAGAATATGATCTTGAACTTGAGTCAAGGGCGTGTCAAGCGTGAATTTCATTTGAGGTCGTCACATTCGGACGTATAATTTCTTGGTTTTTCCATTCCCAGTATAAAAAAGAGGTTTCATTTAGAAGTTTTGAACTTAAAGGTAATGGTCAAGGTCATGGGAAAGGTCAAGTTAGCTGTCGCACCTTTTTGCGAGAGCAAATCGTTTGAATGCCTTGGTTTGGCCTTTAAATGGCGATGGAGGCAATGGTCATGGTCAAGATTATATGCGTACAAAAAATTTGTTTCTATTCTCAATTTCGAGGTGAAAAATGGGAGGTTCCATTAGAAAATGTTCACTTGATCTTGAAATGACCTTCAAGTTTGTAGTCATCATCATTTTACTTTGAATTATTCATGTGGGGAGAATAAAATGGGATGCCATATATAATTAGTTATATTCAGGTGAAAACGTTATCATAGAGCCGTTTTACACACAAGAGAATTACTCCGAAAATTATGGTCATAATTATGCCGAAAATGTTTGCTGTCGTATTACACGTAAAAGAATTCTTGTGAAAATTTTCATGGTAAAAATATAAAACCCGTTCTATATTATATGCGCGAAAATCGGCGCAGAGGGTTATTTCCGTGCATGTCAATATCAAATGTCAACGACAACAACAACAACATAACCTCACTTAACATTTGTGGGAGTGGTCCTGTTCGAGTCGTACGAAAGAGAGTTTATTGTTATTGTTTATTCATAATGTCGTGGAATCGGGAAGAATTTACAATGTTGTTGGAGGAGTACCAAAAATGGCCAAACCTGTACAAGGTGAAGTCACCCAATTACAAAAACAGAAATTTGCGGCGTCAGGCGCTGGATGCGATAGTCCAAGCATTGAGAAGTTTTATAATATTAACCAAGATCTCGATTTCAAAAATAAATTTAAATTATCGACGTCTGTTGTCTTTCCGATTATATTGGACGTCATACCCGTTAAGGTTATGTCCATTTGAAAATATAACTCTAATGCGCAGGCGTATCATATGAATTACTCCGAAATTTTGTTTGCTTGTGTCATACAGGTTGTAGAGAAAATCTTCAATATTTTTTCCATGCAAATTTTCAGCATAATTATGACCATAATTTTCGGAGTAATTCTCTTGTGTGTAAAACGGCTCATAGACAATAGCGAAATCTCAAAGTAGAAAAGAGTATTCTTTTCTGAAGGGCTAAGCCATAGCTTAGACTTTTGATATTTTTGCAAACTGACCAGTGACACTCGAGGCGTCACGTCGTACTTTACGTATGAAGTAAATTTTGAACATACTAATTGTAGTATTTCATTTTCTATACAAAATATTTGCTTTTACCTTATCAGGCAGTGGTATAACAGGTTTGAAATAGATATTATCCTCTTCTTCTTCCAACCCACTGCCACCATCAGACTCTTCATCACCTTGTCCAGCACTTGCCCTTCTAGGTGACCTCGGCTTGAATTCAAACGCATGCTGTCGAGGCGAACCGTAAATAAACTTTCCATCCGCTGCTTCTTGGCCCGCTTCAGGTTGTGGTGTTTTAAACGAGATTGTGCCGCCGCTGGCTTTGAATATACTGGCTGGTTTCGCTACGGGTGGGGTTTGTGTGGTTTCAGTTTTTCCGTGAAGGGAGAAGGTCACCTGCGGTGATTGGGGTGTTGTGGGGGCACTAGCACCAGTCCCTGGAGGGATGCCAAAGGTGAATTTCAGGCCGGGAGTGTCTAAGTTGACTCCTGCAATACAAAAAATTGCGAATCAAGTAGACCATGCGGAAATAAATGCATGAAAAAAATTTCAAAGCACATACCGTTACCGGATAGTTAAGGACATGCAAAACAAAACCTACACATAGTTCTCTCTCTGCTTTGAATACAATGAAGCCACACCTGTTCCCCAGGTAATTTTTTATCAAAATCATGTTGCTCTTACCTGACTGTACTCTCATTATTTGCTTCTTGGAAAAAAGTATTTTTAATTCGTACATTGAAAGGGAACTAATTTAAATCATCTATATTTCCTGCCGAAAAGAATAGGATTTTATTTTATTCTTCTATTCATAAGCCAAAACTCATTATGTTACGCCAGAACTTATGTTACATATTAACGAGACATTCTACATTTGGCGTTTGAACGGAAAGTTTTGTCACATCTCGTTCATAAATAAAAGTGAAGTCACTCACTATACATTTTTTGGAAGACAAAGATTGATATTTTAGTCAAAATTTTTTTCAAAATGCCCCATCATTTCAACAATTTTAGTGCTGACATACCTTTCATACTTGATGAAGTTGCATCGGATTTCTTTGGCACAGTATCATCCTTGGGTGCTTCACAAGATGCACAATACAACACATCAGCATTGTTTCTAACCAGACACATTTTACACTCCCAGGAGCCAGGTTTTGGTTTGAATGCTTCTCCAAATCCTCCAGTGCCTGAAGATGCAGTTTTGCTTTCTTCAGTCTTAGCAGCTGGAGTGCCAAATGCGTACTTTTGACCAGAAGTAGACAAATCCAAACCCTGCACAATAGAAACAATGTTAAAGAGATTTCACAACACCACTTCAATATCTAATGTACGCAAATATTTCGAAATATCCAAGCAGATTTCAAACCTACCTTGGTTTCTTCTTTCATTGCATCTGTTGTTTCAACACCAAACAATGGTTTGGACTTAGTAGTAGGAGTAACCCCAAACGAAAAGACAGGCCCGGATTCTTCCGATTTCTTAACAGAACTACCACTCTTTGAAGTTTCGCATGCCATACACGTATTCGAAGATCCTGCAATTAAACCGACAGGGATACTCTAGTACTAGCAATCTACCGCATTTTTTTGTGAATGTCATATAAGTCAATTTGTGTTTTTCTTCGTGAAAAAAGACAAAATGCCCCGCGTGTTTGATGAAAAGCATCGACTACTAAAAAATATAAACTTATCCATTTATATTTTTGCAGACATCTCGATGGAAATTTACCGAAAATGCGTTCCATCTATTAGTTGGTTTTCAGTACCTGTTAGTAAGTTAACAATGGGCAAATGTATTTATATGTACTTTGTAATATATCTTCCATGGGGTGATGAGAAACATTATTTATTAGGTCATTTTTAGCAAAAATGCAATGACAACTAGTCGGACGGCTCAGAAGCTGCAACTATTGACAATGTCGCATACGGAGTTATCGTATAAGATACTTAAAAGTTCATTCATAATTCGAAAGAGTCATGTGCGTTTTCGTGTTGACGGAGCAACTTGTCATTTGAATTTTCTTTATTTTATCCATAGTGATTTTTTGCGACTTTATGAAATTAATAATGGTGAGGTACCACTACATACATGATGTAGAATGATAGCACACAAGGCAGAAGATCATGATTTGTTTCACACGTAAGTATAGGTTATGTTTGTTTTTCCCTTCCCCCCAAGTTGGATGTTTACATGTAATTTTTGTGCAACATGCGCTACACATTTTTCTCTTCATACCTCTTGATACTTCTGGACTGTACATATCAATATTTTAAAACAAAGCAAGTCTCTGGAGTAGCAGCAAGATACATGTTTAACTCATTTTTGAGGAATCACAATGTCGTCAATTTGGGTAATTAGATTAGTAGTGGTTTTAAAGTTGATGTTTTTTTAAAGCGAGATGCTCAGAATCCAATGCCTTATTGAAAATCAGCATTTCTCTCCCCATGACTAGAAACAAGATGATTCAAAGTTACATGATTTGCTTACTGTACCAAATAAAACAAATCAACCTGACAATTTATCACTTGATGTACATACATGATGTACTGAACAAGTGGGTCCTTTTGTAAAATTGCCAATCGGACCCTTTTTTTAAATTCGCCACTGAACAGTATTCAAAAATGAGATGTTCTTATTGTCAAATCCAACTGCGACCTTGAATACGGATCCATACTACGCGTTTCGAACATGCGACCTTGCAAATCATATGCTCTCCCAAAATTGCCCGTTTTCAGGCATTGTTCACACTTGCATTCCCCCCTGGCCTATAGACTTGTGCGAAACGACTTATTTTTGATTTTATGAATGAATCACGAGGTCCATATTTTTTAGTAGTCGGTTATGGAAAGTTTGTGACTTTTGTGTATTTTCATTTTCTTACCCTCATTGACAACATAGCAGTTCTTGCACTCCCAACTACCCTTCACAGGCTTGAACTTATCACCCCAGCTGGTCGTTCTGGTTCTAGCTTCAGCCTTGTGATGCTTTCCGCTGATCTTGTTATCCTCATTCAAGGACGTCTGAGCAGTTTGCAACGTTTGTAAGAAATTACTCGCTTGTTCCTCTGTCTTGAATCTGACAGTGAATGTCTCGGGTGCCAGAACGCCTTCGGAGAAGTCTTGAGCACTCCAAACTACCGCTTTCGGGATGGTAGAGTTCATTTTAAAAAGCATGTTCTTGAGAACCGTGTGGTTGCAGCACACCTTATGAACCTGAAAATTTCATATTTTAGTTTCTTACTAATTGTCTACAGCAGTGTTTCTCTAAGTGGGCGATAACGCCTTCTTGTTGGGAACCTACGGAGGATGAGAGATCCTGAGAAATTGAATCGATTTTGGGTCGACACAATGGATAATTCGTGCCTCCTGCTGTTCAGTTGTTACAAGGACATTACCCTTCAGATTTAATGATGCAGCGTACAACGACCCCCCCCCCCCCCCACCCTTTTTTTTCAATCACAGATACCCCACAAAATGGACATCTTGAACAATTTTGATTCTCAAAATGGACACTAGAAATAAGTTTGAGAACCTATTATCTGCAGTTACAATTTTTTGGGGATATAATAAGGATCCGAGATTAGCACAAAAGAGATAACGAAAAATAAAGGTGATACGGCAGCTATGAGTAATTTCACCAATCGCGATACTGCCTACCCCTATGTACGGCAATGAAAACGACGGCCTTCCTACATCTCTGACCGACAGTGTTCGCTTCTAAAAATCCAAACATGGACGTCCATCACCTAGGCGCCCCAGGGAACACTAAGGGCCGTATCGTCAGTCGTTCCTACAACTGCAGGACGCCTTTATGGCCTCCTTGATTTTCATAGTTTTTCATGTCCTTCAGAAAGGCATATAACAAAAAGTAGAAAAATAATGGGCAAAATCCGCAAAAAAAGAGGAAAGTGGATTCGAGCAGAAAATAGGATAGGTAACCCGAGCGATACGTATTTCAGCTGGTTGGCTTCATCAGGCCCGAAATGAATGCACATATGAAACTACGAAAGTAGATACACATGCCCACACATCCGGATACGGGTGTAACCTGAGGAAACGAAGATGGAGAGGGAAAAAAAACGACACACGAAGTCCACAACAAGAGCCAACCTACACATTGTAGTATAAAATGGCTAGAAGACCTCGAATTTTCTTCGTTTCCTCAGGTTACACCCGTATCCGGATGTGTGGGCATGTGTATCTACTTTCGTAGTTTCATATGTTTGTATATTCTTTTCGGGCCTGATGAAGCCAACCAGCAGAAATACGTATCGCTCGGGTTACCTATCCTATTTTCTGCTCGAATCCACTTTCCTCTTTTTTGGGTATATATATATATATATATATATATATATATATATATGTATACAGGGTTATCCAAATTAAGTGTCCACCATTAGTAACTTTGTTATTAGTGAAAATACAAAGTTGTTTGAATTAGCAAACTAGTAGCATTTTTAACGCTGGTAAAAATGAGAAATAAAAAAAAACAATTGAGAGTCGTTATTTTGATTTTTTTCAGTAAAATAACATTTTTTTAAATGGAAACCCCTGTATATTATATTTTTTTCTGTTAAAGCATCAAATTTTAAACAAAAAAGTTCATAATGACTTTTCCGCTAAAGTCAAAATAACGATAAATATTTTTAATTATTTGCAGTATTATAATATTAAGACGGCTATGAAAACAACATGGCGTTCGCGATTTGACAGCATTAAGATAAGCGACAAATTGTTAAACTGGACATACTCGCAACTAGAAGGCTTTGGAAAACAATGATAAAATCAAATAATGTCAAACATTAGTGTAAATACTTGTTTATAAGCTTTATTGTGTCATTAATTTAAAGAAAAATGTTCTCCCATGAAGAAAAGTGTGATATGTTAGAATGCTATTTAGTGTGCAGAAAATCCTCCTTGAGAGCAAGAGAATACTACAGTGAATTATATCCCGCTCGCATTCAACCGTATGAACGATATTTTCTGAGACTTTATCGAAAATTTAGGGGCAACGAAAATGTTTTTGCTAAAACAAGGGCAAAAAAAGAATTCATAATAAGCGAGGCCACGGAAATTGCAGTTATTGGATATTTTGAAGCTTATCGTGAGAATTCAATAGCAGATATTCTCAAGGACTCTAATTTCAGTTATGGTACTGTTCAAAGGATTTTAAAAAAATACAAATTTATTCCGTATAAGTACCGACCAGTTCAAACGCTTTTGGCAGGGGATCCAGAGAGAAGACTTGTTTTTTGCCATTGGTATCTTAGCTTCTGTCGCCAAAATGTAAATAACTTTCGTTACCTTTTATGGACAGATGAATCAAATTTTTCAAATTCTGGAATGTTTAATAGAAAAAAACACCATTATTGGTCAAGAGAAAATCTTTTGTTAGTACATCCAAGAGGCCCACAAGTCCGTTTCAGTTTCAACGTTTGGTGCGGTATAATTGGTTCAAAAATTGTTGGCCCGTTCTTTTATGAGGGAACCCTAACTGGTGAAAGATATGTGGAATTTATGTCAGAAATTCTGACTAATTTCTTAGACGAATTGGATCTTATAAGTAGACATCATCTGCATTTTCAGCAAGATGGCGCACCTGCCCACAACTCCAGAGGTACTTATCACTTTCTAAGTACTACTTTTAATGATCAGTGGATAGGAACAAATGGCCCAATACAGTGGCCTCCCAGATCACCAGATCTAAACCCACTTGATTACTTCTTGTGGGGTTACTTAAAGAACCAAATTTACAAGCGAAGGTACGATAACCTTGACGCGTTTAAGACTGCAGTTAGGGAAAAGATAACCCAGATAGATGGTAGGACCATACTTAAGACAGTTCCAGCAGTTGAAAAACGTGCCCAAAAATGTATTGAAGAACAAGGTGGTGTTTTCGAGCATCTTCTTTAAAAAAAATTGTTATTGTATTTTGTAAGATTATAAGTTGATGTTGAAAATAAAGTTTGTCGATACAATTTAATTGTTTCAGATTGGAGGCCATAACTTCAACAATTTGTAACCTAGGAGAAAAGTTATTGTAAGCTTTTTTGTTTAAAATTTGATGCTTTAACAGAAAAAAATATAATATACAGGGGTTTCCATTTAAAAAAATGTTATTTTACTGAAAAAAATCAAAATAACGACTCTCAATTGTTTTTTTTTATTTCTCATTTTTACCAGCGTTAAAAATGCTACTAGTTTGCTAATTCAAACAACTTTGTATTTTCACTAATAACAAAGTTACTAATGGTGGACACTTAATTTGGATAACCCTGTATTTCAAGATGATGAAACTTGATTTTTATCATCTGTTTTATCAGCCTAAAATTTCTTAAGGTTCAAGAGGAAAATATAACCTCGTAATAGAAGAGAGCTTACACTGTCACGAAACAGTAGACATCTAGAAATACCACAATGTTCTTTCTGAAGTAGAGAACATACTATGAAAATCAAGGCCATAAAGGTGTCCTACAATTCAACAGTTTTTAAGATGGAGAAAACCACTTGTATTATGTCTTACCGAAACACATGCTACAGAAGACATCACTGATGGTGAATTACAAATTACTAATTATAAAACCTAGAGATGCAACTCCAACTCCAGACATACTGGAGGTGTAGTGATTTATGTTTACCACAAAATACAGATCGCATTATTCGATTGTAGCACTTTAGACTATGTATACTGGTATGCACCTATACAGTTCAAATTATTTGGGAAACGTTATGATCTTTGTACTTTTTACCGTTCACCAAACAGTGATGCGGATACATGTTTAACGTTTTATGAAGAAAAATGCGAAGAAATGTGGAATTTTAGAAACAATATAATACTTTTAGGTGATTTTAATTTAAACTATTATGGTAAAAGCATGAAAACATGAAAATTGGAAGAAACCATAAATAAGTATGGGTTCAAGCAAAAAATTGAAGAGAGTACCAGAATAACATCGTTATCAGAGACTTTATTAGATCTTGTTATTGTAAATTTCGAATGTGCAGGGATTAAAGCTGTACATAGACCTAAAGTTAGCGATCACAGTTGGACAATGCTGCCCTTGGTAGGGCATTTTTCTGATACAAAAATTAAGAAAATCGTAAATACTATTAAGTACGAAAAACTTGAACGAAAACTTGCTGGCTGCTATTGGAATTTTGGTGAGAATATGGAAAAAATATCTGACAACATAATAAGAAATATAAAAACTTGTGTAGATCTTGCAACTGATAAAAAAGTGATTTGCTCGACAAAAAATCCACCCTGGTATAACAAGAATATTAAGGCAGCTCAAAATTTGAGAGACAAACAATACAATAAATGTATGGGGTTGTCCAAAACGGACGCAGGAAAGTAAACGCATATTAAAACAAGAAAGATTGATATTCAAATCAAGTTGGGTACTTTATTTTGAAGGTTCATCTATACCATTTATGTATGAAAAATAATATCGCTCAAATGTTCACCACGACTGGATTTACAGACGTCCACGCGATGGTCGAAATTTTCAATGACATTTTGCAACATGGTCGGTTCTATGGCATTTATCTCAGCAATGATGTTGTTTTTGAGTTCTTAGAGGGTGGCTGGTTTGTTGACGTAGACTTTGCTTTTCAAATATCCCCATAAAAAGAAGTCCAAGGGAGTCAAGTCGCACGATCTTGGTGGCCATGGCACATTTCCTCTGAGCGAAATCACGCGATCACCGAAGAAGGACTGCAATCGATGGATATTGACGTTGGTTGTGTGGCATGTTGCACCGTCTTGTTGGAAATAAACATCGTCCATATCCATTCCTTCAAGTTGCGGCAAAAAATAGTCCTCTACCATCACGTGAGATCGCTCAGAATTGACGGTAACGGCGTCCCATTTTCGAAAAAGTAAGGTCCGATGATGCCTTTTGACCACAATGCACACCACACAGTCACTTTTTGAGGATGCATCGGCTGCTCTTGATTCTCACGGGGATTTTCGTTCGACCAGATGCGGCAGTTTTGCTTGTTTACCGTCACATTCAAAGTGAAATGCGCTTCGTCGCTGAACATGATTTTTGATGAAAAATTGGCATCAATTTGGCGGTGTTCAAGGAGCCAATCTGAGAACGTTCGGCGCGAATAATGGTCGGCCCGACGCAGCTCTTGCGTCAATTGGATCTTGTAGGCGTGTACATTCAAAACCTTGTGGAGAATGCGGAGCAAACTGGTTCTCAAAATGCCCAATTCTTGGGATCGACGCGTTGTTGATTATTTTGGATCGTCTCTCACACTCTCCTTCACAACAGCAATATTTTCCGTGCGAACGCTCCTTGGTCGGCCAGAGCCTGGCAGATTTGCCACAGAACCTGTTGCCTCGAATTTACGCACCAGACGACCGATGGTTGTTTCGTTTGGGCGGTTGTTGCGACTTAAATGTTCACGAAGCGCGCGAAACGTGTTTTTTATTTTTGCACCATTTTTGTAGTGCTCTTGAATAACTTTAATGCGGTCTTCAATCGAATACGACTCCATAGCGATCAATGGTAAACATTCAACTAACAGAATGACATGTCGGTGACAGAAAACAAAGATGGCGTCTATGTCAAATTGACGTTTACTTTCCTGCGTCCCTATTGGACAACCCTATATATTCACAAAATCAAATGATGATTGGGAGGTATATAAAACTCTTAGAAATAAATGTGTATATGTAATTAGAGAAGAAAAAAGGAAATTCTACGATAAACGAATCGATACTAACAAGTGCGACAGTGTAAAGATGTGGAAGACTTTAAAAAGACTGATCAATTCGAAGCCGCATGATTGTGTAAATCAAGTTCAATTCGAAAACGGTACCGAAACAAATTCTTTGGTGATTGCAAACAAACTAAATGAATATTTTGTGGAAAGAATTGTTGATATTGTGGGTACTGCCAATGCTGCACCTGACTATATGAAAATCAGTTTCCAGGGGGAAATGTTGCATACACTTTCAAAATTTCACAGCGTATCATTGAATTATCTAAGAAAAAAGTAAACAGTTTAAAATCAAATAATAACTGCCGAAATCACTACTAAAAACGTGCTGAAAAACTGTTTCGAAATTTTGGGATATCCTGTATTAAATTGGATCAATTGTTCACTGAGAAGCAGTTCTTTTCCTGAAAATTTGAAATGCCCTACAATAACACCAGTTCCCAAAATAAAAAATTCTAAAAGATGCAGCGATATGAGACCAGTAAATGTGTTACCAGGCATTGAAAAATTATTAGAGTCCATAGTGCATGACCAATTAATGCAGTTTATAGAAGAAAACAAAATTTTAGGGGAAGCGCAAGCAGGCTTTCGAAAAAAATATTCCACAGAAACGGCTTTCCAGTTGGTAACTGAGAATTGGAGAAGAGCCATAGACTCAGAAGAAGTTGTCATAGCAGTATTTTTGGATTTGAAGAGGGCTTTTGAAACGATTGATAGAGATATTTTGTTAGGTAAATTGAAGGCACATGGTATAACAGGAAGTGTTTTAGATTGGCAGTATCCTGGGACCACTTCTTTTTATTTTATACATAAATGATTTACCTGCCATAAGTCGAAAAATGCAAAATTCAGATTTTCGCCGATGACACTATGATTTATATAAGTACTAAAAATATTCAGTCTGGTATCTCTTATATAAATGAAGACTTGAAACTTGTCTCAAAATGGTTAGCATCTAACAGACTAAAATTAAATGCAAGTAAAACGAAAGCCTTGTTAATCGGAAAAAAACAATATACAAATGTTCAACTGAATATTGATGGTGAAGATATTGAATTGGTAGAACATTTTAAATACCTGGGGGTTTTTGTTGACTCTCGATTAATTTTTGATATTCATTATGAAAAAGTTATAAATAAGATTAGTAGTAAAGTGGGATATTTATCGAGAGTTTCTGGATGTGTGAGTTCATATAGCAGAAAAATTATCTATAATACCATCATTCTTCCAAATTTCTTGTACTGTTCGACTATTCTATATTTATCAAATAATTCCATTTTTGAAAGACTGCAAATTTTTCAAAATAAGTGCATGAGAATAATACTAAATAAAGATAAATATACTCCAATTAGGCAAATGCTTAGCAAATTAAAATGGCTCAATGTAAAAAAATGTATCAAATATCTTGTAATGATATTCATTTATAAAGTAAAAATAATAAACTTCCATCAAGTCTAACTAATTTAACATCATCAAATGTCGACCATCATTTACATAATACCAGAAATAAAGATGACTTCCATTTAATGACCAAAAAGTATAACATATGCTACAAATCTGTATTCCATCAAGGGTTGATTGAATATAATAAATTATACTCAGAGATAAAAGACCGGAAAACATTGACAAAATTTAAAGTAAAATTGAGAAATCACTTGTTAAATCTACAATTATAGGTTGCCCAGCATTTACATCATACACCGTATGGCTTGAATTTACTAGTTCTAAGTTGTTCACAATTATTCTGTTTATGTAGGCAAATGTGCTAAATAAATCTTTCTACTACTACTACTACAATTGTAGGAACGGCACTAAGTACTCTACCAGCATTGACGTACTATGCCAAAGTTGCATGAACTAAACACAGACTGAACAGGATATGCGTTCTGTCTCTGTGGCCATAACCACCCGAAACCCACGTTTTATGCTTCTTAGCAATAGTCAGTACAATAATAAAATGACGATGTTTGCATTAGGAGTCAAAACAATAAATGTGAGTACCGGTCTATAAAAGCACTGAAAAAATCATCAATTTTTAACCAGACTTACCTGATCTCGCCTCATCAACAGCCTTATAGAAGTATCATCTTTTAGCACCTTGATGGTACCAATTCCACGTTCTTTCCATTCGTGTTGTTCTCCTGAAGTATCATATCTGAATAGCTTTGCCCTAGCTTCGAAGAGAACTTGACAGTTCTCTTCGCCAGTCACCACTTCTACTAATTCTGGTAAGGCAACTACAGGCTTAAACTCGGCAGTAGGTACGAATTCTTCTGCGTGACCTAGCACAATTATATCATCAACAAATTGTAACTGCTTTCAAAATTGAAATACGATCCTCAAAATCAAGACACTGAAGAGAGTTGTGGGCATATTATTACACAAGTTCTTTCATTTTCAAATTCCCAACGAATTTGCTACAAACTGCACCATGTAGTACCATGATACTTGAACACGGTCTATTTGCCCACCCCCAGTGTTAATTTTGTCTATTTCACCAAATATTTAGTAAGGTTTATTCATTTCTTAGCTTTCATGGTCATTAGCATATTGTGTGATGTAACCGTTTGCTGCCTACAATCCTCTTCAGTATTTTTGCCAAGGTATTTGAAAATGTTTTATATAACCACTTGAATCATCAATCAAATATCACAACATCAGCACTGCTTTAGTAGTAATAGATCCATTGTTACGAATTTGGTTATTCTCACACAATATTTATCGGAAGCCTTATATAAAAATAATCAAGTAGATGTCCAATATCAAATTCTTCAGGTTTTACATACTCGAAAGGAAACAGTTTGTCTCATACAATGACTTCAAATCCGAACTTACTTAACTCCATCTGGTGTGCCCCAGGGATCTAACTTAGGCCCACTAATATTTTTGCTATTTATTAATGACCTCTGCGAGATTAACAGCATACATGATTGTTTAACTTACAGATGAAGTTAAGTTGTGTTAGAGATTTGGTGTGAACGCAAATGACTACTCATTTATACAACTACAACATTGATCGATTGGTTCTGAAAAGGTGTAACAGTGTTAAAGATTTAGGAGTCATTTATGATGAAAAACTAACTTTCAATGTTCATATTTCCATAACAGTATCAGAAGCCTTGAAGTCCTATGGATTTTTTGTTAGAAATTGTAGGCAATTCCATAACATAACATCTTTGAAAATGTATATCTGTACCCCAGAGCCAGACTAAGTTAAGTCCAAATAATATGATATAATTGTATTTGAAATATTTTTCTTGCATTGTATTGAATACAAATTGATATGAGTTAAATAGTCGTAACTTTCTTATTATTACAGATAGATGGAAGCTGCATGTAACAAATGAAAATTCACAATATTATCATAAGCCCAACATATTAAACTCATTTTTGACAAAAATGGACTTAACCTAGTCTGGCTCTGGGGTAGAGATATATACTCTACTTAGGTGCGCACTAAACTTTAGTACGCAAGTATTCTGTAGAGCCGATATTATAAATGCTACATGGAGGATATTGGAAGTGTTCCAAGACAATTTTTAAAGTTTTTGTATTTTAAATCTGAAGGGATTTAGCCACAATTAAATGACTTTATTGATTGTTCTGAAATGTTATCTCAAATAAATTTCAATCTATCTGCGTTTACGTCGCGTAACAATATGGCATTCAAACCTGCACGAGCCAGAACCAATCTTTTAGTTAAATCTCGTATCCACGTTATGTGTAGACACCTGAACACCATTTGCTGTTCTAATCACGAATTAGTTAAGATGGCTGATATGAATGTGAGCTAAACCTATCATTTATTTACCACTGTGCTCGATTTGTTCATTCTTTTGTTAATATTTCTTAATTGTCCTATAAATGGGGTAATCATTGGACAATAAAGGTATTATTATTACTATTCTGGGATGACCACCAGTTGATAGTAAAATGTATTTGGCTATTGTACCACGATAATTACTGGTTGTATTTGATTTAGGCTTTTTATTAGCAATGAAATGATAGCCAAATAGCACAGATGATAGGAACAGCAAATAAAGTCACACGCACCTTGAAATATTCAACTAGCAATGAGATACTTTGTAAAAAGCATAACAAAGGTTGTTTAGCTGAATTCCATCACATAGTGAAACGTTGTAGCTTCTCACTCACTTGCAGATAACAATGCTACCATTTATCATGGTGTAACATAAGTGAACCCTATTTCACGAGTATCCATCACGAAAGGATGACAGCTGATTATCTAGTAACATCTCAAAATTCTCCATATCGGCACAGGACGCATAATTCTGACGGATCCTTCAACGTAAAGTAGTCAGAGCCGTATTTTGTTTTTGTTTTTTGTACGCTACAGATTCATTTTGTACTTGCTAATAGATCTTTCATTTAGAAAAGTGAATTTGCATACAAAAAACAAATCGCTAGAAACAAATTTTACTAGATTTACACCCGATTCATTATTGCCAACGTCGCAGACTAACACAAAAATATCACTTGCTGATCAGCTGTTCACCTCAGTAAACGTCAAAGCGTGATGGATACCCGTAAAATAGGATATATAGTGCAAAAATAATAATCTATATTTTAGTCATACATTGGTATATCTTCGGTGTGCGATATGTTCCTAGAAAGAGCATAGCCACCAAAATAACGATACACAAAGAGTATATTACAATGAGCATTACAGTGTTTGAATTTAAAAATCGTCATGGTAAAATTAAAAAATCACCAAAATGCTTAGCGGTGTAATTCTAATAAACCAAAATTTAACATTAAAGTTGATTCAAAAATGTGTAAAAGGATGATTATACAAAACTGATATTGTATCATTAATGCTAAATAAATCTTCAACAAACAAACAAGAACTGGTGTTACTGTTCTGAATGCCATCTCATTTGTGTGATATGTCAAATCAGGGAATAGGGTGTACAGTTACAGGTCCAATGCCTTCAATCAGCAGCACCAAGAGAGTGTTGCCATTTATATTATCTATGATGACCGACTGTGTAATAGTGGTGATAACATTTTGTATGACACTTGAAGGGTTATGTTACCATTCACTAGCGCTAATTTCTAATTAGCTAGGATCAATACAGGACCTTCACGAATAGCTGTATGCAAAACAAACCATAAAAACGTTCGCATTGCTAAGAAGTGCGAAGGGGTACGTCAACTAATGATCAGCTGTTATTTGTTACCAAGTTTTGACGTTTTGAATTATAAAATAAATAATGTACAGCACGTAAAAGTGAAATTTAGTCGTTTTTTTGACATTATGTAGGCTTTTTGTGACATAGCGTAGGATTTTCTACAAGATGTTAACTTAGCACAAGCTGTTGTATACCTGCTGTGAACTCGTTTTGTAGCTGTACATGTTGCTTAACGTCAGCGAACAGTGATCATAGCGACCAAACGTGAAATGAACTATTCGCACACTAAAAACTACCTAGTCTGCAAGACGACATTTCTTTTTTTTTTTCGTTTTTTAGGTTTTTTACATAATGTTGCTATTATGTGCCAATAGTTACAACATAAAATATATATTTTCTGTAAAATATTTGTACTTACTATCATCATCATTTTCCTGCTTATCTTTTCCTTTCTCCTGGGATATAATCAAAGGGGAGAAGGTCTGCGCTTCAGTTGCCAGAGTCGTAAAAGTGCTAGCAACAGGGGTTCCAGCGATCTTTCCAAACGTAAATGAAGTGAATGGGGTTGCTTTGTTAGGTGTCGTCTCTTGTGTCTGAACAGGTGTAACAGTCTCTGTAACCTTTGGTTTAAAAGTAGGTGTACTGCTAAAGACAAAACCACCCAAAGTGCTAGCAGGTGCTGAGACAGCGGGCTTCTGAGCAGCAGTTTCTGCAGACTTTTGGACTGCTGGTTTCTGAACAGGAGTAGTTTCAATTGCTCTCTTCGTTTCGGGTGTTGACGTTGTTGGACCCTGAAGACCACATGAGGAAATTGACACTATTTTCTTATGAAATACAAAATACATGACTTGCAGTATCTAGAGTAACCCTTGTTTTAGAGCAGCCTTTCTCGACTTTTTTTAGCCACGGACCCGTAGGAAATCAAGCACAATCTTCAAAGAACCCCTATGGGGCATACTATTGTATCCTGGGAGCTGAATTGCTATCAAAGACATTTATTCTATGATAAAAGAACTATATATATATATATATATATATATTCTTCTTTAATGTAGCAAACAAGATCACCCTTATGATAAAATGGTTACTACATTGAACAAGAATTTCAAATATATGTATGTGTAAGTGTAAGTGTTTCATTGGCCAGACAAATAGGAGATATATAGATAATATTTGAAGCAACTTGAATGAGATGAAATGCTGTACTGATAACCAATGGCAACGTTACCTTTGCAGATTCTTTCACTTGCTCTGCTGTCTTGCTAATGATAGAAACTGACGGTTTATCAAGTAACTTCTTAGCAGCTTCAAACGCATTGTAGAACTTTTTAGCTTCCTCTGGCAACTTGAATCTTACACAAAACTTTTCCAAAACCATAGTTTCATCAGCATAATCATGAGCCGCCCAAATGTAAACCCGATCGTTGTTAGGCATCGGTTGTAGTTGCATGTCTTTGGTGATGAAGTGGTTGGCGCAAATTTTATGGACCTGCAGACGATAACATGTTAAGACATTCAGTTTTACATAAACACTGAGTCAACTGATATTTTTAATATGTACACGTGAAATCATGCGTGTTGTTGGAGTATTAGAAACTCGATATGAAAAAATCACGAGAAGTCGATGCGCGACCGAGACCATACTAAACTTGTCCAACTACTTATATACATAGATAACTACGCTTTATTATCTGAAAAATAAAATCATGCTTAATGACAAAACTAACTTAAAATTAAACAATTACACATCACATGGTATAATATGGTTTACAAGTTGTCAAATTCACGGCAAAATATCCTTAAATTGTTGATTCTTTTGATATCATCAGGGAAGTACATGTAAATTTTCAGATCATTATGAGGTATTGGGTCTTTCACAAGTGCTGATTTAGGTACCACTTATTTAAGATCTGGTTTTCGTCTAACACCGTAACTTTGGATTTATTTTTAAAAATAAGAGTTGTTTCTAAAATAAAAAATACAAGGCATTATTTTAAGATTTGAAAGTAAAAGCCTACATGTGGGTCTAGGATTGCTTTTAGTTATATATTTGATAGTTTGTTTTTGTAGAATAAGCACTTTTTCAAACAATTTTGAAAACAGACACATCAAAATATCACAATCTACTTTCAAGGCAAAGTAACTTGGCAGTTTTTTTTAAGAAATGATGCGAATCACATCATTTTATTGCTATGGGAAAAGCACAAGTATAAGTTAGTAAGTAATGTATCAGGATATTCTACTTTTGTGGCATATCGATTTATTCGCAGATTGTAATTCTGTACCTCACAGCCAGACTAGGTTAAGTCCAAATAAGTAGTTTTTAGAAAATTGTGTTTGAAATATTTTCTTGCATTGTATTGTATGCGACTTGACATGAGTTAAAAAGTCGTAATTTCCTTATTATTACAGATAGATGGATGCAGCATCCAGCAAATGAAAATTAACAAGATTATCATAAGCTTAATATATTAAACTCATTTTTGACAAAAATGGACTTAACCTAGTCTGGCTCTGAGGTACAGAATTAGTATGGATTATTAGTTGATATGGACCACTAGTGACAGACAAGTTTGTCTTGGTCGCGCGTCGCAGTCTTCTGTAGCTATCGAGGTGCGGAACGCCACCTTTATGGAGTAATCAACGCACATATACGACCCAGTACGAAGTTTGTCCGGAAAATACGTATAAAAGTGGAAGAATAACGTGCATCATTTTGAAGAAGTCGCAAGGGGCTAAGTCGGGTTGTCGTGATGAAGGATCCACCTGCCCCCTTGTGCCAAATCCAGTTGAACTCGGCGCACAAGACGACACAAAACTTCAATGAAGAAATTTCTTCCGTTCACTGTCTGACTGGGAGGGACAAATTCCTGGTTAACAATGCCCCGAGAATCAGGAAAACAATCAACATTGTTTTCACATTAGAAACTGATTATTTCGACTTTTTTTTGTTCTCGGTTCCCCTGCTTGCTTCCACTCCATGCTTTGAGATTTCAGCGCCATATCGAATTCGTAGAACCAAGACTCGTGTCCACCGATGACCAGGTTGAGAAAGTCCCTCCTTTCCTCTGCTTCCAACCAATACTCACAGCAATCAACTCATTGCTTTCTGTTCTGGAGTCAAGAGCTTCGGAACAATTTTCGCGCACAATTTTTTCTGTCAGAATTTCGTGGACGATTGTTTTGGGGATTGTCAGTTCCTCAGCTCTTTAAGACAGCCCCGAATTCGTTCAATATTTCCGTCACATCTAGGCCTTCCCGAAACCTTTTCAACCACTTGTTGGCGGTTGGTTTCTTCAGAGAATTGCCTGCGTGTAAACTTGTTCCAAACACTAAAAAATCTCACGACCATTCTTGCCTAGCTTTGCAAGAAGCTTGATGTTGGTGCGCTGTCCCTCGATCAGAGAGAACTCCATGCCGATGGCAGGTAAAAAAGGGTTACTTTCAACAAGCACACATAAATCCTACTTACTCGCAGAGCGCTCCGGCTCCAACTGAGCATAGAGGGAATTGCATAGAGAGGGAACCACCGGGCCACTCCACAACAAATTGACACGACGCCCCAAATGTTTTATACGTATTTTCCGGACAAACCTCGTATAATGACAAACTTTGGAATACCTCAGTTTGCTGTCTTACAAATACATACCTGTTCACGTCTCATCAGAATTCTGATCTTGCCGGTCGCATCGTTCCTCAATATTTTCAATAAACCAACCCCTCTTTCTTTCCATTCGGCATTATCATTAACCACCACATGCCTAAGCAACTTCGCCCTTTCACAGAACATTTCCGTTTCATTTTCTTCACCAGTGTTGACTGGTACCTATAATGAACATTCCAGTAAAAAAAATGGGATCAAGATTAAATCTGCAATCGCTACCCAGTGCTGTTATCAGTTTATAAAGGATTAAGTTTAGCACAAGTTGGTCCTTCTTAGAAAAAGGTCAGCTATGAATATGTATAATAAAGAAATTAAATGAGCAAAGTTAGTCAAAGAGGCTCGAAGAATTAAAATTTGCATATATAGCATACTTTTCTGTACAATTTTGGGGCTCAAAGATTCGTCCTGGTGAGGAAATATGCTACCCCCCTCGTTCTTCAAAAAGTTTTGGAGGCAGAAATGTTTTCAAACAGGTATCTCTTACCGATGGATGGCCCTACCCGTACTCCTGAGAAAAATTCCTGCGGGCGCACGTGATCCGAACTATTAGTACATCTGGTGTGGATGACGAAAGTGTACAGGGAAATCTATGTTGACTGAAATATGTCTAATAAGTGCGTAGAATTACCGCAGCTGGAAACGTATAAGAAACGACAAAAAAATGAAATATACCCTCGCCCCTCAACCCCAAAATTTTTAACTTCTAAAAATTTTTCAGATTCAGCATTATCAGAATCCTCTGCAACGTCAAGAAACGAAGTTTGAGCGATTGTTGTTTTTACGCGTTTTTCTGTCATTGGACCGATTAAAAAACTATGATGCTTTTTCTCGTTGGCATAATAGTAACCTTGTGTAAAAATTTCATCAAAATCCGACAAGTACTTTCCAAGTTACATCAGGGTAAAGAATTAGCAAACAGACCGACGGACAGAAACGAACGACATGGTTTTTGTGATGTACATGCCATATTACAGTAAAAAAATATATACCTCACTTTTGATTTTTTTTGCAGTTACAATAGTTCCTCGTCCAGTCGCGAATGAAGTAAAAATGCCGTCAAGGAGATTTATTTCTTAGTAAAAGTTTTTCTCTGATACTAAAGATGAAACGTTTACAAACCCTGCCTCTTGGAACCCCCCAATGTTCTACCTCTCAAAAAAATTCCAAAAATAACGAGCTTCTAAAAAAATCAGTTTTTATTTTTTTCACGGAAATGAGTGATATCGTTTTTCGTGTTCCTCACTAATCGGCGTTGGAAGTAATGCTGACTGCTCACCCGCAAATCAAACAGAGAAAAATAATACCTAGCCTCCAAACAGATTGAAATTACTTATTTAGTTTTTACTTTGAAAGCTGACTTGACTGAGAGTGTGCTTGGTAATAATTTAAGGAAAACTATCTAGGCGTTTTATCTTAAACATGTCTTGTTTTTTACGAAAAACTAATCGATATTCAAGAATATTTCATAATTACCTCATCAGGAAGAGGAACGATAGGCTTGAAATCTGGACATGGGTCGTGCTCCTCATCCGAGGTAGCAGAGGTGTTACTTTTCAAGCTTGTATTCGACTTCTCCTTGTTAAACGACTCGTTGAGAGACTTTTCTATTCGCAGTCCAAGACTAACGTCCTTGGAGGGTGTCTTATTTGGTGAGACTGCAGAAAATATTGGCGGGGCCACATTGAATAACAGGCTTTGTGTTGTTACCACCGGTGGAGGTTTACTGTAAAAGTAAAAAAAGTATGCCTAGTATGAATGAACTGCAACATCACAATAATCATTCTAAATTATACAAATATTGACAACATAATCGTTTGACCGATCGTCTGGAGTAAGATGGCATTTGCGGTATTTTTTTGGTTAGCTCGCGGAATACCATCTGCCGCGATATTTCAACACATTTTGACACCCAAGTGCCTGTTTATTTTGTACTGATGACATTTTCACCGAATAAGTATTCATGAAAAACAAGTACATTTCAAGAAAAATACAAAAGAATCCCAACTAACTAAGAAGAATAAAGTTTTAATTTCAGGTCACCTCAAATGTCAAAATCCATTAAACTATTTAGGCTGTAACCCGTGAAATATAAACTAACCTGAGAATGGACGGCGCCATAGAAGTAATTCCAGTTATAGGCATGGGAATCTGATAACTATGAGGTTGTGACATCGACTGCGACGCCACCACACTTCCCTTAATGTGATGCGGTGGTATGGTTACCGACAGCACTGGTTGAGAAGTGGTTAACGTCTTGCTTGATGGCAGAGGATCAGAGGTGGTTATAACTACGTTCACTGGATACTCTTTCGAAGTAGCTTGTGGGGTTGTTTTGGCGGGCATCGGCGTTGAAGGTGCCTGCTGGATAAGCAAAAGTTTAGCTATCAAATAAGAAAAAATACCGGGTAATTCCCCAAGGTAGCTCACTCCTATAACTTTTTTATTATTGAAGATGGAAAAACGAAATTTGGGGGTTGCGGTTTCGAATGGACACCCTATATATTTTTACTTATTCGATCGAGAATGACATTCTAAACTCAACAACGCCTCAATTATCAATATTTGACAAATACAGTCATTTTTGTTTCAATTTTCATTTTTCGATCTAGAATGCCATGGATCCTGTAAATCGCTTAATTTATGCTCCAGTTCTTCGCGAGTAGATGACGTACTTTTAGACGCCCGACTTTTAATTGTCCCATAAAGAAAAAATCTAGCGGAGTAAGATCTGGTAATCTAAAATATGAAATATTAATTAGATGTTCTAAAAAAATATGACAACTTAAGGATGTACCTCGAATGCCATCAAATAGGTCCATTAGTGCCAATCCACTTTTCTGGTTAGGTGTGATTCAGATGTTGTCTTAACGCATGAGAATTGTGACGTGGAGCCCCATCTTGTTGGGATTAGATATCTACTTGGTTAACCAGAAGTCTAATCATATTATCAAATTTCCCAGAAATAATTGTAAAGTCTGGTTTTATTGATGCAGTTGTTCTAAATAACCACAACAAAATTGGCGTGGATTGGTCGAGTAGTTTTTGAGAATTTCTAATTGTTTATCCCAAAACATCTTTCTTCCGACCATCACTACTAGTTTACTGAGCAATATACAGGGTTCGTTCAAAGGGCATTTTATAGCCAAATACACGAATTTACCTTGCCGACATGAATCACAAGGCATTCCGAAAGATAATTGTTATTTTTATGCGAAAAACGAAGGGTTGCGTTTTTTTTTCAAGATTTCTTGATACTCTTGTGTATACATATTTAGAGCTGAAATTTTTACACGGTCACAGATGAGCCTTAAAGTTTATTAAACAGAATATTTCATACTAAAATGTTTATAAAGTTAGCACGCAAACTGAAGACACAATTATGTTTCAAACTGTCTTAAACTAGTTAGTATGTAGCATGTTCTAAATGGCTGCATGACTTTGTCAAATAAGTAGGTCACGTAATCCAGTTTCTTTACGAAGAAATGTAATTCCCTGGACCTTTTTTCTAAAATTATTAATATAGTAAGCGTCTGTTTTCGAAATTTCGTACAATTAAAACGACTGCGAGTTCAAAATGTTGGAAAATAAATTTGAGAATACAAAAAAACAGTAGACAAATATCTACCAATTGTAGCGAACTGACCATCTGAAAAATTAAGCAAAATGCTCGGATTTAGTCCCTAATACATTATTTAAAGTTTCAGCATTGAATCTTTCTTTGTAGTTTTCAAGAGTATTCTAATTATTTATAACTGATTTGATATGCCTCCAGCATTCGCTTGACCTTTGTCAGTGTCAAATATAGTGGTATAAAGATCCAGTAGCGTAATGAGAAGGATTAACGATTTTCAATTATTTTTTTTTTATTTTGAAAATTCAGTTCTTGCATTAGACATAAGTTTGTTTGTGACCAGTACCTTTTATTATTCCAATTGAACATACCCAAGTTGGTAAACCGACTTTCGTCTGAATAGATAGTTTTAAACGGAAAACGTACATCTGTGTATTTAGTCAAAAGCCAGTTGCAATAAGTAAACCTTCGGTTGTGGTCGTCAACGTAAATATGTTGGTGTAATTGGTCCTTGAATGATCGATAATTATATTCTCCAAACAGACCAATAACTTATGTCACATTCTAAAACAACACGTCTATTTCTTTTTCTCCACTGGCGACAAAGTTATTGGCATTTTCTTCTGGTTCATCTCGCATTTTCTGTTACAGTTTTGGAAAATAATGCCGACGATTGGGGAATCTCTGGGAATAAATTCGAGCTGCCTAAGTTGCATATTTTCTTGCTTCCCCGTAAATCAACAGCATGTCAATTTTCTCGCTTCTATTGTAGTTTTCCATTATAAATTAACTACGTAACATCTGAATTTTTAAAATTGACAGTATTTTTAATAACACAGATCAGGTATTTGTTGAAGTAACGCTAGCAAAAAATGTAAATTCATCTATAATATGCAACTCTTAATCATTGAAAAGTTATAGGGGTGAGTCACCTTGAACAATCAACCGGTATACAAACATATCGTTGTCCAAAAGCTTAAACCTATGCCAGAAAATGGGTAAATTTCTTTTTACATTTTTTTCGCTATATTATTGCTTCCTAATGATAAGTCCTGCCATTTTGACAAACGCGTTTGTTACTTAGGGCATATCTTGGTCGTCGAATGTTGTATCGTGTACAAAATTTCCGAATGGCAGCTGCGTATGAATTACCACTCTTAAAGTAAGTCTCGATAGCAAAAGCACGTTGCGCTCCGGTCCATTCTGACTTTTTAACCCGCACGCCGAATGCGTCGATCCAGACCTCTCCCCACTTCCTCGCGTATACGTTTTTCGGGTAATTCAAATATGAAATGTGATCTTTCCCACTGGTATTAATTACTATTTTCGAGTTTTTTGTCAAACGCGGTTATTAAAATGGCGGTAAGAGTTCCAGCCCTATCATGACGCCAATATGAACTTATCATTAGGAAGCAAAGAATCTAAAAAATTACTGTCGCCCAAATTGTAGGATTTCCTTTTACAAAATCTCTCTATTTATTGGACTAACAAAAAAAATTAATAAAAAGTCCCAATTACGTTTTTATCATAAGTACATAAAATGAAATTTCTGATAAATGAGCGCCTTAATGTTTTGGTATAAACATTTGTAACTGCTATATATATAATGAAAAGCACTGTATAAGAAACGCTCACATTTCGATGATGTGTCAAGTCCCTGAAGGCATGCCTATATCACAACATACCAATATTCAACTGAAGTATACCTGCGTAAGACTTTGTCCTGTAAGAAGACCAACTCCTAAACTAGTGGAGGGAAGAGATTGTTGTGACAAGGCAGATTGTGCCATCATTGCTTGAGCATAGCTTACTGGAACTGCCGGTACAGCTGGCGCTCCTGGTATCCCAGGTACTTGAGACTCGGATCCAAATGGCAATGTTCCCGGCAGTGTTCCTAAATTCAAAATTCATCATGTTTTTTTTATAGCAACATATCCTTAGATGTTTTTAAGACAGAAATACTCTCGGCTTGTAATTGACGTATAGCTAGTTCTATAATGTCAGTCAAGCATTCCTATTTCTGATTTTAATAATTATAATAAACTATTATGACATGGAATGACATACAAATTCTAAATGTTTAAAAAAGCAGTCTCCCTGTAGTTAATCATAACTCATCAAGTGAAAAGTGAATTATTTATGTCATCTTGTAGAGAAAAAAAAATGGAAATGTTAATGTGAAATTTAATTTGGAATCCCACCCCAAATAAAATATACAGGGTGACGGGAAAATAGATGCGGAGCCGGTGGGGGGAGATAGTATAAGCTAATCTGAGTAGATTTTACTATCGGAACTACTGTCCGAAAATTAGCCGTTTTCGAATTATACTAATTTTTAAGATTTCATAAAATTAACGTCCTTCATACGTTAACCAAGTCATAAAACTTGAAAATTGGGTGTTTCATTTGTATTTTTTTTTGTTTTACAATAAAAATATTCTAAAATATGAAAATTGATATTCAAATGTACATTATTGACGTTATTATGCCTTAAGCTTCAAAACAGTTCGATTTTTGTTAAAAAAATCTTCGTTCATCTCAAGCTCAAGCTTCAGTTTACTAGAAAAAGTCGCATACAAATTTTTCGTACAAAATAATCAGAAAACATCTACGTCGCATTACCTTTCAAATGAGGTATAAAAATCACAAATCGATTAAGAATTGGCAAAAATATGACTATTATAAGAGAAGGAAGGAAAAAACAATAAAAATACTACACTTACAAAATCATACCTTAATACAGGATAATTTGTTTGAAACTACATTTTTTTTATTTTTATAATACATTTTCAATATGGCGCCCTCTATTTCTAATGCACACACGTGCTCTTCTTATGACAGCTGATTTTACTACCGCCGAATTCCTAAGAGAGGCTTGAATTTCTTGTGCTGCATGTATTATCCTGTTTCGGAGGTCTTCTATTGTGGGTACAGGGTTTTTGATCAGAGTATACTAAAGTTTTCATGCAACCCCACACAAAAAAGTCCATAGGTGTGAGATCGGGACTGCGTGCTGGCCATGGGTTTGGTCGATTCGGAAACAGTTTCCGAATCGATGGATCGGTAGAGGCGGACCAATCCCATGGCCAGACTCTTAAAAATTAGTATAATTAGAAAACGGCTAATTTTCGGACAGTAGTTCCTATGGTAAAATCGACTCGGATTGGCTTGAACTATCTCCCCCCACCGGCTCCGCATCTATTTTCCCGTCACCCTGTATATATAAATAAAAACTATTTTGAGAAAATTAAGCTTTTCCATCTATCTTCGGAAATATAGTGAATTGCTGAATGCTCCACTTTGCCTCCATTTAGCGGACACGAAGTCGTATTATTAACTGTTTCTGAGATTGAAATTTGTCACACCCTGTATATTGTGTGTTTATTATACAGTTAAGTACCCTGGGTCCACATTGAAGACGAGTTAGTGCTGGGAGGCATAACCATAGTGGCAAAGGCACCAATCTTAGATCAGCCTAATATATAATATCACTTTACAAATTCTCACTATAGTTAACTGGTGGTCAAATTCTATATGTTTTATGTCCGATACTTTCTACACTGCTGATGAAACTCATTAAGGACAAAACATGTATATTCTTCAAATAACTCTAAGTTGAGGGGGAATTACTCCCCTGACATACTACATACGGTTCTTCATGTCAAACTGCACTAATTCCAGCACATTTCCAAAATAGAAAATTTATGTCAAATTAAATATGTTATCTGAAAATGCAATGTTTTAGAAGATTCAGCAGCAGTAGAAGTCACGCTAGTAGAATATAGCGCAGTTTCTTCACTGGTGTGGTTGGAGTGACAAGAATATTCAATTATCAAAATTTTGAAATGGATACCTTTTTCTGCTCGGGATATATAATTTCATGATTTTAAAGTTATAACTTCAACACCCTGTATCTTGATCAGGGGGCATTTCAAGACTCATGTTTATAACTTTTTGTCTTAAAAAACACACAAGGAATCGTCCAGTGAAATAATGAACGCTTGGTACAGACCCCGTATATGAAAAAATAATATTTTCCCTTGAAAAGCAAGTTTTAAAACGTAAATTTGATAGGGGAGATTTTAGTATCCTCTGATCGAATAGAGTCAGACTTACCAGGCTGGGGTAGTTGCGGCATTTGCGGCAAACCAAGCCCACCATACCCATATGGCAGTCCAGGATACAAGCCAGGATAAAATCCTGGAGCTCCATAGCCTGCAGCCAAATTCCCTGGATTTGGAAGTCTAGCAGCTGGGTAGTTTGGATACACATTTGGCAAGGTAGGTGCTGTATATCCTGAATTGAGATTTGAGTTGATGTTGTAGTCCAGGCCATAGTCTGAATCCAGCACATACAGGTCTTCTTCACTGAGTTGGCTGGGTTTAGGATGATCTTTTTTAAGCTCATTGATTTCTTTCTTAATTTCCTGAAAACCATGCATGTGTGTTTGTAGAATAAATTTACGTCAGGTTACACATCCAACACTTAATTCTGAAAATTATATTTTGTATAAGAAGACTTACCTGCACCATGTCATCCACATTTTGCAAGTGATCAACAGAGTGTTTAAGTTCATCAACAGACTTCTTGATTTCCTCAAATCCTCTTTTCATATGCTTCAAATCCTCAACCATTGCAGTCAAATTGTTAACTGCACCTTTGAAGCTTCTCAGTTCCTCCAAAAGGTTCCTGTGGGAACTAGTCAGAATCTTGTTCTGTTCCAGTATACTTGATGACATAAGTTGACGAATTTGGGCATCTAGTCTGTAATATCAAGGATTTATTATTCTATTTTAGAAGTGTTCTGCATATACTAATAGTAGAAAAAACTAGCTTTTAACTGTCAGGTCCCCATGATTGTCTGGCCCAACGATTATGAAGTCCTATCAGCAGAAACACCACATAATAAGTTTCAGGTGTTACATTATACAGGTGTCATCATACATTTACCTCTCAGGACTTGGTCTTGCTTCTTGCCTTGGAATATGCAGCTTCATAGGAGTAGATGTGATATTCATTTGATCATGTTTTGAACTATACTGTGTACTATTTTGGAAACTTGGCTGATTTGTATACCCTGCAGCTGATAGGTAATGCTCACCCACACTGTTATCAGAATCATTATCATCTGAAGTTCCATCATAATCATGGGAATTGTCAGGATCAATTCTTGATAACAGTCTCTCTATCTTCTCGATTTCTGTACCTGAGGATCAAAAAATGGTATTAACTAACTTTACCAAAATACTAATTCAATACTTTGCGTTTGTAACTAGATTGAAGAGAAAATATATATATTAAGGCTCAAATGAGAATACAAACCTAGTTGAGCATTTAAAGGATGTGACCGATCCACAGAAGGATCTCTCAATCTGTCTAATGTCAAGTAGAGACAATCCCTAGCTTTGGAAAGCAAAATGATGTGTTGACTTCGCATCTCAGATGTGACATTTTCTTTACTTTGATTCGTCTTTTCATCAGCCATATGTTTGTAGATTTGGGCTTGATAAAAACTGGCATAAGGGTCTTTCAAGTGAGCAAACACTTCAAGTGCTCTATCATATTCTTTTTTCTTCATTAGCTGTGCACCTGTATGGAATAATACATTAATATACCTAGTTACGAATAGTTGACACATACAAGAATATGTAAGTGCTACCTCACTGCCAGTTACTCAATAAACCAGTACTGTGCTGGAATTATTACGGTCCTCATGTTTTAACCGCATAAAGGGAAACACTACAGTAAAACGTTTGTGCACATTATTTATCCTGGCTATACAGACAAACCCATATACGACTGACTTAATGTGTACGAGAGAGAAGCGTACAATTCATATGTTAGAAACCACCACGTTGCTTAGCAACCCGAGTGACGAGGCCACAGAGGTACCTGCTGTTTGCCGCGTTGCCATCGGCACACTCTAACATACGTGTTGCACGATTCTCTTTCAGTGATATTTGGATTTCCCTCTATATATGTTGTGGACATACAAAATTGACGATTTCATGAATTGGTCAGATTTCATGAAATGTATCATTATCCATTGGCCAGATTGTTAACCAGATCAATGATAACAAATCGTTTAACGATATAATCAACTAAATGCGCAGCTACTTCATGAAATGATCAAGCGTGTTTGATCAAATCGTAAAATAATTACACGAATTATCGATAGAGGCACTGGGCGCCTTGTTTACATTTCAACAATTGTTAATAACACATTCTTCAAGGGAAAATTCTAGTAATTTGTTACTAAATGAAAAAGAAAGTGAGGTTAAATGGCCTTACGACAAAAAGGTGCTCAAGTTCTCGAGTATTATATGTGTATGCGGGTCACACAAGTGCAGATCAAACAAAAAATAAAAATAAATATCTTTTAATCACAGTATAACCTATTTCACGAGTATCCATCACGCTTTGACGTCTATTGAGGTGAACAGCTGATCAGCAAGTGATATTTTTGCGTTAGTCTGCTACGTTGGCAATAATGAATCCGGTGTAGATCTAGTAAAACCTGTTTATAGCGTTTTTTTTGTTGTATGCAGATGAACTTTTCTAAATAAAAGAGCTGTTAGGAAGTACAAAATGAATCTGTAGCGTACAAAAAAACAAAACAAAATTCGGCTCTGGCTACCTGTCGCTGACGGATCCGTCAGAATTATGTGTCCTGTGCCGATATGGGAAATTTTGAAATATTACTAGATAATTAGCTGACATTCTACCGTGATGGATAGTCGTGAAATAGGGTATACACGCAACATGTTTCATAGGTTAGTACTTCACTCACAAATTACATTACCATTCAATTATTTGAATCATGTGCTAGCTAAAACATTGTGTTTATCTATTGAACTGCTGCTATATTTGACGAGACTGGAACTTGGGTTAAAAGCACTATCAATTCAAACAACATAATGATTGACAATTATCAAGTGGAGAGGAAAGATCGAAGTAGCAGAGGTGGAGGTATAATTTATATTAAAGACAGCATAAAATACAATACCCTTTATAAAAACATTATTGTCAATATTGAAAAGTTACAGATACGGAGTAAATCATACGAAAAAACATATATTACTGGTATCATATATGGGCCAACTGAAGGGAATATAAATGAATTCTTGAACAGTCTTGATGAATGCGATGAAATAATTTTATCTGGCGACATCAATATTGACCTTTTCTCCCAAGGCAATATTATAGGCATCTTTTCAGAGCTATTGGAATCTTACAATTTTAAGCAAATTATAGATAGCCCAAAGAGAATCACATTTTCAACTCAAACACTATTAGACCTGGTCATATTGAGTAAAACTTGTGAACTTACTTCATCAAGAAGCCATTCATTTACATAAAAATTTCGATCACCACCTAGTCTCTTGTACATTTGATAAAGAAAATAGCTCCTTATTCTACCCGAAAATAGTAAAAGTCGTGTTTGGAAGAATTTGAATTTTGGGTTTTTTGGTTATGTACTAACGACTATTAATTAGGACAAAATTTTCACTTTTAATGACGTTGATAACATGATGGCTTTTTTAACCGAAGAAATGGTTCATGTATATGATATCTGTTTTCTGTCCATCAATATAGGGTAACCAGAACCAATCCAGCATGGATAACCGATAACATCAGAGTCCTAACGAAATTAACGGACAAAGTGTTTAACAAATTTAAAAGCACTGGTCAACCGGCACATTGGGCCTATTACAAAGAATTGAGGAATTACACTAAACACTATGCATCGTGAAAAAAAGAATTTATAAATTATTCGTTTAGACAACCCCTACTGAATGGGGCCGTGGTAAATGCTTGTTCCGGAAGTTGTTGTATCCAGTACACACCTTCTTCCCGTTCAAGTCATTGTCCACGCGTTAACGAATACCTCAGTACCGATTGCCGGGTGGCGGTAAAAGTCCGCCAACGGGCCACATTAGGTCTATTTTACATCACTAACACGTAAAAAAAAGGTGGTAGACAAGGACCAGTCGACCGAGGCAGTACAACTCGCTAGCTTTTCCCATGGTGTCTTATAAATGTCCGCATGTTTCCACATCTAAGCTATGCAGTCGGTTATCCTCCAAAACAAAGAAATTAATGATGATGGATCCCTCGAGCACTAAGAACTCCGGACGTAAACTCACTCCACTCTCGGAATGTCCGGGTGGAGGGTGGGCTCGAGGGAACAACATCGAAGATAAAATTTGTTTTTCGAACATCTGCGGGATTAACAGCAACATTGATGGTGTCACTACCTGCAATCCAATCGTCCCGCCGTGCTTTTCTTGGCGGAGACAAAAATCTCAAGAGTCTGCACCGATTTACCATCTTAACTTCCCAAACTACGAGGTGCACTCCAATCTGCTCCAGAGATGTTTCTTTGGAATCAGACCGGAAGGACATTCTGTGGCTTTGCCTCAACTCCAAAACATCACCCAAATTCATTTGCTGCCTTTATCGCTCTCCCTCGGACATAACTGGGATGACCTACTCGAATACCTCGCCGTCCAGATCGACTTCCTGAACATCAATCATCCCGCTTCAGAGGTAGTTCTTCTCGGTCATTTCAATGCCCATAATGAGCTTTGGTTGGGCTCAAACGTGCAGTCGAAGCATTCGCTCTTACCCAAGGGCCGACTCAGCTGGTGACGAGCCCTACTTTTTTCCCCCGCACCTCGTCACACGCCAGTAGCCTGCTGGATCTCTTTCTGATCACGCATCCTGTCCCTTACAGCACTGCTGTCCTGTCCCCCCTGGGTAACTCAGACCACGGTGCTGTGGAGGTTAGGTTTCGGTCGCTGTGGCAGCAGAAACTCGTACAGGCCGCAAAACTTGGCATTACGGACATGCCGACTGGGAGGGGCTCAGAGATTTCTTCTCTAGCTTTCCTTGGAAAGATGTCTGTTTCACTGACGCGGATGCGTCGGCTGTCTGTTCTTCGATAACCGAAATTATCCACGTCGGAATGGAGGAATACATCCCTCACACAGTGAAAGTGTCTAGACCAGGGTCCAACGGCTGGTTCAACAAATCGTTGTGTCGCTGCTCGCCAGCAGAAGATCAAGGCACACAGAACCTTCTTACAAAACCCCACTGTAGAGAACAGACAAGCCGACGTTGTGTCCAGAAAAAAATATAAAGCAACGGTTCGCAATGCCAAAAACCAGCACGATATAAAAGTTAGGCAAAGGGTAATGTCGCAGCGCAATGGCAGTCGGTCTTTCTGGACGCTGGCCAAGCAGATTGAAAAGAACTTCTCACACAGTAGCCTTCCACCACTTCCGTGTCAGGATGGAACTATTGTATTCAACTCCAAGGGCAAGGCGGAAGTGCTGGTCAAGATCTTTGCTGCCAACTCCACCATGGACGTCCCCCCCAACGCACAAGTGCCGTCAATTCAGGGTTCCCTACACTATGCGGGAGGTAACATTCAGGCATAAGACAGTAAGACAAGTGCTCTTGTCGCTCGACATCAACAAAGCTTCTGGCGCGGACTTGATTCCTGCCATTGTACTGAAGAGATGTGCACCGGAGCTTGCTCCAGTTCTTTCGCGTCTCTTCCCGATATCTTATCAATCCAACACCTTCCCAGAAAACTGGAAATTTGCTCATGTCCAACCCATCCCAAAAAAGGCCGACCCTTACAACTACAGGCCTATAGCTCTGCTTTCTGTTTTAAGTAAGGTGATGGAGAGGTGCATAAATCGCTAGATTCTGGACTACCTCGAACGCCACAGCTTGATTAGCGACAGGCAGTATGGTTCCCGGCACCAACGATCCACACGGGACCTCCTAGCTTACGTCAAGCGATTGTGGAGTAAACTCATCCAGTCTATGGCCTCCCAGAAAAGCTTTTCAGATGGGTGGCTAACTTTATCCGTCGTAATTGACGGGTTCTCCTCTTCATCCCACAACGTCAACGCGCGTGTTCTCCAGGGGTCGGTCTTGGCTCCGACACTGTTTCTCTTACATATCAACGACATCCTTTCCTGCACGATCAACCCAATCCACAGCTTCGCTGATGACAGCACTCTACAAGCAGGAATTCAGAGTGACAAGCCGATCTCTGCCGCTGAGTTGGAAAAAAGAAGACTAGCGATGACTTCCTCTCTGACAAGAGACCTGGAGGCTATCACTGCTTGGGGACGCAACAATCTTGTACAGTTCAATGCTTCCAAAACGCAGTACTGTACTTTGACGAACAAAAAGCGTCCCTGAGCTCACCCGGTTTCGATGGATGGTGGAGTTCTGCCAAAGAGCCATTCATTTCGGCTGGTCGGAGTCCAGATCACCGAGGACCTAATCTGGCACGAACACATCTCGTCAATAGGTGCAGCCGCTGGGAAAAAGCTAGCCTATTTGTTTAGGGCTAAGAAGTATACTTTACCTGAAGTCACTTGAAATAGCATAAAAACCTTTGGTCGGCGCGTCCTGTGTAATTTCATGACGTATCATAGGCGTGCGGTCATTTATTTAGAACGATAATAATAATGTTTTTATATCACAATAAATGAATTTTACTATCTTCTTATTTTTTTGATTTGGGATAAAAAATACTTATATTGGGAGTTTATTTATGTTGACTGAAAGTTAAGAAATGGAAAAATTACAGAATTCCAACGTTTGACATAGGCAAATATTTACATAGCAGGTAGGTATATAAAGACTTACATTATAGGTATTTATATATCATCCTCTCCTTGTAGAGGAATTACAACGGGATTTACAGGAGGCAAAACACAATATTCATTTTCTTTTTCAATAATATGCCTAGAACACTGCTTCCATAGGTCTGTGGCAGCAATATGAGATACTGCATCTCTTATTGTGGCCAATAGCGATTCACTTAATTGATGGGTCTGATTATGTTTTCTTACTTTTTTTTTTAAAGCAGCCCAGACCAACTCAATCGGGTTAAAAATGCAGTAATAGGGAGGTAGACGTAATACTTCATGGCCATTTTGCTGAAGCAGATTGTCAACAACATACTCTTTTTCAAATTTTTGTCCTTTAATAAGATCCAATAATATGGCTTTGGTTGATTTTTGTGGTATTTCCATTTCCTTATCCTTCATAAAATCAATAATGTCTTGTTTTTTTGTGCCTGTATTCGGAATTTTGTTTTTCTGTCGGGAATGGTATGGCGCATTGTCCATAATAATCACTGAATTTGGGGAAATGTTTGGTATTAACTGCTGCTCTATCCACTTTTCAAATAAGTCGGAGGTCATGTCCTCATGATAGTCGGCACATGATTCTTTGATATTTTTGGCAGATAACAGCAAGGCATTAGGTATAAATCCATTTTCACTGCCAGCATGGAGAATAATGATTCGTTTTCCACGGTTGCATGGTGCATTTAAAATGCACTTGTTGCTGTCGTCAACCCAGCCATACTGCACAACATCATGGGTACCATACCACGTTTCATCCAGGTAAATCAGATTTCTTTTCTGCTCTCTATAGATTTTAACTTTGTGCAAAAATTCTTGGCGCAATTCAACGATTCGAGACGACTCCATAATCACCATTCTTTTATCTAATTTTTTGTATTGAAAACCACACAGTTTTACAATACAGTGCAGTGAGTCTAAGCATTTGTAATTATAAAAATCTTCAGGATAATCTTTTAATTTATCCCGTATCATTTCCAACGTGGGCACCAAATTTTCTTTATAAAATCCGTATATTATACGACGAATATCTTCCTGAAAACCCACGTCTATTCTTTTTAATTTTTGCCCTATGCGCTTTCTGTGGAAGGAATGGTTGACTACATCTCCCCTTTTTATAACCCGATAAATGGTAGACCGACTGATTTTTGTCAGGATACAAATTCTGTTTAAAATTTGATTTTGCGAGGAATCTGGATTTTCGTTTTTCAGACAATCATACATATTTAGGATTACTCTTTGGGTCTGTTCCTCTAAATCTTTATGAAAGAATTCTGCCTGCACAGGTTCATCAACCACCTCCTCGTGGCTTGGAGCATTTTCCCAAGGTCTCCAAAGAGCCATATTTAGGACACACAAGAACAATCAACACAACAATTAAATCAACAAGTAAACTGAGTATTCAAAAGTCAAAAACACACAAACTAATAAAATCTATGAAAAAAACACGGACAGGCTAAAGAAAACACGTTTATTCACCGCTACATGGCACTGGCTAAACTGTTTCAATTTTCAGTAGCCACCTGCACTTGTTCGGAACTCTGACATACCCGCTTTCTCATTGGCTATGTCCACGCATAGGCGTGCTTTACTCCACGTGGACCGGTGAAACTGCCTTTGATCTTATACGGGGGATATTTGCTGCGAAATTTGGCGATTTTTGCAGCAACAGAGCGTGTTAAATATAGATATATAAAACGCACCCGGTATTTCACAGTGTTTCAAGTGACTTCAGATAAAGTATACTTTTCTCCGCATGACCTTCTCACTCTATACAAGGCCCAGACAAGGCCTAGCCTCGAGTATTGCTCACACGTTTGGGGTGCTGCCGCCCCGACTACATTATCCATGCTCGATGCCGTCCAGAGGAGGGCGGTCCGACTGATCGACGATGACAGACAGTCTCGGGACTCTTTCGCACCGGCGGGCTGTCGGCGATCTAGCTCTTTTCTACCGTTACACCAACGGGCTTTGCTCCTCAGAGCTCTCTTCCATGATGCCGCCGCGCAATGTGCCTGCCAGACAGACCCGCCTGACTTTCGCGTCCCATCCTAACCGTGTCGAACTTCGTACATCCAGAACCGGCCGATACGACCCCTCCTTTGTCCCGAGGGTGTCGAGATTGTGGAACCATCTACACGAGGAAGTTTTTCCCAGTTCTATTAACCTTAGGCAGTTCAAAAATCGTATTAATAAAATTTCTTGGGGATCATCATAGCAGCCGCGGTGTTCCGGCATTTAGGCTTCTGCCTGCGCGGCTGCTTCGATATATAAAAAAAAACAAAAGGATACCAAATTAACCTGACAACGATTGCGTCAAACAGGTGTCACAGAAAAAATTAATAACGGCTCAACATCAACAACATTCCTTTACTAGTTGTAACTGTAAGCAAAAATCTGGGTTTATGGTTGGATAATGAACTAAAATTTGACCATCATATAAAGAAGTTATGTTCAAAATTTTATGGTATCCTCACAGAAATTTACTAAACAGTAAATTAAAATTACAGCTGTGTGATTCACTAATCTTTTCTACGATATCTTATTGTGACGCAGTCTATGGACCCGCTTTATTACAGTCATGTTTATAAGGAGAACGGGACATTGAATCTACAAAAGCTTAGAATCTATCATTAACTATCTCTAGACCATAAGACCTTAATGAATAAAAAACCAAATTACCTTCTAAATAAGCTACGAAAATATGAAGATCAACTTAGTGACAAGAAATAGTCTATCTCTAGTTGTACCCCACCACTCTACATCATTATACAAAAAAAGTTTTTCATATACTGCGCCCAAACACTACAACAATCTACCAACTGATTAAATCAATTACAGTCTAATAAATTTCAAGAAAAAATTAAAAACAATGCTTCTTCCTACCTCCTCTACCTGATAATAATGAGATCAATTTTTAAAAATTCAGCTAGAATAAGACTGACTGTATGATTTTTCGAAACATATCGTATGGGCATTACGATTTTATATTGAATGACCCTGAATTTGAACATGTATACTTGTATAGACTTAAAGATTATTAGGCAATTGTCACAAATCAAATGTATTTGTAAAAGAATCGAATAAAGGCATATTATTATTATTATTATTATATACGTACGTATGTGAAATCCAAAGTTCATCTTAATTTCTATTTCATTTTTAGGTTAGACGTCAAATAAAGAAGAATAGGATGGCCATGCGAGGTAATAACTTAATTTGTGATACTTGATAATTTTATTTTAATTTCTCAAAGTTACTAGTCTTAATAAAGTTGTTTGTCATATTTAAGGAACAATAAACGAGTTCTCGACATATTCTGAATTTTTATTAAAAATATTCTATAGATACCATATTTCACGATATCATCAATCGTGGATGAGCATATGATCAAATTCAGTTGGCCATTTCATGAAAAGCGACAATTTCACGAATTGATCAATTCTAGGACATGGCCACGACTTATACGGTGAGATTCAAATTTGACTGACGTCGTAATATGTACGAGAGAGAAGCATGATAAGCTTGCGATATGTACGTTAGAAGGAGATAGAAGCACCTGGTTGCCAGCAACCCGGGTTCGAGGTCGCGGAAGACATGGACGTTCTCTTTCTAACATACATTTCGCACGCTTATCGCGCTTCTCTCTCGTATATATTAGGACGTCAATGGTACTTGGTTTCAGAGTGTATATGACACATGAAACCAAAAAATCTATTCTTACCTGTGAACAACTTTCCCTGCTCAATATAACTCACAGCCTCAGGGACACTCATTTCTTTATTCTTATACTCAAATAGTCTATTGTTAGGATATACAATTATTTGGCTATTCTTGATCTTTTCCAAAAGTGGAAGAGCAGTCCTCCAATACAAATCAGCTCTTGCACTATTAGCCTCAATCTCAGACTGTTTTGTTAAATTCTTTGACCTCTCTTCAAATAAAGTTCCCAAATTTACCAGTACCTTCACATCCAAGCCATGATGGCCTACACATCTAACAACCTCAATGCCGTTGATCAATGCTAGCCTCACTTCACTTGCATCACTACCTTGTTCATTCTTGTGCATTTTATATGCTGCCTTGATGAATTTTGATTGGTTCACTGAACCTAATGTGTCCGTTATTGCAGCTGGAAGCACCCTGGGCTTATTTTTATTAAAGTGCATTATATTGTTATCAATCCCCAATTTGGTACACAAGGTTGCACAGTATATAAATGCCTGTATGTCAAGAATGTTCAAGGTTTCAGCAGCACAGTTGACCAAATTTTTAACAGTGTATTGTAATCCATCAAATCCTTTGACATGAAAATCAGAGAGCTTGGTGTTAAGAGCAATCCAGATGTAATGGTGCAATGAGTCTGGGTAGACCAGTTGAGCCGTTTCATCATATCTAAGTATATCTTCATTATTAGGCAGTCTAATTACTGGCTCTAATGGTTGGTCACTAGAAACAAAGCAACTAGTACTCATTTTCATCTGCTGATCTCTTTGTATAAAAACTCTCTTAAAGACTTGTTCTCGCCATGACCCCATTGAATACTGAGAGGCTTTTTCTAGAACTGCAGACTTTCTGTCTTTAAAAGCCTCAAGTAAGACATGTCCTGTTTGTGAACATCTAAAAGAAGAGTCTTTATGCCATTTAAGCACCAACTGTCTGGAATTTTCGGGAAGATGCAAGAACCACATGCTCTGAAGGTCTATAGGATATGAGTGGTATGCAGCAAATAATACTGGTAGGGTAATATTTGATGCCTGTTTAAAAGGAATGACATCTATCTTAGCTAGCTTGAAAATCGATGTTGCTACATGGAAATATAATTGTGCACGGTAATGATTCAAAAATTCAGATACCAAGTGTTGATCAGGACAGTCCTTGAGGTTTTGAGAAGCCTTAGATAGCATTTGGTCAAAATTAAACACTGCAGTAATACACTCTATTGTATTTTTTGAAGTATCATTGTGGTCATCTAAGCTCAAGGCAGCAAGCCTATCAAGAACAGATACTGAGAGAAACCAATACTCCCAATTTAATTGTGTAACACTTCTTTGATACTTCAATAAAACTTCAGCTACTGTTTCATACCAGGTAATGTTATTAAATATATCTAAGTTTTTCTGCTCTATATCTGTAATATGCTTATAGGCTTCTTTAATCTTATTATGCAGTATGAAAAGTTTTAGTATCTTGCATCTAAGGTTAACATCTAATGGTCTGTTTTCTAGTTCTTTCATCAGTAATTGTGTTTCTTGTTCTGGATCCTTAGATTCAGTTGTGATAAGTTTTTCTTTTAGCTGATAAACCACAGGGTTATATGGATCAATGGTTTGAGCTAAGCTGAGGTAACATTTGGCACTCTGCTGATTCATTTCTTCATCTGCAGAAGCAAGTAGTTCACAAACTAGAAAAAAATTTTTAGACTTGTCAGGTGTATTTGTAGATTTATAGGTGAACATTTTAGAAGTTGCTTCAGACTTACCTTTTAGTATTAAACTCTTATTCTTTGAGTCAATCTGCACGCTGTTCTTATAAGCTTCTAGAGCTTCATAGTTTTTGCCTTGCTTCTCATAACATTTTCCTAGCAACTGGTATGCCTCTGCAGACTTGGGCTTGACACTGAGGTATGACAAGATGTAACGGATTGCATGTTCACAATCACCAACATTGTAGTATAGTTTGGCAAATGAGAAGCTCCTCAGATTTCTCTGTTGAAAAAAAAAACTTCTATGTCATTGTTGTAATGGCAACCAAGACATAATACAGATAGAAAGCAAGTACAATGTTGTAACTAGCATTAGATTGATTGAGCAATATTCCACTGAATTTTAGGCACAAAAGTTTTTAAATTAATTAATGAAAATATGTGATAGGGATATTTAGAGGGTATTCAAATTGAGTCTACTGCCAACACTCAAGCATGAATTAACATATTCTACCTTTATTAGAGATGTAACAAATATTCGCATTCGCGGATATTCGCATATTTTTGCGTATTCTCATTCGCAAAATTTCTGCGAATGTTTTGCGATTATGAATATCAGAAAAAAATTCAATCATTAGCTAATAGTAGGTTAATCAAAAAAACCCATTGATTTCTTATGTTTTTAATACAAGAGAAAGTAATTTAACCTGGTAATCACATTATCAGTCTTCACTTAATCATTTGGTATTATTTATTTATTTACTTTACTTTGGGCAATGAAGCTTAACATTAAATTTTCATAGAGCCTATTATAAGACAAAAAAATGTAATGCAATGTAAAGAAACAAAAACAAATTCTTCGATTCAATTTTTATCAGTTTTTACTTAGGTTTTTAATGTTACATAATCAACTTCTTCACCAAAATCAAAAATAATAATCAAAGAAATATAGTATTCTTCTACAACAAAATATAAATATAATCATTTTTTATAAGAATCATAAGTAAACACTTTAAACAAACAAAAATAAAATTATATCTTAGACTTTAATGAAGCTTAAAAATTAAATTCTCATTAGAACTTGTATTGTACCACAAACATTAAATGCAATTGAATCAAACAAAAACCAGTTCTTCTATGAAACTTCCATCACTCTTTAACTTAATATTTAAATAAATCATCTTGAATAAAATTAAAAAATATAATGCATAATAAAACCAAAATTATATTCTTCTACAACAAACAATAAATATAGTCGAAAAACACGCAAAAAAATTATACTCTCAAACAAAAATATTCGCCTTCGCGAATGTCGGGTAGCACATCACATATTTGCATTCGCATTCGCGAATGTTCAAAAAATGACATTCGTTACATCACTAACCTGTATATAGCCAACCATGTACTGTATTTGAGAATTTGCACAGCTATGTTTGTCCTCTCTACATTTGAAATCTACTCTGAGCAGGACAGTGACTCAAAGATGGCTTTGTAGCCAACTATATGATCAAAAGAGAATGGCAGTGATGTCTAATTTTGCTCCTGCTAGGCAGCACTAGTGTGCTTGGGGTCAGACTCAAAAGTACATGAGAAAATATAGATTTGAATTGCATTGATGAGAACAGCTGATAAACAAGTGACATCTTTGTATTAAAAGTGTTAGCAATTTTGAATTGTGAATCACTTGTCAAATACAGGGTATTATAGGCATTTTGAAATGTTACTAGATAATCAGCTTTTATTTGCTGTCACATTTGACATGATGGAGATTCATGACAGTGGCAGATTTAGAGCCCCCCCCTAGACATCTGACACTTGCTTTTGTAATCTAACACCATTGTGTTTCTGACACATCATGGCGACAGAGTCATACTAACTATAAATTATAGCTATAGGAACTGAGCATTGCAATTTTTTGGTATCCTTTGGTATTTCAAATGTTTGACATCACTTACGTTTACAACACAATTCTCATGATTTATTCGTATACAGGGTGTAAAGTTAGTAGTGGATCAACAAAGTTAGGTGATAAAGGTCCTCAAAACCTATCGAATGAGCCCCTATATGTGTGGTCCGAAATATTATAGTTCAGGAGATGTTTGCAATTTATGCAAGATATGACTGACCATTCAACCTGGTGGGCAATTCATATGGTCCAATTAATTTTTTGTTGGGTACTCCAGCCCATAAATTAACCCCGAACTGACGTTGAAAGCTGTGTCGGCAAATAGGGTATGGATTTTCCATGCTCCATGAATGGAAATTATGCACGTTGGATATTCCATCTTGGTTAAAGTTTGATTCATCTGTCCATAAGATGCTGTCGAAAAAAGTTTCATCCTCTTCGCACCTTCTCAACATATTTTCACAAAATTCAAGCCGTTGTGCACAGTTGCTTTTAAGCAATTCTTGTACTTTTCGTACTTAGTAAGGATGAATGTTCTCCAAGCCTATGCACTGAAGTATGGAATATGTTTCTGCCTCGGGCAATGGCTCTGGTGCTTAAACAAAGGCTTCTATTATATCTTCTTGGAGCATCCTCCGCGCTCCTAGTTGATGATGAGTGCCTAGTATGCGGCCCTCCATATACGCATTATGGCCGCATAGAAAAACGCGGTAGTCGGGATATACCGCCGGTTGTAGTCCACCTCTTCTAACCACAGACTCCCGATGCATGCAAGCAGCTCTTAGAGCATTTCCTAGGGCAGCATCATAATAGTAATCCATTTCTGAATATGACATGATCCTACTCAGATGCCAAACGTTAGATACAAATTCCGCGCTGAACCATTGCGTGACTTGGTAATTTCGGTCGTTAGCCAGTTGTAGGTATTTCCTTTGCCCCACATTGATCCCTGATCCCTATTCCCATTGAAAACTATACATGGTCCATTCCCCTGTTTTTTTTACAGTATTTGCTTTTTTGGTTAGTTGCGTTTTTTTTTGTTAGTTGCTTCGTATTTTTTGTGATGTTTGTCAGGACATAGACTTCTACGATATTTCTAACTTCATCTTGTGATAAATTTGCAATATTCGAAATTTCGTTGAATTTGTCCCTCTCCTGTGGAGGGTTGATCCCCCCGAATCAATTCAATCAATGTCCATTTATAATATTCGTTAACTAATTATCCCTTTGTTGTACTTTTATGATAATCATAGCTGATTTAGCATAATCCCGCCAATGTGCCCGATCACCAATTTGGGGCCGGTTATCGCCGCATTGGTCCTTAGTAAATATGTTGAACTTACCTCAGTTTCACCATTAACCTTCTTTAAGCAATTGTCCACGTGTTTGTCAACTTCCAATTTAGTTTTAAACATTTTGTATGACGATGGACTATAACAAAACAAGCACTAAAACAACAAAACACTTGGATTATCTTCGTAACAGCGAACCACAAGCAACCATTTTCTCATTTTCATACGCGTATCGTATTTGCGCAATGCGTAGTGGTAGCAGTGTTGCCAGGTGGAGTCGACGATATTTCGGTAGAATTGTATGGAATTTTTCGGTAGTTTTTCAGTAGATTGAATACCGAAGAGTAAGTGATGGCTTAAACCTAAAACAATTTTATTTAACCCAAAATATACTCTAAAATAGAAAGAGAAAACAAAAATAAACAGTTTATATCTCACTTTAGCTAACTAAAGATAAAATATTCTTAATAAAAAACAGAAAAAGTCTATAAAATAAAAAATGTGTAAGCTATATTGGAAAATCATTCTTCCGATTAATTTTTTTATAAGTTTTTATGAGTCAAATTATCTACTAATTTTCGTTGCCAAATGTACCATCAGCAGGAATGGTAAATTATGCTTGGCCAAAAATGCGCTCAAACCAATTTCTCCTGGAAATAATAAATTAATTTTACATTCTTTAATATCATTTTCTAATTTCTTTGATGCACCTGCAACTGCAAATGACAACAGTTTTGGCTGTTCTGCTATGGTTTGCACTTTTTTATGAGGTTGTCCATTTGCGTGTTTTATAAGTGCATCTCTTCCAGTTTTGATATTAATATATCTTTATCAGCATTTCCCATAATCACGCCCTTTATTGCTTTTTTAAGACAGCCTTGGAAATCTGCAAGCCAGGCAATACTAATACTGGCCGAATTCGGAATTACTAAGTACACGCTACACGAAATACAGGCATGGACTTGTCAGGAGCCGCTAGGCCTAGGCGATGCAGCCAAATCATCGAGTATCTTCGGTGATTCCCCAGATGCGAAGAATCAGCGTATGTGGCACACCAATGTCAGGCAAATAGAATAAAAATATATCTGGTATAGTAGGAATAATAATAGTACTTTTGTCATTCTTTTTATCTTTTTATATATAGGGAACAAAAATTATTCAATTGAAGGATAAGTCCACTTTTTGGCAGATTTTGCTTTAAAATCGGTAGTTCGGTAGACCAGGACCAAAATCGGTAGATCTACCGAAAAATCGATACACCTGGTAACACTGAGTGGTAGTCCAGTGTTGTCACAGTACTGAGGGCCACATTACTGGATTGTACCACAAAACACGTAAAGGTGCGCCTACATGAGAAATTTCTTGAGCAATTATTGCTCGGCAACATATATGGATCAATGTATACCAATTAGTGGAGCAATCTGTAACAATTTCAATAAAATGCGGAAATTGTTTCGGCAACATTGTTTGTTAATTGCTCCATGTATTCCATATTGCTCAATGTCGCCAACACGAATTGTCGAATATCCACTGGACATGGAAATTTATGTCAATTTCTTTTTTCTATCTCACTTACACGTATTTATTCTGCGGTACTACGTCTCGCTTCCGGCGGCAGAGCGAGAGCGTGGGCAGAATACAGCGGCGCCAGCGCTCTGTTTGTTGGAGATTGTGTGTGACTGCACATAGTTGATTAAAGAAAATCTCGACATCGTCTTTGTGGAACAATGAAGAGTATTAACTTTATTGATGCAGTTTACTTGCATGTTTGTTTGAGGGATAACAAGAGTGCTGATTTTAAAGATCGCTTGCTTAAAAAAGATGAATGGACTTTACGTTTACATCTGACACTTATTGTATAATATTTATCCAAGAGCATCTGTCATAAGTAGCCAGTAACTGTTTGCATTATTAGAAAATTATATCAGCTGTGTCAGTTCGAGAATGGATTTTAAGACATGAAGAACATGGTGCGTGAACTCAGAGCCGAAGATCCATCACAATTTTCAAACTTCCTTCGAATGAAAGTTCAGAAAAGCTATCAGTATTCGCGAGAGACGTGCCGTAACATTAAGATTCTTGGCGTCTTATAAGTAGGTTACAAATTTATTATACAAATTCATTTTACCTTCTAAGTTTCAAAATTTAACAGTAATATTATTCGCTGGTGACTCTTATGCCAGCCTGAGTTATTTATTTAGGATACCGAAGTGCACAATAAGTTCAATTATTCCGGAAGTATGTAGAACAATATTTGAAGTACTGAAAGACGATTATATGAAAGTAAGTTTTTAATTTAAAAAAAAAATATTACAGATTTACAAAATTATACTCTCAGTTTCTGTGTAACAGATTGTGGAAAAGTCTGTTGACTAGACTGTTCTGAATGTTCCGCATGACCAAAATATTAGCTCACTGAACTGGGATTGCTATAGATAACCGAATTTAGTCGAACTTCTTCGTCACTTATTTCTATTATGGCTTGTTGTAATTTTATTTTTAACTTCCTACGTAAATAATCGGATGAAAGACCTCTTAGGCTCTTAGTTCAGTTGCAATGTATTTCCCAAATACACTTTCTTTTAAACCATTATTTTTCTTTTTCTTTCTAGAATTATGTAGAGTCTCCTAGTTTTTTGGTTTAATATTATCAACAGTATTTACTTCAGAATGCTCAAGCGACACATCTTGACTGTCATCTTGTATCTGATTGTCATTTTTACTCTTCTCCACATCATCCTAGAAAACAATAATGAGATTTTGAATTCCTGGATGTCATAAACTCTATTTCATTCTGTAATATAAAACGCACCTTTACATTACAGCATCATTTTACTTGGTTTTAGTCCAGAAAATAAAATCGAGTCCGGTAAAAAAAATCCCGGCTTATTTCGGTAAGATGTTTTACGGGACGACCGAAATTTGAAAAAGATTTGTTAGTTATTTGTTTCGAGATTTCAGTTCATGTTTCGGATTTATAACCTAAATTTTAGGCACCAAATATACTAGAAATATGGCAGATGATTAGTATGAAATTTGAACTAAAATGGAATTTCAGAAATTGTTTGGGGGCTATCGACGGCAAACATCTTATCCAAGCACCTCAGAACAGTGTTAGCTATTAGTTCAACTATAAGGAACACCATAGCACTGTTTTAATGACAGTTGTTGATGTTGACTATAAATTTCTCATCGCCACAGTTGGTTCTAATGGATGAGGTTCCGATGGGGGAGTTTTTACAGCTAGCGGAGTTTCCCATTTTATAAATACGGAATAAAGAAATCAGGGAAATCGGCACTTCCAGGAAGAGTATTATGTATACCGCTTGCTTTTGTAGGTGTTGATGCGTTTCCTTTGCAACCATATAACATATATACAGGGTGTCCGCAAAGTTGGGGTTTTCCTTTACACGACGTGTAGATCTTGAAAACATAATCAATTTTTCTTAGTACCATATACACCAATGTCTTAAAGGAACCGAGATAGAGGGCTCTGCAACATCAAAAATATCTGAATACCGTCCTGTAGCCGCGACCCGCCGAGATATCCCCGACACCCCGACTGGTACAAGGTCTCAACCCGACGGCAGAACTGGGTCGGGGTCAGTGTGTCAGGTTAGTATGCAACCTTCAACCGACGACTACAGTCACGCGTGTAGAGGTCAACGAACTCGTATAATCGATTGCGTTTCAAAAAACAACAAGCACTAGAGACGTGGCTAGAGAAGTGCAAGTATCAAAAACTAAAGTGTGGCAAACGCTGCGTGAAGAGGGGCTGTATCCGTTTCACGTCCAACGTGTACAAGCCCTTCAACCTGACGATTTTCCAGCAAGAGTGCGGTTTTGTGAGTGGTTGTTGCATCAACATGACAATAATCCGGACTTTTTGAAGTGCATATTGGTTTCAGACGAATCTACGTTCACGCGTAATGGGGTGAATAACTTTCGCAAAGCTCATGTTTGGTCATTTTCAACAAGATTTTCGGTGAATGTTTGGGCTGGCATGGTGAACGGTATGCTCATTGGACCATTTATTCTCCCAAATCGATTGGACGGGATGCAATACCTAGACTTTTCACGCAACATTTTGCCTTCCTTGTTAGAAGATGTGCCATGAAGTGTAAGACAATCAATGTGGTTTCTGCGTCTGCTCGGTAGCGCTCCAGCTGATTTCATTTTCTGTTGGAGCGGTATGATTTCGGGCAGAGACGTACTTAGCCCTTCTCGTCAACTGGAGAGTGAGTACTTTTTCCTTTATTTTTTTTACTTGGTCGCCCTCGTTTCACTACACATTATCTTTGTTATTTCAAGGGTAGTTGTTTCTGAAAAGGAAAACCCCAACTTTGCGGACACCCTGTATAATGAAACCTTATTCATTTAACAGTCAAAGTTCTATGAGAATTTATAATTATACCATAGACTTTCCAGAGCAAGGAGAATATTGGAAAATACTTTTGGTATTATGTCAAGTGTATTCAGAATACTTGGTAAACCAATTCTTCTTGTTCCAGAACGCGTCGATGCAATTATTTTGGTCGCTTGCTGTTTACATAATTATTTATTATCTCAAAAATGCTCAGCAATGATATGTGCTCCCGAAGGTACATTTGATAGAGAATATCCTGACACCGATGAGCTAATACCGGGAAATTCGAGGCACGGAGATAAACCGCAAAATTTGTTGCCGTTGACGCAACAGGGTGTAGTATTAACTATACGAATAACTCAAGAGAAATTAGAGAATAGGTTCGATAGTATTTTGTTAACCCTCAGGGAGAAGTTTTTTTGGCAATATAAGTTAATGTAAAGTTAATATAAAAAAACGTAAAGAATATTAAAATGTCTTTTTTTTCTTACCGTTGGTATATTTACCAGTGCTGATCTGCATACTATACTACTTTGTATCAGGTAAACAAAATACACAAATAAGTTCGTGCGGTTGTTGTATATCGCACATTGCCATGGATGTTGTTGATTGATAGCGATTGTTTGTTACCTGTTGTCACTTTAGTATGAATCCTTCTTTTCTCACACACATAAAAAGTTGCTGAAAATTGTTACATATCTAGTTTTACTAATTGAAAATGGCGACGAATAAATCAGTAATTCGAAGTTGTTTACTGTATGAGTACAAACTTGGTACAAAAGTTGCAGCGGCGGCGCGAAAAATATGTACCCCATTCGGAGATGGTGCCGTTAGTGAACGAACAGCACAGAAGTGGTTCAAAAATTTGTCTTTGGGAGATCTCAAAAATCATGAACAACGAGGATCTTCGACAGGTTGTGGACGCAAATTCCAGGACAACATGCCAAGAACCTGCAGAAATGTTCAGAGTGAGTCCTGAAACTATTCGTTTGCATCTTCATCATCTAGGAAAGACGTGGAAGTTAAGCAAATGGGTCCCACATGAACTGACAAATGATAACAAATTAAGTCGTCTTACCATTTGATCAACAAACACTTCACGTAACGCTAATGAACCATTTCTTAATCGGTTATTAACCTGCGACGAAAAATGGATCTTGTATTCGAATTCTAAGCGTTCGTATCATTGGTTGTCGCCTGCTGATTCGGTATCACACACGCTCAAGGCTTCCTTGCACCCAAATAAGGTTTTGTTGTGTGCTTGATGGACAGCAACTGGAATTGTCCATTATGAGTTTTTGGAAAGGAGTCAAACCATCACTGCTAAAGTGTATTGTAAGCAGCTTCAACGAGTACATACAGCACTCATCCAGAAACAGCCTTCTTTGATCAATCGGAAGAAAGTGATATTCTTGCAGGATAACGCCAAGCCTCATTCCGCAAAAGTAACTCGAGAAAAAATTTCTGAACTCGGCTGGGAAACGTTACCGCACCCGCCATAACCTCCCGACATTTCGCCCAGTGATTATCACCTTTTTTGTCTCTTGACAACTATATGAGGCACCGACAGTTCACAACTCGAGATGGTGTAATAAATGCAGATCGCCAATTTTTTGACTCCAAATCCAGGGAGTTCTATAATACCGGCATACAAAAATTGGCTCCAATTGGCAAAAGGTCATTGAATGTGATAGAGTAATTACTTCGACGAATAAATAGTGTCTTATTGTTTCTCAATAAAAATTTATATTTTTGTACTAAAAACCGCACGAACTTATTTGTTTACCTGAACCTGAAACAAAAGCGATTTAAAATACGGCCACTTTGATGAATAAGGTTCGCCGGTACCCTGGCCTGATTTTTTCTTAGCAGTTTTTTTAAATTCGCTGTTGAATTGTTTCCTTAAGTTTAAGTTATGAATTTTCCTGGTTATTTCATCTACAGTGGTTCCAAATTTTTCACCAAGCTCACTTAGGGCATTTTGTTTTTTCACTCTATCTTTATAAAGTTTACATTTAACATCTCGAAGTTCTGGTTTATTGCGGTACATATTAGTTAACCCATTAAGTTCACTTTTTAGCCATTCTTTTTTATCACCCATCGTGTATATGCGAGAATAAATTGATGGACACTTCTTCAAAAGTAGACGTCTGGCCAACTAGCGCGATTTATTTCCGGTGAGTCGAAATTTGTAAAAGCAGCAATGTTTACATTAATCGTATAGATATCTCGACACATATTACCAAAGACTGATACATATATTTCAGACATACATTTTTGGTCGTTTACATTAATCAGAACTAGTGTCTGACATAAATATCATGCAATATATGTTAGATGTAAGCGTACCATTACTGTTTTGTGCCTGACATTGTGCCTGACATTATGCCGAGTCCACACCAAACCTACTAAACAGAAACAAAACAGCAACTCAATGTTTTTCAACAATTAAGGAACAAATCGGCAACATTTCGTCAACAATTCGTGTTTTGTTTGTGTTGCGAAACAAATTTAAAACAGAAACTAATATCAAAAGCGAAGGCGCTGTGTAGGGTGTTTAAAAATAAATACGCAGTATGTCGGTTGAAAAATTAAAGTGGAGTGTAGATAACACGGTAAATTAATTGGAGTATATAGGGAGTATCTTTTATCTTAGTGTTACGGCCAAACGTTCAACTACTTTAATGGCATTTCTGAAATTGGTATTTTTTTTGTAAATTTCACCGATCAGCTGTATTAATGCATCTAAGTTTTCACTGGACATTCTTAAAAAGTTCTCGAAACTAGAACGCATTTCTCTTCTCAATCCAATATCGTCTTTACGCAAATCGGACAATATTTTTCAATACCACGATCATCTCTTTCACGTAAGGATGGTTTCATCCAGAAGTGTTTTTTATTTTCCCGGTCACAACTCATAACAGCAGACATTATGATAAAATCTTTGCGCCTCTGCCTTTCAGCATAAAAACGCCACATATTTTCACTCAGAAAATTTTTGGTGTGAACTGCACGAAACAAAACAACTGAAATCTTTTTTGTCGCTTGGTAATGTGGTAATGTGTTTTGTTGCTTCGATGTAGACCCGGCATTAGAATCATTTGGAGTCTTTGTGTTGCTGATATGGTCACTCTGAGCACTGATTAGTGGTGATGATTCTCGTTACTTTCGAGTACTTGTTACTAATCGTTACTCTTCTACAAAGTACTCATTTATTGTATTCGTTACTTTGATGACTATGAGTAGTATGTTGGTAGTATGAGTATTACGATTTGGCAACGTGCGTCGTATATTTAATGTCGAATTTGAACAAGTTCAATGGAACCGAATCTTGTAAGAAAATAGACAATCTTAAAATTTGCAAAATGTTATAAGCATAGTTTATTCAAATCTGTCGTGTTTAATGCAAACATCGTATCTTCAAACTTTATGCTTATCGTGATGGGTTATTATAGGATAGAGTGTCACATGACTCATATGAGCCTACAAACTGAAAATACTTTGTATTTACTAGAAAAACATGTCTTGGCAAGTAACTTTTCGAAGCATTTCAATTAAGCATATACTCGTACCAGTATAAAAATTCTACGTGGACCTTAGTCTACACATACTATTGGTGGTCATACTGAATTATAATTTTTTTCAGCAAAACAGTTCAAGTAAACACTAGTCCAATTGACATAATTTTCATTATTGTGGTTTTCCTCAACGGTGGTATTACCTTGTTGTCGCTTTTCTGCCTCATAATACTCCCGAACTTTGCTCTAATCCAATCGACTCCTTATTCCTTTTCAGGTTCCCAAGATCACAACAATAAAAGCGAATTTGAGTCACGGTGTAAATAGGTAAACTTCAGATTCAAAAACAATTACCAAATTCTATGTCCGCTAATCAAAGAAGAAATTGAGTTTCCAGGTGGGATATCTGGCAACCCTGATGCATGAGCGGCAGTGCTACAGTCAAACCAGCGTTGCCACTCAACGATCAAGGATTGTACGGAAAACAGAGTAATCATTTCGTGTTCGGATTGGTCCTCGTTACTTCGGGTATCTATGAGTAACGACTACTCGAGTACCGTATAGTTACTTTTTCAACATCACTAGCACTGATATTTTTGGTAAATATTTGACGTTTGAAAATCCAACCACACTTTATTCAGCGGTAAGTCGGAGAAGGTGGTTTCAAAACACTTCAAAAAACCTGCTTATATTGCGACTTTATGATATGATGATACTGTGATCAAATTCGTACTGTCTTACGATTTCAAGTTAACTATATTCATTACACATTCAACAGATCAAACAGTGTCTACTTTAATCTAAAATGGATAACGATCCTCAACAAATATTTGATGACCTTCTGAAGTACTCGAAAGACTCGTCTAATGGACCTACCGAGTCCTTGAGATTATTGGAATCTTTCAACAGAATACTGTCTGAAGAACAAATCGAGCCAGCATTTATAGGTAGACATATTTGCCACAAAACTGCTACCAGATATACCTCTTATTTTAAATTCAAAATAGCAATGGGGAGCAATACTGATTGTTCTGGCTTCTTGGTATCAAGGAGAAGTGTTATTATCAACTGAAAACTTTTACAATTTTCAAATACATGGATATATGGAGAACTACTCAATGTCACATTTGCCTTTTCTACCTTAATTTAAATATTGTGGCTGTTCATTATAGTAGCGAAAACTGCTAAGAACTGTTTTAATTCATTTTCCTAAATAAGTATTGGGAATAGGTTAGAGGCCCACATTATTGAACAACATATTTTACCTGGTAAAATATGTTAATCAATGCCCATACTCTATTACTATAAAAGTGTGATTATGATTTTCATATTGAAGTATATCTGTATTTTTCAGACCTATGTTTGATGAGCATCTTTGATCAAACAAAAGGACTTCTGCAGTACATAACTTTATTGCATGGGAACAAACAGCTTAAAGAGTGTATTAAGAAGGCTATAGAAATAGTTTCCACAATAGTAAATAATTTCTCATGTAAAGTTACAGAAACAAATGCTGTGGACATCTATAGTTTGTGTGTTAAAATCATCAAATCATCTGCAACTGATGCTAATATCAAAGGAAAAATAATTACATTAGCAAGCATTACTTTAGAAAAGGTCAATACTTTTCTGGGAAGTATTAAAGTTACTGATTCTCTGAGGAACATGTTGTCAATATTAATATTGTGTCTACAACAAAGACAGACTTCATCAACAGGTAATATGTGATTGCCCAATTAACTTCAATTATGTCAAAATCAGATATAGTCGAGTATACTAGTGACCTACAAATTTTGGGAAAATTCTGTATTAGTTTTACACTTATGAACTATGGATATAGATTTTTTTAACCACAGCTTAGTTAATATAAGGTTTTTTCACTTTTGTGTTATCTATCATCTTTCAATACAAACCCCATCTTGTACAATCTGTTTTGGTCATATGAATACAGTAAAATATTTTTTTTCAGTGATTCATTCTCAACTAGTATTTCTTGGACTGTTTTGTAAGAAATACTCTTTTCTGGTAGAGGATCCTACAAAAATCAAACATACTTTTTGGCGGCATTTTGAGATAGAAATTTCTCAACCTCAGAAATCATCAGCTGCTATTTTATCAGGGTGTTTTATTGGTTTTATGGATTATTGTATAAGCTTTCCACTAGACCTGGCCAAAAAAGAAGATAAGAACATAGTCGAAAAACTGTACAAGTCAATAAAGGATAGCATCACCACTAAGGAAAAAATTAAAGTGGCAAGCAGAGGTATATGGATTGTATGATGTCTAATCTAATCAGATCTGTCATAAATCTCCCAATAAATAGTCTACCATTGCATCCAAATTTACTCCTCTATAAGATTTTTATTATGCCAGACTTTAACAGTTGCTCATGACATGTGCACAAAGGGATCCATACGATTTCAGCAACCATCTTAATTGTTCTATGCAAGGTTGTTGTCTATGGTCAGGTTCATAAAACTTATAAAAAACATCTATCACTCGCATTGGACGCAGATACAGGTCAGTCCTGTGTCTCTTTGTACCAAATACTTAGGCAAATGTCATTTGATGAGTACTTACTGTATTTGGAACCTGCAGTACTTACTGATCATATCAATGTTAGGCAATTTCTTTGTAACCTTATACATCAATAATCATAGACGACTAGCCCAGATGTTCAATAAATATCACATTCCATTATACATATTGATGGATCACAGTAAGTATTGATTGTGTGACAGCCAGCTTGAATAGACACTGACTGTCCTCAGTACCAAATATAGAGTTTTGATGGCATCAATCAATAATTTCTGTTTTATAATACATTTTAGCGGCAATTAGTTTTTTTGCCAACAATATGCAGCTATTTGAAGAATACTTATGTAAAGATTACAAGGTCCTTCATGAAGGTGTTTTGATTTGGTTATACCACCCTGGGCTGGACGACAAAAAAACAGGATCTTCTGCACTGAAGGCACTTCATCAAACACTAGCTGTTATAATGGACAGACAGGATAGTACTGAAGATTGTAAAGTAACACTCAAAGTAGGTGAAGATTATGTTTTGATTTCCAAGATTATAAGAAGTCGATGTTACACCTCCCAAAAAAATAATCTATATCGGCGCGTTTCTTTGGAATAAAATAAAATAATATAGAAACTATGGCTATATGGAGCTTAGGGATACAATTCGAAGAAATTGAAAAATGTACATCAACATAGTGTCCAGGGATGCGACGATTAACAAACGGTTTAAATCAGATTCAAATCAATTGATTTTTTTAAGTTAATTTATGTAGGAGCAAGTCTCCAAAGCGTAGGAAACGTCAGAGAACTAAGACGAGTGTTTTATTAAGAGTGTCAGTACTTTTAACTTGTTAGTTTTACTTTATACTGAATTCACATATCATTTATGACCACTTCCCCCCACTCCCAAAAAAAAAAACCTCTGCCTGATGTTCAAATTCGTATGCTTCTATTGGTCAGCTCAGCGAGCTGTAAATGCTTGGATAGGCAGTGACAAGCAAATAGAAACAGTGATTGAACGTTCATGCACCACTCTAAGTATTTGGGAGCTAAATAGGATTTAATTCTGTGTATTTTCCTTGAAATAGTCGGAAATCTTAGGCTTCTGGTCGTTATCATCTACTTTCTATGTTATACCATTGGATTACGTATTCTACCTGTAGGTACCCAACCTAATGCTATATTCCCATCGCCAAAAATTATCTGAGATAAAATGAAATACCGTAGTGTCATCTGTGAGAATTTGTCACAGCTGTTTCTCTATTTACTATATATACAGGTATATATGGTCCTTTAAAAAGGGTAGTGTCCCATAGGTAGTGATGTCTATACAAGCATATACAAGTGCCTTTTCAAAGTATGTATATTAAATAGAGAAACAGCATTTTTATGTATATGGTTATGTTAGGCTATCTTCACTTAGAAGTTAGTAAGATATAGGTTCCTAATCATTTGTTATTTATGACATTCTTGTGCCTTGCTGAAATATGATTTCACCAAAAAGTTGTACTTTTATAGTACTTTAATTGTTCTGTTAGAATTATTCTAGTAGTTAATGGTCGGACTTTCAGTCGCTCCTGTTTGACTCCCTGATTCGAAGGACGTCTTTTTTGGCCGTAATTGACTCTGCACTTCCTGCGCAACGCAGTCGCCAATTCATAAAGGATTATGTAGGCACAAATTATACCGTCTTGCCCGAAAAAAGATTTGGCTTTGAATGTGTGAAATGGAATTAAACGGATCAAGTCACTCAAACAGGCCCATACGATTAGTCCATGGGAGAGACTGTAACGCCGATCAAACCAGAGAGAGACGCGTGTTGAAGATATATCTCATAATTCCAAGTTTTAAGGACAAATGTACGGGGAAATCTATGATGTGTGAAATACGTCTAAGGTAAAAACGAAGTATGAGCGGTCTTTATCTGTTTTTTGCACGTAGCTCCGCCGCCACTGGACCGATTTTCAAAAACTACTAAGTTCTTTGGCACTTGGCATAGTGATAACCTTGGGTGAAATTATTACCAAAATCCGAGCAGTACCTCCATGTTCTAGACGGATCAAGTATTAGCTGACAGACAGACAGACGGAACTGAGTGACATGTTTTTTCGCAATGTCAAATAACATCCAAAAAACACATCTCACTTCCGACATTTTTTGGGATTACAATACTTCCTCGCCAGTGGCGGTGCAGGAAGTAAAAGGAATCTTGTTCTTGTCTTCCTAGAGGAGTGCAAAGACAGGACAAAAAACGGTCTTTCGAACTAGGAAGACAAATAGAAACGACTGAAAATTCGACTCTAATAGACGTTTTTTTCAGTACTTTAACGAATGGGCTAAGGCTACATTGAATAAAGAAAAGGTGTCAAATTACGAAAAACGTCTTGCAATATGCGCATTGAAATCATTTTTGATAGCATCATACAAACACTTGGACAGCGATTATGTTGCAGCCTTGTTTGTCCATATTTTACAAAATTTCGAACGCAGCTACATCTTCAGTACAAATACTGATAGCGAGGAATGGGAATTCTTGCCTGATTATATACAGATCATAGCTAACGTTACGAGATTCAGAACGTTTTCATCAAGAGAATTTGTCTGCTTGCAAAGAGCTACTGTCAACATGCTTAAATCATTTCACCATTTGCCATATCAACATCACATGCTTGTGGTTGAAGCTGTGTGCACAACTTTGTTATTTTTGAAAAATGGAAAGTATTTTGAGACGTATTTGGAAAACATAGTTTATCAAGGTGAGATTTGAACTACAAACTGTTTCTCTCATATTGCTTTTAACGTGTGGTTATTGAAACAATAACATAACAGTGGTTTTTAGGAGTGGTCTGGTCCTGTTCTCATCAACACATTTCGATGGAAGCATTCGCTAAAGAAACTAATGAAAAAATAATAACCTGCAAAAACTATTTCCCTCTTTGGCGGGGCGTCTTGAAAATTACGGAACATAATTTTCCTGGACTAAATAATACCTTGGAGGACAAAAAATATATTGAGGAAAGGGTTGTCAATGAATTAATTAAAACGTTAATGATTTTGATTAATAAACTCAACATCAAGATGTACATCAAAGAAGATTATGGAAGGAACTCGTCCCTAGAAAATGTCTATAGTGTCGAACATTCCAATGATTATACGATATTTCTGAACGTTGTGGACTTATATCAAGACATTTTTGAAATCAGCAGACCACACCTTTTTCGTAAATGTATCAGCAGAATGGTAGGAGATTTGATAAAGAAGTGTTTACAGTACCCACTTGTCAGTGGCTTCTACAGGCTATTATCATTCGCATTAAAAATAGGAATTAAGCTGGATGTAACATCTGTAGACTACACAGTGTCTTTATACCAATTTCTACCGACTTTGCTCAACAGAATAACTCAGTTCAAAGACGAACTGTCCATATCTTGCCTGCAAGTATTACTGGCCATTCCTATATCGATCATACAAGAAATGCTTGTCGCATGTGTGGATCCTTTCAAAACTATATTTGATATAGGTAAGAGCTATTTGCCCCTTGCCGACATGGGCCTTACCACATTAGAATATTGGCAAGATCATATAGATGCAAAAAAATTACATCCATTGCTGGTGGAAGTCGTGCCCAGTCTGGATTCGTTTTTGAGAAGTAAGTCTGTTGAAGAGAATGTTCAAACAGTAGCTACAAAGAGAAGAAAAACTACACAAACGTTGATGAAACGACGAGTAGTTGTTGTGTTGGAACCTGAGTTGATCAAACTACAAAAGAAACTATTATGTTTCATAGGGAGGCAGAATTTGGAGGTATCGAGAGCTTTGGTGTTTTCTGATAATATTTACACGTCTTCCGAAATATTGGGTTAGTATTATTCATTATAGTCTTAGCGCACTTACTTTTTTCATGTAAGAATATTATCGAAATAAAATTCTAGTAAACTAAAATTGAACTGGAAATTTTATACTATACTACTAAAAAAATAATGTACTTTTGAGAGAGATTTCGAGGATATACGGAATCCCATAGAAAGAAAGAAAGAAATGAGCTATTTTCAATAGACATAGAATGTGTCAGAATAACATTATACACCAAAATGATTTCTTAACATGTTCCATGTCATTTAAAAAACAATAATTAAAAACATTAAAAAATTTAAGTTTATCAGATAAAACATGATATTAGAACATCACAATATGAAAAATACTGGAATGAATCTCCTTGATTCATGTCACTTCAAGACAATACTAACAGAACATAGAAATTATGTGCTCTGGCGTGAAAATGAAAACGTCTCTCTATAGCTAATACTAATGCCACGCATATTTCCTCTACATATGAATTTGGTGATTAAATATAACGGTGTATTTGAATAAAGAACCCTATGAGTCAGACTTAGGAGCTGGTATTTATACATTTTATCAATTTTCATCCATTTGAGGTCATTAATGGCCTTCGATATAGGATCATATTTTCTGAGATCATTTACAAGTCTGCAACATGTATTCATAATACTTTGAATACGATAGTTGTCCTAAGACAGATCCCTGTGTACACCAGAACATTTTTTTGGTGCGGAAGAATACTGTTGATTTAGACGTTTTTTATACAGATTTTCAAGGCAGGTTTGAATAAACGAATTCACTTGCAATTTTCTGACCCATCGCTTCTTAAAGACTTGGCAGAGAAAAGTTGCTCGATTGAATTATTCAGAGATCTAATTAACAAGCTATGGTCTGAACTGTGTCAGACAAGGCCATCACTCTTTTCTGTTTAAATTTTTCATAAACATTCTTTATTTTAGGAGTAAACACGCACCTCAAATTAGCTCTACCCTGTGAGGATGTCCAGTTAGATATAATTTATGATAAGTTCGCATCTAGAATTACCGACTTAGCTTTGCAATGCAGTGATCGAAAAATAAGAGTTATGGCTTGTGAATGTTTGCATGCTCTAATCATTGTTCTACTAGGTAGAGGTAAGTAGAACATTGGAAATATCTGAATCTGCAAATGTTTCATTTATTGTGTAGTCACTCCCAGAATAGGAAATATGCATGTTTTGTTTGTAATTTATGCCAATTATTTACGTTAATATAAACATATAATACCGTGAACACATATTTTATTCAGGCAAATGTATGTATTTTTTTAAAGTAAGTATTTAAAAGTACAATGCCAATGGCGTTAATTTAAACGCCGCCTTTTTAGCGAAAGAAATTAATTAAATTTGGGTGTTGCGTATTACAGATGAATTTACATTTTCTGACATATTCACTTGCTTTGACGTTCTTCCGGTTTGACCGGAAACGACTCCAACTTTCGATTTTTAAATGGGACACCCTGTATGTTTTTATTTATTTCGATCGAGAATGATATTTTGAACTCAAAAACTCCTCACTTGTCAATATCTGACAAATAAAGTCATTCTTACTTCATGTTTATTTTTCGATCTAAAATGCCCTGCACCCTGTAAATCGCTTCATTTTTGATCAAGTAACACGGGAAAAATACGATTTTCAAGTGAACGACCTCACAGTCGTTTCAAAGGTTTTCTAAAAGTTACAAACACTGATTTTTTCAGTTTACTTGATTTTTTCAAATAGAAAGGGGGTGGCTCGTCGGCTTTTCCTAAGAGAACATTTTCTTACCTATACCTATGCATTAAGTCCTATTATTCTAGTTATCCGTGACAAACAATTGAAGGTGTTGCTTTCGAAATACAAAATGTGCAACGAACCAGAAGAAAATACCAATGACTTTATCGTCAGTGATGAAAAAAAGACGTGTTTGCGTATGTTGGAGTAAACTATACAAATGAATTAAATACATATCGCATCATTATAACAAAAAATTAAATTCAAAGATATGCCATTGAGGTTCTAAGTGTTCAAAATGATCTCCTCCTTGATCACGGCAAAGTTCAACTTTATCAATTGTTGCTTGCACCACATATTGATTAACTGTTCCGCAGTGATGTTCCGGAATGCCGCACTTACTTTATGTTCCAGATCTTCGCGAATAGCTGACGTAGTTTTATACATTTTTAATTGTCCGCCAAAGAAAAAAATCTAACGGAGTAAGATCTGGTGATCTAAAATATGAAAAATAAATTTGACTTTCTGAAAAAATATGACAACTTAAGGATGTACCTCGGAGGGCATTGAATAGGTCCATTAGTGCCTATCCACTTTTCTGGTAAGGTGTCACTCAGATGTTCTCTTATCGCATGAGAATTGAGATGTGGAGCCGCATCTTGTTGGGAATAGATATGAATTTGGTTAGCCAGTGGCAAATCTTCAATGAAACCATTTATTTAATTATCTGGGACTGTAGACCGGAGTAAGTTGTCCATCGAAAATTATTGGCGGCAAAAGTTTTTCTCGGATATTACCCATCCAGCAATTGAAACCTTCGTGCATTAGACGTAAGTTGGTTTGTGACCAGTACCTTTTATTTTTCCGATTGAACATACCCAAGTTGGCAAACCGACTTGTCCTTTTCTTCACTGTCGATAAAGTTATTGGCACTTTCTTCTGATTCATTTAGCACTTTATGTTCCAGTTTTGGAAAATGATGCCGTGTGGAATGGCAACCATTGTGGAATCTCTAAGAATAAATTGAAGCTGCCTCGGTTGAATTTTTTCTTGCTTCCCCGTAAATCAACAGCCAATTTTCCCGTTTTTAGTATTTACATTTACAATACATAACCCTCAAATTTCGTTTTTCTATCTTCAATTAAAAAAGTTGTAAGGGTGAGTTACCTTGGAGAATCGTCCGGGACTTGAATTACCATCATATTCACTATTCATCGCGCCGTATGGATCAAGTGGAATCTCCAGAATAGTTACAAACGACATTGGTTCAAACAATACTCGTAGCAACACATTTTTTGATGACTCTTATTTTTATGAATGTATTTTTCTTTTGTAGCAAAATCGCTTCCCGAAAAGAGCTTACCAGACCTGAATGCCATTTTAAAGCTATTTGTCTCTAGTGCACTCCAGTTGTCTTGCGATGTTGATCAAATTGTGCAGCATATGTTTTCACCATTATGCTCCCAGTTGATCCACTGGTATACATCAAGATCTCAAATACGCAGCGCCCATTCTGCTGTCATAGTTGAGTGTTTAATGGTGAGCTACATATACTAATGAAAATGATAATTCTAGTGGTGTCCGACAAACAATTTATGTTTATGGCGATGTGGAGAGACCGGTAACATTGCCATTTATCTTCCTATCAAGAATCAATTGTATAATATGCATAGTAGCATGCTGTGTGATCTTATAATACCCTATTTTAATTAGAGATCTACTGATATAGGATTTTTGCCAATACCGATAATTGGCCGATACCGATATTTCCAAGGCTGACTCATGTCATGTTATCGGCCAGTCGCTCATTTAACAGGTCTATGTAAGTCACATAATGATGCATAATAAAAAAACATCTATCATGGAGTGCTTTTTACAAAACGTATTTTGTTGACCCAGTTGCATTTAATCATCCGCATCTAAAAAACTCTTGTCACATATGATGCATCTGGCTTATTATATAAAGAATCAAAACAATAATATATTGCTTCTGTATACATTCAAAATATGTATTTCTTAGGAAAGGGGTGAAATTTGAGGAGGATATGTGACGTAACAAAGTATTATCATCGTGAGATATAGTGCACAGGAAGCATGAATTTTGGAGACTGGCTTGGCTGCCTCATTTCTGTGTTTTTAAGGAACTTCTTGTGCGCTTGATCCAGGCGTGTTGCCACACTGTCCTTTTGTAGCACCTCTTAAAGTATGTCATCTGATGGGGAACTACCCAGCTCTTTTATGTATTTTCTTGGGATACCTCTCTAATTTGAGCATGGTGCTTTTACTCATATCTGGGAACACAGCAGTAAGTCCGTATGTTAGTAGCGGGTAGATTATTTTCAATTGCACTTCTATAGAAACATTCGAGCTGAGATTCGAGATCCCTGTGGTCTCCGTAGCGTTGGTGGTATATTTTTGTTTTGGCATGATTGTGATTTGTCGGATCAGCAAAGTTTTCTAAACATTTTGATAACATTTCTAGGGATGTCCGTTTGTTGTAGGTTAAAAATAAGATCACTATGAGTAATAGAATACAATAGAGAACTCTTCCATCGTAAATTACGACAGTAGTAATATACATTCTCATTATGACGGATATGCGCTTGGGTGGTATCTACGAAATAAAAAAAGACGATATTTTGTTTGCACTATTTGTTCAGATATTGGTACACATCACTTACATCCTACCAAATTCAAGAATATCCGCTGCATGTTTGAATTGCATCTAGTTTTTTTTAATAGCTGTAAACTCTCTTAAAATCAAGAGGAAATATATGATGCGTAAAATATGGTTAATAGATGCATGAAATTACCTGGGTTGAAAATGATCAGGAACCTCCGAAACGTCAAAAGACGAAGTTTGAGGGATTTTTATTGTTTCAATTTTTTACATTCCAAGTTGGCAGCTCGGCGCTATTTCGAAATATTCTTTTAAATTGATGAGGGGTTGTGTCCTCATTTTGAGGCTCCTGATGAGCACTTCATAACCCTAGAATACCATTTTTTTGCACTTCGGGTCGCTTTTAACTTAACGACCAATCATCAATACGCTATAGTGTGCTATATGAATTTTCTTCTCTTGGAAGAATCTATCCGAATATGTAATAACGGTCGTTTTAAAAAAATAATCAGTCTAATTTGTGAAATGGAATGCCTCATATTTTGTTGCACATTCTGGTATACCCGTCCAAAAGAAAAATATGCATTTAACATAACTATAACGTTTTGATAATTAGTTGTTGAGTTATAAGCGTTTCAATATACAGCGACGCTCAAATTTTACAACCCACCAGTCTGCCAGTTTGAAAGATAGTGATTTCATCTTCTACGGTTATAAAGTACTCATAAGGTGCTTAAAAATGAGGTATCACATGATCTTCTATTCCATTAAAAAAAATGTTCTGATGGCGCCCAGCCGTCAGTGTCGGCATATGGTCAGGCATATCGGCCGATTCGTATATCGGCAAATTAGGCCGTTATGCCAATATATACATATCGGTATCGGTCGATCCCTAATTAGAATCATAACCATCTAGGCGCATGCAACTTTATACGTGCCTGTATCCCATTCATATTATTTAAACATTGCATTAAATTTTAGGATGGTGTAACCCATTCCTCAAATGCTGCTTTGAGAGACAAATGTGGAAAATACATAAGCGAGTTCGTAGAATGGTCTATAAGACAATCCAATGATTCTATCAATGTAAAAGTGTTGGTTAAAAAAACAAGGTTCTTTAGTGCTCATCCACATCCTGCAAAAAAATTAGGAGCAGCTCTGATTTTCAACAATATATTTAAAGAAATCCTGAAAGAAGAATCGCTTATCAGTATGTTTTGGATAGAAATGTTGCACATCTTTGTTACGAGCTTAGCTACGTGTGAAGATTTCGATGAGACTAATACCATTATCCAGACAAAAAAGGCTCTTCAGAACTTGCTTAATATATTTTTGGGAAATCCAAACGTTTTCAACGAGGGAGCGAAGCATCGGGTAGTTCCAGCAGAAATGGGCACCGGAACATTACCTGAAATTGCTACGTGGTTATTCAAAGAAACGAATTGCAAAAATATTCATTGTAGACAGATGTGCATGACCCTATACGTATCAGTTGCTCCTTTGGCTGGTGATAATAAGGCTCATTTGAATAAACTTGTTGATAGTTTAAATGGGGATCTCTGTAATCTTTATGAATATCGATTCATGAGTTTTTCAGAAACAAATCAGTCTGAAGATTGTACCGTACTGATAAAGTGGATGAAACTGTTTTTATGTACTTTGGATGGTTATTATTTTGTCATAAAGAATCGACTTGGAAAGATTTCTTTGCAAAACCGATTATTCACAGAAGTTCAGTACTACATGAAGTATTTACAAAATATTGATATATCAAAAGCCTTGAAATTAATTGCACAAAAAGATTGGATGGATACTGCTATCGATAAAGAAAATTTCAGTAGATTAAAAGGGTATTGCACTTTAACGATGTTGAAGCTATTCAAAGAAATTTCGAAGGAAGATTCATTATACTGCGAGTCCGAACATTTATGGAATGAATACTTTATGGAGTTTTTGAAAAATAACATATTTTTTCCTCAATTACTGGGTATCAACCAAATGAATCAAGAGGAGCATCGGAATAATGTAATCGAACTGCTCAATCAAATCTCAAGCAGAACAGAAACAGCAATGAAATTGGCAGACGTGATTACTACTTACATAAAAACAAATTCAGATACTACAATAGACATTAAAGAGAATGTTGGCCTGAAGAAAAGGAGTATTTTAAAAGGATCGATATTGTTAAAGGAGACATCCTTAAGTCAAAAAGGCTTTATAAAAACTGAACTGCTTTTAGTAGACGTGATTGACAAGCTCATGAACAGTATGTATGCAGAAGTTAAAAATGGTGTCATATTTTTGAATGAGCTTAAAGATACAGTGTATGCGTATTGTTCCTCTCTGTTCGAATTTGCGCTCAAGAATCGTGAGGAATTTGTGAATTTCGTTAAACATTTGTACAAGCCATACTTAGTTCAAAGCATTGATTACGCCAAGGAACTGAATTTTTGTTTATATTGTCTCCAAAGATTTGCTGAATGTACGATTCCAGCTATTCTAGACAACTTTCTACTTTTTCTGGATACATGTATTGAAGAAAATAATATATCAATCACAGTTGAACAATTAATATTCATATTCAAGCATATTCAAAAAGACAGGAAACTGAAACATCACGGCAGGGCAGTGGTTAGCAGTATAGGCGCCAAAAGTTTCGCCTTTATAAGCTACTTCAAGGTATACGAAAATATTGATTTGGGATTGGAATTCATAAAAAACATGTTACTTTTATACCCGGAAGTTGATATTGTCTTTACATACTGGATAATCGACTTGACGAAAAGTGGAGATAGGACTATGGAAGCGTTTGATGTACTGATTCAAGTTCTGAAAGATCAGTCAGAGTTAAGGTTAGTTGATGCATTGCATTGAACAAATATTTTTAGATTTCATAAATTTCTGCTACAAACTTTGCATTTGTCTTGTTTGTTTGAAGCACAAAATGATATAAAATTATTTTTTACTGAAGTAAAAATGGCGCCATGTACATTCCCACACAATGCCTTCATCATATTTCATAAAGGATTTCGAGCTAGACCCCATAGCAATAAGACAGCATCATATATTTTATATTGAGGATAGAATAGTATAGATGGTATGTTTTCGTTCGTTGATCCAGAGATCAAGCCTAGACCATGCTGACGAGTTGCCAAAAAAGAACGAAACAGTTGTTCAGGATTGTCTACGTCTTTGGTTGGACGGAAGAAAGCAGCATGTTAAAGTTAGTCGCCTGAGAAAAAGTTAGTTACGAACATGTATAACAGATAAATTAATAGAATCAAGTCAGTCAAACAGGCCCATACAATTTGTCCATCGTCATGCTTTCCCTGCCCTATCGGTAGTCACCGTCCATCTCGCAACGTCGCATCTTCTCGATGTCTGATAAAGGGTGTCTCAATAAGAGCGCCAGATTTGATTTCCAAGAAAAACACAATTTCTTTTCGAATTAAGCGAGTATTTATATTTCAACATGGAGAGGAATAGTTGCGATTAAACATGAAATGGTCACCTTTGGCACAGAGTGAGTCTTTTCTTAAAATTCTGGATAACGTTTTTGCCCAACTGTGGCTCTATTTCGTTGATAAAGTGCCGTATCTCTTCTTTAAGGCGTTTCACTGTTTGTGGCTTGTTCGCATACACATTGTCCTTCACATAGCCCCAGAGGAAGAATTCTATTGGCGCACGATCTTGGTGACCAATTTCGACCGCCAAACCGAGAGATGACACGGTCTGGAAACTTAGTCCGCAGCAACATGATTGTTTCGCGTGCTGTGTGGCAGGTCGCACCGTCTTGTTGGAAGAACATATCCTCCACATCAATTCGATCCAACTGGGTCCACAAAAACTCGGTTAACATTTCGCGATACCGCACACCATTAACAGTTACCGCGGATCCAGCTACATTTTCGAAGAAATACGGTCCAATCACTCCACAATGCGCACCAAACGGTAACTCGCGGCGGATGCATTGGTTGTTCGATTATTACACCACGGTTTTCAGAACCCCATATTGGGCAGTTCTGCTCATTGCGTCAGTTGAACTTTGTACGCGTGCAAGCACAGATCTTTTGTCAAAATTCGTTGCAGAGTGGATCTGGAAAGGTTTAATTCTTGGCCACGATGCCGAATGGAAGTGCCTGGATTCTCGGCCACACTTTCCCACACTGCGACTATATTTTCGAGGGACTGACCAGCAAGGCGACGAACAGTGGTCTTCACAGTTAGCAACGTGAATTTTGTCTGAAATTTTGTAATGAAACGGCGAACTGTCGACTCATTTGGCGCATTACTGCGACCGAAAATTGAACGTAATTTGCGAACTGTTTCCGCGTAATTTTCTCCATTTTTGTAGTAAGTTTCCACAATAATTAAACGTTGCTCGTTTGAATACTGCTCCATGACGTCTAATTGTGTGGTCTGGACATGACAGCTGTCATCAAGTAAACACCATACCATTTGTACAAAAAAATGACAACAAATTCAAATCCGGCGCTCTTGTTGAGACACCCTTTACGTTGCGTCAGACGCGGCATAGCGTCAGTCCTGCCAGGACACTTATGGAGACCAGCATTACGGCCGGTGAACGCAGAGAGCAGAATTAGAGAAGCGTATCGAACGCATTCCTCAATTGTTTAAAGGCACATGTACAGGGAATAGTATAATGTGCGAAATATGTCAATCAGGTAGAATTACCAAGGCTGTGAGCATATAAATATACTGACATTAAAAAAATTGAGATATACCCTCTACCACCTCTCATATCTCCTAACGTTAATCTTCAACTCCTACACATTTTTTTGTAAAAACGATTAATTAAGTTTGAGAGATTTTTATTTATTTCTCAGCCGCCACTGGACCAATATTCAAAAACTGTAAAGCTTTTTCGCTCTTGGTATAGTAGTAACCTTGTGTGAAAACCCCTCCAAATCTGAGCAGTTTTTTTTGACGGCGTCAACTTCTATGGTTATTAGCCGTAAAAATCTGAGCAGTAATGTCTAGGTTATAGGGCCAAAAATTTGCGGACAGACCGACAGACAGACCGACGGAAATGAAAGACATGTTTTGTACGTCATATAACCATATCCAAGAACCATAAAAGCTTCTTATTTACGAAATTTTTCGCGATTAGGCATGGGAAGTAAAACAACTAGTAAATTTTTTCTCAACATATGTAGTTTATGATTATAAATTAGCGTCAGTGACTTTGAATTCTTATTTTTTAGTGGTATGGACACGCTGTACACAAACCTGAAGTATAGATTTCTGTCACAATCTCTACAAGCAGAGGGATATATTGACTTCAACAGAATACTGCTTTTGTTACCATCGGTCAAATCCAGCATGTTGTTGAGATTCTTTCTTGAGGGATTCATGCAAACAAATGTTGCAGTAGAAATGGCACAGTTAGTATCTGGAGTAGCAAAAAACATAACGGAAGAATTACAGTTTGACTTCATGACTCAAATATACACTATGTGCCGGGATAGCAGTTTTAGCTTTGAAAGAAGGTACAGGCTGGCCAAGGAAGTGATACCACCATTTTTTGGAAATGTTAGTTTGTCTGTTTTCAAAAGATTCCACATAGGAATTATACCAGAACTAATCAAGATGCTAGATGGCTCAAATGTTGAGCAAAAAATAATCACTTTTATAATAATAGAGGTCATGGTGACACGTATGACGATAGATGAGAGAGTTGATGTTGTAATTAAAGATTGCCATGTAACAGATGTATTGAAAAAAATAACGAAATATGCTTTAGGGGTGTTCAACGAAATGACAAACTCTGAAGCATTGAGATTACTGAGATGTCATGCATATAATGCAACAGCGTCATTGATAAGCAATATCGACGCATTGAAAAAAATTGAATTTTATGAGAAGTGCTTCCTACGTCAGCGGGGTTCCAATGACATCTTGTGGAGTGGTATTATTGATGTCACGAAAACCTTTAACTTTCCTGTTTTGTTCGATTCAATTCCTACACGAAGAACGATTTTAGTGAGCATAAGAAGCAGAAAACAAGAAGATTGTCCAAATTCGCTGCAGTACATTGAATCGCAGAGGCTTTTTAACAGCTCACTTGTCGAAGACGTTTCGAACTTCGATTTCAGCAATGCTCTTCTACGTAGCAATAAGGAGCCTGCTAGTGAAACAAGTCAACGACAAAAAGTGGTTACTCTGGATGCAGTTGATATCAATAACCATGAGTGTATGGCTGTAATTATTGGGTTGATCCAAGATATGTACGATTCGGGTATAAACGAGTTGCCTAGAGAGGATGATACTGTTGTATTACCTAGGTGGATGGATGGTAAGAATACAGAGTGACCGTCAGTTCGACGTATACAGGGTGCGGCAGCGTAACATCCTTTTTTCAGAACTTAATGAAACCCATTCTCTGAATCAGAGCATTTTTACTTGTTTTGTTTTGTAATCTAGACGTATGCCTAAAGTTTGGTCTTACATAGCTTTGAAGAACAAATCAGATAGGTGACGTTCACCTATCTTCGTACACTGAGTAAATCGATTTCTGGCAGGCGTTATGTTGGCATTTTCTTCTTGGATGTTCGTCTTCAAATATACAGGGTGACTTTGAAGTTGAGTCATTAATTTTCAGATAATGATTGTAGAAGGAAGATAAACCAAAATATGTGTGTAAAAATAAAAAAAAATTAAAAAAAAAATGTTACCTTGTTTTATAAAGTATCCTCCCGACAAGTATTTCAGTGCGGACCTGTGCGCCCAAAAGCATGTCACAAAAACTGTTCGAAATGATTTCCGTTTTGCTCGACGCACAGCTGGGCGCGTCTTAGCCATGTCTCTTTACAAGCACGCAATAAAATCACTGGTTGATTTCTGATCACTGTACCCATTTCCTCAATTCGAGCACGTAATTCTTCGCGTGTATTAACCGGTGTTTTATACACTAGAGTTTTTAGCCAACCCCACAAACAAAAGTCTAAAGGATTTAAGTCCGGAGACCTTGGCGGCCAAGGTACAAAACCGCCACGGCCGATCCAACGATTATTAAATTGTCTATTTAAAAATTCACGCACATTTCTTGCATAATGGGGTGGTGCCCCATCTTGTAAAAACCACATGTTTTGTCTAATATTTAAAGGCACATCTTCCAGTAAACCAGGCAAATTGTGTTGCAAGAAATCAAAATAATTTTCACCAGTTACGCGATTTGGTAATTCAAAAGGCCCCACTAAAATTCCATTAACAATTCCCGCCCACAGGTTGATTGGTTCAAATCGCTGTTGAAAATTGGTTTCCCTTATTTCATGGGGATTTTCAATAGCCCAAACGTGAGAATTACGTGAATTAATAATTCCGTTTCTAGTAAAGAGGGCTTCATCACTCACTAAAATTTGATTTAAAAAATTGTCATCATTTTGATGTTTATTTAAAAGCCAATTGCAAAAGTCAACCCTTTGTTCATGATCTTCCGGTTGTAAGGCCTGCACTTTTTGTATGTGAAACGGATAGAACTGATTTTCACGTAGAGAGTTTTCCAAGTTTTATACTGACTAATCGCCAATTGAGTTGAAATTTGTCGGGTGCTTACTGTTGGATCATCACTTACTAATTCTAAAATTTGTTCTTCTAGTTCTATTTGATCGTGTGGTCTTGGAGCACCGGCATGATCTCCTCTGTGAGGTCTTAAGTCACCTGATTCACGAGCTCTTTGCACTACATTAACAAAGGCACGAGGGGTTGGTTGCACTCGATTGGGAAACCGATCCGCATAGATCCGTGATGCCGCGGCAGCATTTTGTAAAGACTCCCCGTAAATAAGAACCATGTCCACAAGTTCAGCATTTTCGTAAACATGTGCCATTTTTGATTTGAGCCTCGCAACAGACACGATTATTCACTTACGCGTTACCGACTACCGACTGATACTGACTGTATACAACTGAAGAAAATAATTGTAAAAAGATCGTTCCAAATTCTTTCGCTTTTTTGTTTCCGATGCGATGAACGGATAAGGCGGATTATATCTGTTGTCGCCAAACACGAGAACATAATATCATTATTGAGACAGGGCGGTACTCAAACTTCCAAAGGGCTATAACTTTGTTACTTTAATTTTACCAGAAAAATGGTAAAGGAAAAAAACATTTCTTTTGATCAGATCTACTCACTGTTAAAATAAATGACTCAACTTCGAAGTCACCCTGTATAACGGTTATATAAACAAGGGATTTGAAAAAAAACCATAGAAAAAATCAGAAGGGGCCAAATCAGGAGAGCGGGCCGCTCAATCCAAATCACCCCTAATTGGGAAGTGTTCCTTCAAAACAGCCATCGATGCTTTTGATGTGTGCGCAATTGCACCGTCTTGTTGGAACCAAATGTCCAACTCATCTAGCCATGGGAAACAATTCATGTAACATGTTCACATACCGGTCCGAATTTACTGTCACTGCGACTATATATTCCTTAAAGAACCAGGACCAATAGTTCTAGCTGAGGAGATTGCACACCATGCTGTGACTTTAGGTGAATGCAAAGGCATTTGATGCAATTGTCGAGGATTGGTGTCAGTCCAGAAGTGCACGTTTTGTTTATTGACGTATCCACAAAAACAATAGCGTCCTCAGGAACGACCTCGATACAACGGTCACACGCGTCTTGTCGCACTTGCAGTTTGTCTGAACGTTGTGACCCAAGTAACAATTGATTTCTATTCCAGGACGGGCCAACGGCAAAAGCACGCTCCTCACTGTTCCAACACATGATGGCGACTGAATTGTATCCGGGCAAAACTTTATAGCCCCGCTTCGCGAACGAGACCACTAGCGCTGCACGCATTTTATAAAGTTATGCTGCCGCACCCTCTACTACTAGAGATTATTTGCATCAATTAACCTTCATTAAGTGAGAGGTTAAAAGTGACATCCAAGATTTTTTCTCATCTTCCTGTCATTGAAGATAATTTTGCAAAAAGTAATTCCCCTCTAAACTGATAGCTAGGAGCTAGCAATAGTTTTTGTTATTTATATTCCTCACAAAAATTATCAATATCTTGGAAGTAGATTCTAGATCTGTTATTCTGTGATATTGAATATGCCGGAACGGAACATTTATTTAAAATAACTGATAGTTTACAGTTTCGAAAAAAATTTTAATCAAGTATAGTGCTTAAAAGCCAAAATTTTGTTTAACGACGTCATGTTTCATAAACAATTCGTATGTAGATATCTTTTCGAAAATCACTCATCTTCAATTTTCAGTAGATGGAAATTAAATGTTCCGAATGATTCTTTTCGCTCTTTTCAAGGCACCGGCCGCATCCATAACTATGAAAGTGTTATCGTTTTAAGTCGAATGTGACATCTTCAAAATTATTTTTGATGTTGCAGTTAATAGTAAGGTCCACCTATAATCAATGGGTTTTTGGATAATTTTCTTATAAAATCGTTGTGCTGAGGGTCTCAATACATACGTAGAATAAATTGTCTTTGGTCGTAAAGTCGAACTTTTAGAGATATACAGGGTGTCCCAGAAATAACACGCCAGAGTGACATGCGAGGTAGATTGGCTTCAGATCAATCAGATAAAATCAACATGATTTAAGTAAAAGTTTTCTAGTTTTCGAGATATTTCCACTTTGAGTTTTTTTCAAAAAATCAGTACTTTTTGCTAATTTTTTGCCTCATGGCTATAAAGAACTTCTAACTTATGATTTTTTCCTGGGCTACCAATAACAGTTGATTGAGACAACCGAGTATTCATTTCATTGAAAACTAGTATGGTATGCTAAAAAAAAAAATCATTAAACGTCTCAAACTTAAACCACATATTTCGCGTGCTGATTGACGGATTCACTGACGCAGTTCATCGGCTGATTGAACTGGTTTTCCATAGACCTTATCTTTTAAACATCCCCAGTAAAAAAATCCAGAGGGATCAGGTCTGGGGAACATGGGGGCCTCAAAATTGGTCCTAGCCGGCCAATACATCTTCTAGGGAATATTTCAGCAAGATACCCCCTTACTGCATCAGCATAGTGCGCAGGGCTCTCATCATTCTGTAACCACATCCTTCTTCTTGTCTCAAGAGGTACATCTTCCAAAAGAATCGGTAGGTGATGTTGCAAAAAATCTAAAGTAAAGACAAAACTCGGAGTTATTCAATTTTTAGTAGAAAGAACCTACAAATGTTATACTATTTTTAAAAGGGCATTAAATAGATTAGTTTGTGAGATGATTTGCCGATTCAGTCTGGTACATTTTTTTTCACAGCAACCAGTCAAACTTTAGTAAAGGTTTTCACATTGAAAATTTGTTAGCATACCTTGTTAGTTTTCAATTAAATGAATATTCGATTGTCTCAACTAACAATTAATGGTAGCCCGGGAGAAAAAATCATAATTTAGAAGTTCTTTATAGCCATATCAGGCAAAAAAGGAGCAAAAAGTAATGATTTTTTTGAAAAAACTTGAAAGTGGCAATATCTCGAAAACTAGAAAACTTTTACTAAGGCCAAGTTGATTTTATCTGATTGATCTGAAGCCATTCTATCTCCTGTGTCACTCTGGCGTGTTATTTCTGGAACACCATGTATAGCTTTCAAATTGGACTAGCATCCTACATTGTAATATGAACACTGTAAGCGGCCTGTGATAGATACTTTATGTTAAGGTTGTCATAATTTATTTACATATAACTCAACAATCACAAAATCCACATACGTGCTTAGTAATTTTCAGTAAGAACTCACAGAAAAACTACCATTGCTCTAAGCTTATTAAAACTGTGGTAGCTCTAAAAAGTCCTAGTTCCTATAATCACTATAACAGGAGCATAGCGATGAGTGCAGCAGTCGGTTCGTTCGTGGGGTAGGTAGGTACAAGGCACGGTTGGCCCTTGTTCGTATTCCAGGGTTTTGGAATTGAGCATATCCAAAAATGGTGGACAATCATATTGGTAATTTAAAACTTTAAATAAAAAAACTGGAGATTGTATCTTATTCCTTGTATTGAGAAATTCATGGTTTGACGTAAGATATTTTGTGATATCTCTATGGGAGGATAAGTACTTTTAGAATTCCCTGTGATTTTTTTCCAATGACTCGCATGTCATGGGCTCCAGATTATTCTTGCATATTCCAGCTTAGAAAGAACAAACAAATTGAAAAAAACCAAACCTGTAGGTGCTGCGATACCGGTAAACTCTCTTTAATTTTTTATAACAATTCTCAGTGCTTTATTGGCAGAATGTAATAAATAGATGAGATGAGAATGGTCAATTTTGTAAATATTTTTGATGCCATTTACTTTCCTAGTAAAAGTTGAAGATTTAAATTTGTTGTGTACTTTTGTTGTTGGGAAGTTCGTTAGAATAACACCAGTCAGTTAGTCTGTCAAGATTCCTTTGTAGATAAGAGCAACGAGATGGATCATCAATTTTCGAAAGTTTTATGTCAGCTGCGTAGAGCAGAATATTATAGTCGATCCGATCTACTGTATCATTTATAAAAGTAATGAATAGTAGGGGACGTAAAAAGGACCCTTGTGGGACACCAGTGGATGGAAAAAGATGAATTGATTTCTCAACGCTAAAATCCACATAAGCGTTGCCGCTTTTTAGACCTTGTACTAAGTAATCATTGAATACACAATCTGTATAGTTTGCCACCGGAGAAATACTCGTAACACTGTAACAAAATTTTTTGATTACTACAAAGGGTACTAGAAAGTTTTGCAATATGACTTAATAAACGGACGCAGGAGGCTGCATGTTAGTGCATGTTGAGACCTGTCCATGAGTGCATAGTAGCTGCCAGCAGCACGTCTGTTGATTTAGTTGTTCATTCGTAGTGACAGTGTAAAGTGCGGACTATGACATCGTGGTCACGTATGAGATAAGGGCAGTTTTACGGTATAACTTTACGAGTGGTTTATTGCTTGCATTAAAGAATGATTGTCCTCATCGTACGACTATATTTAGGTGGTACAGATAATTCCAAAGGGGCAATTTCACGTAGAGGACGCCCGCGAACGTCAGTAACAGAGGAAAACATTACTGCTTTGAGGAAAATGCTCGACGAAGACCGGGGAGAGTGACATACCAACAGTAAGGAAACTTTGTTCTCTCTGTGGGTACCGCATAGTCTGACGGAAGACCAGAAGTCTCGTCGTACGACTTGGTGCCGAAAGTTGCTGAAAATGTTTGATAAGGGGCAATCTCGGTATGTGAACAGCAACAGCGTCGTGTCAGGCGACGAGACTTGGGCCTATTATTACGATGTGCCGACAAAGCCTCAAAACAAAGCTTGGGTCTTTGATGATGAGGACACACCCGTAGCGGTCAGAAAATCCCGATCTGTCAAGAAAAAAATGATAGCTGTATTTTTCAAATCTAGCGCGATTGTGAAGCGTGTCGTTTTGGACACACAAAAGACATTCCCAGCTAAGTGGTGCACGGAACAGTGCCTGTCTAAAGTTACAGTCTATTAAAAACCTGCGGCCAAAGTCAAGAATGGACACTAGGTACCTCCACCATGACAAAGCTCCAGCTCACCGCACCAAAGCCTACACCGAGTATTTGACTACTACTGGACTGATACTTATTGAGCACTCTCCTTACAGTCCAAATCTTGCTCCCTGCGACTTTGCGCTGCTTTCGCATGTGAAGAGAGCTGGTTTTGGCGGATGAAGAAGTGTTTTGGATGTGGTAGAAATTGCTTTGAACGAAGTTAATAAATAAAGCTGTATTGCAAAAGTTTTATATTACTCTTTGTATATACTATTTAGTTTTTCTAGGAGCAAACCATGATATACCAGAATATTTCTCCTTAACCATAAGTAGGTACTACAAAATTTCAGGGCCTGTTTTGAATGATGTTTTGGGTTTTTTCTTTAAAACCGTCATTTTCCAGGTATTCGATGGACCTTAGTGAATAAAGAAACTCACAAAAATGTTAAGATGTTCTTAGTGAAAGTAATAGACAATATGATTCACATATTTGATTATTATCCCAAGTGGTTTTTACTACCTTTAATGCAGTTCATTGTTGACGAATGTGCGGGGAGCAATATTAATTATTTCGTCGCTGACGTGGTAAGATGTTTTTTATTTTAATATTTTTAATCATGTTAGAAGCCCCAATTGATTAGTAGAGAAGTAGTAATGGAAAAAATAATCCATGATGTGGAACAGTGGCTAGTTACAAATAGATAATTTGCACTATTCTTGATTTATTTCATACTTTTTTAGTTGGTTATCATTTCAAAATGGGCGAGTGATCTTAGAGACCTTCATGAAGAAGATCAAGCGGTTGCTTCTCAACTGGTAAAATTTGTTACATCAAATATTAACACAGAGCGAGAAGATATAATGAAATACCACCTGGACATCTTGAAGTTATTAGTGGAGTCATGGCGTAATTTCACTGAAGTTCCTACTGACGTCATTTCAAAATTATTCTATGATGACAACACTTGCGTAACTGGTATACAAATAGCGACAGTGATGTTAGCAAATGGCTTGGAGCCTTGGTGTGGCAACGAAGAGGAAAGATTTTTTGAAGCACTTCTAAAGAAATTCAGCTGTTCTAAGCTGTTACGGTTATATTCAGAAGCCATTGGGTTGTTTTTGCATTTCATGAAAAATCGTGACGATTATATACAGAAGGTGTGCAATAAACTGTCGGAAATTATTCGAAACAATCCCAAGAGCGATGACTATTATGCATGCCTAGAAGGTAAAAAAATATAGAGAATACACATTTTTAGTTATATTCATTCTATAATTTTCTACAACTAGTTAAAGTCAAACTTGTCTATGTCTCTTTATATCATAATGAAATAATATGTCCATATAAAGTTGATAAGTCTCTTTTTGCGTTTTTTTTATTTTGAACTTCTAATGTGTTTATACAGGGCGTTTCAGTTTATTGTTGCATAACTTTAAGATTTGATAGAACTTTTAAAATGAATGCATAAAGTCTATATAAACATGGGTCGAAAAATGCGTGGCTTCCGAAATACAGGGTGTTTAAATTTACTTTCTAAAATAGTTTTTTTTTTAAATATTTCGAACAATATTTGATGTATAACAGTGAAAATTGGTATACAAGGGTTTTTTGGTACGACAAAACGAACCATGGCATAGTTTTACTGTAGCCGCTAGAGGGCGCTCTCTACTGTACCTCTAGTGTATTAAAATGACCGAAAAATTTTTCTTAGTGCAATTTTTTGCTTTTTGAATAAAAAAACTGATTCTTCGCACTTTTCAACATAAAAAAGCTCTCTTGTGAATTTTCCTTATAGTTAGCCGTTTTTGAGATATTTCGATTTTTAGGGTTCGATGCATTTTTAATTATTTATGGGAAAATAACGTTAAAAAGTCAGTATCTCGATAATTTTTAGAAGTAGGCTGTGCTTGAAAATATTTTTGAAATTGAAAGCAGAATAAGGTTAAACGTCAATTAGTTGACAGTTAGTTTTGTTGTCTGTTGAAACCAGAAACGTTTTTTTGCAATTGTGAATGCACGAAATTTAGTTTTATTACCTGTTTTTTTTTGCAAGTTTTATAAAAATGCCATTTTTATTCTCCAATCAAGAGTTAGCGGATATTCATTTTGTGTATGGATTTGTAAATGGAAACGCAGCAGAAGCAGCCAGAGAATACGCACGAAGATTTCCAAACAGACGATATCCAACTCGTTCAGTATTTGTAAGAGTGCATCGCCAAATAATTGAAAATGGTTTTGGAAATCTCCAAAGGGATCAAAACATAAATGTTCGCCAGCACAGATTTACCCGTATGATTCTGCGTGAGTTTGATAGAGATCCTACCACAAGTGTTAGGAGAGTTTCAGGTGTCTTGGGAATTTCAGCAAGTTCACCGTGTTCTTAGAAATGACCATAGACGTCCTTACCATTTGCAACCTGTGCAAGGACTACAGCCAGGGGACGGAGAACGAAGAATCACATTTTGTCAGTGGATTCTTGATAGAACTGGTAATAATAGGGACTTTTTAAGTAACGTTTTATGGACCGATGAGTCATGCTTCACTAGACGTGGAGTGGTAAATTTTCATAATCAACATATTTGGTCGCATGAAAATCCGCATGCAGTTCGGGAAAGAAATTTCCAGCATGAATTTAGTGTGCACGTGTGGATTGGTATCTACCGTACCTTTTGCCTGCAAGGTTAAATGCTGCGACCTTCTTGGAATTTTTAAAGGCTGAATATGCAAATATGTGGGATGATGTTATGTTAGATTTAAGAAGACTGGCCTGGTTCCAGCTTGATGGTTGTCCAGCTCATTATTCGAGAATAGTTAGAAACTGGCTGGACGAAAATTATCCAGAAAGATGGATCGGCCGTGGAGGACCAGTCGCCTGGCCTCCACGATCCCCTGACCTAAATCCATTAGATTTCCTTGTGTGGGGATTTCTAAAAGAAAAAGTGTACCAGACTCCCGTAACCACAAGAGATATGCTAATAGACATAATCAGGAATGCATGTGATGATATAAGGCCTTATTTGAATAATGCTATACCACGTTCGATCATTCGTAGATGTGAATTGTGTATTGAACAATTGGGTTTACATTTCGAGCAACTACTTTAGATTTTGTATGTTTGTCCTAACTATACAATAGCATTTTAGTTGTAAATAATTAATTTAATTTGTTAAAAATAATATTGGAAAATTAAACAAATTAATATTCGGTTTTTTGTGTTTTATTTGGAGTTAGGAATTATTGCTGTGTTTAAAAACACAATCTAAACGATCATCTTAATTACTTGTAATGCCCAAATCGAAAATGTAAAAAAAAATATTATTTTCCCATAAATAATTAAAGCTGCATCGAACCTTAAAAATCGAAATATCTCAAAAACGGCTAACTATAACGAAAACTCACAGGAGAGCTTTTTTTTGTTGAAAAGTGAGAAAGTGAGAAGAATCAGTTTTTTACTCAAAAATCAAAAAATTGCACTAAGAAAATTTTTTCGGTCATTTTTATACACTACAGGTACAGTAGAGAGCGCCCTCTAGCGGCTACAGTTAAACTATGCCATGGTTCGTTTTGTCGTACCAAAAAACCCTTGTATACCAATTTTCACTGTTATACATCAAATATTGTTCAAAATATTTAAAAAAAACTATTTTAGAAAGTAAATTTAAACACCCTGTATTTCGGAGGCCACGCATTTTTCGACCCATGTTTATATAGACTTTATGCATTAATTTTAAAAGTTCTATCGAATCTTAAAGTTATGCAACAATAAACTGAAACACCCTGTATATTACACGAGAAATACGTATCACTACATTTTTAGTCGCTTTGAAATAATATCCATCACTCATTTTTTTAGGAATAGCTGTACACTTCCCACTAATATTGGATGCAGATCACTGTACTAGGTTGATAAATAAACTCAACCAAGTGTCTATTGCTCGCAGAGCCTCAAATTTGAAGATTATCCACAAAAGGCTGGAAAAATCCTTAGATTTACTTTACGAAATTAATGATTTCAAGATAATTACTTGGCACCAGTTATTGGAAGAGCCGAACTTGGAAATCCAAATAGTTACGTTCGAAATTATCAAAAAGTGTATCGAACTCTTCAGCAGCTATGATCTTTTTGATGCTGTTATGATGACACTTTTGAAAAGTACCAATAACTCGAATGCTTTATACCGTTCATGCATTTATGATGTTGCTATCCTACTGTATGGCTTGAAAAATAAATATTTTGATCAAAGCAAAGAAATCCTGGTCCGCGCTCTGGTAGACTCGGATGTCAACAATCGCGAAAAGGTACTTAAATTTTGGGAAGACAACGAGGATATACCTAAAAATGTTATCAATAGATTCTCATTTCTGCTGTTAGAAATGTACAAACCTGAGATTGAACAACAGTTTTTGGGTATTTTGACTCATCTGCTACTTAGTTCATTAACAAGTAACGAAAGCTATGATGCTCCTCTTTTCAAAGATCCACTAGAGCATTGTGATTTTGAAGATTATAAGCTGAGAACGAATTGGAGATTACAACATCGTTCGGTTGTACCAATGTTTGCAGAAACGTTGCAAACAGTCTACGAAAACAGCATGGATCAGGATATGGATATGTTAAAAAAAACACAAGGACATACGTTTACTCAGAGCATACAAGAGCAACAGCTACAGGAATTGGTTAGTCTAGAAAGTTCTTTGAGTTTTTCTGAAGGACGCATTAAAGATCCTAATCGTTTAAATTTGTCGCAAAAGTATCGACATAAAAGACGATTTTTACAAGATAAGGAAAAAATATCCAGGTGGCACGCTCATCATGAGACCCAAAAGAAGATAGAGAATATGAAGAAAATGATTGATGATGCTAAAGAAAGGGAGAAAAAAGTCACAATTTACAGGAAATACAGGAAGGGGGATTTTCCAGATATACAGATAAAGGTGTCATCCATGCTTAAGCCATTGCAAATGTTAGTTATGGTAAGCAAATTTCGTAAGATTGAACAAATTCTCGAAAAAAAATGCTAGTCCACCGAATCTGTGTTTTGTTTTGTTTTTAGAATGACACCGAAGTGGCTAATATCATGTTCTCAGATATATTCAAAGGGCTTTTGAATAAGGTGAAAGACAACCATGAATTTTTAAGCTCGGTTTCCAAAGCAATCGAGCAAATTTTTCAAACTTCTACTCACAGCAACCGTCACTTATTTGGTGTATTGTTGGATATAATCTTGTTAAATACATCAAGTATTCGTTTAGAATCGTCAGTAGTCACTTTAGCTAGTCAGCAGTGTGGCTTACCATCTGTAGGAGCGTTGATTTTAGAGAAGTATTTAGCTTCTGTTGATACGGGCCCGAGTGGGAGCAAACGAAGACCAGGGCAGATGGATGTTGAAAACATGTTGTGGCTTAAGCTTGCTGAGTAAGTGATAGTATTATTATCAGCCGAAAAAAGCTATTGGTAGGACCGCCTGACGCCTTGACCTCATAGGCACTGCATTGTCTGAAAATATTGCCAAGTATAAAGAGTAACGTGGGCATACATTACGACACACAGTAGTCTATCTATGCGGAAACCTATCAAAAATTGAAAAAACAAAGTATTGAAAATGAACGAAAACGGATTTCTATTTTTAGCTTCACTTCTTCATATCAGTTATTATTCAGAGAGATTTTCAATAAGGCTATGCCCTTTGCCCCAACTGGAATAAATGATGTATGAGTATTGTCAGATAAAATTTAGTATCGTTGTTTGGTAAATTTTGCAAATTATTTTTACTAGTAGTTTTTTTTCAATTAGGAGATTTTTTTGATGATCTCAAATACAATTTAACAAATAAATTAATGCCTAACATTACAAAGTATACGTTGTACGCTTTTAAAACTTACTAGTAGGTATTTTTCATATATTTAAATATGACCAAATGGAGGGTCCGCTTCTATCACAAATCGAATCGAAGCGAGTACAAACGTGTTGTTATTTTCAAATACTCCGCTATTGTTTAAGAAATTACGTAAAATATGTTTAAATTAGATGTTTAAAGTTTGTTTATACTATATTTTGTCTTATGTTTAACAATTTCATATTTTAAAACAGAAATAAGGTACGTTGTTTGCATTGGTTTGGCAACTTGTGTTATCAAAGTAACCAACAGGTTGAAGAGATGTAATGTATATTTTTCATGTTACAATGTATTATGCATTCTCCAAAAATGTTTTTGTTCATATAGGTTGTACAGAGATTTGGAAGAGTGGGATACCGTACAGTCAATATTCATAGAGAAGGTGGACTGTGGTAAAGTCAAAATGGCAATACAGCTGGAGTCAGAGTCAAAGTTCAGAGAAGCGCAGGATATATATCACCAAATAATAGCGGAGTCTTCAGAAGATTGGAATGATTTCTATTGGGAATCGTATCTAAGATGTTTTGCCGCTTTGGGCGAGTGGGAGAAACTCCCTGAGGCTATCAACCTCGCATTAGAAGACGAAAACACTTGGCGGGGTCTTTGGGATGACAAACGTTGTCAAAGGAAATTATTACCTTGGTATGTTGATGCACACTTGAAAAAGGGGTTGTTTTCAGGTATTTATATATTTGTCTCCTAATTGTTGATATCGCATTAAGATCTTCCTTGAATACAGTCATCTTCATCGTATAGGATAAGGATGACTGTTCAGCTTGGCAGACTGTTGCCAGGTGGCGTTTGTCACAATACAGTTATTTATTTGCAACTTCTTTCAAAGGCAACTTCGATGGAGAATTTTTGAGCAACATAAATGAAGGTCTTACAGACCCAGAAAAAAATGATCACTTGAAGATACGTTATTGCGAGGAACTTTGTATAATGTGGTTGATGAAAAGAGATATACCTACCGCTAAAATCTATTTGGAAAACTATTACCAACACTTCCTGGAAGAGTGGCAACATATGAATCCAATTTTTCAATTGCCCAGATATATGAAGTTATTGAACCTGAGGAATATAGTTGAATCAGGAGAATTCATGAATTTGTATAATGATGTCTCAGATGCAGTAGAAGAAACATTGGAGAAATTCATTACTAGGTTGCAGCGATCTACTGAGAGGTTTGTATAGAAACTGAGGTATTTTCATCCATAAATAAGAAGAGAGACAACTACTGTTAATCCACTGACCGTTTACCCATCATAAAGAGGGCTATGTTTTTCCCACGTGCTTATGTTGACTAGAATAATCCTATTTCACAGAATGAATTTTCACATATGAGGTTTTGTTAGTTCGGACTTAGCAGCGAATGACTCTGCGTATGCTAAAATTTTAATTGAAAGAGAATAAAGCAACCTCAGGAGCAACACGGAATAACCCTCTTGATCAACGCCTTTGTCGTTGGTATTAATAGTTCCGTCCCTTGGCGGTACTACTATCCCCGTCAGCCAGTTCCATGTTGATCCCCCCGTACGTCACATCGCGCTAACAAATATTGTTAATTTAATTTGTATGAGTATACAGGGTGGACCACCCATGTGTGGACGGAATATTACTCATAAACAAATTCATTTTAGACAAACAGTGGGCTAGTTCCATATTGCCACAGAGTACAGATTTGACTTAAAAACTAATAACAATCAGAACAGTATAAATCCGCTTCAAGCGTAATAGAGAAAAACGACTATAACAACAACATAAACAAACAACTATCACTACTCAAGACCTAATCTACAAAAACTGCTCGAAAATATCTCCACCATGTTGAATACACAGCCATAGTCTTTGGATAAATGAACGTTGCAGATTCCCTCAGCATTTGTTCCCTTATGTTCAGAAAAGCATCCTTTCCTTCATATTTTCCGGGATAGATGGTGGATATCTATAAACCTCTTGCTTAACGTAGCCTCATAGAAAGAAGTCCATCGGTGTCATATCTGGTGATCTAGGAGACCAAGATATAGGCCCATCACGACCGATCTAACGATTGTTACTCCAGGTGTCCAAATAGTTACGCACACGATTATGATAATGTGCAGGTGCGCCGTCATGTTGGAAGCACATATGCATCCGAGTTTGCAGGTTGACATCCTTCCTTCCTTATCCAGGAAAGTAGTGTCTTCACTCACTTTATTTAGCATTATTCTACTAAACTCCATTCGAGCTGCGAAATCCTGAGGACGAAAGCCTTGATGCAAGCATAGGTGATATGGATGGTACATACCTATGCTCTGCACATATCAGTTTCTGCTCCAATTTGCCGTGCACTTGAATAGGGATTTTCCTGCAACTTTAATAGAACCTTCAACTGATTCGCCTCATTGGTGACACTTGTATTATTTACAAATTTTTTACTATATTCCACTGCTCCAATTGATTCAAAACAATCTCGTAGTGTGGAAAATGTTTCCGGCCTTGGATGTCACATATTAGGGTACCGTTGCTTATAAATGCCAGATGCTAAGAAACTATTTCTTTGGGCTTCGCCCAAAACAAACACCACCAAATTCACCATTTCTTCTTTAGAAAAATTCATTTTCAAACACGTTTGTATTATTAACAATTTATCTGTTTCCAAGGTTGATGCGATATTTTAGGGAATTAAGCCGTTTCATAAAAGATATACTGAAAAAATAGCTGTAAAAACCCTTATGTATCTAGTATAAAAAAAGCTTATAAAAATTTGAATCCGAACTTACACAAATATACACGGTGATGCATTTGAATTTCTTTAGTAAAAACTACAATTTGCTGAGGGGTTGCCGAAGTGGGGGTTTTTCTATACAAAATACTTTATATCTCAGTAGCTAATTACCAAAACCCCATAGTATGTTATATCAATTTTCTTCTTTTGCATTTTTTTTATACTCCAACGACCAGGAAGGCCTAAGGCCTAAACACCCATTGGGTACCGTGGGGCTATAGGGGGGTACAGGGGAAAGGGGGAACGCCACACGGACTCTGGCGATGGAACACGTGTGCATGCAACATGCACACATTCTGGCTCCGCCTACAAGATCCGCTGGGTGGTACTCCCGCGTTCGACAGTCAGAGACCGTCTACCACCTACCATGAAGGAGCTTGTGAAGAGTGATACCGTACCCTTGATACTTTTCAAATCCAACAAACCCTGCTGAATTTACTACATAAAAGCTGTCTGTCTGATTCCCCTCCCAGGATAGACCACAAATATATCAGAAAATGACGTTGTACCATCTCGAGCATCTGCTTCTGGCATATGTATGCCTTCAAATAAATGAACTATATTCTAACTCAGGCCAGCACACGCAAAGTATAGTCTTTATAAAGCTTCAACACTGGTGAACTATTTGCAATTTCTCATTATGTATTCTTGTAGCTTCATTCACTTTTTGCAGTATACTTTTTGAAGCTAAGACCTGTGTCAAACTATACACCAGGACCCATGATAATGCCGCGCAAGCTCATTTGATCTGGCTGAGTGTAAATAATGGCAAGTTTCTCATATAAATATAACATATTTTTCTTGATAATGAGTTAATAAAACGTACTATTTGGCTTTGAAGTATGGGTTAAATGAGTGTTCACAGCAATTTAACTTGACTTTAGAAATATACTGTGCTATAGACAAACGTACGTGATGCATTTGAAATTTTTGAGGAAAAGTACAATTCGCGTTTTTGATCACCCTGTATGAGCAAAAATGAAAATTAGTAACAAGTAGTAACAAATAAGATAAAAGCTGAGGTGCGTAAGTTTCTTTATACAAAATTCAGCACTCGAAATTTCAAAATTGCGGATTGAGGGGTTGCCGAAGTGGACGGTTTTTCTGGACATAACACTTTACATCTCAGTAGCTAATTACCAAAACCTCATAGTATGTTATATTAATCTTCTTCTTTTGAATTAGTTCATCCAAATATGCAATAAAATTTGAGGCATTCCATTTGAAAAATCACAACTTTGATATGTAGGTCTAAATTGGGACACCCTATATAATGGCCAATATTTTAGAAATGTGCTCTCAAAGGTCATGTATAACATCCCATAAATAGATTTTCCCAAAAGGCTTTTGTTTATAAGTAATATTCCGTCCTCACATGGAGGGCCACCCTGTATACGTATATGTGTATTAGTATGTTGAATATATACACTCTAACTGGACCGTTTCCCTTTTTCCGCAATAACAACCAACCAAGGGTGGCTGCATGGCGAGCTATACCTAATATCCTTTCTCACTTCTTTTTAAACATTTCGAAATATAAAGTTTAGTTCTCAAACTGACATATTGAAGTCAGCAGAATACAATAATTTTAGATGAAATTATTATCATTATTGATCTAGGGAGATAAAAGCTAATTCGTAGTGGGACATTGCGGCCAGTAATGGTGATTTCTTGGGTTAGTGGTGAATATAAATTGTCATTTGACCAAAACAAATCCATTTGTTTCAGGTTACCTACTATGGTATTAAACGAGAACAGATTTTTGTACGAATCACTGTACCTCCAAATATTAAACGAAAAGATACAGACATTACAAGAGTTGGACAAGTCTAAATGGAGCAGATCCATCCAAGAATTGAAAATGAACATGAGGTTTGATCTAATACTATCAGCAATATCCTTTAACATGTATTTTGTTGCGAGAAAATATTTCACAGACTACGGAAATAAATTGCCAAATGTTTCTAAAACATCGATATTATTTGGAGATATATTGTATTTGAAAGGAAATTTGACTACTGGTGATAAAAAGATATCGAGCTTTTTGGAAGCTAAAGGAAGCTATGGTGAGTTGCTTCAGAGTTTTGTTCATCAATAATACTTTTCATTATTTCTGGATCGTCTTCGATTTATCAACTGTTGATGCAGAGTAATAATATATTCTAGGATAATTGCTATAAGACACAGTTTTCCGTAAGCTTTTATGCCTGTATATGTCTGTATAATATACTAATTTTTATTTTCAGAAAGGTGCCTTCAGACCCACGATAATTTCACCAAATTATCAGTGGCATCCAAATTGTTTGAAGTATGCTCATCTATATCGAATGAATTATCATCAAATGTTGAATTATTCACGAGACATTTGGAAACGTTGAATATCAAGTTCAAAACATCATTCGAAAAACCACAAGATGTGTTACTCTATGGATTTCAGTGTTTGAAATCTGTTGTTGAAAAAGTTGATATAGTGAGTGATAGCGTGGATGTTGATAAGTACGAAAAATGTGTTGCCAAAGCTTATATGGTATTAGCCTATTACGCGCGTGAAAATACATCGCGCGAAAAAGAACTGATCCAGTTTGTATTGGAAGCCATGAAGCTGAATTCTGTGGAGGCTAGGCAGTTTTTCCCTTGCATATTGATGATTGATGCCCTTGGTGCTGTCTATCGAGATGATTTTGTTAATCTGGTGAGTATATTTTAGTTTATATTTTCGTTATTTGCTTCATTGTTTTTTTTTTTCATTTTTGAGTAACCAGATTGATATTTTGATAAAGCCATACATCATGGTTCTTGCTGACAACTAATATTATTTGGTAACTGAATATCGCACGCCTCAGAGCTGCATTTTATACAGGGTGTTCATTTGAAAACTTCCCACCACGGATTTATCGAAAACCACTAATTAAAAGAAAAAACGCCAAGACACGTCAAAAGATTTGTCAAGGGGGACAACTGTTTAACCAAAGACTACTTTACCTCCTTTCACCCTCTGCCGCCCAGGGTCATCCCCTTACAAATTTTAAATGACAAGTGGTGTCGAGTAATAGCTTGTTTGAAAGGTCTTTCGAAGTCCTTTATTTTGACGTTTGATTTTTTAAAATCGGTCGATTCGTTTTCAAGAAAATTGGAAATATCTTTATTTATCTTAATTTGTTCAGATAGAAAACAAAACACGCGAAAATATTACTTTTTATTTCAGTAAGTGTTCAAAATGTTGCTCGTTATTGGCCAAACAATGATATAGGCGATGTTCAAATTCCTGACGGACATTTTCAAAAACATGTTGTGGGACATCTTGGCAGCTTTCGATGATGCGTTGACGAAGTTCATCCAATCTTTCAGGTTGGGGAGTAAACACAATAGATTTCAAATGACCCCATAGAAAAAAGTCTAATGGCGTCAAATCAGGAGATCTAGCAAGCCAATCTATAAGCCCTTTTCGCCCTATCCATTTATCTGGAAACTCGTCGTCTAGCCATTGCCTAACCGGAAGAACATAGTGAAGAGGAGCGTTGACTTGCTGGAAATATATTTCAGCTTCATCAAGTATAGGGTTTCCATCCTCTTCGATTTGGTTTTAAATGGTTGCAGTGATAAACGGATTGATGGTATTTTCCAACATATCCAAATAAATGTCTCCATTCAAATTTCCATTAATAAACAATGGCCCAATCACTTTGTTTCCTGAAATGCCTGCCCATACATTAATTTTTTGAGGGTACTGGGTATGCCCTTCTACAAAAGCATAATACCTGCAGTTATGCTTATTAACAAATCCATTTAGATAAAATGTGCATTCATCACTGAAGCAAATATTCTTTACAAGAATGGTACTATCATTAATCGCTGCAGTCATTTGTTCACAAAACTCCATTAGCCTATCGAAATCATCTTCGGTTAACTCTTGCAATATTTTCATTTTGAGTGGATGACATTTATGGAGTTTAGTAACTGTGTGTACAGAGCCTAATGAAATACCAGTCGCAGCATCAATTTCGGGTAATGAAGTATTAGGATTCATTCCAAAACGACCCAAAATTTCACCTTGAGCGGCTTCATCCGAAAACTCTCCGATGATCACGTTTTTTATTTGCAACAGATCCAGTTTGAGTAAATTTAGTAACAAGGTCCAAAACATATCTATGCGAAGTTATCTTCCCCGGATGTCTGGCGTTAAACGTGACGGCAGTTTGCCGGACACATTGATTTTGGGCACCATAAATTAGAATCATTTTCACTCTTCGGCTCGTGTGTAAACTATTTTGCAAGTAAAATCTGAATCAATAAATTAATTTTCACTACCCCAAGATTGATACAAAGGTAACTGACAGCAAATTAAATTCTTTCTTTCCCTTAACAACAAATAACTAAACAGGTATAATAATAAATACAGTTCGCCCGGGATTTCTGCGTTGATGAAAAGAATGGGGAAAAAATTTGGGTTGTCATGTGGTTGTTGCTACGACTAATCTTCCGAATTGCTGTTTATGTTGGTAGTTTCCGTTCTAGATTATAAACGAATTGTAGATTTGGCAAACCCTAACGGGCAATATTTTGAACACTTATTGAAATAAAAAGTGATATTTTCGTATGTTTTTGTTTTCTATCGAAACAAATCAAGATAAATAGAAAAAGATTTCTCTAATTTTCTCGGAAACAAATAGACTGATTTAAGAAAATCAAACGTCAAAATAAAGGACTTCGAAAGACCGTTCAAATAAGCTATTGGATGTAAGGGTGAAAGGGGTTGAAGTAGTAGTTTTTGGTTAAAAAGTTGTCCCCTTTGACAAATCTTTTGACGTGTCTTGGCGTCTTTTCTTTTAATCAGTGGTTTTCGATAATTGCGTGGTAGGAAGTTTTCAAATGAACCCCTATATGTGTGTTATGTTGCCCAGGCAAAGGAGATACCGACTTGGATGTTTCTTGGATGGATTCCGCAAATCCTAGCAAATATGGACTCTTCAAAAATATTTGCACTGTCCGATATCATCATAAGAATCGCTGAGACTTATCCACAAGCTATAATATACCCATACCGATTGAGCAGAGAAACAAATATAGTGGAGAATGATGGATTGGAAACAGATAAAAGGATTTACGTTAAATCAAGGTATGATCAATGAGTGGAACAATGGAACAAGCTTTTGGTGATTTGAATGAAAATAATATTGGCAATTTGAATGAAAATAATATAAAAATTCGCCGATGATTACAGGTTGGACGAATTACTTTTAAAAAATGAAGTTGTCAACTGTTTTCTGAAAGCTCTTTCGTACGTCTGTCTTCCTATAATGGTTCTGAGATATTACATCGGCAAAATCAAGAAGGCGACTTCTATAGAAGATATTAAATCCATTCAAAATACTGTCATAGAAGAAGTATTCAATAAAGAACATGATTCTACACCATCCAATTTGCAAGGGGAAGTATATAGAAAAATTGAACAGTATCGACCACATTTTGAGAAACTAACAGGTAGTTAATATTCTCAAAATACTTTTAAATATATGTACTTTTATTCGAAACCCATAATAAAATCGTAATTTTTTTGATAACAATAAAAGGTGTTTTTCCTACGCCACTGGGTAGAGGAAGTATTGTAATCGCAAAAATTTTTGAAAATAATATAATGTTTTTTGTATGTTGTTCCATTTTTGTTAACAATAAAAGGTGTTTTTCCTACGCCACTGGGTAGAGGAAGTATTGTAATCGCAAAAATTTTTGAAAATAATATAATATGTTTTTTGTATGTTGTTCCATAAAAGACGTGCTAATAACTGAAAAAAACAGCCGTAAAAACCCTTGTATCAAAAAATAGCTTATAAAAAATTGAATCAGAACTTGCACAAATATACAGGGTGATGCATTTGAAATTTTTTAGAAAAACTGCAATTTGCGGTTTTGACTTCCCTCTATGAGAAAAAAATAAAATTCGAAAAAGTAACAAATAAGATAAAAGCTGAGGTGTGTAAGTTTTTTTTGATACAAAATTCAGCACTCCAAATTTCAAAATGGCGGACTGAGGGGTTGCCGAAGTGGGGGGTTGCTCTAGACAAAACACCTTATATCTCAGCAGCTAATTACCAAAAGCCCATAGTATGTTGTATCTTCTTTTGAATTGGTTCAGCCAAATATGCACTCAAATTTGAGGCATTCCATTTGAAAAATCACAACTTTGATATGTAGGTTGAAATTGGCCAATATTTTTGAAATGTGTCCTCAAATGTCATGTATAACATCCCATAAATAGATTTTCCCAAAATGTTTTTGTTTATGAGTAATATTCCGTCCACACATGGATGAGCCACCCTGTATATGTGTATTAGTATATTGAATATATCCACTGTTACTGGACCGTTTACCTTCTTCCGCAATAACAACCAACCAAGGGTGGCTGCATGACGAGCTATACCTAATATCCTTTGTCACTTCTTTTTAAACATTTATGTGACATGTACATCACGAAAAGCTATGTCACCCCTCATTTCCGACGGTCTGTCTGTCTGCCTGTCGGTTTGTCCGGTAATTCTTGACTCCCCTATAACTTGGAAAGTACTGCTCGGATTTGGATGAAACTTTTACACAAAGTTATTACTACGCCAGGAACGAAAAAGCATTGTAGTTCTTGAAAATCGGAGAAAAAAATAAAACTCGCCCAAACGTTGTTTTTGACGTCTCAGATTATTCTGATCATTTTTGTAAATATTATTAGGGGTTAAAAGATTTGGGGGTAGGAGTTGCAGGGGGTGGGGGAAGGAATATCTCATTTTTTTAGTATATTTATATGCTCCCAACCTTGGTAATTCTACTCACCTATTAACTATATTTCACACATCATAGGTTTCTTCGTACATTTTCCTTTGAAACTTAGAATGATAGACAAATGTTTTCGATATGCGTCTCCTTCTGTTATCTGGGCTCAGTGTCCGACGTAACGGTCTGCTTGATTGATGTACTCCTACTACGGCGGTGCTTCTTTGGGTGCTACCGCGTCTGGAGCATCGTCGGCAAGTGAACGGTAACTACCTGTGGGGCAGGGAAAGAAATGTCTATGGACTAATTGTATGGGCTTGTTTGACTGGTTTGATCGTTTAACCATTTTATCGTACACGCTCGAAACTATTTTTTTTCTCAGAGGGTTTATCTTGTGCCGAACTTAATCCTTTAAGAACTGATGATGGCGTTGCGTAGGAAGTGGGGTCAATCTAGTTGACGCCATTTTTACATAAAATTCGATTACTTCTATTAGCTACATCCATCGTTTATCTGACTTTGGGTAATTTTTCTCAACCCATTCTAGATGAGACACTTCCAAAAATCAAAGACTCATTCCAGAGATTGGATCAAACGCTGATCGGTGTCATACGTGACAATAATCCATTGAGACTTAAAGAATTTAGTCCTTGGCTGGCTGAATTTTCTGGCGAGAGATTGAATGTTGAATTTGAAATACCTGGACAGTACGATGGGCAATCGAAACCTTTACCCCAGTATCATGTCAAAATTTCAGGGTTTAGTCCAGAGGTAAGTTTAACTAAAAAATATTGGTACTTTATTTTCTAATTTGGGTGACCGCCGTGGACATGAAATTTTGAAGATGAGTAGCATTGAGTGAATATAGTTTCAAGTTCTATTTGTTTTTTTATTAACTCAAATCCATGAACTAGCAGTATTTCTAATGAAATTATCTGCGTCAATTTCTAGACGTGGAAAACCTTTAGTTCCTGAATCTGATTTCTTCTCATTCCAGATTACCATTATGAAATCAGTCAAAAAACCTATTAGATTAACTATTCTTGGAATGGACACAAAGGAGTACCCATTTTTAATAAAGTTTGGTGAAGACATACGACAAGATCAACGAATTGAGCAGCTATTTGGCCTTATGAATCACATTTTTTCTGTGGACATAACTTGTAGCAGCAGAAGGTTCGAAATTATGACGTACCAGGTTAGTGTGTTTTTGGATCCAACTTTTTTCTTTTTTTTTTTCATGAAAAAACTAGAATGTTACCTTAAATGTGTTTCATGTTCTTGCAGGTTATTCCTTTGACAACATCGTTAGGAATGATTCAGTGGAAAAGCAATACAGAATCTTTGGATGCGTTTATGGCAAAGTCCGCGCAAAGGACATTTCAAAATGACGTTCAAAAGTCGAAAAATGACTATCACGAGTGGATTGTGCGAAGAAATCGAAATGTGTCAGATGCATACGGAAAAGCAGCTAAAGAATACCCCGCAGATAAAGTTGTCCCTAAATTTAGAGAGTTGGTTAATCGATTTCCAAAATATGTACTTAGGTAAGTAAGCAAATGAAAACAGTTTTATCTCTTTCGCTAGTAAAATCACATTTCAGAATTCACTGTTAGCGTGTCTAACTAGATAACGTTTAGCCAGATATATTGTTTTTACTTCCCACGTCTACTGACCAGGGAGGATTATAATTGCGAAAAATTTTGAAAATGAGATATTAGGTTTTTTGAATATTATATATGTACATCACGAAAAACCATGTCACTCATTTCCGTCGGTCTGTCTGTTTGTTTGACCCCTAATCCTTGGACCGTCTATAACTAGTAAAGTACAAGGACGCAAAAGCTTTATATTTTTAGAAAATGGGTCCAAATCGCTGAAACTTAGGTTTTTTGACATTCAAGAGGCCCCTCATTATTTTCGGAAAAAAATTTCAGTGGTTAAAAATTGTAGGTTAAGGCTTGCAGGGGACGTATTTTCAATTTTTTTATGTTAGTATGTTTATACGCTGCTAACCTCGGTAATTCTACTCACTTATTTTTTTACTCATCATAGATGTCCCCGATTTAATCTTAAAATTTGGAAATATCTTCAACAGTCACGCGACGGTACGTGCGACGTGATCCGGCTGATGGTCGTGCATTGCAGTCGGCAATCGCTTGCGTGCACTTGTGGGTTGAATGATGTAAGTCAATATCGTCATCCACGCGGGATTACTCATAGCTACGATCATGTGTCCTCGCAGGATTTTCTCTCAGGGGAGGAGGAAGGTCATTTATTTTTTTTATATATGTTCGTACCTGACTTTTTCTCATGAGGGCTAACACTTGTGTCGAACATAATCCTTTACGAACTGATGACAGCGTTGCGTAGGCAGTACAGAGTCAACTTACTTGACTTCATTTTTTTTATTATGTAAGATCCAGTTTTTCTAATACACGGTTTCTGCTTTGCAGACAAGCTTTGTGGAACCTAAGCATAAACACAGAAAACTTCATAGCTCTGAGGAACAACTTTATAAAATCCTACGCCACCATCTGCATCTGTCACTGGATACTAGGAATTGGCGACCGCCATCTTGGCAACTCTAAAATATGCTTGAGTAGCGGAAAAGTACTCGGCATTGATTTTGGTCTAGCATTTGGTACAGCAACTCAGATACAAGCTATACCAGAATTGGTACCGATGCGACTCACTCCTCGTATTATATCCATTATGGAACCCTTTGGTGAAAGAGGACAGTTCAAAGCATACATGATTCACTGTCTTCGAGCATTGAGGGACAATTATAGGATTCTTCTGGCAACAATGAATGTCTTCATACAGGAGCCATCAGTTGACTGGTTGGAACACTCTTGCTCGTTTGATGATGGAAATGTTGCACAGGAAGCCACATGGTTCCCCCAGGTTAAAATAGAGCAGGTACGGTTGTTTCTTACTAGCATGATGGTTGATCCCTATTAGTCCAGGAAATATCTTCGCACCTGATAGGAAAATATTCTGATTAGGATTTTGCGCATAATCCTATTCAAAAAGGACCCCTTTTAACGAATCTGCATGTTTCATATTTGCGCCATCCCAATAATTCGTTTGTCACTCCGGTAAAAGTGTGTTTATGTTTTTTAGGACGTACTGAACAAAAAAGTACTTGATAACTTTTCTTCAATGTTGATCGTTTTTGAGATATGTATTTTTGACCCCGAAAAACAATATGAAAAAACGAAAAATTCGATCTTGCTGAATTTCATAAATATTCTTTAAACATCCGTTTATAGCCCTCAAAGCATTTCAGGAGGTATTGTTATTTTACACCTTTGTTTTCTAATTGTTAACCAAGCGCGCGCTCAGTGTATACCCTCCGTGAGTGCGAGAGAAATGCAGCTTTAAATAATGTAGGAAGTTCGGCAACATTGAATGTTTCGTTTTTTCATATTGTTTTTTGAGGTCGTAAATAGCATAATTCGCATTTTTTCAAATATTACATCACTTATTTCTCGAAAACTATCAAGTTTAAAGAAAAGTTCTCTAAGCGTCTTTTTTGTTCCGAATATCTTAAAACACTTCATACATGAACCAAAAAATAGATATCTTTAAAACAGTTGGACGTATAAACTTAATATATTACGAACATAGCATGCTAGGATCACACTGATAACAACGAGAGATTGTTTTTTCCTCCCTTGACATTTCTGGTTTCTGGGTAACTAATTCATACTATGACATAAGAGGTAAGATCCTACGGATTGCTCTGACAACCACCAATGAATTGAAGGCTCGTTTTCTGTAACTTTGGCTAATACTGATTATGAATAAGGGTACATACTTTTCAGCTGCACATCACTACAATTGACCAGCCAACCCTTTGTTGATTACTTCGTTTATCCGAAAATGGCGTAGAAATCAATTGAAGTAGAAACAGTCGGACAGAATACGAACCTACCATCCTTATCAATTTGATCAGTTTGAAAGAATTCAGGAAATTACAAAGTGTTTATCTCTGTCAGACGTATTGTTTAGAGGTGAATTACAACGAATGTCTTCGTAACATCATAACCCTGACTTGTCAAAAGCTTTGTTCATAGCCTGCAGCCTGCATCTGTTGCCATTGATGAACATTCGTGACTCACAAGACTTTCGAACTGCCAATGTCAATATAAGAGAATTGATTTATGAATAAATTCTTCTAGGCTCGTCGAAAACTCTTAGGGGAAGCATCAACCAGAATAACTATCGAGGAAATAGAAGCTAATAGTGCGTTGAAGTACAAAGAAGCTTACATAAACCTGGTAAAAAGTGTTAGGACAGTAGCGAACGTTGAAGAAAAGAACCACTTAACAGTAGAAGAACAGATAGATTGTTTACTGGATCAGTCAACGGATTATAATTTGTTAGGTCGAATGTGGACAGGCTGGACACCGTGGATATAAGAACAAGTATTTTTATATTTTATATGCACCTATTTGTCTACATATTTCTTACATATTTTATGATGCTTTTTAAAATTAAAATTATGTATCAATGTGAGAATTTATTAAGAATAAAAATATATTTTTCTACCACAATACTTTTGTTTCAGTACGAGCTAGTACACTTTCTCGTGAGCCGCGCAATGCGCAAGCGGGGAGGTGGGTGGAAACAGAGTAGGGATATTCCCCTATCTCTTTCGTTCAGATGCAGTCCTAAAAACATTCGGGAGTATCAGCAGCGGGCTTACAACGTGTTTGTCTGTACAGTAGCGTAGTTAGAGGGTTTATGTAATCGTACAGAGTTGAACGCGTGCATTCTAACATATACCATGTTTGTGTGTAATTTCATGATTACGGAAATTTCCTAATTATGTAAGCATTGTAATAAATATAATCTAGAAAAGAGAATTAAAAGAACAAACATAACTGCTCTGAATATTTTGTGATTACATGAAATGTAAGGATTTCTTTGCAGTTTTTTTGACATCCTCAAAAGTTGACAAACTGAATTAATCATTATGACAAATTACTGACGAAAGCTGGCTAATACACAATTTGTTGGAAAACACTAAAATATATTTTAATAAACAATATAAGATACCTAAACATTTCAGACAGATTAATCGTTGTCATGGCCTATTCTTATAATACATTTCTGGACGTTATCCATTATATATTCCCGACTTAGGTATTCTTCCTTCACTTTTGATACATGGTCGCAAGCGATTCTCCATGTTTCTGGAGTGACGCGGTCTAATGTTTGTTTCGCCAATGTAGAAACATCTTCCATTTTAAAGGTGGTATTACAGGCAGCAACCGCATTTTTGACAATGCCCCAGATTTTCTCTATAGAGTTTAGTTCTGGATGGTAGGGAAGCAAGCGCAGAACGTCATGCCCGTTTTCATCTAATAACCCATCTACTGCATAAATTTTGTTCAATGGTTTATATATTTTTATTAAACGATAAAGTTCAGGTTTTGTGGTATTATTATCAAAATGCATATTCTTTTCAATGAGCCACTTCTGCATATCTGCTTTTTTCCAAGCAAACGTTGGATTATGTTCTATCGGAACATTATGGTATGATCCGTTGTCAATTACTAATACAGATTTGGTGCTAAATTTGGTATTAGTTTTTCTTGTATCCATTTCTTATAATTTTCATGACGCATTGGCAACAAAACCATTTCTACCCCCATAATGTACAATGACCAAACATTTGCCTTTTACAACTGGTGCTTTTAAGCAATTATCTGTTCCATCATCCCATGCTTTCGGTACTGTGTGTGAGCTGTGTATGCATATTTCTGTCTAAAAAAATGTTTCTATGGTTAAATGATAAAAACAAATTCTCTTATACTGAAAAACATCATACATTTTGTATTTTTAAGTCGTTTGAAATATATCTACACACCTAGATCTTTGTATTCTTTTAGACTTCTCACGTATTCTGTCCGTTTCGCTCTGATCTCCGGCTTTTCCATCAGCGCATGTCTGTTATCTTCTGATCTTTTGCAACGGAAGCCCAATTCGCGTACTATTTTCCTGAATGACGCTTTCCATTAAGAGCTACACCATCGTTGATAACAGCATAGTACACCGCCTTCATTATAGGTTTCCTTTTGTGGATATGTACGAATATGTATATATAACATTTCTAATAATTTCTTCATCAAATTGATCCACTGACTACTTTGGGCTAGATTTGTTTATGGTTTTTCGAGGAGAAGTAAATTTTGTATTCGGTGGTTTGACGTGATCTTCTTTAACAACACGCTTCACAGTATTTATAGATACACCTGTAGCTTCAGCTACTCTCTCAAATAAACGCTCATATATTCAAACACATTGAATATAATTTGTCGTCCTTGGCTATGAACAACTTTCTTATTTCGTTCCCTATTTTTGAAAAATAATTTTGAATGCACTGTTTCATCTGCTAATTTATGGTAACTAACATTTTGCCTGCCAGAGCTACTCGTAGTTTTGAAAAAGACTGTTTTGTAGTTTTTAAAATAACTAAAAATAATACCCCTGGAAAAAATATAAGATTACGCCTATATTAAACTGATGTTACCCGTTCGACGTCCAAGAGCAGAATAGATAGAAAAACATATATATATATATATATATATATATATATATATATATATATATATATTTATCTAATGTAGTAGCGTTTACAGCGTATTGTGTTCTGCATTCTGCGCATCCTAGGCCACAGCTCACGAGATGCTGAGTTACCTTTACCTACTTTTATGACGTACTCTTCAGAGTAAAATCACAATGGCTTCAGTAGAACTTTATTTTTTTGTAGTTTAGAAAAGGCTGTAACTTTAAAAACTTTCCATATATCAGTAGATAGCAAAACTGTTGAAGCAGTTATTGCATATGCTTATGAATTTTGCAGAGCTATCACCGCAATTAGATGTAATATACAGACCTCCCATTGCTTTCCGATGACCTACACATATTCAATTTATACTACTTATCGCGGCTCCCATTATCACGATGACCATATCCTGAGGCAACGGGGGGATGAAAAGGAAATGTCAGTGGGCTGGTCTTAGACGGTCGTCGGCGCTACTTTAAAAAAAGGCAAGGATTTCGGTTAGCGATCTAGCCCTAATAATCCCCATTATAAATATCGGAATTCAATCTTCCCTACTGTCGGCAATTGCAGATCTGTTGCTCTCGGTGTCAAACTCATGACACCGGTACAGATTTTTTCAAATCGTGAGTACATTATTCGTCGGATTTTCGTCACTTAAATATAACGTGTTTTACATATCAAAGATGCAACGTTTAATATCACCTTCCCATAACCCCCACTTTTTAAGCACTACAATTTTTTATGACAATGATTAGGAACCCCTGAAACGTCAGAAACGGAGCTGAAACTACAAAGCTTTGGTATAGTAGTAACCTTCTGTTTGAAATTTCATGAGAATACAAGCGGTAATTTATATAAGATGGGCAAAGGGTAAGCAGACAGATAGACGGAAATGAATGATATAGTTTTTCGTGATGACATATGAGACCCAAAAACTAACATCTCATTTTCGAAATTTTTCGCGCTACTGGCGTGCGAAGTAACACGGCTGGAGGAATAATTTTTTTTAATTTGTCAAAGCAGTCTAAACGTCAGGAAATCAGTATCTTCACCATCTCAGGCTTCATTTATTGGCCAGAGCTAGATCAGAGAGACAACCGGGGTATAAGTTCAGAAGTTACATTTACGTAACTACTTAGTTACCAACATTTACTTCGCATCAGCGATCGCGATTATGAACACCTATTTGAAGAATGACTTATGTTCACGATATATGAAAAAGGGCTACCAAATTATCGGAATACGTCCTTTTTTAGTCCGTACATACCGCCCCGTCGCTTGGGCTGGCAGTACGAAACAGACAGAATTCGTGCAAAATCCGATTTGTAGATATTTGCGCGTTTCGAAACTGACGCTTCATTTTTTAATATTCTTCAATTAAATTTTTACGATGTGCTGAAAACAAAACTCTACAGATTGCTATAGAGCCACTTTTTCCGTTTTTCCACTTTAACAAAAGGAAAGTAAACATTTCAACCTACCATAGATCTTGTGTAAAAACAAAATTTTAAAAAGTGCTCCGATATGACCCTTGGCAATTGTCTTCTAAACATACTATATGGATTTCATTCAAAAATATTGAAAAATTGCGTGTCAGTTTCGAAGCAGTTCAACCCTTGTAAATGACTTGAAACTGACTGCGTCGGAGCCGCCTTAAAATGTAGGTGTCTCACTAAATATTGACCCCCTGAATTTTCTTTGTATGACCTTTCATAAAGAAATGTTTAATGCAAACATTGTAGAGTCTAATACACGTGAAATATCTTTTTTATATACAGAGTGTCTGAAAAGTGCTATCAAATAAAGTTTTATTTTCTGATTTAATATTAATCTGTATAATTTCAATGAAAATGATAGTCGCTTTTTTATGACAAATCCAAATATATCTGGTTTATCATACTTCAGTTTGGTCATTTAATCATGTGTACCAGAGGTCAAACCAGTTTGCATCTAGCCGCCTATGTTAGCTGGCATAGGGCCCGATACACAAGGTTAAATGATGCATAAGTCTTACGTTTTTGACTAAAGTAATACAAATATTAAGCATAAAAACCGTATACAGGGTGATTCACAAGACGTGACCAAAAATGAAACATCACACACAGCACCGTATTTTAAGAGGGTCTTCTATGTAACATTTTTTCCTCGAGGGCTTCATTGAAAAGATACGGGGTGTTGAAGTTTAAAAATAAAAAAAATTAAGACCTTCAAAACCGTCAACTGGAATGAACTAAAATACTTTTTTTCACCAATCAGACTAATATTGGTGAAAGAAAAAAAAAATTGTCTCCGATCGGAGCCGGCGGCATTGAAACAAGGATTATTCGTATCACTGCTCACGGAAACAGATCAATCCGATCGGAGCCGTCGCCACATGGCGAAGATCACCGATTGACTCCGATCGGAGTCATCGACAGTGAACGTGTTAAGAATTCTTACCAGAAAGCTTTCAATTTTTTTGTGGGGTGTGAAATTATATGTAGCTCTCCAGGATTTCTTGTTTTTATTATAAATAAGTTAAATTATAAATAAATTAAAAATAAACATTTCCGTGTCAGATGAATCCAACTTCGGGCGTGGTTACATAGACAATATACATGTACTGAATATGATACAAAAATGTATCAAATTAAAAGGTTCCCTAAATCCCTGTAACACCGAATTCCATTTGCAAGTCGATGCGGATATCATCTTGCAGAACGAGAATTTAGATGATTAGTTCGCCCCTTCCCCAATTAATTATGCCTAACTTCGCTCATCAGAGTAATCAGGGGTTCTGATATATTCAGTTCAGTGATGGGCGCATTTTATACATCATGTAAAATACATCATTCAGTACGCGTATACAGTTGTAATTGTACACGTCTTGATACCCTTAGCTTTATGCCTTCTGTGTCGTATCCTGGGTTGTATCCTGCTCTCTTACTCTTTCAGTAGAAGCATTCTGCAAGATAACCTCTGCAACTTCCTGCGGTTGCGACTTATCGCTACCAGACTGTTTTCCATCCGTCTGTGATTCACTTGGTGGTTCAGTGGTGGATTGCTCATCTTTCGACTCCGTGTTTTCCTGGGATGGCAATGTGTCCGCCGATTTTTCCATTCCCTCTTTCACATGGTGGTCTCTTTGTTGAATACCGTACGCTTCGGCTATTGTTGAGACCGAAGTTATGCCGTTGGCAGCGTTGATGTCTGAGGCAGCTAGTGCGCATCCTTCTTGGTCAGTCTTCACGAAGAATGATCTGCTGATTCTGAATTTGTCCAGGATACCGTAGGCGCGCTGCATTACAGGACCGGACGGAATACGTTCTCTTGTCATCACCCAGACACTCTCTGAAAATAGAATATCTTGAATCGTTCTTCGGAAATACCTATTAAGATCCGGTCAGTTACCCGTACATTCGTTTTTCAAGTTGCGGTTAACGAATTCGTAATTGTTGATGAGGCAAGACCTCTGTGTTCTGTGTGTTGTTGCGCTCGGTGTTTGTGTCATGTGTCATCCGTGATAGCTCATATAAGCGAAAACATGGCGTAGTCTGTACTTTCCACGCAACGCCGCCATCATTTTGTAAAGGATTATGTTTGGCAGAAGTTAGCCCTTCAGAGAAAAAAGTTAGCTATGAGCATGTAAAACAAAAAATTAAAAGAGCTTGTACGACTGTTCGACATATTTCTAAGATTCATGAGTAAATGTACGGAGACATCTATGATGAGTGAAATATGCATAATAGGTGCGTAGAATTACTGGAGTTGGAGGCGTATACATATACCAACGTCAACTAATTGAGATATACTATCTCCCCGTAACCTCTAATCCCCGATTTTTTTCGAAAATATTTGGCCTTTTTCCGTTGTCATAGGACCGATTTTCAAAAACTAAAAAGCTTTTTCGTTCTCGGCATATTAGTAACCCCATGACCGGTAGGCAGGCAGTACAGGCAGGCAGACCGACGGAAATGAGTGCCATGGTTAACATCCAAAAAAGACATCTCATTTTCGAAATGCTTCGCAATTACAATACTTCCCCGCCAGGGATGCTTGACTCAAGCATTCCTCTCTGGAAGGTGGCGAAGTCGCTCAAAAACGGAAAGCGTGAACAAATCCCACACATTCACGGTCCTGGAGGCATTGTCTTCAGGACAGAGGAGAAGGTTGAGGTTTTGGCCGATGCCATGGAAATACAGTTCTCTCCCAACTATGATCTTGTTAATGACCTCGACGAGGAGCAACACATCGTAAGATCTGTCAGGAGATATTTTAGGGCCAACGGCGTCAGTGACAGTCGCGCTATCGTTGGTGATTTTTGTTCATCAGAAGATTCTTCTTCAGAAGCTTCTTCAACCGAAGATCTGCTTAGCACAGCAGCGGTATCTCTTGAGATCCCGCATTGCACACCAGCAGAGATTCAAGGTCATATTAACGACCTTAAAGTGCGTAAAGCACCTGGGGAGGATCAAATCACTAATAAGGCGCTGGCAATAGTCAATGCCATGCTAAGGATCCAGTACTTCCCATCCGCGTGAAAGACTGCTGAAGTTATAATGATTCCAAAGAAGGTGGGTTCGATATTTCCCCACGTCAGATCACCATGTGATTCCTAATGTGCAATTCGGTTTTCGGTCTGAACATAGTACGGAGCTACAGGCGGTTAGGCTGGTGGAACGTGTAACCAGAGGATTCACCCTTAACGAAAGTACTGGCATCTTGCTTTTGGATGTCTCAAAAGCATTTGACAAGGTGTGGCACGCGGGCCTCTTGTATAAACTAATCCAAAAGGGCTTCCCTTTTTGGCTTCTAAAACTACTGAAATCCTTCCTTGAAGGTAGGAAATTTCGTATCAAAATTTACAATGTGCTGTCGACAACGCGGCTGATTACAGCCGGCGTCCCTCAGGGTTCGGTCCTTGGATCTATCCTTTACTCACTGTACATCCATGACGTCCCTAGTCCCAGCAACTGTGAAGTCTATCTCTATGCTGACGATACCGCATTGGTGGCTCAGTCGTGGTCTGGTGACCTAGTCCATGACAGGCTGCAAAGTGCGGTGGATGAAGTATTAGATTGGGCGGATCGGTCGCTAATTAAAATAAACCATTCGAAAACGCAGGCAATCTACTGTAGAAAAAGACGTCGCGGCGTTCCGTCTGAAGTTTCAATGAATGGACTTCGTATACCATGGGAATCCTCCGCTAAGTATCTCGGTGTCATTATGGACAAAGGGATGATTTGGCGGAACCATATGGAAGAAGAGAGCAGCAAAACACAACGCACGCCTATGCTAATGCAGCTTCCTTTTAATTGACAGTTTTCGCGCGGGTTATCATGGGCGTGCGATGTGTTGAGCTGTTCTCTTCCTTTTCGGTTCCCGAGTATAGAAGTTACTATCAAATTTGTTTTTTATTGTTTGATATGTCCTAAAATTGTAGTTAATGTGAGATAAACGTCTAGCATTACAAAACACGTTTCCAGATCAACAATTACGGTTTAGTTAACCAGAACTTTAGAAATTACATATTTCAACAGACCGATAAAAGTTTGTGACATGAATTTTCGTAATGCGCTAATAAATTGAAAAGATGTGATGTAGCAATAAAATACCCTGACAGCCTGTTTACGGGAAAAAGTAAGACGAATGGTAATGCTTACGTGCATGAATGGGACCCAGTCCGCTACAACTCCATATTACAGCATAGTTGTCGTAGTCAGTATCCAGAATGGTAAGGGTCGATTCCGTAGCTACGGGAGAAGTAGAATATTTAACTTTTAGCTTGCCTTCGTCGGACCTCCCAGCCATATCTACTTGCCCTTCTATCACTCGCTTAACTCCCGTTCTGAAAAACAAAATATTAAAGATAACGGCATTTTGAAACTGGAAATAATAAATGAATAAATGTTGCTAACCTCGTAGAATAGACTTTTGTCGTATCTTTTCCGTGCTCAAGACAATAAACTATTTTTGCTACTCGCTATCGGGCCAAAAAGGCACTTAAAATAGCATTTTCAGAACGATCATATCGTAGGCTTAGTCTCTCGCCTCTGGGACAACGAACGAAAGCATCGCCAAAATCCTCTATCCCAGGAGCGAAGTGCATAGTGGGGGGAACTAAATCTCTCGTCGCACACTCGGTGGACAAAGAAGGAAGGATCGTAGTAGATAGCAGAATAATGTGAAATCTGCCATGTGGAGTCAACTGAGGCAGTAGTTTACACGATTTATTTTAGTTTCAAAAGATGACTGTTAAAATTTAAATTATTCCTAAGCTCAAATAACCTGTGAACTCCGTATCAAGAAAAATATTCCAGTCCGACATTATGGTGATCCACCAGGTAGCGCTCTCATCGAGCACACAGGGACTAGAGACTATGTTATTTTTGGATGCACTGTATGCTCCTCTACTATCTTGGGGTCCTCAGCACGTAACACAAAAACGTCAATGTGTTTGCACGACTAGGCGTATATCGCGAGATATAAAGACTTTAAAGGTTGACCCTTTGTATAGCGTAGTGCGGATGCAGCATAATCTGAATTCGTTGCTGGCTTGCAATAGCTAGAGTTACTTGATACTCGATCGGAGACGACGACACGTAAGTACCAAGTAGCAAGTGTTCGTGATTCTGGAGTATTTAAAAAGTCCATCATACGCATTCCAATTTTTGAACCGCTATTTGACCCAAAATTCCATTTTGCCTGGTTGGTAATAAAAATAGAGGAACTGCAGCATATTTGGTATACTGATTTGTTGTTGGAAATACATTGCAAGATAAAAGGGATAGTAAAATAAAAAATGCATTAAATTATTGGGAAATCATTAAATTTTAATGATATAAACAATCAAACAAAACAAAATCAAGGTACCCCATCTAAACATTTATCAAAATAAAAAACTCCAAAAGCGTAAATTTATTTAGGGTGCAGGTAATTTAGAATATAGTATTCCAAATTATAATCACCTTTTTTGATAATCGTTTACACTTTTAATAAGAAACTAATACATTTCTCAACTTTGTAACCATTTTAGAGTCTCTGGTAATTAATCTGTTTAACAATATACTAATTATTAATTATTAAGTAATTAGCCACAATAATCACAAATCAGTATTTAGCCTGAACTTATACTTTAGTGTTCTTAGTTATTGTTCTTACCATAATCACAGATATAAACACTCGATTCATAACCACTACAAGCAGCGTGAACCCACAATTCGCACATTAAGCCCTGTACCTATTCCGAATTAACAACATGACATCCTAACTTAAAATTTCATGTCACATTTGTAATTCTAAATACATCCACAAAACTAAAATAAAATTGTAAACTAACAAGTACACATAATAGTTCAAATGATTGCAATGAAGATTTTACGTATCAAAGTAAATTATTATCAATGATTCAATTCTTTCCGAAAAAGTTTTCAAAGTTGACGTCTCGTTCCCGTGTGGCTGGTACCAGGAAATGTCAAGATGGCGTCCTGTTTTTAGCATTTGTGGTTTTGTGTGATTTACGACATTATATTCACGACAAAAAAATACACATAGCGTTTATATTTATTTATATAACTAAGTATTCTAAGTTACCTGCAGTATTTCAAATATGCTGCACTTCCTCTACTCAATTTCAAAACGATCCAGGTTAAAATTAAGGAAACACTTAAAGGAAGATTCGTTTAGAGATATTTTTTTAAAAGGAAATATACCACAGTAATCAACTTTACCGGACTATTTTAATTATCGAAGAAAATTAATGGCATTTAGTTTTTGGAGATTGATTCTTTCAAAAATCTGCCGTTATTGCGGTCTAGTGGTATTTCGCGACTGTTATCGGGCCATGATAACAAATTATTTGCTTCCTGAAATTCAAGCCCATAATCTTCAGAACATTCGACTTCCTCAAGACGACTACTTCATTACCCATTATAGATACTTACAGCCTATTGGTGACTTCATTAGAAACATATATCCTTCCACTGGGCCCTTTCGCATAATCAGTGACCACGCATCGTGCTGCAACTTCGGAAAACTGGAAATACCTCTCCGCCTCGTACCACTTCCCAACGAATCGGTCCATATCGAAATCTGCCATGGGCAGATAGTCCGGGCACCATCCCAAGCTGGGTATTTGACCTTTCCCGCTACCCAACAGCGTCGCGCAAGAGAGTACCATCAAGAACGCGCGAGACATGGTTGTACCGGTGTTAATGACATCAGAGGCGATCAGATTCAGTATTTATGTATGTTGAAGGTACCGCTACAAGTATTTTTATTGGATTTCCATTGCGTTCTGTGGAACTCTACTTCAGGAGGATTAGGTCGGAACTGTCAAGCTTGATGATAACTCCTTAGTCAACTAAGATTGCTTGGGATTTTTTAGGCCCAAGCAGTAGCAATGGCATAGGGTATGTATTAATTAATTTCTTCAATCTCACCTCAAAAAACTTAGCAACCATGCATTTTTTAGAAAAAGGTTCCTACAAAATATTCATGAGATCAATAAAGAAATTTATTGGTAACCTCTGATAATGACTGAGATCATTTATTTGTAGGCCAACTTCGTAAATTAGAATTGCAACCACCATGACAGCAACTTCGTGTACAGTATAAGATTAATAGTGGTAGAAGATCCCAATTAGAAACGATCTTCACCCATCTGTTTAATGGATATTAATAGTGTTTTGTATCAAATTTAGTATGTTAAAAAATATATCCCGACTAGGTTAGTTAAAAAAATCCTGGCGAGACTATGATTAATTAAATAAAATTAAAATAAACAAGTACCTCCCTGCCTAGCCTCTAGTTAGCAAATGGTATATATACACCTATATATATATAACAACAATAGGAAAATAATGGGAAAAATCCGCAAAAAGTGGATTCGAGCAGAAAATAGGATAGGTAACCCGAGCGATACGTATTTCTGCTGGTTGGCTTCATCAGGTCCGAAATGAATGCACATATGCAACTACAAAAGTAGAGACACATGCTCGTACATCCGGATACGGGTGTAAGCTGACTAAACAAAGATGGAGAGGAAAAAAGACACACGAAGTCCCCAACAAGAGCCAACCTACACATTGTAGTATAAAATGACTAGAAGACCTCGAATTTTCAAGGCGACATCTAACCACAACTACGCGTCCGGTTATAGCCACTTGCTGTGGTACTTCAAGCCCAAATATCTACAAGTATTACGTAACTTGAAAAGTGACGTTTTTTTTTGGACAGTATGTAGATTTTCCTACAAGATCTTAACTTGGAACTAGCTGTCGTTAACTTGTGGAATGAACTATTTGCACGCTAGCAGCTACCTAGTCAGGCGTTTTTACGTAATAACGCTGCCCCGTTCAGCCATTTTTGCGTGATTGAGTAACAAACGTCCAAAGTTTATCATTTATAGTATTTGTAGGCATGTTTGCTCAAGAATTAAATCATAATTTATGATTGAAAATTTCTATACGAGTCTGGCCTTGCAACTATTTTTCAAATCAGGCTTTATAGAAATGAGGTTTTTAATAACACTTTTCAACTCTACCTGACATTTATAAAAGCCTTCAGTAAATTATGATCAACATTACAAAGTAAATGTCACACGCTTTTAAAACATGCACTTTAATGCATTCACGATTATACTGAGGACATTTATCCGTTGGCAAAACCTACAGGTAATTAACGTTTGGTCTTAGGTCTGTTAAAGTATTTAGTAACGGCGATCCATATCTTTGAATCTATCTTCAAAATCCTCACTTTGAGGAGCGGATAGCATCGCACAAGGACCGTGTGTTTATGGAACTGATGTGTATTCAAAATATACTCGACCTAAGTTACCTGGGCTATCATCCTTGTAGTAGTTGGATATGATAATGAAATTCTCAGCGAATCACGGGAAAATTCAATATCTGAGGGATTACGTTCCCTACACACGGAAGTGGCTTCGTCGTGACATCGTAACAGATACTATTAAAGGTATCTTCTGAGGATTTCAACGCTAAGCACCGTTATATGGTATAAGCATATAATTATAGACATATCCTGATGAGATTTCATTAATAGTACGAAAATATAATACAGGGTGGGCAAATAAGTTGAGATGTGGTTTCAATTGCTATATTGACAGTAGGAATGTTCTGGCAACAAACTTCTGACGCTTGTGGATCGTACTGAAGAAATGTGCAGCGGAGCTTGCTTTAGTTCTTTCGCGCCTCTTCTAGATATCTTGCGATTCCGGCACTTTCCTTGAAAACAAGAAATTTTCTCGTACATCCCATCTAAAAAAAACGAACTATGACCGATCCTTACAACTACATGCCTATAACTCTGCATTCTGTGATGGAAAGGTGAATATATCGGGAGCTTTTGGAGTACCTAGAACGTTTTAATTAGCGACAGGCAGTACAGTTTTCGGCACCAGCGATCCACGGGGGACCTCCTAGCTTACGTCACGCAGCTGTGGACTGAATACATCCAGTCTTAGGGTGAGGTGCATGTCGTTGGTCTTGATACCACACGAAAGCGTTCGATCTGCTATAGCATACTGGCTTCTTATGCAAGCTTCCATCCTATGGCCCCCCAGAGCAGGTTTGCAGATGGGTGGCTGACTTCCCTTATATAAATGAAGACTTGAAACTTGTCTCAGAATGGTTAGCATATAACAGACTAAAATTAAATACAAGTAAAACGAAAGCCTTGTTAATCGAAAAAAAAAACAATGTACAAATGTTCAACTGAATATTGATGGTGAAGATATTGACTTCGTAGAAAATTTTAAATACCTGGGAGTTTTTGTTGACTCTCGATTAATTTTTGATATTCATTATGAAAAAGTTATAAGATTAGTAGTAAAGTGGGATATTTATCGAGAGTTTCTGGATGTCTGAGTTCATATAGCAGAAAAATTATCTATAATACCATCATTCTTCCAAATTTCTTGTACTGTTCGACTATTCTATATTTAGCAAATAATTCCATTTTTGAAAGACTGTAAATTTTACAAAATAAATGCATGAGAATAATACTAAATAAAGATAAATATACTTCAATTAGGCAAATGTTTAGCAAAGTAAAATGGCTCAATGTAAAAAAATTTATCAAATATCTTGTAATGATATTCATTTATAAAGTAAAAAATAACATATTTCCATCAAGTCTAACTAATTTAACATCATCAAATGTCGACCATCATTTACATAATACCAGAAATAAAGATGACTTCCATTTAATGACCAAAAAGCATAACATATGCTACAAATCTGTATTCCATCAAGGGTTGATTGAATATAATAAATTATACTCCAGAGAGACCAGAAAACTTTGACAAAATTTAAAGTAAAATTGAGAAATCACTTGTTAAATCTACAATTATAGGTTGCCCAGCATTTACATCATACACCATATGGCTTGAATTTACTAGTTCTAAGTTGCTTACAATTATTCTGTTTATGTAGCCAAATGTGCTCAATAAATCTTTCTACTACTACTGCTACTTCCCCTCTGGCCGCAAGATATCCTTCGTAATTGGCGGATTCTCCTCTTCATCCCACAATTTCAACACGGGCATTCCCCAGGATTGGTCTTGGCTCTGACATTGTATCTCTTACATATCAACGACTTCCTTTCCTGTTTAGTCACGATATAAAATTCCATATTTGATATTTGAAGTTAATATCAGCATTTTTTCTAATTCGAATTTTCGATCATTTGTAAACATTCAACGCAGTAATTTCAGGACTATTTTGATTACCTAATGTAGTAGTATGGTTTACAATCTATTCTGTTTGGCAACATATTGCTTTTGTTTGACATTTTCGTAGGAAGCGATTTAACATTAGATTAATGAACAACAATTTTGAAAAGCCAAAGGTACGAAATTCTCCATTATAACCTATGTCCGAAGAAAAAACAATATAGATAGAGGAGTATCTTGCTTTTATCTAACGTTTTCGATTTTCTTTCAAATTCGCTATAAAAATACAACGACTTTCTTGCTTTGACCCACAACTGAGCAGTATTAGAGCAGGCCAGGCTTTGTATTAACAACAGATGTATGCAAAATAACCCAAATCCATTTATTTTTTATTTCTTGGAAAATGAAAATCATCATTTAATGTTATTCCGCAGCTCATACTTGATATTCAGTTAACGTTTAAGCAAGGAACTGGGTCTTATACAGGTCTACTTAACATGCTGCTATTTCTATATTTCCTTACTATTCAGTTATTCAGCTTAGACCAATCTTTTTTTAGAATTGTTTGGTCTGAAACTGGGTAGAGCAACTCACAAGAAATAGAAGAATACTGCCGACCACTTGGGGAATGGTGCCACACATTAATCCGTCATCCCAAAGTCAGACAACTTGATTTTTTCACGAGAGAAAAACTGTCATTGACAAATAAACCAGCCTTAAAGAACCTTTTTGGGCCTAATATAGCATTTTATTTTTAAAAGATTGGAATTTCAAATGACCTAAATTAATATTTCAAGGACCGACTGCCATCTGGCTGCGACATTACCTGGTGCCTAACTTTTATATCGTGCCGGTCTTTGGGATTGTGGACCGCTTCGTTATATTTATTTCTGGTCTCGAAGTCGGCTTGTCTGTTCTCTACAATGAGGTTTTGTAAGAAGGTTCTGTGTGCTTTGTCTGCTGACGAGCAGTGTCGCACGATCTGTTGAACTAGTCGTTGGACCCTGGTTTAGCCACTTTCACTTTATGAGGGATATATTCCTCCATCCCACCGTGGATAATTTCGATTGCCAATGAACAGACAGCCGACGAATCTGCATCAGCGAAACAATCGTCTCTAGAAGGAAAGGTGGAGTTAGAAGTATGAGGGCGAGTTTCTGCTGCCACAGCGGGTTGTGACTGAAACCGAACCTCCACAACATCGTTCTCTGAGTTACACAAGGGAGATAGGACAGCAGAGCTGTAAGGGACAGGATGCGCGATCAGAAAGAGATAAAACAGGTTACTGACGTGTGACGAAACGCGGGGGAAAAGTAGGGGTCGTCACCAGCTGGGTCAGTCCTTGGGTAATACCGGGCGCTTCAACTTCACGACTTGTTGCATCGGGCTTGTTTAAGCCTAACCAAAGCTCATTATGGGCATTGAAAACACAGAGGAAAGTAATAGGGAGGGCCCGAAAACCTGTTCTCAAAAAGGGAAAGCGATATCATAAAAATACCTTCTACAAAAATATAATTATCTATAAAATTTGTTCAAGTACTTTTATTCCTTGATCAGTGCTTATGAGAACTAGTGATCTGTGGACTTAAAGGTACCCTTCAGCTCTTATGCGGCATATATGATGTGTACGACATCGACCGTTCAATATGAATATACCTATATACTCGTATATGGAAGAATTTATGTATGATGTATGATACTTTTACTTAAATAAAAAAGTGCTTGTGGTTTTTGTAAAAAAAATCATTCGATGAGAAACCAAAAGTTTGCTTACAAAACAGTTTGCGGAAAAAATCGGACTCACTTGAATACTGCTTCAGACCTTCAATATGTTATTATCATTAGTACATCAGTCCTCATCGATACTTGGAGTCCAACATTTCATGTCAAAATTACCATTTTTTCATATTTTCCTAGAACGGTACGAGTACTTTTTTTGCGGGCTGCCGTTTATACGCTATTTGATTTGTAGAATATATCGCTTGATAGGAACTGATATATGGTAGCATATGGTGTTTGAAGAATATGCTAGTAACTCTGAAAAAAATCGGCAAAGGCTAGAAAAGTGTTGCTGACCTTAAGTCTGCTGTCGCAAGTTACATGTGGAAGTCCCTATTGATTCGTTTAACGCAGTTTTTGTGATATATTTTTTCCTTTTTGAGAAATAAGCAATATTTTTTACATTTAATCCCAAATCAAACAAGGTTCCGCTCCAGGGATTTCTGGGGTCCTTTGATATATTATTCATAATCGTGTTTTTAAGGTATGTGCCCATTTTCAGCTTTGTGGGAATTTTCGCAAACCTTTTTTCATTTTTAATGCAATTCAGATAGAATCCAAAATAAATAAGCCCACATGACTGGAACCCTCTTTGTATGTTCGTAGTTCAGAGCACCTAGCATAGATTAGCGCTATAAACGACCACCTGCTGATGTTGACATTGACAAAATATTGATTAGTATTAATCGGTTTGAATAATTTAGCACAATTAACAGAGATATTACAAGTTGAAACACAAGGTTGAAGATCCAATTTGAATTCTACCAAAGGATAAAAAGCCTACAGAAGGGAGCAGCTACACCTTCTTTCTGCAATGGAGGGCGACGAGCCAAAGAATCCTGCTCCTCCGAAGAAAAATGAGCCCAGTAAGAGAATAAAGTTATCTAAGACTCTATGTCCACCACCGTCCAAATATGAGAGGTAAGATCAATTGATCTATATACCTAATTAAGTAAAACATCTTGCGAATTATATTCTGCTGTATCTAACACACCAGTATTCGGACGATCCATCAGTTTCAAATCGACGTTTGAAATTGTTGGATACGATTGCTCACCCATTTGGGTTCAAGATACGAAAACAAAATTATACCCGACATAAGCGGATTTAGAATTTTGGAAAACTTGGTCCAGAATGTCATCACAAGGGACAATACACATTTTGGAGTTCCTGATTTCCACAGACTAACAAAGAATGAACAACAAAATTTTGAAATCGGCCGGAAAAAGTTTATAGGGTGTCTAAGATTGTAGTTAAGAAAAAATAAAAGTTCAACGAACTTTTATGAATTCCTTCTTGTTAGGGATCCCGGAGTAATAGCATTTCACGTGCCACATAAGAAACTGCTTGAAAAAATAGAATACAAGAAGGTTCAACCTCAACCATTGGTAAGTGAGGATTTTTAAAGCGTGGTTGAGTCACTCATACATTTTTAATAAACAGTGTGGACTTAAAGAGCTACAAGATCGGCTGATCGAATTGAAAAGAAGAGTATTTGTGGAACAAGAAGAAGAAAAAAAAGATAAACAAGAAGAGCAGCCTGCTGAAGTAGTTTCAGAGAAAGGCAGTATCAGAAGAACGACCACTAAAGGTATGTTTTTCATGGAATCTTGGCGATTCGTGTTAGGAAAGAAACGAACTCTATCTACAATATTTTTATAAAGTTACTAGTCGAAACTTTGTTCTTTATAGTTTTCGACTTCCTGGAGACATAATTACGTAATAGGAACATCCTTTGAAGCGATAGAAGAAATTTGAAAAACTTATAACTAGAAGTCACATACATTCTATAAATTTGAGACGCGGGGATAACTTAAGTATATCTCGTCCCCATTCACCACTATTCCAAAGATCTTTCTCATATAACGCTGTGAAATTATACAATAATGTGAATAATGAGATAAAAAATACACAATATCATTATTTAAAAATCATACATAAAAGACACAATATCATTTTCTTGATATATCCTTACAAAATGAATCATTTCCTCAAAGTTTGTACAGGGTGCGGCAGAGAGGACGGACGGTTTTGGGATGGGTAGTACTCTCCGCCTCGGTCTGTGCGAGAGGTGGGGAGGGTGCCGTTTGACTCGTGAGATCCTAGCATTATTTTACCAGTTGTCGTTATGGAGCCTTGGACGGTGGAGCACCCCGTTTTCGCCTGTGATTGTTTCGTCCGAAATAATGAGTCAGTCATCGTCGTACAGCGTGAGTTTCGTCGCCACTTCAACATTCATCTGAATAGAGCTGTTCCCTCTCGAAACACCATCCTTCGTTGGGTTGAATCACTTCGCAGGCGTGGTGAACTGATCAACAGAAGACCAAGAGGAGCGCCGCGAACAGTTCGACCTCATGAAAATGTTGAACGCGTTCGACAGGTCTTTCTTCGCAGTCCGACTCGATCTGCCTGGAAACATGCTGCTGCACTTCGCCTTAGTGATCGTTCGGTAAAGCGAATTTTGCATATGCATATGGATCTCGCTTTCACCCCTACAAATTGGCCATTGTGCAACAGTTACAGCCCGGAGATTATGCACAACGAATGAACTTCGCATGTGAGATGGAAGCACTGATCGATCAAAATGAGAACCTCATTTTGTTTATGAGTGACGAAGCCCACTTTCACCTAAACAGCATGGTTAACCAGCAAAATTGTCGTTATTGGGCTATTGACTAAATGCTATTTCCTTGTGAACCTGATTCCATCAATAAATTTGTTTTCGAGTAAAAATTAACTATTTTATGATTTTTTTAAAACCGTCCATCCCCTCTGCCGCACCCTGTACCATATACATACCAACCATCATTCCATACTCTTCCAAACACTGATTAGCGATGGCTCGAGTACTAAATCTTTCTCTCAGAGCCAGAAGTCCCTGTGGGACGTCCAGAAGCCCTCGCTCGCTGTCCTCAGCCTTCCTAAGTCCACGCTCGTTCACACTGCAGTGTACTTCGTAAGGATCTCTTGGTCCTTCTAGAAACTTCTCTTATCGATAGACCGGCTTCACGCAACCCAACAATTCGACCCCTCTCAAAGTCACTTAGCTGGGACACCCGGTGAAGTCTACGCACTCTACTCATTTTGAGCAATCACAAAAAGGCTTCTCAATAAGCTACACGAAATTTAACATTTAACTTACACCGGAAATGTACGAAAACTGAATGCTTTTTTATCACTAAACAATACACGCAGCCACAACAAAAACTGAACAGAAAAACTTGACCATTTTGTCACTTGTTGTTCATGGCAAGATAAATCGATGTGTAAAAAATTGTTGAATTCTAATAAACATACGTAGGTGTTTACCTATTTTTTCACTCAGTATACAATGTCTTGATAATTTTACAATACATTTCCACTACAAACATTTTTAATTAATCTCTTTACTAATATATCGTGATTTACACAGTGAAAAACTTTGGAAAAGTCGCAAGCTATTGGAATTTGTTTATCATTCAAACTTGAGTATAACTGTTAGAGTAATGTGCGTCCATGGCATTTTTTTATGTTTTTGAGTTCCAAATTGGTTGTCACTTATAATTTTGTTGGTTTTTACAATGTCTCTCAATCTAATTTGAACTTTTACCTATTATCTTATGGGTCTATAATTATTATTATCATCATTATTATTATATTATTATTCCTTCTGACGAATTTAGGGCGTAGCCAGATATGAGTTACTCACTTTGAAATGTGCTCCAGAGATTCCTAGAATTAATATGTGGACGTAACCTAGGCACAAATAAGTTTCAAGGGTCGTAACGAGTGAATCTACTCGACTATTTTTTCTAGCCAAGACTACGGGCGTATTGTTTCAAGATCAAATTGGTCGAAAAAGTCGAAAGGATAGACTGAAAGATGTTGTGGATCAAGCAGAGCTTATTAAAAGGATGAGAGATGTGACAGATGGCTCATTTGTTTACCTGACGTATGCTGTTCCCAAATCATCTGAGCTATTTAATCCTTATGTTTTGAGGTAGGCACCTTTTATTCATTCACAACTAACAAATTCGGATTAGATAGATGGAGCAAGTGCACGATTTATTTTGTCACCAAAATTATCATCAGGCTGGAGCAGCCAGCTTGACATTGATTGAAATTTCACATTGAATTCATACTTTCCTGCGAAAACATATAAAAGAGCTTGAGTTCCATACAACCTTAGAGTTTCAGAAAGTTTGCGAAAATGGTGAAGGTTTCTGTGGGTTGCAAAAAGCAGTTGAAACTAAATAAGGGCAAACCTTTTTACACCAATCCTTCCACTCCTGCTCCTGTTTCTTTATTACAGACTTGCCCACGATTTTCCTTTGTTTTTAACTTATAGTATAAAGTAGTACTTTGTCTATAGCATCGTGCCTTACAAAGCAGCAGATAAATCAAATTTCTTCACGATGAGCGCAAAAGGAGTGATGCAACATATCGGCAGCGACATTATCTTCACTTCTTTGGATAAATGGGAAGAAGAGTACAACATGTACTGTAGACTGATGCAGATCAAATCCTTCTTATTATTCCGAATATGGAAGGGCTTCTACGTCTGGCGCAAAACTATTATCCACAAAAAGTTCTACTCGGCTCAAGTGAATCTACAAAATAATCTGCTCATTTTGGATCCGATAGTGAGAACTGGCTTACTGAACATACAGAATATGTGTTACAAAATGTCTGATTTAACATTCACCGATATGGACTGTATAGAAGACATGTGGCTATTTTATTTCATAGACAGTCAGGTAACTCTCATCTTTAAACGAAAAAGGTAATGAAAATGGGTTGAAACTCTGTCAAAAAAAAAGAGGTGAAGAGATACAGCCCATGATCCCAATGCTACCAGACATTACTTGTTGTTTGAAAGAAAAAGCGCGGGGCATTGAACAGAGTTTATACGTACTTTTAATGCCTGCGTATCTGCTAAGTAGGGTAAAGGGCCGATTCACTGGTACGAGGTGTAAAGGATTACGTAATAATAAGATTAGCTGAATTATTAATAAGTATATTTATTCAGCAATGTTTGACACTTCTCGCCTACCATAATTTCTGCCAGACGCTTTAAGCAACGCGTCCTGCCATAAATTGACCACCCTGTAACTTTTTGTTTGAACGTTTAGAAAAGCATTTGTTATACATGTCTGGCATAAAATGTATCCAATGTCTTTTTTGTATACAGGGTGTCAGTGTCTTTATTATAAAAACAACTTTATTCGATAAGAGTTTACTGAAACAAAGATGAACATGAAATACTTTATTATAGGGTACCATAAAAACTAGTCCTTGAACTAGCTCTACCAGGTTTCACCCGGGAGGGCGGCACACTCGTTGTTCCAAGTCCTCAGAAGGTCCTCATCGCTAGAAAACAGTTTTTCTTTTAGCTTCGTTTTTACAAGGGGAAGCAGTGCAAAGGCGCAGGGAACAAGATCTGGACTGTAAGGAGGGTGCTTAATAAGTTTCAGTCCAGTAGTGGTCAAATGCTCGGTGCAGGCTTTGTCGAGGTGAGCTGGAGCGTTGTCATGGTGGAGGTACCAAGTGTCCATTCTTGACTTTGGCCGCAGGTTTTTCGTAAACTCCATGACTTTAAGCAGACACTGTTCGGTGTACTACTTAGCTGTGACTGTCTTCTGTGTGTCCAAAATAATACGCTCCACGATCCCGCTCGATTTGGAAAATACACCTATCATTTTTTTCTTAACAGATCGGGATTTTCTGACAGCTACGGGCGTGTCCAAAACTTTGTTTTGAGCCTCGGTCGGCACATCGTAATAATAGAGCCAAGTCTCGTCACATGTCACGATGCTGTTCACATACCGAGATCGCCCCTTATCAAACACTTTCATCATCTTTCGGCACCAAGTTGTACGACGAGCCTTCTGCTCTTCCGTCAGACTATCTGGTACCCAGAGGAGACAAAGTTGCCTTACGTGTAAATGGACATGCAGAATCGAATGAATTGCTGATGCATGAAAGTGTAAGGAATCCTCTATCTGTTGGTGTGTCACTATCCGGTCTTCGTCCAGCATTTTCCTCACAACAGAAATGTTTTCCTCTGTTACTGGCGTTCGCGGCCTTACTTCGTACTGAAATTTCTTCTTTGTAATTATCTGTATCACCTGAATATAGTCGTACGATAAGAACAATCATTCTTTAATGCTAGCGTCATTTCTTCTAAGCACTGGTCTATGCTTAAACCACTCGTTAGTTATACCGTAGAACTGCCTACGTGACCATGATGGCATAGTCACTTTACACTGTCAATACGAACGAACAAATAAATCGTCAGACGTGCTGCTGGCGGCTACTGTGCTCTCATGGACATGTCTCAAAATGCAGTAACATGCAGCCTCCTGTGTCCGTTTGTTAAGTCATATTGCAAAACTTTTATAGTACCCGTTGTATTAGACGCTATAATAATTTTAATATGATATTTTTTTCTCTAAATTGTCATACAAACAAGATCGCGTCTGTCAGAAGTTTTGACTTATGTGCCTGGCAGTACTATATATTACTTTGTAATTATATTTTAGAATGAAAGACTAGCCATCAAAATTTAAATTGAGTTAGTCCTACCTTTACTTACCAGCTCCGAGATCTTCCACTAATTCAAACATTGATACGGCACTCTCATGACTCATGACACATTTTTTTGAGGATGAGGACTACTTCATCATTTGAATGAAATTTGTACCGATTTTTTCACAATATTTATCTAAATAAAAATGCTTTTTGAAATGTCCCATCGTGTTCCCAGAAATAAACTAGCACGGCTTCGAAAAAAGTAGATGAGAATGTGCTTTATTCGACCACGAGTACAAGTCAGCTGTTTTTTTTACTTGGTAGCACTTTTCTGCCTTAGAAATATGCTAGAAAAGTTTTCCTTTGGCTACGCTAGCAATATAGCTTCCATAAACAAGTTGAGAGAAAGGAAAAATTGATGCCGGCGGAAAATGAACCCGTGGTACCGTGGCGAGTATTCACGAGACGGTGTGGAGCAACTAGGAAGCGATTTAACTCACTTGAGCGCCGCCAGATGGGGCGTCAAGCAGCTTTAACAGGAGAACAGTGGCGTGGGTAGGATTCCTGAAAGTTGGTTGACAACTGGTATTGTAGACTAATGGTTAGGTCGGCTTCACGGTAGGGAGGAGATGCGGGTTTGAATACCACCGGAGCCCTTTCTTCATTTCTTTTTCAAAATCGCATACACAAAGATTCTGTCCTTTCGATCATAGCCGGTCAACCATGGACAGCTGTTTCGTGCTATTTGAAAACTGTCCAGCATGGTCTAGGCTTGGTCTCAGATGAGATAATGAACGAAGGCTGAGTAACAAGCGGCCACAGTGGAGACTCGGCTGACAATGCGAACTAGGATACAGTTCCAATAGAGAGCTTGATGTCTTCACACTTGCAGTGGTTGAAGCTGGTAATAACATATTGTGCCCTCTTATTTCGACAAACCTTATACTCTGGATAGAAAAAAGTTGCTAAGCCTCCTTTCGTAATCCTACTCGAAGAGTAATCTGACACCATGCCTAGACTATGCTGAGGAGTTGCCAAATAGCACGAAACAGCCGTCTGAGGTTGGACGAAAAAAAGCTATATTGTTAGTTTGTTCAATGGCCGTATCCACTATAGCACGAGAATCGGCGGCATCTAGCGGCCACAATTCTGACCTGGCTGCATACAGTTCCATCAGACAGCTTGATGTTCTCACTTTCGAAGCGGTCGATTCTGGTAATAGATGGCACTTTGTACTGTCTTATTTTGAGCGATCGGCTGTTAATTTAGCAATATTATATTATTAGATGGCGAAGTTTGACGTCATGAGGGAGAAAATAAATGAATATCAAGAGGTAGCAAAAGAGATAGTTGGAAATGCCTGTCATGGAGCTCTTTTGGCCAAAGGGTTTGTGGTTGATGAGAGAATCATTTACGCTGAGAGTAAAAAGAAGAGAAGACAACAAAAAGCATCTTACATAGAACAAGCTGCTAAAAAGAAATTTTGTGAACGATTATCAAGGTATAGTCTTATGGAGCATCTAAACTGATAATGTTTTTGCACTCATATATCCCGGATACATATCCGCTGACATCAGCTGTATCTCGTCTTTATCTTTACAATATTAATCAAATCCAAGCGAATAACCAAAATTTCTGTGTTATGTGCCGCGGTTATAATATGGTTCAAGATGACACACGGGTTGATGACGTCAGTTACACGAATCGCTTGAACGCGTTGGTTTTAACCGCGGTTTTGTTGCAAGTTGTTTATTTTAGAAAAGCGCGTATATAATCTCTGATTATTTTTATTATCACTCAATAATCGGTTCTTTTTCGTCTACAACTGTATATGGAAAAAAACTTTCATAATATTCATGGGAGAAATGTTTTTTCAGATTTTTTTTTAATGATGGAACCATGGCTTTGTAGCTATGATAACTTTCAATTCTCTAAATTTTTCCGCATGTCAAAGAAAACATTTATTGATTCAGCAGAAATGATGAAAAAATAAATTAGCAAAACCGTATACAGGTGGATATCATCTAGTGAGTTTATATGGCCATATTTTAATATTCTTGTGGTATATGGCTACACAGGATACTTTGTTAATCATAGGAACTACATTTAAAGTGTCCCCAACAACCGTAATGAGTATAACTAATAAGGTGCTCCACTTTATGGTAAAACTGAAGTCAGCCTGTATCATTTTTCTCAAAAATGAAGCTGAAGTACAATAACAATATCCAATACCCGGCAAAATTCTAACTTGTCACATTTCAAATAATAACCAGAAATATAAAACTAGTCTTGAGTTGGGTAAATACTACAATTTTGCGGTGATAACTATGACATATAACAGCTGATTCGTGACGTCACGGATCTTATAACCAAACTGATAACTACACTCGCTTGAACGGATTGGTAAATACCAACCCAAAATGGTAAATACCATTTCCATTTGGTTATCCGCTTGAATTTGATAATTGTCTGTATTGCAAAGACACATACACTTGACAGAATCATCTATCAGCCGGGATGGACATCGCTTAATAGATTGAAGAGTTCGTGGGCGAAATGCAGAGCAAAAGTAGTGAGAGATGAGCTTAGTATTCTTTCATGTCAGAGCAGGATTGAGTAGCATTTCAGGAGAAATATTTAGCACAAAGAGGTTGAAATCATCGATCTGTTATAAAATACTATAACAAGGGTAAACACCCAGCAAAAAATCAGTAGGGGTCTAAATTGTTTATATGCTCAATTATAATAACTCAATTACCAAACATTAGCGGTAGTTTACAAAGCTTTAGGTTAAAGGTCATGGTTACATAACTAGAAGGTGCGGCTAACCCTATATTAAACCAGAGTAGATTTCTGCCGTCAAGGACTAACTCTGGGTTCATAAAACTAGACGGAGCTTTGAAATATAGGGGTATTTCAAAGAATGCATACATTTTTTGCAAATGATGCGAGAAAAGCTAGTTCTGTGTTAAAAGTTTATGATTTGAGATTGACTTGAATTTCTACATTTAGTACTTGTGATTTGTGTTCTGCTATTATTTTCTATTATCGGTTGTATGTTGTATTATATTTAGAATTGTGTTTGGTATACTGGATTTTGGAAATATTTTTCACTGTGTTTACGACATGTCTCATCATACGTCCGACAGAATTGTCTACAAAAATCTACGAAGTACCCTGGCAATTTTAAATAATGGACATAACCATCAACGAAGATCTCCTGGAATTGTTGGAGTTTGGTCTACCCAGAGGAATTTACGAGCAAAAAGTGTATTTCCAGACAATTCATAGCTCCACGCGTGCCGGTAAACATCATGAAAAAATGCAATTATCACTATATTCGATGGAGGTATCATGTCTCCTTGTTCTCAATAATGCTTTTATATTTTTCTGAATAATACTTTTCCTTAGTGAAACTTGTAGTAGGATATCTCGTCATGGTACTGAATATTTTAACAGCACGAAAAACGCTCTCTAAGCGTTGAACCAAAAATGCACAAAACATGATGACATGGTTATCGAATTTTTTCGCATAATGCAAAGTGATGTACAATCATGTCAAATGATGAATCTTATAACATTTCAACTATTTCAGTTCGTTTAATTTGAAGATCATCTTTGCATAACCTGAAGCGGCTTGTAGACGTTCAATATGATTGTGCAATGTGACTTGCACAATATTTTGACGGTGGCCCATAGGCGGTCAATATTATTGTACAATATTTTGGTTTGAGCGAAATATTGTACCGTATGGAGGCGATATTGAAGGTTGTATAATGAATATATGGCGCAATCGTGAGCACAGACATAGTAGTGACTTGTATTGCGTGGTAATTGCTCTGGCCGCAAGTGCAAAAAAAGAAAAGAAAAACGGCTCAGGCTTATTGATAGGAAAAAGTACACCAACGAAAAATCACTCAATGGACCAAATAATAGTTGAACCAAATGATTTCCGCAACTTTTGACGAATGGACGGAGAATTATTTGATGAACTCCTCATTCGAATGAATTGAGATCAACTGATGGGATATTGCGCAATATTGCCAACAGACGGCACCATATACATATTTCCGTTTGCACAATCTTTCAATGTTGCCCACATACAATCAATTATATTGCACAAACCAAAATATTGAACGTCTACAGGCCGCTTAAATCACAAATGAAAATTAAGCAACTCAAATGAAATCATATAATAACCATAAGAAATCTAGCGTTCCATCAACAAATATCACTGATTTGTGTTCAAGTGAGGGATAGATTTACCACAGAGTTAGATCTTAACTCAGAAGTAAATATGACGGTGTAAAGACTAACTCGGAGTTATCTCTAACCAAAACCAGTGCAAATCACCGTAGATGCTGCACTGTCACTGTTTAATCCTATGTTTGGAGGTATCTTGAGTGAGGACAAATGAGACGGCATGAAAAGCATTTTGATGGTTTGCCGCACGCTCTACCGCTTTTACACCTTACATACATCTTCTGGACGTACGTGACATTCATTTATAAGGTAATGATCCGTTCGTTGCTCCAATAATGGTTATTCATGGTATACAAGATAGTGTGTTGGGAATCTTAAAATCCTTGAAATATTTGCATATAAAAACATTGAAACCTGTGGTATTCCAGAATATGTTTGCTTTTCTTCCGATCGCGCACCAATTTGACAGGGATGGGTCAGGAAAGTCAAACATGTGAATCTTGGCGGCACATTCATGGCAAGTGTGTCTCCTATACGATGGGATGAACTTTTTAGCCTAGGACGTCTATTATCGGTCGCAGTGTCGCGCTTAAACCTTTACAACTGAAGGAAAAATTATGCGAAATGAACTATGAAACAATTTTTTCGACCGCCGAAAAATAATTTCAGATCTGTCTTCAGCGATCAAAACTTAAATCTGTCAGAAGCCTCATGTCAAAAAACGAAGTTGGACGTTTTTTGTTTGTTTTTTGACTCGTTGTGCCGATTTTCAAAAACTGTAGAGCTTTTTCGCCATTTTCATAGTAATAACCTAGGGTCAAAATTTCATCAAAATCGTGATACTTATCCAGAGTTATCATTTATTTAATCCTTTTCGTTAGTTATGAAATGCAAGTCAATGTATCTCTCAACTAGGCTTGCATTGCAACAGGACATTATAATGAAACAACTGTAAGCACTTGATAATTTATAACGTTTTAAAATACATAGCAGCGGTGGCCGCAGTAGTAGACTATTCGGTCTCCTGATCAGCCGCCGTGCGCTGTGCGGGTTCGAGTCCCGTCCCAGGAGAAATTTTTCTCTTGGTTATGGATGTTGTGATTGTCCGTAGGTGGTAGATGGTCTCTGACTGTCGAACGCGGAGGTACCACCCGGCGGTTCTCGTAGGCGGAGCCAGAATGTGTGCATGTTGCATGCACACGTGTTCCCTCGCCAGAGTCCGTGTGGCATCCCCCCTTTTCCCATGTATCCCCCTATAGCCCCACGGTACCCAATGGGTGCTTAGGCCTTAGGCCTTCGTGGTAGTTGGAGTATAAAAAAAATATCCTTAGGTCAGCCATAACTCACCTGCGAAACGTACAAAATATTAGCAATATAAAAAAAGTGTTATTATGGTAGCCTATGCTTTGTATGCATACTAATTTAATTCATTCTCCTTGAAAGTTAGTTACGGAACATACATTATTATGAATAGGTAAGTATTCAAATCAAAATACTTCCCACATACCACTACTTCGCCACATACTGCAAATAAGTCAATAATGATTTTGGCCGCTACTGGTTCTAATCTAAACCATTAAACACATGACATTTCGTGTGCTTCCGACGTTGTAACGTCCTTTGACGCGGGTCAAACTTACCGACAAGAGCCCGAACGTGCTATGTGGCGAACGTTGGACACATGTAATTTATCAGCGCTCTCCCACACGATGTGGCAATCGGCCATGTGTCCAACGTTGTAAGGCATTCGCCACATCGTGTGGGTCCGGTTTTAGTAGCAATATAGTTAGGCCATATCAACAATATAACCGACGTTGCTGGCTAGTTAGTGCACCAAAATATTGCCCGTTTAGAGGCTCCATTACATACTAATGATGATAATAATAAAAAATAATTTCACAATTATCATTAAGATGTGGATACTACGCTGCATAATAACTAGGTGATCAGGTTATAATACAAATACGAGAAAAGAAATTTACCTGGCAATGAAACAATACACAAGCATAATACGTCAAATAGTGGCATGTGATCTAACCTTGCTTCCTTGCTTAACTTTGATAATCCGTAAAAAAGTGAATAATTGAAATTAGAATATTGCAGTATCACAAAATGTCTGACAAAAGAAGGTCATCAGCCAAAAATAATTCCTGAGAGAATAGTTGCTGTCCATGAGCATGATGTATCATTATATCACGCAATAAAATTTTCGTCGGAACATTTTCGTTGGATTCGTGAAACCAGACAATCCCAGAAGAAGAAGACTCAGGTGGGTTCCACGACTGTTGACATCTGGGCAAAAATTGCGCAGGTTGGAAATCCCATAAAATCATTTGGGAACTTTGACCAATGATTCTGACTTTTTGGTACACATTGTGACGTGTGACAATACTTGGGTGCATTATTGGGATCTTGAGACAAAAACAGAATCCAAGTAGTGAACTCATAAAGGGTATCCACCAGCAATTAATGGTAACAGTTTTTTGGAAAATCACCGGCATCTTTGAATATATGGGATACGGGACAGCAATAGGTGAAAAACTTTCGTAAAGCGATCAACTAGAGAATGCCCGATATTTCCAATCGAGGAGTGTTTTTGCATGTCAATGCTTAAGGCTGCCAAAAATGCAGCTTCGTTGAGATAGACCTTCCTCCCTATAGTCCGCACTTGGCTCCGTCCGACTTTTATTTCTTCAGGTTACTAAAGAAAAATCTTCGAGAACGCCCTTTTGACTCAGATGATGCCCTAGAAGCAGCCGTTAATGACTTTTTGAGAGCCAACAACTATAAGGGTTCACTGAAGGAGAAATGACGCAGGTGCATGGATGTACCTAATAAATAAAATTATCAAAAAAATCCTACGTCTTTTGTTTTATGGCTAGGTAGATTTATTTTCTAGTACCCCTCGTAGTGAAAAACTGAAATAGCAGGAGCACTAAAAATTAATGACGAGCCTGTAGATTTAGTCATTAATTGCAGAAATTATTTTTATTTTGAAAAATACTCCTTTTATAAGATTCTGGTTATGGCTGCTATACGGCGAACACCAAGTGTATCGATATCGCCAGATAGCTATACATATGTGTTATTTTTCACTTCATCAGCGGCAAATTATCTTCACTATTATCTTTTCTTCCCCAGCTTTATTATATTAGTTGATTACCTAACCATCAACATGCTGCATCAACTTATTTCAAACTCTGTAGAAGATGTGAACAGGGTTTTGCATATCCACACAAGCTTTTTACCAACTGATAGTATGTTAAGCTTATCAGAAGGGTATGCGATAGAAGAGCGACCGAGATCAGAAGACGATCCACAGGTGACGCTTATCAATTAGTTACGGCTTAGTTGTTCATATATCTGTCAGTCTGTATTTTTGAAAATTCGATAACTGACAACTGTTAACAAAGCATTAAAAGACAAAATACGCGCCTCCAAACCTTTTTCGTACATCCTCATTTCAGATAACTTTAAGCTATATTTTTGCAGCTTTTGAAACCATTTTTCTCAATGTACAGTTTGAATGATCGATTTTAGATACCCATGTTCATTACACACGTGACATTAGAACTGGAGGCGCTACAGTTGGATCCTTCTCTTCAGATAATCATAACCATGTTCAAGCAATTGTATCGTTTGTGGATACAGTTCACAACATCTATAAGTCCATTTGTGGCAGATCCATGTTATTCTCCTTTTACGAAGTGAGTATATTCTTGCATCTGATGAACATTTTTTACATAAGACTAGCAAAAAAATTTCACTGTCGCTTACTGACTCCATCTTGATTCCTTTTAAAATGAACAATATTTTGAAAAAGAAAATGATCAACGCAACATACGACAGTAAGGTTGTTAAAGCAACTCCTCTGTTCAAGAATTAAGTGTGGTCATAAGCCTGAAGCAAACTTACTCTTCATACTTCCAATAACTGGTACTGTATGACAGCATATACGGGGTGCCCCACGTACATCTGCAACGATCAATTACTCGAAAAGTTGATGTTTAACAATTACAAAAACTTGGTATAACTGCTGCGAGGAATTCGGCTAGATATATTCAAAATGGTGGCGGTTCCGGTTGCACCGAAAATGGATACCAACTTTATTATTATTATATTATTCTAATATGAAATCTACGCAAGATTCGATATACGTTTTGTGTATACTCGTATATGCATATTTTTGTCTTCTCGAACCATTTGTAACTCCATTCCTATAGGAGAGGATCTACTTAAGTAGATTTTATTTAATATTGTACCACAGCGTGGTAAAAAAAATCGGTAAAAATTGAATGGTAAAAAATGTAAAAATTATTTTAAATGAAAACTCTTTCGTATAAGTACTTAGTGAGTTGCTTAGGAAATATTTGCAAATACTCATTTTCTATCCCTCCACATTTTTTGTGTACAGTTCAGCATCGTTGGCCATGGCGGGGTGAATTATTAAAAATGAGTCATAATGTGTGATTTTTCCACATGTGGCACATAAAAAAGGGAAGAAAATCAAGTTCTATTTCGTGGATTCGAATCTTGGTTGTTCGCGCGAAATTCATTGCCATGTCCGCGCTCTGTTGTCTAGGCTATCGCGCATGTGCAAAATTAATTTCCAAGTACGTACAGATAGGGTTAGAATAACAACTGCACTGTAGAATATATGTGCTTATGTTACTAATTGCGTGTTGCACTATTTGCTGCCTGAAAACCTTTTAATTAATTCAGATACGGTAGTTAAGTAATATTTGTTTATTATTCGTAGAGAAAATGTTAATAAGAATGAATATCTACGTTATTTTTGGAATGTTACGATAATAAAAAAACCGTATAGAGTATAGAGGGATGGAAAATGAGTAGTAGTAGAAAGATTTATTTAGCACATTTGGCTACATAAACAGAATAATTGTAAACAACTTAGAACTATACTAAGTGACATATAAATCCGAACACCCAGTTTAAATGGTTTTATTTTAATAAAAGTTGGTGAATGTATTTATCTTACTGTAAATAACAAGTGAAAAAATGTTCAGCCTTATCAGTTGGACATTCCGGTTTTTATACTGCTTTTTTTTAATTCACTAACGCTCTAAAAATGAATATTTCAGCCGCAGTAAAGAATCAACGTTGGCGGATTTTGGTTCTTGACATCCTTTACGATCGGTTACGATGCCTAGAGTACGGAGACCTGTACGATTTCGTCAACTTAGTGAGTTTGATAGGGGCCGTATAGTGGGACTTCGGGAAGCTGGACTTTCTTTTCGGGCAATTGCAGTTAGAGTGCAAAGAAGTGTAGACACTGTGGTTAGGTGTTGTCAGGCATGGCTTCGAGAAGGCCGTACGCAAAGAGCAAGGGGCACTGGACGCCGCCGTAGAACAATAGACCGTGAAGATCGCCGCCTCAGATTATTGGCCTTAAGGGACCGTTTCTCCACTACCAGGTCCATTGCAAATGAATGGTTTGCAGAACACGGAAGACCTATTGGCATGCGAAGTGTTTACCGACGAATGAGAAGTTTTGGCTTGTTTTCATACCGGCCACACTGGGTCCTCCCTTTAACTCGAGAACACCGACGTAATCGCCTTGAGTGGTGCAGACAACGGTCACTCTGGGATCAGGAATGGAACAGTATTGTCTTTAGTGACGAGTCTCGATTTTGTTTAGGCATGCACGATGGTCGTGCCAGGGTTAGAAGGCGACGTGGTGAAAGGAGGAATCCACAGTTATTTGTTGAAAGACATGTTCATCACACTGTTGGAGTTATGGTTTGGGGTGCTATAGCTTATGATTCCAGGTCACCCTTAATCTTCATCAGAGGTAACATGAACGCGCAGCGTTATATCCACGAAGTTCTAGAACCCCATCTTTTACCCTATCTTGACACCCTGGCAGATCCAACTTTCCAACAAGATAATGCCCGACCACATGTTGCAAGAGTCACAATAGACTTCTTTCAACATAATGATGTCACATTGTTACCATGGCCACCAAGATCTCCCGACTTATCGCCAATTGAGCACGTGTGGGATATGATGGGTAGGAGATTGCTCAATTTGCAACGTCCTCCTCAGACTCTAGAAGCACTTCGAGAGGAGTTGGTGGTTGTTTGGAATGAGATGCCACAGGAGGACATTGACCACCTGATCAGAAGCATGCCTAGGCGCGTTGGAGAATGCGTAGCACATCAGGGTGCATCCACACATTATTAAAGGTCAAAGGGCTTTAAAGCAGTGCAATCATTTCATTTACAAAATCGGTTTCCCAATCGAGTGCAACCAACCCCTCGTGCCTTTGTTAATGTAGTACAAAGGGCTCGTGAATCAGGTGACTTAAGACCTCACAGGGGATGCCGGTGCTCCAAGACCGCACGATCAAATACAGGTCCGCACTGAAATACTTGTCAGGAGGATACTTTATAAAACAAGGTAACATTTTTTTTTATTTTTTTTTTATTTTTACACACATATTTTGGTTTATCTTCCTTCTACAATCACTATCTGAAAATTAATGACTCAACTTCAAAGTTCAAAGTCAAAGAGATACCAGACTGAATATTTTTAGTACTTATATAAATCATAGTGTCATCGGCGAAAATCTGAATTTTGCATTTTCTGACTATGGCAGGTAAATCATTTATGTATAAAATAAAAAGAAGTGGTCCCAGGATACTGCCCTGTGGAACACCCAACGTATTTTCAATTTTTGATGAAATAGTGTCATCAACTTTTGTAACTTGCATCCTTGTAGACAAAGAATTTCTAAACCAATCTAAAACACTTCCTGTTATACCATATGCCTTCAATTTACCTAACAAAATATCTCTATCAATCGTTTCAAATGCCCTCTTCAAATCCAAAAATACTGCTATGACAACTTCTTCCGAGTCTATGGCTCTTCTCCAATTCTCAGTTACCAACTGGCAAGCCGTTTCTGTGGAATATTTTTTTCGAAAGCCTGCTTTCCGCCTCAACTAAAATTTTGTTTTCTTCTATAAACTGCATTAATTGGTCATGCAAGGGTACATCTCTTTGCTGGGGTTGGTTGATCAAGAATCATTTATCAGTAGATCGAATGTGGAGTAGTACAGTGTTGATGCTACAGAGTCGACAAAACGGATCTACAGTGACCTAGTTACCAAGTCTCGAATCCCCCCTACTTCTGACACCATGTTGAAAATATGTCTGCCGAATTCCTCTCATCGGTTATATCACAACTCCAAGTTTTCATATTTATCTACCGTCGACTTTTCTAGCAATCGATCGCTGCAGTTCCACGTATATCTCTCCAAAAGGACACACACAGTAATGAAGCGTGAGTGACGGATTTGATGAACCTACTTTCTTTACAGCCCCATAATAAATGAGAAAGTTGAGGACCGAATCTGTGGTTGGGGCCCCACATTGGAATTTTACTTGAAAGAAGACGACTACTTAGACTTCATAAAACACTTCACTGAGGACTATCTAGCAGAAAACTACAATACTGCTCAAATTGTCATCGAGAAATATACTCCCGTAAGAGAGTTTTATGCAGAAGATCTACAAGTGAAGGAAAAAGATATCGAAAACGAACGAGGTAAGGGAGATTTTCGAAAGTCGGGCTCTTTCGCCGAAATATGAAAATAAACTCCATGCACTTTTTAGACACGCTTTCATGATGAATTATAGGTAATTTTGATGCACGAGTTTAATTCGGTAGAATATTTCCCGACTTTGCACAAATGCACATTTGAGCAATCGTAACTATAGGGACCTATAGGGAAATTTTCGATACCTACTGGGCAATTTTGACTGACTATTTTCCTCGTCTTAATTTCTACCAATCACAAACGCGCAATTTTCTAGATGGCAAAATTGTATGACAGCACGTGTCAGCAGTTTTTTTGAGTTTACTCACGGCAAAACTTGACAGCTGTTGTCAAAAATTACAATACCTTTGATAAAAAAGTAATTTTGCCTACTACGACACCAGAAAACGACGCTAAACAATTTTTCTGATTTTATTGCAATTTATATTCTAATTGTACCATAATTAATCAAGTTTGTAGTATTATGTGGTGATATGTTTTGTAAGCTATGTGCATGCAGAATAATAAGAATAATAAGTTTATTCACGTAACATACAAATATAACTAAAAACCAACATAGGTATACGTAAATAAACTGAATTTACCAACAGAAGATAAATTCTTGTGCGTGGGTATTACCTTACATTTTTACATAAATATACACATACATATATACACACATATATATATATATATATATATATATATATATATATATACAGGGTTATCCAAATTAAGTGTCCACCATTAGTAACTTTGTTATTAGTGAAAATACAAAGTTGTTTGAATTAGCAAACTAGTAGCATTTTTAACGCTGGTAAAAATGAGAAATAAAAAAAAACAATTGAGAGTCGTTATTTTGATTTTTTTCAGTAAAATAACATTTTTTTAAATGGAAACCCCTGTATATTATATTTTTTCTGTTAAAGCATCAAATTTTAAACAAAAAAGTTCATAATGACTTTTCCGCTAAAGTCAAAAATAAAGTCAAAATAACGATAAATATGTTTAATTATTTGCAGTATTATAATATTAAGACGGTTATGAAAACAACATGGCGTTCGCGATTTGACAGCATTAAGATAAGCGACAAATTGTTAAACTGGACATACTCGCAACTAGAAGGCTTTGGAAAACAATGATAAAATCAAATAATGTCAAACATTAGTGTAAATACTTGTTTATAAGCTTTATTGTGTCATTAATTTAAAGAAAAATGTTCTCCCATGAAGAAAAGTGTGATATGTTAGAATGCTATTTAGTGTACAGAAAATCCTCCTTGAGAGCAAGAGAATACTACAGTGAATTATATCCCGCTCGCATTCAACCGTATGAACGATATTTTCTGAGACTTTATCGAAAATTTAGGGGCAACGAAAATGTTTTTGCTAAAACAAGGGCAAAAAAAGAATTCATAATAAGCGAGGCCACGGAAATTGCAGTTATTGGATATTTTGAAGCTTATCGTGAGAATTCAATAGCAGATATTCTCAAGGACTCTAATTTCAGTTATGGTACTGTTCAAAGGATTTTAAAAAAATACAAATTTATTCCGTATAAGTACCGACCAGTTCAAACGCTTTTGGCAGGGGATCCAGAGAGAAGACTTGTTTTTTGCCATTGGTATCTTAGCTTCTGTCGCCAAAATGTAAATAACTTTCGTAACCTTTTATGGACAGATGAATCAAATTTTTCAAATTCTGGAATGTTTAATAGAAAAAACCACCATTATTGGTCAAGAGAAAATCTTTTGTTAGTACATCCAAGAGGCCCACAAGTCCGTTTCAGTTTCAACGTTTGGTGCGGTATAATTGGTTCAAAAAATGTTGGCCCGTTCTTTTATGAGGGAACCCTAACTGGTGAAAGATATGTGGAATTTATGTCAGAACTTCTGACTAATTTCTTAGACGAATTGGATCTTATAAGTAGACATCATCTGCATTTTCAGCAAGATGGCGCACCTGCCCACAACTCCAGAGGTACTTATCATTTTCTAAGTACTACTTTTAATGATCAGTGGATAGGAACAAATGGCCCAATACAGTGGCCTCCCAGATCACCAGATCTAAACCCACTTGATTACTTCTTGTGGGGTTACTTAAAGAACCAAATTTACAAGCGAAGGTACGATAACCTTGACGCGTTAAAGACTGCAGTTAGGGAAAAGATAACCCAGATAGATGGTAGGACCATACTTAAGACAGTTCGAGCAGTTGAAAAACGTGCCCAAAAATTTATTGAAGAACAAGGTGGTGTTTTCTAGCATCTTCTTTAAAAAAAATTGTTATTGTATTTTGTAAGATTATAAGTTGATGTTGAAAATAAAGTTTGTCGATACAATTTAATTGTTTCAGATTGGAGGCCATAACTTCAACAATTTGTAACCTGGGAGAAAAGTTATTGTGAGCTTTTTTGTTTAAAATTTGATGCTTTAACAGAAAAAAATATAATATACAGGGGTTTCCATTTAAAAAAATGTTATTTTACTGAAAAAAATCAAAATAACGACTCTCAATTGTTTTTTTTTATTTCTCATTTTTACCAGCGTTAAAAATGCTACTAGTTTGCTAATTCAAACAACTTTGTATTTTCACTAATAACCTGTATATACAGGGTTATCCAAATTAAGTGTCCACCATTAGTAACTTTGTTATTAGTGAAAATACAAAGTTGTTTGAATTAGCAAACTAGTAGCATTTTTAACGCTGGTAAAAATGAGAAATAAAAAAAAACAATTGAGAGTCGTTATTTTGATTTTTTTCAGTAAAATAACATTTTTTTAAATGGAAACCCCTGTATATTATATTTTTTTCTGTTAAAGCATCAAATTTTAAACAAAATAGCTTACAATAACTTTTCTCCTAGGTTACAAATTGTTGAAGTTATGGCCTCCAATCTGAAACAATTAAATTGTATCGACAAACTTTATTTTCAACATCAACTTATAATCTTACAAAATACAATAACAATTTTTTTTAAAGAAGATGCTCGAAAACACCACCTTGTTCTTCAATACATTTTTGGGCACGTTTTTCAACTGCTCGAACTGTCTTAAGTATGGTCCTACCATCTATCTGGGTTATCTTTTCCCTAACTGCAGTCTTTAACGCGTCAAGGTTATCGTACCTTCGCTTGTAAATTTGGTTCTTTAAGTAACCCCACAAGAAGTAATCAAGTGGGTTTAGATCTGGTGATCTGGGAGGCCACTGTATTGGGCCATTTGTTCCTATCCACTGATCATTAAAAGTAGTACTTAGAAAATGATAAGTACCTCTGGAGTTGTGGGCAGGTGCGCTAAAGTCTCAGAAAATATCGTTCATACGGTTGAATGCGAGCGGGATATAATTCACTGTAGCTTGCTCTCAAGGAGGATTTTCTGCACACTAAATAGCATTCTAACATATCACACTTTTCTTCATGGGAGAACATTTTTCTTTAAATTAATGACACAATAAAGCTTATAAACAAGTATTTACACTAATGTTTGACATTATTTGATTTTATCATTGTTTTCCAAAGCCTTCTAGTTGCGAGTATGTCCAGTTTAACAATTTGTCGCTTATCTTAATGCTGTCAAATCGCGAACGCCATGTTGTTTTCATAGCCGTCTTAATATTATAATACTGCAAATAATTAAAAATATTTATCGTTATTTTGACTTTATTTTTGACTTTAGCGGAAAAGTCATTATGAACTTTTTTGTTTAAAATTTGATGCTTTAACAGAAAAAAATATAATATACAGGGGTTTCCATTTAAAAAAATCTGAAAAAAATCAAAATAACGACTCTCAATTGTTTTTTTTTATTTCTCATTTTTACCAGCGTTAAAAATGCTACTAGTTTGCTAATTCAAACAACTTTGTATTTTCACTAATAACAAAGTTACTAATGGTGGACACTTAATTTGGATAACCCTGTATATATATATATATTCATATAAATAAACACATAAATGGATGCACATACACATATATACATACACACATACATATTATATACACATATGCATACACCTATACATATATATACTAAGTGACATATAAATCCGAACACCCAGTTTAAATGGTTTTATTTTAATAAAAGTTGGTGAATGTATTTATCTTACTGTAAATAACAAGTGAAAAAATTTTCAGCCTTATCAGTTAGACATTCCGGCTTTTATACTGCTTTTTTTTTAATTCACTAACGCTCTAAAAATGAATATTTCAGCCGCAGTAAAGAATCAACGTTGGCGGATTTTGGTTCTTGACATCCTTTACGATCGGTTACGATGCCTAGAGTACGGAGACCTGTACGATTTCGTCAACTTAGTGAGTTTGATAGGGGCCGTATAGTGGGACTTCGGGAAGCTGGACTTTCTTTTCGGGCAATTGCAGTTAGAGTGCAAAGAAGTGTAGACACTGTGGTTAGGTGTTGTCAGGCATGGCTTCGAGAAGGCCGTACGCAAAGAGCAAGGGGCACTGGACGCCGCCGTAGAACAGACCGCGAAGATCGCCGCCTAAGATTATTGGCCTTAAGGGACCGTTTCTCCACTACCAGGTCCATTGCAAATGAATGGTTTGCAGAACACGGAAGACCTAATGGCATGCGAAGTGTTTACCGACGAATGAGAAGTTTTGGCTTGTTTTCATACCGGCCACACTGGGCCCTCCCTTTAACTCGAGAACACCGACGTAATGGCCTTGAGTGGTGCAGACAACGGTCACTCTGGGATCAGGAATGGAACAGTATTGTCTTTAGTGACGAGTCTCGATTTTGTTTAGGCATGCACGATGGTCGTGCCAGGGTTAGAAGGCGACGTGGTGAAAGGAGGAATCCACATTTTTTTGTTGAAAGACATGTTCATCACACTGTTGGAGTTATGGTTTGGGGTGCTATAGCTTATGGTTCCAGGTCACCTTTAATCTTCATCAGAGGTAACATGAACGCGCAGCGTTATATCCACGAAGTTCTAGCACCCCATCTTTTACCCTATCTTGACACCCTGACAGATCCAACTTTCCAACAAGATAATGCCCGACCACATGTTGCAAGAGTCGCAATAGACTTCTTTCAACATAATGATGTCACATTGTTACCATGGCCACCAAGATCTCCCGACTTATCCCCAATTGAGCACGTGTGGGATATGATGGGTAGGAGATTGCTCAATTTGCAACGTCCTCCTCAGACTGTAGAAGCACTTCGAGAGGAGTTGGTGGTTGCCTGGAATGAGATACCACAGGAGGACATTGACCACCTGATCAGAAGCATGCCTAGGCGCGTTGGAGAATGCGTAGCATATCAGGGTGCATCCACACATTGTTAAAGGTCAAAGGGCTTTAAAGCAGTGCAATCATTTTGAAATTTTTATCATTTACTTATTATGCTTCATTAAGTACTTATACAAAATTTTATTAAAATAAAACCATTTAAACTGGGTGTTCGGATTTATATGTCACTTAGTATACATACACACATACGAGGATATGAACGTTGAAGGGTTTTTACTATTACATTAATTTAAAATTTCTTTCATACGTATCATGTTTGCAATTTGATGTCGATTTTTTACACTTATAAATTTTTTGGTTTCAATTTTGAATTTTGTTTTATTTGAAATATTTCTTATATAATTTGGTAATATGTTATATAATCTACTGGAAAGGTAAGTATGACATCTTTGGCCTATACTTTTTGAGGTGAAAGGTGTTTGCTTAAGGTTGTTGATTTTGTTTCTAGTTTGATATAAATGATTTAACGGAATAAGCTTATTTCTATGGTGAAATTGATAATTTATAATTTTATAAAAAAAATGTTGCCTAGGGTCTAATAGTTTTGCTTCAGAATACAGATTCAGATGGGTCTAAGAGTGGTTTGTCAACGATTATTTTTAAAAATTGTTTTAGCATAATTTCTAATTTATTAATTTGGTTATTAAGTGCTCCACCCCAACCTAATATTGCGTAACTTATACGATTTTCGATCATAGCATGATATAAAATTTTCATTGTTTTTTTATCCTAATATTTGTTTAGATACTTGAATTTAAACAATAATGGTCTCAAATTGGTTATTAAATGATCAATATGTATATTCCACTTTAAATGTGAGTCTAAATATACACCTGAATATTTTATTTGGTTTGTTAAATTTATTTGTGTATTTATATTATCACAGTTAATCTGTTTAGATACAAAGGATGGTAATTTGTTTCTGTGATTTGTGAATGGCATGAACATAGTCTTTTGAAAGTTAATAGTTAGGCATTTATGTCTGAACCAGTCTGCAATTATTGTTAAGTCTCTTTCAACCTTCACTTTTAGATCATCCGAATAAATGATAGCAGTATCGTCTGCAAAACATATGATTGTCCCTTCACATTTTTAGCTCAGCAGGCTATTAATGTAAAGTGTAAATAATAAGGGGCCTAACATTGTCCTTTGTGGGCCACCATACGTTATCAATTTGTTTGTCCTTAAGAATAATCTGTTACTCATGAAGTAGTCTTGTCAAATACTATTCGGGCATCTAATTTTTTTTCTGTCAAAAAAATCAAAAAACTCAATTCAAAGTAATATTTTTTTAACAAAAAACATTCGTACAGGTGCACCAGCACTCATGCTTCCTATTAGAATATCACTTAGCAACGTGTTTTTTCGATATTTTTCAGAAAAATTAGATGTCCTTATGATATTACTTATGAACATTTTCCATTATCTAGATAACAATCCTTCAAATTCATACTAACGTAATTCATCAACTAATATTGCATGGTTTTATGCGATGCCATTTTAATAATGTAACGATGCGATCTCGGTATGGTACAGTACCATTCAGTCTGTTATTGTGAAGTAGTGAAAAAAAAATTAAATGAACTGTCATCTGGAAGATAGATAAACATGAAATATGTACTCTGAAGAAGGCTATCGTTGTGGCAGAAACGTCAGTAGTAAAAAGTAAATCAAACATTTGGGTGTTATTGGCTTGACCATCATGGGCCCTATCAGCATGAACATCACATCACAGGTTCAGTTTCAGGTGTTATATTCGTCGACATCTCCTGTTGGTAAAGTTTGAACTATTTTTCATACGCGGGAAATCGTGCTGCATTTCCACTGAAATTACAATAATATACTAAGTGACATATAAATCCGAACACCCAGTTTAAATGGTTTTATTTTAATAAAATTTTGCATAAGTACTTAATGGAGCATAATAAGTAAATGATAAAAATTTCAAAATGATTGCACTGCTTTAAAGCCCTTTGACCATTAATAATGTGTGGATGCACCCTGATGTGCTACGCATTCTCCAACGTGCCTAGGCATGCTTTTGAGCAGGTGGTCAATGTCCTCCTGTGGTATCTCATTCCAGACAACCACCAACTCCTCTCGAAGTGCTTCTAGAGTCTGAGGAGGACGTGGCAAATTGAGCAATCTCCTACCCATCATATCCCACACGTGCTCAATTGGGGATAAGTCGGGAGATCTTGGTGGCCATGGTAACAATGTGACATCATTATGTTGAAAGAAGTCTATTGTGACTCTTGCAACATGTGGTCGGGCATTATCTTGTTGGAAAGTCGGATCTGCCAGGGTGTCAAGATAGGGTAAAAGATGGGGTTCTAGAACTTCGTGGATATAACGCTGCGCGTGCATGTTACCTCTGATGAAGATTAAAGGTGACCTGGAACCATAAGCTATAGCACCCCACACCATAACTCCAACAGTGTGATGAACATGTCTTTCAACAAAAAACTGTGGATTCCTCCTTTCACCACGTCGCCTTCTAACCCTGGCACGACCATCGTGCATGCCTAAACAAAATCGAGAATCATCACTAAAGACAATACTGTTCCATTCCTGATCCCAGAGTGACCGTTGTCTGCACCACTCAAGGCGATTACGTCGGTGTTCTCGAGTTAAAGGGAGGACCCAGTGTGGCCGGTATGAAAACAAGCCAAAACTTCTCATTCGTCGGTAAACACTTCGCATGCCAATAGGTCTTCCGTCTTCTGCAAACCATTCATTTGCAATGGACCTGGTAGTGGAGAAACGGTCCCTTAAGGCCAATAATCTTAGGCGGCAATCTTCACGGTCTGTTGTTCTACGGCGGCGTCCAGTGCCCGTTGCTCTTTGCGTGCGGCCTTCTCGAAGCCATGCCTGACAACACCTAACCACAGTGTCTACACTTCTTTGCACTCTAACTGCAATTGCCCGAAAAGAAAGTCCAGCTTCCCGAAGTCCCACTATACGGCCCCTATCAAACTCACCAAGTTGACGAAATCGTACAGGTCTCCGTACTCTAGGCATCGTAACCGATCGTAAAGGATATCAAGAACCAAAATCCGCCAACGTTCATTCTTTACTGCGGCTGAAATATTCATTTTTAGAGCGTTAGTGAATTAAAAAAAAAGCAGTATAAAAACCGGAATGTCCAACTGATAAGGCTGAAAATTTTTTCACTTGTTATTTACAGTAAGATAAATACATTCACCAACTTTTATTAAAATAAAACCATTTAAACTGGGTGTTCGGATTTATATGTCACTTAGTATAGCTCTAAGGTCATCAAAATTATACGCATTATGTTAATACATACTGTTTTTTCCATGTGAATTCATAGACTTGGAACGCTTCAGAGAATGGTGTGTCAGATATCACAAAGAAATTGAAACAATTGAGGCTATCCCCGACACTCAATATCTTGGCATGCTGCACCTACAATTGGACTGTTTGAAGAAATATACAATACCGGAACCGACGCGGCTACTGGCTTTGACCGAACATACATTACCTTGGTAAAAATAATTATAGCATCTATCCTTCAGACTGGATGCCTATGCATTTATTTTTTGACTCAACACTGATTTATGAGAATTAGTGAGGCCGATTCCCAGGATTGATGTTGAGGAAGCGGGGGATGCTGGCGACGGCGCCCTCAATCGTGCAGTTGGGGGCGCCGGGGTCCCGGTGTTGAAGGACAATTTTAAGTTCTTAGGTTTTTGTCATCGGGACGGAGAATCAAAGAAAAAGTCGGACATATGGTCACGTTATGGATACCCTACTTACAATTTGATGTATTTTGGTCCTTTGTACGCTATATCCAATTAAAAAAAAATAGTTTTAAATGTATGTTTGATAGATACATAAATATGCTTTATCGTCCGAAGAATACAGTCCTCCTTAATGACAAGGCTCACTCAAAACTAAACAAAATTAAATATGTGGATCTGAAATAAATGAATTGAAGGGGTTAGAATAAAGAGGGTACAAGTGCATTTTTAACATATTTTGAGCTAAGAACGGCTCAGAAAAGATAAAGTGTATATTTATTAGAATAAAAAGGACATAAGTGATTTTTAATACATTTAGAGCCATCTATTGCCTAGTAGAGAAAGTAGATGAATGAAAGGGCAGTTTTCTTTGGAATAGGAAGGATGCAAATGCACTTGTTCTTCCTACTCCAACCGAAAGTTTATTTATTTATAATAGTGTATTGATTATTTCATCGATTTGCGAGCTGTTTTTTCCTAAATAAAAATGGAAAACGACGAAGGTAAGCTTTGCTTATTATTTTATATTATAGTTATGATTAATACCAAAATAAGTTAACAACAAGAGGGTGGTTGTTTATTGCTTATTATATTAAATCTGCATAATATTGTTGATTAGTTGTCCGCAATATCGTTTTTAATTATTTTGAATAGTGTCCCAGCAAGTTAAAAATTATTGTTCTACTTTCAGACCCTTACTACACGGCAGAAGACGAACAATACGTTCCATCATACACTTCCCGGTCAGATGCAAACGAAGACAACCTTGACTCTGATACCGCTGAAGTAGTTTCAATAGATGAGGCGCTTCATATCTCTCCATACAAAACAAGGAAAAGGCTACGACGTCCATCGGAATAGAAGATCAAGCAAATGAAACGCTCTAGAGCCGCAGGTGCATAAAAATAAGTCACTGCAACTCTATCAGCATAAATGCCGACATAAATGCAATATAAATATTTGTGAAGAAAAAAGGCGAGAACTTTTCAAAGCCTTCCCTGATTTACCCTCATATGATCATCAAACTGTTTTTTTATCATCATGTATAAAAAAAAACCAACGTAAATAGGAAAAAAATTGATAGCACCATCGAAAGAAAATTTAGCACAAATATATTTTTACTAGAAAAGCGCGTTTGCAAACAATTTTTTCTAAAAACATTTAATATCTCAACTAAAAGATTTACATCTGTATGTGCTAAAACAAATCACCTTGGTATAGCTGAATCAGTCCAAAAAGGCAAAGGACAAACCCACAGAAGGATGGGAAAGGAGCAACGAACTTTTGCAATAGGTCACATCAAAATGTTTCCTAGATACACAAGCCATTATTCTAGAAAACCAAATTCTCAGACGAAATACTTATCAGATTTAAAAGTTAAGATTTTGTATGATTTATACAAAACTATGTGCAAAGACGAGCACAAGATTCCCGTGAAGCTCTCTTATTATAGATATATTTTCAATAGCGAATGCAACTTCATCATCCACACTTAGACACCAGCTGTGACTCCCATCAAAATACTCGTATTAGAAAGTATTCGAATGAAGATTCTCAAGTCAAGGTTCAGTTAGCTCTTCATCAGAAATATGCCGAAAATGCCATAAACATGAAGAACAGTTACATCGAGAAATAGACTTCCAACAGATATAGTAGTGGTGGTGGATTTTCCTTTCACTACATGTACCTTCTCTTATTTGGGTAAAGGTAGACCAGCCAGTAATTTGGAAAAGGTATCTTGCACCGAATTAAAGGATGATTCTCTTAGCATCAGCTCAGAAAAATAATTTGCAGTTCCTCATGGAATGCATACCATCGCGGCTTTTATAAGGTATTAAAACATAGTAACAAATAAGACAGGAAAATATTAATAAACTAATATCAGAGGTGCTGCATCTACATCAAAGCAGATTACAGCTGATGCTTCTAATAACACCGTGGATTCTGAAAGTGAGATGGATATAGCTTCACTTGACTCTGATTCAGACACTAGTGTTTAGTTTAATGTTTGTAACAGTATTTAATCCGAATAAAAATGTTATTTTAAATGTTTTGTTTTTCATTTTAATCAAACTGAACTAATGTTTGGGAAAAAAAGGATATGAGTGCTTCTTTTTGCAAAAAAAACAAAATTAATTTCCAATAGTCAAGTTTCATCTAAAATTTCATTTTTTCCTTCCAATAAAAGCAATCAAAGATGTGAGTTAAATATTTCCTGGATTTTTAAAGTCTTTAAGCTCGATTATCTCAAAACAGTGTTTATGTTACTTATATCCTTTTTATTCTAATCCCTCAATTGTAGGAGTCACAGATGGTATAATATGGTTTACAAATAAGGGGGTTTCCAAGTTCATGGCGAAATATCTTCAAATTGTTGATTCTTTTGATATCCCCGACCGTTATGAATGTTTAAGTCTTTCACAAGTGTTGAATTAGGTACTATTCATTTAATATGTTGTTTTCGTCTTATACCGTAACTTCTATTTCAGGTCTCAAATTTATATTTATTTATAAAAGTACATGAGTTGCTGTCTCAAAAGTAAACAATGATAAGGCAGTTATTATTTTAAGATTTAAAAATAAAGGACTGTACGTAGCTCTAGGATTGATTTTAGTTATATACCGAATAGTTCGTTTTTGTAGAATAAGCATATCTCAACCCACTTTCAAATAAGGCAAAGTAACGGGTTAAGGCTGCGCTTTCAACTACGCTGTAACTAACTGTTCTTATAATAAAGGAAATATTTGCTAGTTGAATAAGGAATTGGTCTACATGGAGTAAAATTTAAATTATGATGAATTTGATGGTGTCTGTTTGTGTATCAAATCAGTATTTAATTTTATAGAATCAAGGGAGCATTTAAAGCCATACATTTGTTCTATTTCTATTGTCAAAATAGGATTGGTAACGAGAAAGTCTCATATTTGATGGGTCAAGTAGAAGAAATCGAAGCATTTCTTTCCGATGAGCCCAGTCTGACTGTGGAGTATGTAAAATACCTAGAGTACCTAGAAGAATCTACTTCAAGGGTAGATAAAATGGAAGATGAGCTGGATTACTGCAAGGAACTCTATGATATAACAGAAGAGTTCAATATTCCTATTGCAAATGAGGAGATGCAGAATTATTTGGGTCTCAGTGTATCTCTGGGTAACCTGCGGAATCTGGTAGACAAGAAACTTGAGGAGACAGGAAAGATAATTAAGAAGTTCAACGATCAAATGAATAAAGATATCAGTGCTCTGATATCTGAAGTTGGTGTTATTAAAGATGAATGTATGGTACGACATTTCGCTAAAAGTACTTGTTTTAGTTATTTTATCAAAATAAATTTTGACAAGTTAAGTTTAAACAGAAAGTGTGAAAGACTTTGTCACTATTTTTTTTATTTTAAGTGTTTTATTGTATATTGCATAAAGGAAATTGCTATTCCAGCAACCGTGGCTGTATGATATTGACTCAAACATAGATGAAGTCACTGAACTCTTAACTGATTTACATGACCGATTGGTCAGCTGTCAAGAAAGGGCAGCTGTGTTCAAGAATTACCAAAAGCAGTTTAGAGTAAGTATCGTTTCCCACATCGTTCAGCATCACAGATAATATGAGACTTATCTCAAAAGTAGCCTACATTATATTTTCTGGAAGTCTCAGAAAATTTGATATTTGGGCCAGGATTTTGCTCCAGATAGTATCGAGACTTTACTTATTCCTACAGCGAAAGGTGCGATAACCCTCAAAACATTTCGAAAATATTTTGGCGCATAGACTTCAGTTTTGATGTAGGCGACTCACTAGTCTACTGTGGCTCACACCTATCTACATATATTTATCCCAGTTGCTCCGATCTCTTAACAACCTCGATCAGTCAATTCCGGACCAGAAGCTTTGTTGATGTCGAGTAAAAAGGGTTAAGGTCTTGTCATAGTGTAGGGAACCCTTTAAATTCACGTCCATGGTGGAGTTGGCAGTAAACACCTTGGCCAAGTACTTCCGTAATGCTAAATTTTACGGCCTAGGTAGTTTCTGCTGCCCCAGCCAGTTCTGACTGTAGCAGTGCTGCAAAGGACAGGATGCGTTGTCAGAACGAGATACGGGAGACTACTGGCGTGTGATGAAACGCGGGGGAAAATTATGGGGCTCGTATCCAGTTGCATCAGTTCCTGGGTAGTAGTACAATCTGCTGCATCGGTCTTGTTTGAAGCCAACAAGAGCTCATTGAAATCACCCAGAAGAAGTACCGCTGAAGCAGAGTAATCCATCTTCAAGAAGTCGATTTTGACTGCGAGACATTCAAGTAGTTATGGTTCGAGGAAGACCGATAGAGGCAGCAAATACATTTGGCGAACGGTTCGGAGTTGAGGCGGAACCACAGAATGTCCTTCCGGCCTGAATCCACTGAAACGACTCTGGAGCAGGAAGGACTACTGCGGACAAAAGCTACAACTCCCCCATTTTTCCTTAAATCGAAGTGCATCTCGTAACTTGTAAAGCTGAGATGGTCAGTTTGGCAGCATCAATGTTGCTGTTAATCCCGCAGATGTTCGCGAACATGCTATCATGTTCCCTTGAGTCCACCCTCCACCTGGACATTCTGACAGTGGAGTGGGTTAACGTTCGGAATTATCATGTTTTTTTAGAAGGGGAAGCGCAAAAAGCAGAAAACTGCCTAGCTCAGGTGGAAGAAGCTCGCGGATAGTACCGCGTCGGTCGACTTATCCTTGTGTACCACCTTCCTTGTCAGAATGTCGCTACATTAAAAGTATTGAGCTGATCATGAACGTAATACTTTTAGCTTGAAGTAACTCGCTTCGATGTATTGGATGAGGTGATGAACGACGTGAAGCTGAGGACGTTACTGTGGGAGAGCGTGGATTCATGGGCAAAGACGGTGGACGAATGGTACCACTGCGAATTCTCCACTCTCAATGTGGATGATATGAACACATTTACAGCAAAGAATATGAAGTATGTTACTCAGCTGGAAAAGGGGTTGCCTGCTAATTTAATTGTCCCGAAACTGAGAGACGAAGTGGAGGTAAATGTGTTATAGTCACTCCAAAAATCCCGATCAATCTCCATGTTACACCGAGGGGCCGCAACGTTAGTAAAAATTCACTTATACAGGGTGTTTCAGTTTATTGTTGCATAACTTTAAGATTCGATAGAACTTTTAAAATTAATGCATAAAGTCTATATAAACATGGGTCGAAAAATGCCTGGCTTCCGAAATACAGGGTGTTTAAATTTACTTTCTAAAATACTCGTAGTTTTTTTTAAATATTTCGAACAATATTTGATGTATAGTAGTGAAAATTGGTATACAAGGGTTTTTTGATAAGACAAAACGAACCATGGGCATAGTTTTACTGTATCCGCTAGAGGGCGCTCTCTACTGTACCTGTAGTGTATTAAAATGACCGAAAAAATTTTCTTAGTGCAACTTTTTGCTTTTTGAATAAAAAAACTGATTCTTTGCACTTTTCAACATAAAAAAGCTCTCTTGTGAATTTTCGTTATAGTTAGCCGTTTTTGAGATATTTTGATTTTTAAGGTTCGATGCATTTTTAATTATTTATGATAAAATAACGTTAAAAAGCCAGTATTTCGATAATTTTCAGAAGTAGGCTGTGCCTGCAAATATTTTTGAAATTGAAAGCAGAATAAGGTTAAACGTCAATTAGTTGACAGTTAGTTTTGTTGTCTGTTGAAACCTGAAACGTTTTTTTGCAATTGCGAATGCACGAAATTTAGTTTCTTTTACCTGTTTTTTTTTGTAAGTTTTATAAAAATTCCATTTTTATTCTCCAATCAAGAGTTAGCGGATATTTATTTTGTGTATGGCTTTGTAAATGAAAACGCAGCAGAAGCAGCCAGAGAATACGCACGAAGATTTCCAAACAGACGACATCCAACTCGCTCAGTATTTGTAAGAGTGCATCGCCAATTAATTGAAAATGGTTTTGGAAATCTCCAAAGGGATCAAAACATAAATGTTCGTCAGCGCAGATTTACCCGTATGATTCTGCGTGAGTTTGATAGAGATCCGACCACAAGTGTTAGGAGAGTTTCTGGTGCCTTGGGAATTTCAGCAAGCCATGTTCACCGAGTTCTTAGAAATGACCATAGACGTCCTTACCATTTGCAACCTGTGCAAGGACTACAGCCAGGGGACGGAGGACGAAGAATCACATTTTGTTAGTGGATTCTTGATAGAACTGATAATAATAGGGAGTTTTTAAGTAACGTTTTATGGACCCATGAGTCATGCTTCACTAGACGTGGAGTGGTAAATTTTCAAAATCAACATATTTGGTCGCATGAAAATCCGCATGCAGTTCGGGAAAGAAATTTTCAGCATGAATTTAGTGTGAATGTGTGGATTGGTATCTACTGTAATCGACTATTTGGACCCTACCTTTTGTGTGCAAGGTTAAATGCTGCGACCTTCTTGGAATTTTTAAAGGCTGAACATGCAAATATGTGGAATGATGTTATGTTAGATTTAAGAAGATTGGCCTGGTTCCAGCTTGATGGTTGTCCAGCTCATTATTCGAGAGTAGTTAGAAACTGGCTGGACGAAAATTATCCAGAAAGATGGTTCGGCCGTGGAGGACCAGTCGCCTGGCCTCCACGATCCGCTCACCTAAATCCATTAGATTTCTTTGTGTGGGGATTTCTAAAAGAAAAAGTGTACCAGACTCCCGTAACCACAAGAGATATGCTAATAGACAGAATCAGGAATGCATGTGATGAAATAAGGCCTTATTTGAATAAAGCTATACCACGTTCGATCATTCGTAGATGTGAATTGTGTATTGAACAATTGGGTTTACATTTCGAGCAACTACTTTAGATTTTGTATGTTTGTCCTAACTATCCAATAGCATTTTAGTTGTAAATAATTAATTTAATTTGTTAAAAATAATATTGGAAAATTAAACAAATTAATATTCTGTTTTTTTGTGTTTATTTGGAGTTAGGAATTATTGCTGTGTTTAAAAACACAATCTAAGCGATCATCTTAATTACTTGTAATGCCCTAATCGAAATGTAAAAAAAATATTATTTTCCCATAAATAATTAAAAATGCATCGAACCTTAAAAATCGAAATATCTCAAAAACGGCTAACTATAACGAAAGCTTTTTTATGTTGAAAAGTGCGAAGAATCAGTTTTTTTATTCAAAAAGCAAAAAACTGCACTGAGAAATATTTTTCGGTCACTTTAATACACTACAGGTACAGTAGAGAGCGCCCTCTAGCGGCTACAGTAAAACCATGCCCATGGTTCGTTTTGTCGTACCAAAAAACCCTTGTATACCAATTTTCACTGTTATACATCAAACATTGTTCGAAATATTTAAAAAAAACTATTTTAGAAAGTAAATTTAAACACCCTGTATTTCGGAAGCCACGCATTTTTCGACCCATGTTTATATAGACTTTATGCATTAATTTTAAAAGTTCTATCGAATCTTACAGTTATGCAACAATAAACTGAAACACCCTGTATATCTGTGGCTTTATTTGGCAGCTATCAGAACATGGGAATCAGTGGGATAACCACTGGATAAGCATCAGACGCTACGATGAAAATCGCAATCCCAGAAACAAAAATGATTGTAAATTAAAAATTCATGAAATAAAATCTAAATTTGCTTATATCAAAAATGAGATTTTTACTTTTACCGCCTATATGCTTGAAAATCAGGATTGCTTACTTGCATTTTATTCATTAGCTAATGAAAGATAAGCTTCCTGTGGTGACTTACCTGAGAAACCCAGCTATGAAAAATCGACATTGGCTGAAAGTAGAAAATCTACTAAATTACAAATTCAAGCCAGAAGAAGTGAGGACATTAGAGCTGTTAGAGAATCTGAATGTCTTTAGTTATCCTAACGAGCTCATGGACATCTCTGGACAGGCCAGTAGTGAGGCTGGATTAGAGGCATTGCTGAGGAAGGTGAGGCTATTATAAACAAAGTATAACTGAATGTGTTCAATATAGAGTCTAACACTATGTGTTGATATAGGTTGAGCAAGCATGGAAGACTCTCGAATTCATTGTGCTACCTCACAAAGACTCAAAGGACGTTTACATCCTTGGATCACTCGAAGACGTTCAAGCAGTTTTAGATGAAAGTAATATAAATATAACAACTATTGCGAGCTCGAGACACGTTGGGCCGATCAAGCCAAGAGTTGATGAATGGGCCAGGAACTTAGATTTGTTTTCAAGGATATTGGTTAGTACGATGAGTAGCCTGTAATAATGCCTTATTGTTATTGCTCACTAGTAAATTGGTACCAATTACGTATTCAGAATACGAAATTGGGTTTTGCGGTATATCTGTGTCCTCTTCCTCTCTAAGCTGTTTGTAATCCTTTTATATAATGTTATTTCAGGACGAATGGCTAATGTGTCAACAAAGTTGGCTATACCTCGAAGTTATTTTTTCGGCTCCTGATATTCAAAGACAGCTGCCTAATGAGGCAAAATTATTTATAATTGTGGACAAGGCATGGAAAGAGCTGATGAGGAGAACAGCAAAGGTAAATTCTTTGGAAGCCCTTTTGGAAGAGAATAATCATTTGAATGGAAAATATTAAGAGAATTTCTAAGGACTTTTCTTTAGAGTATCTTCCAATAATATTGAGCAAGGCTGAAATCGCTTTCGTTTGTTTTCGTTGCTTTCGTCTCCTCCAGAGAAACAGCGCAAGAGTCTAACCGTCCTCCATCAGTATCATACCTAACGACGAAGCTAACTTTGTGATGAAACGTTCAACGATAAGAAGAACCCAGCAATATATTATTTTTCCGAAAATGGATGCATCGAAAAACTTGCTTGTCAAATCGATACTTTTCAGGAGTGCCATTTAAATTTTTTAGCAGCTTCAGTCGAGCTTATTATTTAGTATATTCAGGGTGTTTCAAATTCGACCCACACCATTGGGATCTCGGAAACAGTAAAAGATACGAGGTCGCTCAAATGGCGACAAAGTTGCGTGTTCGGGAAGTCAACAAAATGCCGCTTAGAATGTTTCGAAATTCAAAGTACTCCCGGAGAGATTCGGAAGAAACTGAATTTTCTCAAAATCGTTTTAATTTCTTACTGACTTTATTTGTAGTGGGATGTCCAAATAAATAGCACATTAACGTTGCCACTTTTCCTCCTCTATAAGATGGTGTAATTAGAATTCCTATACAACGTGTCATCTCTTGCCTTTCATCATCAACTTTATTTTTTCTTATAGACGCCATATTGGATTTTTGCACAAGTAAATCGAGTGTTTAATTCTGATTCCAAAATGTATGTCATACATTGACATTGTCAAACCCTAGTTATTCAGAAAAACAGAAGTTCCTAGATAGGCCTTGAAATTATTAGATTCATTTGTTTCGTATACTAGACCAGACCTCAAATTGAACCTAGCAACAGAGTTTGGTAAACTGAGACGAAGAGAAATGATTCGAGCAGTGAACAATGTACAGAGAAGATTCAGGCTTTGCCTACAAATTAACAGATAACATTATGAACATTTGCTATGATTTATCTCTACTTATTTATGATTATTATGGTTGTTACCGTCAACAAACTTTTTATTTTGTGTTGGGATTTAACCATACCTTTTTATTTCCTTATATTTTTCATCCATCAATAAACTCATCGCCAAGGAAATACATCACTGAATGTAGGACTGAAAAGTCCATTTAGATGTACAAAATTTCAATATGGCGTTCGTATGAAAAAATAAAGTTGGTGGTGGAAGTCAAAAAAAGAAATATGGAACTATGGAACTATTTGATTACGCCATCTTGTAGAAGAGAGTAACAACGACCACATGCAATTTATTTTGAAATCCCGTCTAGAATAAAGTCGGGAAAACATAAAAGTTATTTTGATATAAATCTGGTATGCGAAACAAACGACTATCTGATAAGCTCAAGGCCTACTTAGGAAATTCTTCTTTTTTTCAAATAACTAAGGGTTAGCAATGTCAATGTATGACATATTAGGTATAAATTTTTGGAATCAGACTTAAAAACTCTTTTCATCTGTGTAAAAATACAATATGGCGCCCATTAGAAAAATAAAGTTGAACATTGAAATTCTAATCTCGTCTTATAGAGGAGAAAAAGTGGCAATGTTAATTTGCAATTTATTTTGAAATGCCACTACAAATAAAGGAAGGAAGGAAGGAAGGAAGTCAGGAAAAAACTAAAACCATTTTGGGTAAATTCGGTTTCTTCCGTCTCTCTCCCGAAGAACTTTGAAATTCGGAACTTTCTAAGCGACATTTTGTTGATTACGCAAATACGCAACTTTGCCTCCATTTAAGCGAGTTCGTATCTCTTGCAGTTTCCGAGATCCTAATGGTGAGTGGCAAATTTGGAATACCCTGGATACCCATTAGCGAATACAATATCTAAAGAATATAGAAAAAGCAAAAAAAAAATGGTAATCAGAATGTGAGCAAAATTTGCTTTTCACTGTATAACAATGGTACACGGCACAGGGTTCTTGCTTTTACCTGAACGAATATTGTAAGGTTACCAGAACATTCCACCATGGCAATATAATGTTATGATAGTGGCATACGTTTTTTAAGAATCTATTATATAAAAAGAAACATTTAAACTTATCTTTGATTAAAAATAAAATAAATTAATGCAATAAACTAAGAAAAATATGAGATCCCTCAAGGAGGTGTATCTGAATATAAATAAATAAAATAACGATTCTATTCAGAGGCTTCATTATCGCTAACGTCATAAAAATGTAAGACAGCCAACCATGGACAGCTTTTTCGCACTTCTTGGCTGATGTTTAGTTTATTCAATGGCAAGTAGACCACATCTACTATACAGCCAGAATCTAGCGGTAACATGGTGACTGGGTTATTAATGGCAAACTGAGATATTTACAATTCCAACAAATAGCAGATATGTTATCCACAGTGGTCAATTCTGGTGATAGATGGCGCTTTGCAGTGTTTTATTTCAATAAGGTGATTATAATTCCTTTTTTATAACGGCAAAGGTTTATTTTAAGCAAGATAAAGCCTGTTTTCATGTGCCGTTTAATATAAAACCATTGCACCTCTTTTCGTACCTTTTCCAGCCTGTTAGCGTACTGAAATCACCGCTTAGGCAAGAGCCTTGTAAAGGCAGATACCATGTTTTAGTGTGATCGATGAGTCATGATAGACTCGTATCTTACTTTAAAATGCCAGTATTAAGATTCCAGTAAAACAGTAACGATCTGTACTGTTATTTTTCGGGTATATTCATTTACAATGAATGATATTTAAACTGTTTTTTTTCATATGCTCATAAAAAATGTTTATAATTTAATTAATCATGATCGGAAAATATCGAATATCTATCCAAATCGTTCAAAGAGTGAAAATGTCAGTTACAATGTTGTTAGATGCATGTATAGAATTGTCAAAAACTCTAATTATGTATCATTTGACTATGGATCATTTCCCTGAGAAGAACCGCACTCTCACTCTTTCTACGTGATACTAGGCCCTCGTTTTCGGGCATAGGGTTCCAGGTTGCTCAAAAATGGATAGCTTCTTTCCTTGAGAATCGGAAGCAATATGTGTCTATCAATTTGGAATCCGACGGCATGTGTTCTAACATCAACTCTAAAGTCATGCCAATTCAGAAGGGTGTGTCACAGGGTATTATAGTGGGAGCGATTTTCTTCCTCTTACATGTCAATCAGATCGCAGATGTTTTGCCCACCACTAAATATACAGCTTATACGAATGACATATCTTTGCTTATTTCATCGAAAGAGGATGCTGCCCTCCAAGCAAAACGCATAGAGTCCTTGACGAAACTGATTAACTTTTTGAACTAACGTGACCTTTTTCTTAATACCCAGAAGACAGAAGTATTCAGATTCCATAGTTACCAGCATAAGTCAGACTTATTTAGTATAGATGTTAATAATTCAGTATTAGAGAGTCTTTATTGATGAGTGTTTGAGTTGGACGAGCTACTGTGAGCAGCTGTGTAAATCATTATCCTATTATGTATCTGTTTTTAGAAATTTGAGAATTGTTTTAAGCTGTCCTGATTTATTGAATATATATTATGCGCTGATTCGTTATGGCATTTGCTTGTGGGGTAGCTCGTCCTACGCAGTGAAATTCACAAGCACAATACTAGAATGAAAAGCCAATTACTTTTACTTATGTTTAACTATAAATGCAGCCAAGGCTCATCAAATGAGTTTTTATAGTGTTGAAATTTTTTCTTGTAGGCATTTTCAATGCTTTAACTGTGGAAAATTTGTTTTCATTGTAACATTTTTTATTTCATTTTACTGTTGTTTTAATGTTATTTTATCCCTAGTTTTATTGATAATTCCTATTTGTTTCTTTGTAACATCAACGGAGAAAAAATAATTTGAAGGTATTATGCGTACTTTAAAGGCGCAATGTGCTTGCACGTCTATTCATGCTATGATGATACATGAAACCTTTATGTCGTGATCAATTGTGTGGAGTGTCCACGAGGAATCGGCGATCCTACGGGGCGGCTCATGAGTCATCAAATTTCAGATGCCACTGGCGATGGAAGCAGCGTTACATCCAGGCATGCTGGAAACTCTGCAGAGGAGCAACAATCTGCTAGAGCAGATAATGAAGTGCTTAGAATCATATCTGGAGACGAAGAGGGTTGCCTTTCCACGTTTCTATTTCCTCTCAAATGACGAACTGTTGGACATCCTCGCACAAACTCGAAATCCTCATGCTGTTCAACCGCACTTGCGAAAATGCTTCGATGCAATTGCTAAACTTGAGTTCGGTTAGTATATAGATTCAGGGTTTGGTGCTAATATTTGTTAGTATTGAATGGTTGTATGAAGTTTCACTGCTTGTTAGCTCAGTGAACGGCAACATTTGAAAACGCATCCCTACGTGTTTTATGAGTACCATTTTATTATCCCAAAATAGGAGTGAAAGTACCTGAAGAAGGAGAAGAGGAACTGAGGAAAGAAGCTGGTATCGTTATATTGACCACTGATATTATCGCTATGATCAGTCCAGAGGGAGAGCGTGTTCAACTTGGCAAAGGACTAAAGGTACTTTCAACTAGTAATCTAACATGAATTATCATCTGAAAATATCAAAATTCCATCCAAAAAACATGAAAGTGGATTCTTGTTTTTTTCAACACCACTTGGCCGTTAAAAAATAAAACAATTCTTTAGAATGAAATAATTTTTTTTACTACTCCACAACTGATCAGAAACTGTTAAATAAAATAAAAAAATATATTATAGAAAACAAATGCTTATTTAGCTGTTCATAAATTGGAATAAAAGTTTCAAAAACATTCTGATTGGAAATATTTGAACGATAATGAAGCTCCTTCATCCAAAGTCTTCAAATAAAAATATGTTACACCTTTTCTTCATCCTGCTGTCATAAAGTAACAAGCTTATATTTTAGAAAACTTGAGTTGGAGGAGCTTCATTATAGTTTAAATATTTCCAATCGGAAACAATATTTTAAATTTTTTAGTTCATTTTATCATCAGCTAAATAAGAGCTTGTTTTTGACAATGTATTTTTTACTTTAATCATTTTTACTTTTTAGTATTTATGATGCCAAATAATAAGTTTAGTAATTTCTATGTAATTACCGTATATTTTATTAATACGACTTTTTAAAGCTCCTTCCCTTATTTGTCTTATGAATTTTCGGTAAATATGAATCATATATAATGATAAACCGATATTTTGCGTCGATCGACATATGAATTTAGAAGGACTTTATTTGCTTATGGTGTTTTTCTTACTAAGCTTTTCATTACTACATTACTACATTATAGCGGTGTCCATGGAAATCATAAATTGCTATTCAGCGGCGGCTGACATCTCGAATCTGGTATGACGTCACTATGATTATTCTATCTTTCTTAGTAATTCACTATTTGACTTGATTTTCAAGATACCTGACTTGACTTGAAATTAAGTCAAGCTCAAGTCTAGTATTGGACATTAGCAGTGTAAATCAAGTCAAGTAGTTTTTGCATTCAAGTACCTGAAAATTCATGCAGTCTTGATGTTACAGCAAAACCCCGATTATCCCAAATAATGTGGACAATCGAAATTTGGGATAAAACGGAAATACATATTCAGACTCATAATCCTTTTTTTGAAAAAAGTAAATGCGTGTGTTGAGTGAGTATATATCTCTATAAAGTTACGTAAAATATAAACATGCGGATACAAACATACATATTTACGAGTATTTAGTAACAAAGGAAGTAATTTTCAACTGTACACGTTTTGCATTGTTCCTATTTTTGGCGGCAATATCTCTCCAACGTTGTATAAGTAGCACATCAGCTGCTGTCGCATTTCCTTGTTGTTTGACGTAAGCCAAAGCCTGTGTCATTGTCACTAGCATCACTTAAAACTGTCTCACCGTCATTGTTACAAGCCGTTTTTATTAGTTCTGTATCAGCTAATTCTTCCACCAATTCATCACCATTAATCCACTCACCAACATCTGCTTGGGTAATATTTTCACACCCTGCTGTTTTTACGACAAGCTCTTGCAAATTTTCGTTGTTATTCTCATAGTCAGCGCAAGGTTTCGTTTCTCGCTTAATTATTGTCGACCAAGATTTTTGTAAAGTAGAATTTTTTACTTGACTCCATGCTTCTGCTGTGTTATATGCCACATTCTTGAGGTTAATCTCATTTAAACAGTTAACGAGGTTACAACCATTATCAACTTGATCTAAAATTTGCTCTAATAACAAACGTCTGTAATTGCGTTTTAAATTTTCTAAAACTCCTTGATCCATTGGCTGACTCAGTGACGTTACATTAGGAGGCAAAAACATCACCCGTACTTCTCCACTTTTAAGTTGCTCCTCACTAGGGTGGCTCGGAGCATTGTCTAATAGCAAAATACATTTTATCGGATATCTACGTTCATTCAAATATCGTTCTCTCTTGGGAGCAAAATGATTGTGAAACCAGTCCTTAAATAGGGTGGCATCCATTCAGGCATTTTTTTTATTTTTATACCACACTGGAAGAACGTTTGGACGGACGTGTTTAAATGCTCTTAGCTTAGCTGATTTTCCGATTAACAACAAAGTAAGTTTGTGTGTACCAAAAGCATTGCTACAAGCAAGGATAGTCACACGTTCTTTGCTGCATTTGTAACCAGGAGCTCTAGATTCTTGTTTTGAATCTAAACTTTTCGCCGTCAACATTGGCCCGTTTCGTCGCAGTTGTAAATTTGTTCTCGATTTGAACCATACTGGCTGTAAAGTTATCAGGCGCCTCAATAATTGACAATTCTTCACTTAAGTTGACCGCCTTTTGTTTTAGAATTGGTCCGGAAATTGGTATTCCACGTTCTCAATTCTGTGTAAACCACATATAAAGCATCATCCACTTTTTGATATTCCCCCTTTTTCATAGTTTTCCGTGACGGCTTCGATGATGTCAGAACACTAGATTACTTTTCAATTTTCTCGCGTTGTTTTTTCTATTCTAAAATGGTACTCACGCCCACACTCATCACTTGCCACGTTTTTAAGCAAATCAACGCTCTAAACGTCTGAAGTTTCTGTTTTATGGTAAGAACAATACGTTTACGTTTATTTCTATGCTGCTCCATCTAAGCGATTATGAACCTGACTGAAACAAACATACACGCACACATACCAGTGAATTCCGCAAACCTGTATACGATCTGTAGTAGATAAAATGAAAGCTAGTACCGGAATAAGAGGGTGCTAAGTCCAAGGAAATCTTTGTATTTAAGGCTCGTGGAAATGTTGAAGATTGGTTAGGCAAGGTAGAAGAATCGATGTTTTTGTCACTGAGGCGTTTGATGAAGCTATCGCTTGGACACTACATGACAGTCAGTCGGACCGAATGGGTTGTATGTCATGCTAACCAGATCATCCTTACTGTGTCACAAATCATGTGGGCACGTGGAGTACATGAAATTTTAGATGGTGAAAGAAGTGATACACATAAGAAGATGGAACAATATGAAAAGAAATGTATTAAGGTATAAATAAGTATGTTGTTACGATTACTACGCAACTCGAACATATTAGGAAGTGTATATGACAACACTGCTTTGGTGTTGTACATCCACCAGCAATACGTGGATGACGGGGGTCGAGTTAGATATCCAGTATTGTCAAAAAGCTCAACTATTATAATCAAAAATAATATTTTCCTACTAAATGCAGGACCTCAACGACTTGGCAGCGTTGATAAGGACCGATCTGAAATCTGTAACCAGGAAGGTTCTGATCGCTCTGATCACTATTGATGTGCATGCCAGAGACACTATACAAAACATAGTGGAGAGCAAGGTATCAGATAGCCAAAGCTTCGAATGGTTGAAAGTTTTGAGGTACTATTGGCAAGATAACATTGATGACTGTATCGCTAAAATGTCAAGTGCTTGGTATGTCTATGGATACGAGTACCTAGGAGCTTCTGGTGTATTGGTGATCACTCCTCTCACTGATCGATGTTATCTTTGTCTTATGGGAGCACTGCAGCTTGATTTAGGTAGCTTAATTCAATATTCTACTAATATTAAAATTACGACTAGAGGTAAAATGGAGATCGCCTTACACGAGCCTTATTTGGATAAATCAAGGAACTATTCTAGAACGTTTGTGATTCCGTGCAATTGGTCTTAATGATTCCAAGCGACTTTACAATTGAGTAGTGGTAGTTCGAAACAGTTTAGGGATAGTCTCCTATCAAAATTCGAATGAAGCTAGAGACAGATGTAGGATTCCTCAAGTCATGAGAATTATTTCTCATAAGAAATCATTTACAAGATGCTCAATGGTAAAAGTAGGAAGAGACTTAAATCGTAGCTCATCAACTGTGATGATGCTTCATCATACAGAGTACAAAAACTCTTGAGGCAATTCAAAGTCAGTCACTGAGCTGCTTTGTATTAAGATTTCTTTATGCATCATTTGGAAGCTTTTAATTGCAGTTACATATCCTTTTCCTTAGGTGGAGCACCAGCTGGACCTGCTGGAACAGGAAAAACAGAAACTACTAAAGATTTAGCTAAAGCACTAGCAATACAATGCGTGGTATTCAATTGCTCAGAGGGTCTTGATTACAAAATGATGGGTAGATTTTTCTCGGGGTTGGCTCAATCAGGAGCTTGGTGCTGCTTCGATGAATTTAACAGGTGAAACTTGCTCTCTGTTCAAAATATGTGTTCCTTGGTATGTTGAAACAACTATTATTTGAGCAATGGTCTAAGCCAAGTGAACGGTTTCTCTACATCGCATCATGAACGGACATTTAGATTTATGGCATAGTTTAAGTTCTAATAGTGCGTTAATTCTGCCAGCAGGTTCTGTTTGCATAATTATTGTTCACGCAGAATTTATCACAAACAGGATCGACATCGAAGTGCTGTCCGTGATAGCTCAGCAGTTGATTACAATCCGAAATGCTAAAGCGGCCAAGCTTCAAAGGTTCATGTTTGAAGGAAGAGAGATTAAGCTAGTACAAAAATGTGCCGCATTTATTACGATGAATCCAGGTTATGCGGGTAGAACCGAACTTCCGGATAACTTGAAATCGCTGTTTAGACCTATATCTATGATGGTCCCTGATTATGGTAGGTAGATATATGTTATATGAACATGCGGCTTCCAATATTTGTCTTACTTTTCACAATTTAACAGCTTTTTTGAGTTTTGAAAAGTTGTAGTTTAATATTGGGCGTCTTCCTTGTATTGTGTCGACATTTCGTCTCACTTTGACATGACCTCTATTTAGTCCGGTAAACTTTAATTATATAATTAAAGTTGATAATTATCAGTCCGATCTGGACTTTCTTTTGTAGATTTGTGAGATGATTCACCAGAGTTCTTCATATTTCAGCACTGATTGCTGAGGTAATTTTGTATTCAGAAGGTTTCGAATCATCGAAGATTCTATCTAGAAAAATGGTGCAAATGTATAAGCTGTGCAGCGAACAACTGTCTCAACAGGATCATTATGATTTTGGGATGCGAGCAGTAAAAAGCGTATTGGTTATGGCAGGGTCGCTCAAGAGGGCCAATCCAGACAAAAGTGAAGATGTCGTCCTGATTAGTGCTCTTAGAGATAGCAACTTACCCAAATTCTTAGCGGACGATGCTATCCTATTTCAGGTATACGTATTTGTGCAAAAAGATGACTTCCAATTAGTGTGTTATTGCTAGGCATCCAATCTATACATACGTTGAAGAAGCAGAACGGTCCTTCAGCGTTCTAGCCAAACCAAAAAACAGTTTGCTCTGTTTGCTCTCCGTTTTTTCTAAATAAAACCTATACCATACCGATAGTAGTAGTCGTAGTGGTTTATTGTATGAAAAGAAATAATTTACAAGGTGTACATTCCAATAATAGAGTAACTGTACAAAAAACACAGAAAACCTCAAAAAGATAAACTTGTACAGGGCATTGACCAATAGTTAGAGACAATTAAACTTTGAAACAGCATCGGTAGGTGTGCTACAGGGTAGCAAATTAGGTCCATTACTATTTATTTTATATTAGCGATATTCCTGATATTCTACAATACTGCAAAATTCAACTATTTGCTGATGATATATATATATATATATATATATATATATATATATATCAAATAAAGACATTGAAACTGCAATAGAGGTGTTAAATAATGATATGAAAAACGTAATAAATTGGTTAAATGTAAATAAACTTAAACTAAACACAAACAATACAAAATATATGCTAATAGGAAAATCTTTAGATCAAAATACGATAAATCTTACAATTAATCATGAAAAAATTATGTCAATCGAATCATTTAAATATTTGGGAATATACCTAGACAGTAAATTAAAATTTGAGGGGCACTATGAATATATTGTTTCAAAAATATCCAAGAAACTAAATTACTTTTATAGAATTTCGCTTAGCCTAAGCGTTTTTTCTAAAAAAATTGTATACAACACTATCATTCTTCCTCTCCGTCCTCCCTTTGTTATATTGTTCGACTATTTTGTTCACTGCAATTGAAACTGTATTTTCAAAATTCCAAATATTACAAAATAAAGCTATGAGAATCATCTTAAATAAAAATAAGTTTACTAGAATAAATTTTATGCTGAAAGAACTACAATGGTTAAATATCAAAAATTTCATTGCCTACTTAGTTTTCGTTTTCATATTCAAGTTAAAAAATCATCTACCACATTACCTAAACAATTTTATTGTATTGAACAATGAGTGCCACAATTATTCTACTAGAGGAAGTATAGACTTTCATTTACAAAACTGCAGTAGCAATACAATGGGCAAGGCAGTATTTCGAAAGGGGTACGAATTTAATAAATTAAGTAACGTTATAAAGTTGTGTGTCAGTATGAAAATGTTCAAATGGAAATTGAAAAAATATCTCGTGTAATATGGATATTATGGATATTGTAGCATTAATGCTAAGTAAATCTGATACAAACAAACAAACTTTGAAAAAATTCAAACAATTCAAAAGATAAAAGTTATAATTCAAGGTAGGTACTCACACTGGTAGAAACACTAAGTGAGTAGTAAAATGAATAATAAAACTGACAGGATATAAACAAAGAAACAGATTAAAAAGTACTCAATTTAAACTAGGTATCCTGTCAATAAATCTAACTTTTACGCATTCGACTATACAGGTTGTTTTAGAACTAAGGAATCAAACTTATAGGGGTTATTCAGTGTAACAGTAAAAAACATTTGAGCATAGGGACCCATATCCGGAAAACTGTTTTTACGGCAGTACGGCCCTAAGACGGGTTAAAATTTAGAAATATGATGAATTTCCTAAATAGGATTTAATTGTGCCTTTTGTACATGATATCATCACAACAATTGTTCAAAATGTCTTCCTCCAAACTGAATACATCGATTTAAACGTCGCGCATGATTTCGGTGGACTTGACTAAAAATTTGATACTCGTTTTGAATGATTCCAAATGCTGCTGTAATTCGTTCAATTAAGTCTTGCTCTGTTTCTACTGGAGTTTCGTAAACTAAAGACTTCACATGTCCCCACAGCGACGTTAAATCGGGTGACTTAGGAGGCCATGAAACTGCACCACCTCTGGCAGTCCAACGGTGCTCAAACCGCTGAGCCAAATACTCACGTACTTGTAGGTACAGCAAAGTGAGCCGGCGCTCCATCATGCTGAAACCACGTTTGCTGTCGAACGTTCAATGGAACATTTTCAAGAAGTTCTGGAAGAACTTCCTCCAAGAAACGACGGTAAATAGGTCCTGTTAACCGTGCCGGTAGAATGTATGGCCCAATCAAATATTCATCAACAATGCCTGCCCATACGTTGACAGACCAACGTTACTGATGTTTTCTATAAAAAATTGCATGGGGATTTTCTTTGCCCCAAACGTGGCTATTCCTACTATTAAAAATACCGTCTCTTGTGAAAGAGGCTTCATCGGTCCATAAAACATAGCGTAAAAAATTTGGTTGTGCAGCGATTTGATGAAGAAGCCATTGACAAAATTGAGCTCGAGGATGATAATCGGCTGCAGTAAATCCTAGAACTTTCTGGAAGTGGTAACGATAAAGTTGTTGCTCGTGTAGCACCCGCCAGAGAGAAGCGTTACTCGTATTCATATCCTCAGCAATGTGACGTGGCAACTCGCTGAAGGACCTCTTCTTCAAATTCGACCGTTCTTACGGTTCGAGCAACACCAGTATCATGCATGTTGGTTTTAAACATGCCTGTCTCGGAGAGCCGCCGATGAACCGCAATAAACTTTTTGTATCCCGGAAGCTGTCGTTCGGGATAACGTTCTTGATACAACCGCGCTGCTGCTCGTGCATTGTAGCTTGTTGCTCCGTATGCCAAATGCATATCCGCCAATTTTTGATTGGTACAGTTTTCCATTAGCAACAACTAATTTTTGCAAAATTTTTGCAAACTTCACAACTCCACTACTAAGGCGATATGGAATGCAGCTACAAAAAACAATCTCTGTTATCGTTTTTAAAGATAACAACACACAAGCGCCGGATATGGGTCCCTATACTTAAATGTTTTCTACTGTTACACTAAATAACCCCTACAAGTTTGATCCCATAGTTCTGAAACACCATGTATTTAAGACGATAGGGTGAATTTCAAATAGCATCATTTGTAATGGCAACAATTATTACGTTATAAGAATATCGGTACAAGTACAATTTTTTGCGACAATCTAAACACGGATAACTGCTTTGGATATTTTATGTATCTGCTGTTTATTTTTTTTTTTGAATAGGTCCAGGGAGTTTGATTTACATTATAGAGAAATACAGATGAGGTCCAAGGAATGTTCATGATCCCAACAGTAACGATTTTTCTGGCTCCGGTACAACTAAGTGCGATGGTGCCTTTTGCAGAGTATCTTACTTGATTAACCTCCTTTTTGTACTGAAATACTAGCAGGTTGTAAGCATATAGATGCCTAGTATAGAATATTTCTGTTTGAATAAATAGCTCACTAGATGTGCAACTTCAAGAGTATCAATAAGTGGCATTGTTGTTCCACCCCAGCCTAAGATGGCATATACGAGATGTGAATAGACAAGAACTAGACAAAGAATATTCAGATGTTTCTGGAGTAGGAATGTTGATAACAGTTTAAATCTAAGCTTTTTTACAAGCTAGTCAGTACTTATATCCCACTTGAGGATGGTGTCGATATAAACACCTAAATATTTATGATGATTGCTTTCAACGCTGCATAAGGTTTAAGGTTGGTCATAGACACAGATCACTGGGAAAGCAAACACGTCCACTCCAACCTGTTACTTATTCAGCCTTTGTATGGTACGCCACTTCTGATGCTGAGGTTTCCTCTAATTGATGGGTTGTCCATGTCATCCCTTGCTCACTACTTATTAAATTTGTCAGTAGGCCACATACACTATCTTTCCTTTCTGTTGCGAGAAGACCTATACCGTATTGACGATTGCTAACCAGCATGAAACGGCGCCGTATGTGGTTGGTCATACTCGCAGAGACGGAAGGCAAATAGATACAATTTTGACAGCTATTTGTAGCATATCCTCTTGAGTCTAGAGTACTATCATCAACCAGAAAGTGATCTTACCGAATCTCCTACCAACCTACTAGAAATTTTGAAGGCAAAATTAGCTATCTACTAGAACCGCGTCAAGAAGTAGGTTACTCGAACTTCCCTATGCAAAGTTGACGTTCTCCTAGTGCTGTTTGACATTAAAAGCTGTGCTGCTATGATTAAAGTAGTTATAATGCTCGCTAAAAATATATACGCTAGACATACACGTATCTAATGCCTGTCTATGTTTGTGTTTAAATCCAATTTTCATTCAGTTGCAAACGATAAAAACTTTTCACATCTTACGTATTTTGATGCTATACAACAAAGTCGGCAAGCTACGTCAGATTTGCCTAGTTTTTAGGATTCCATATCAGTACGTGACGTAACTAAAACTTTGGATAATTACTAGCTTACAAATAAAGACAGCGATGTATGTTCAAGGCGGTGTCGCCAAGCTTCCATAAAATATTTATAAAACGCTACATTTGTACCAAGCAGAATGGAGTTCAGCTCTTTTTACGATTTTTAGTGGTTATGTCAATAAGTCATACGGAATAAATAAACATGTCGTAAAGCCAGGTTACCTAGATAATGTCAAATAAACCACTATTGGTCAAATAAGCAAATTGAGGTTAGAAAACTTTTGAATTTCACGCTGTCGTACTTCTTTTATTACTACGCTAGTCTGCCGCGTAGGGCCCTAGAAGTTAAATCGTTATTTGATAACTTACTCGGGAAAAGAGTGATTTCTAACTTTATTGAATGAAAAATATATTTTGTATGTTGCAAATGGATGATAAATGTCCCCACCATGAATAAATGTCCAAACAGAAGTAAGCTTGAACAAAAATCCGTTCACTGGAAATGATGGTCAATGAGCTCATCCAAAAAGGATTACTTATTTTTAAATGCTATGTTTTTGGGGACACCTATTATTTCTCTCTACTTTTATTCGCCGTGTCTAACTGTCTTCTTATTTTATAAGTACTCTTTGGTCTCACTATTATTACTACATATTTTGCAGGGTATACTTGGAGATCTATTTCCTGGTGTGGCACTGCCTGTCCCAGACTATGGCGTATTCCAAGCTGCTATTATAGACTGTTTGTTAACTGAAATGTTTCAACCAGAGCAATGCATGATTGTCAAAGTAATTCAGCTTTATGAAACGATGATTGTACGATGGGGTGTCATGCTCGTTGGGCCAACTGGTGGTGGCAAATCCACTATTCTTAACGTAAGGTTCCCAACTGCATCTTAGTGACAATTCTAAATCAGTTTTGCAGAATTTGAACAAAATATCAAGATACAGTTTGTTAGTACAGCTCTCTGACTATAAAAACGTTTTTTATAAATAGCGATTTCATTATTTGTAGTATCCAAGCCGTTGAAGAATAGCGCTTGGAAAAAGATATTGTCCATACATTTTCAGTCCAAAAAATTAATTTTTCCATGAAGTAAATGTTGGATATAGGCTAAGAATCGGGGAAATTTTGTATAAGGATATCTTATAATTTTAGCGACAGTAAATTATTTTGATGGTATCGTTAGAATACTCCATCCTGATGATAAGTTCAAATTAGCCTTATGATAGGGCTGGAGCATTTGTCGCTATTTCAATAAACGGATTTAATCGGAAATTTCTAAAACCACCGATCCTATATAAAAAAGTGATGGAAACAATTTACATATTTACGCTTATCACGGCTAAGGTAATGGTAAAAAACATTACCATTTTGTGTAGAGAATAAAATTTGATACAAAAAATTCGTTACGTTTTTTCGGCACCACGATGGTTCTTGGAGTAGGTATATTGAAGGTAAATTGAAAATTCTTATGAAAACAGTGGCGCGACATACTCCACACGCTACGTACATTGTCCACGTTATCTGCATACAACGTGGGGATAACACTATTTTATATGATCAAGAATACCATTTTAAAATGATTCAATTTTTTAATGCTACATGAAGGAATAATTAATAATAAAATCTAATACTTTTTGGTGATTTGTAACGTGTTCATCATAAATATCAAGTCACTAACTCCTATCAGTTTGTCTATTGACCATTTTGTCAGCGAGTAATTTCAGTAACCGTAGCATCGATTTAAAAATTTTGTTCTCTACAAAAAGAATAGTAGTCTTATATGCTTAGATTATTAGTTCAGCCATTATAAGCGAAAATACCATTACATGTACGTTTACCCTCAAATTTCTCATAGCCCATTGCAAAATAATATAGACTTCAATTCCATACAAAACTGTTTTCATTACTTTTCCAGCTCTATCATGACGCCAGTTTGAATTTATCATTGAAGCAATAACCTAACTACAACAAGAAAATTAATGTCGCCAAAATTGGAGGAAAAATTAACCTTTACCTATTGGCCTATTAATACTTTAACCACAATAAACCAGCATAAACACATCATAATTGGTTGACTCTACATTAGAAACCTGTCAGTAATGGTGAGAGTCAGTAAAACGTGTATTGTTTTGGGAGACTCCAACGATGGATCACAACACAAACCTTGTGTGTTCCTAGTTGCTGAACAACTGGACAACCATGTTGCTTTACAGTTGTTATAACAACTAAATTTTAAACTAAACTTTATAATTCACTATTGATTTATTCAATTTAATAAACTAGAACCTCAAATTACATGGGGTTCCTAAGGAATCTAAATATATTAGAGCTCCCCAATGTAAGGCTGCTCCATTTAGTGACTTTCCTTTTATATGCTAGCAACATCCAAAGCGGTGGTTTTTAAAAGACGCGGCAGTTGCCGACCATATGTACGTATATATTGAGTTATAAAACAGGTTTTACTAGAGGGATCCCGAAGAAAACTTGCGCTATGATTCTTGTTCTGTTTTATTATTTATCCGTAGACATTAAACAGAACTTTGACGAAAATGTTCTATGATGGCATACCAGGTCCAGTGTTTCGACCAGTGCGAACATTCATCATGAACCCTAAAGCAGTTACGGCTGGAGAATTATATGGAGAAGTGAATCCTTTCACTATGGAATGGAGAGATGGCCTTATGGGGATCATGATGAGGGCAGCGGTTACGGTATGTACAGGGTGATACCAAATAAAAGCAAAACATTACAATGCTGCATGGTTCGTTCGTAGACGTATATAAAATGTCTCGATGTTTTGATAGCAAAATAGAAAAAGGCTTTTATTTGTGAAACTTAAGAAAAAAGAGCTTCAATATCGTTTAAATATTTTCAATCTCAAAAATTATTTTTAAATTTTTAGTTCATTTCATTACCATGCCATTTATACCACACCATTTATTGACCACCTTATCTATATACAATGTATATGTGAGGTCTTACAAACTATTTCATTACCTATCTGAGTGATGTCATAGCACCAACGTACTCATCAACTGAATAGAAGCAGTTGTTAATGTTTTTTAACAAACTTTGAGGGGCATCGATTAGACACATCCTCAAAACTATGTTCTTTATTTGAATTGACGAATATTATATAAATTATATAATTTAACGCAGGTCTATTATTTTTAGTCGCAAGTTTGGATTCCCTAATTAACATTAAGTAGTAAACATAACTGGAATTTGTAATTAGCCTCAAAGCCGTTTTTTGTAAAATGAAAATTTTGCTGGACGCAACTGAGTTTCTCCAGAGAATTGTGCTATACGTTAATTGACTATGGAACATGCTGTTTCACTGGTTCAGATTTCATAACCCGGTTGCCAGAGGAAAACGTTTTTATTTAGCGATAACTTGTTGGTTAATCGGTTAAAAACCATCTTTTGGCTTCTTCCAGACTATCCACACTGGTATTTTGGACACGTCTAGATATAAAAGTGGTATCGTCTACAAATAGGAAGCAGAATCCGTTATCAATACTCGAGGGCAGGTCATTGATATATATATATATATATATATATATATATATACTTTAACAGTGAATAGATCTGATCAAAAGAAATGTTTTTTTCCTTTACCATTTTTCTGGTAAAATTAAAGTAACAAAGTTATAGCCCTTTGGAAGTTTGAGTACCGCCCTGTCTCAATATCATGTGCTCGTGTTTGGCGACAACGGATATAATCCGCCTTACCGGTTCATCGCATCGGAAACAAAAAAGCGAAAGAATTTGGAACGATGTTTGTACAGTTTATTATTTTATTCAGTTCAGTTATACATACAGTCAGTGTCAGTCGCGTGAGAATAGTGTCTGTTGCGTTGCTCAAACGAAATAAAAAATGGCACATGTTTATGAGGATCGGTTTCCCATTCGAGTGCAACCAACCCCTCGTGCCTTTGTTAATGTAGTACAACGGGCTCGTGAATCAGGTGACTTAAGACCTCACAGGGGACCTCACGATCAAATACAGGTCCGCACTGAAATACTTGTCGGGAGGATACTTTATAAAACAAGGTAAAAATTTTTTTTTATTTTTACACACATATTTTGGTTTATCTTCCTTCTACAATCATTATCTGAAAATTAATGACTCAACTTCAAAGTCACCCTGTATATATATATACAATGAGTTTGGTCACAACATACCGATATTTAAGAGGGGTATTTTTCAGCTATTTTTATCGACAAATCCATCCCCCCACAACATATCCATCCCCCTTGAAATGGCAGCCATTTTTATTTTTACTTTACGATTACGGTAGTGCATGTATGAAAATTGTAATAACGGAGTACGTAATTGTCACAGAATAATAAATTTGGTGTCATTTGAACGATGACATGTTGTCCTAGTGGTTATTGAAAAACGTGTTTTGGTACTAAGCGTCAAACATACTCAAAAACAGAAAAAAATGTGTAAGAAAATTGATTATTTTGTGCATTTTCGCACACCATTCAAAAACTAGTCTCTGAAGTTGTACTTTTTTATACTAATTCTACAGCTTTTTGTTATCCTAAGTATTCTACGTTAAGCAATAAATGCTATCTGGCTAGCGTCAAAATGGATGTAATAAAATGCAAATTGTTTTCAAATTTTTTATACTTAAAAATGACAAACCAATGTTCCTTATAGAGAGTTTGGACATATTTAATGTTACAGAAGCGGCTCAAAATGTCCTCCATTATTGGTTATGCACATTGTTATTCTTAAAATAATGTGTCGTGTTGAGCGGCAGACCATATCCGTGTCAGCCCTAATTTCGTTCGCAGCGGTATGGATCCATTTCAAGGGGGGTGAGGTATGTCATTGTAGGGGGTGGATTTGTCGATAAAAATACCTGAAAGATATCCCCCTCAAATATCGGTATGTCGTGACCAAACACAGTGTATATTGGAAATAGCAGGGGGCTATGTACGGATCCCTGCGGTACCCTGTTGCAAATAGGCAAAACATCAGAGGAATTGCCCTCAGCGTACATATGGCTTCCTATTTATCAGATAAGAACGGCTCTGTATTTCTTATGCCATAGTGTTCTAGTTTTTCCAATAGTATATGCGAATTAACAGCTAAATGAAAGCTTGTTTTTAAAAATCTATTTTTCCATCTTATTTATTGATGAAGACAACACTAGAAGAGCATCAATGGATTGTTTGTGATGGTCCGGTTGATGCAGTATGGATAGAAAACCTGAATACTGTCTTGGATGATAACAAAATGCTCTGTCTAGCCAATTCTGAAAGAATTAAGCTGACACAGTGGGTTCACATGGTGTTTGAAGTTCAAGATCTCGCGCAAGCCTCTCCGGCTACAGTTAGCAGGTTAGTTTATTAGAAACATGCTCCTATATCTATAGCGTGGTCACTAAAAATGATTATGATGATGACTTAAAAAGAAAACAGTTGATCGTCGTCTAATTAAGTTAAGGTTGATGAGGCCACTACTTGCAGTCAACAAAAAATCTAAAAATAAATATAACAGTAGATGTCTGAAAAAATGGAGGCTTCATTCTTGACCCTGAGGCTCTATCTTTGCAGATGCGGAATGGTTTATGTCGATTCCGAAGAGTTAAAATGGTTACCGTATGTGAAAACATGGTTACAGACGTTGTGCGAAAACTTAATCAATCAAGAAATGAAAGAGTTTATGTTAAGCCTCTTTGAATATGCCGTCGAAAATGGTTTTCAGTTTTTGAAAAAGAATTGCACATACGCTATACATCAGGTAAAATGCTCCAGACCGAGAGGTTGTTATATTCTGTAATAATAATAATAATATTTATTCACATCAATTATAAATTGCGAATAAATCGATATACCTTAAAAGGAAAATATCCATGCGCGTGGATATCATTCTAACACATAATATAACAAGTAACTACATTGAGTTGATTGATAAGGACTAAAAAAAATCGATAATCGATAATATAATCGCGATAGCACTAATTTTGTATAATAGATCAGTAACGCGGAAAAGATATTTATATGTTAGAGGTTTCAGAAATTGCATTATAATTATATCAGTATCCAATAGCCACTCATATAAACTCATTTTTAATAATTATATTCGGCTTTTTCTTTATATGTGTGTAAGTATAAAATACTTTTGGACCTGAGTATATAAATAATTTCAATATTATTTCCTTTTTTGGTTGCAATAATTATTTGTCTATTTTTATTTCTAGTATCATACTTATAATTTTTATAAATGGTAGAACGTTTGTTTTTTATTTTTTTTAATATATGTTTTGATCCAATAAACAGCCATCTAGAGGGATATGGTAAAAGTTTGTTATGAATAATTTTTGTATTATTTTTAAAGAATTAAGATGGTTGTTATTCATTATATCTCCAGATAATAATGCCACAGGTTATGTGGCATTCAACTAGTGTCTGCAAAAACTTTTTTAATCTAGTCTCACTGTCTGTAATATATATCTGAACTCCTATAACAGAAATCTAAGTTTATTTGCAATATATTGAATATATTGATCGTAATGAAAATGAGAGTCCAAGACAATCCCTAGATACTTATGTTTTAGTTTTCGTAATGTATATGCATTTGGAGGATATGTTTTCTTTATACTTAGCTGATTATATAGCGGTAAATTGTTTGTGTAAGAGGTGAAGGGAACAAAATAGGTATTTTCATAAATTAAACGTCAAACGATTTATTACAGGTAGAAATCAGCAAGGCGAAGATGATTTGCTCTCTTATCGAAAGCTTTCTGAAATTGCCAGGTGCGATGGAAAAGATCGGGGAAAAGAGCAAAGTTAGATGTTTCCTTTGTCAAACCTTTATTCTTTCGTATATTTGGGGTATCGGCGGCAACTTAGTAGCAGATAGTATGGAACGCTTTGAGATCTATGTTCGAGATCAGTTTGATGAGTTCTTAGATGCAAAGTTAGTATAAAAGTTCACAATCAAATCAACTCATTCGGATATGCACTCTCTGGGTGCTGGAGTTATGTAGCTATGGTACTAGTATACTGTATGTTGAGACAATGTAATATTACAGGTTACCATCAGGCAGTGATCTTTGGAGTTTATATATGGATGTGCAAGGTCATAGACTGGAGCCGTGGCAAAGGATTATACCACAATTCATGTACGATAAAGAGCTACCATTTTTCGAAATGCTGGTCCCTACTATAGACACAGTACGGTTTGGATATATCATGGAGAGATTGATATACGTAAATCACCCTGTATTTCTCACCGGAGACACAGGTAACATCAAGAACTTTACTACTATTTAGAGCATATGCGACTAGGTGGTATTTGAATCTCAAAAGTCAAGTGTTTTTGATTGAAGGAAGTACCTATTATTAACTATCTGTAATCGGATTTTTTTTACCTTGATGTAAATGCAGCAATTTCAGCGCAATTCGCCGTTCAATTATTTTTTTTCACAAAGTTCAATTATTTTTTTTCACAAAGTATTTATAGGTCATGTTTATCACTAGAAATTACTTTGAAACGCTGGAAGATAAAATGTAAATATAATCTGTGTTTGAAGTAAACCAAACCAAATGAAATGAATATTATTCAAATTTACTAGTAGTCAATAGTACTCAACACCAACAAAGTGTGTTTTTGAACCAGTAAGTCCCTTAGATATATCCAAATGCATCCGGCGAATCAAAACAGAAGTAGCTGGCACGATAGTATATTTAGGAGGATGTTGCTATTACTTGAGGATTATCCTCTAGATCACATGACTTTTATTATTAACAGTTGCCTCGTATCAAATACGTTTCCAGATATATGCATGTCTAATCTGGTTTCCGGAATTCTTGTGACACAAGAACAGCGCTTGCCTGTTTCGTCGACGACATTGTTAGTTCACTAGATTGCGGTAAAGCTTTTTGCTTAATATTACTAGATTATAGTAAGGTTTTTGATACAGTTGACCATGGAATTTTGTTTGCCGAGCTTATGATAGATATTATGGACTTAGCTTTGCTGCGGCCAAACATATAAAAAGCTTCCTTACTCAAGAATATCAGTATATCTCCATTAATAACGAATCAGCTAATACATCGGCCCCAAAAATGGGTGAACCTCAAGGCTCCATTCTTAGTCCTCTTTCATTCCGGTTTTTTCAAAACATATAAAATTCAGCAAAATTCATCACTATGTTGATGCACACACAAATATCCTGCAACTTTGATATTGAAGATGTGGTTCCCTCTTTTAATCTAATCAGTAACGATCTGGACTTACTTTTTAATATCCCAGCAGCTCATAACTTGACAATAAATGCTAGTAAATCTAAATTAATGTTTTTTTTGGCCAAGAAACAAGCGTAATATAGCAGAAAATCTTTGTCAATTATCAATGAATAAAATTCCATTACCAATTGTAGCCGTTAGCAAGAATTTAGAGCTATGGTTGGACAATAAATTTAATTTTGATTTCCATATTAAAAAATCATGTTCAAAATGATATAGTATACTCAAACAAATATATTCTCAAAGATATACTCGTATATTAAACAGTAAACTGAAAATACTGCGCAGGCGTATATGGCTCAGCTGTAATAAAAAGTGATAGAGACAAGTTAGAATGGCTACAATGTTACCGTTTTTCTCGTATACGGAAATTTGATCGTACAAGAGAATTGTAAAATGAACATGGAAAATCTCAGAAAATACCAAAGTTATTTTTTTTCATAAAATGTTACTGAATAAGAAACCAGAATATCTTTTGAATAAACTCAACAAATTTGAAAACATCAATAACTTTGCTACCAGAAATCGACAATTATTAGTTATACCTAAGCACTTCACGTCTCTCTACAAAAAGAGCTTCCCTTATACTGATGCCAAGTTATAATACAATAATCGATTCTCAAAATTTTTTTCACTTATCAATGCCTATTGTTGTATGTTGGATATATTATGTAAAAGAATCGAATAAAGAAAATTCATTATTATTATTATTATTATTATTATTATTATTATTATTATTATTATTATTATTATTATTATTATTATTATTATTATTATTATTATTATTATTACATGAAGTACTCTTAAAAGCGTGTATTATCAAAAGATTATCCGACTGTGGCTTCTAAAAACCACTTTCAGTCATTGTTGATTGCGGTCAGGAAGGCTGTATGTGGTTTAAGGTACACTAGAAAATTGTAAGGGCCTATCAAACACCAAACTGACAGGTGAATGATCAATGACAGTGAGAGCAAAGACCTGGCCAATCAACAAAGGGTCACGAATGGTGACGTCACATCCATAGCGTAGCGTTTCGACATTTTAAATTTACCGCATATTTTTTCCATTTTTTATTCATCAATACTCGTAGTTTTAGAGCGCTTAAGTATGAAATGAGGTTGATGTGTCATTCTGTAACAATATAGACTGTTAATATAAACAATTATCAGATTATCGAATCACATGCATATTTGATCAAGGAAATATGTCTGGTCTAGTTCTTTTTGATTTTAGCAAGGTTTCGGTACGGTTCTTTGTAACAAGTTTAGAAACCTTGGCCTGTCTTCAACAGTTCGCATGCTGATTTGGAGCTTATGAATGAATGAATCTTGAATTTTAGAGGCATCCCGGCCACCATAAGGAGCCAGTGCATAGGCCGCTTAAGCGGGCCCTTATGCACCTCTACAATACTTAAATCACAAGCCTCGCCCTTTTAGCGAAGTTGAGAATCGCCTTGAGTCCAAGCTCCTTTACGTCCTGAGGGTCCAAAGTAATGGACCCCAGTATAGTCTGCCTATAGTAGCTCAGAGCTTCACAGCGACACAAAACGTGCGCCGAGGTCTCTTCCTCTACTCCGCAGCGTTCGCATAAGGGATCCTCAGCCACCCCCATCACGTGCAGGTGCCGCCTTAACGTGTTATGGCCAGACAACAGTCCCACCAGCAACCTTAGGTTGGCTCTACCCAGAGATAGGCAGAAGCGTCCATCCTTAGCACTGGGCCCTTCAATGAGCTCTCGTGCCTGGCGGAGATGTCTAGAGATACTTCTCCATTTCTGAGAGTGTTGTCTTGCAACCCACGTCTCCATTTTCCTCCTAGCTTTATGCGCGGTTACTCCTAGAGCTGGCTCAGGACCAACGAGCTTGCTGGCTGATCCTGTTTTCGCCAGAGTGTCCGCCGTCTCATTGCCCCTTATCCCAGCGTGCCCCGGTACCCATATTAACGATACCGGATGCCTCGCTGCGAGGCAATCCAGAGCCTCCCTGCATTGCAATACAAGACTCGAAGTAATCTTACATGCACTTAGTGCTTTCATTGCAGCCTGGCTGTCGGATAAGATTGTTATTCTTCTCCTAGGCCCACCCTCCTCCAGAATGTGAGATACACAAGCCAGAATCGCAAAGATTTCCGCCTGGAAAATGGTGGTGTACTCACCGAGAGGCAGAGATAGCCTAGTTCTAGGTCCAGAGACCCCAGCACCTGAGCCCTCTTCGGTGACCGAGCCGTCCGTGTACCAGACCTGCCCGCTCACTTCGGAGAGTCCTCGGCTACCGGCGTCCCACTCCTCCCTCGTTGGGTACTCCACAATGAACTTGCGGTTGAAGCGATATTTAGGGGTAATACGATCACCCCTGCTTAGAAGGACGGGGTCCTCCCTATCTAATTCGACTAATATGGCAGTATGCCCCTTGACCGGATTCAAGAAAGCCCAGCTGCCCTGACTCCACAGTCGATGAGCGACTACTCTCGCTTCACCGCGGATCACCAGATCCAACGGTGGGAGATCCAACAGAGCTTCCATTGCACTCAATGGCGTTGTTCGCACTGCGCTTGTAATGCTAATACAGGCCAAACGCTGAATTTTATTGAGTTTGGCCTTAGTTGACTCAGTTCTAATGCAAGGCCACCAGACCAGGGAGCCGTACAAGAGAGATGGACGTACTATCGTCGTGTAGAGCCAGTATACCACTTTGGGTTTAAGCCCCCACCTTACACCGACAACACGTCTACAAGCCCACATCGAATTGCGAGCCTTGCTAACCTTGTGTTCCACATGCTCTCTCCAGTTCAGTTTGCAGTCCAGGATAATTCCCAGATATTTCACTGACTGGGACAAAACTAATCTAGTCCCAAAGAAGGTAGGCATGACCAGTCCGTCAAGCCTTCTTCTCCTAGTGAATAGGATCAGCTCGGTCTTTTCAGCATTAACAGAAAGATCGACTTCCCTACACCACGATTCCACGGAGCGCAGAGCGCCCTGCATAATTTCCGAGACTGTTCTACAGAAACGCCCCCTAACCACTATGCTTACGTCATCAACATAGGCTTGCACGTAGACACCCATACTGTTGAGCCTAACGAGCAGTTCGTTCACCACGATACACCACAGTAGGGGTGACAGAACTCCACCCTGAGGGCAGCCTCTAGCTACGTTCACGCTGCAGCTTACGTTATTCAGCATAGCTGTTGTTACCCGACCCTCCAGAGTAGAGAGGACCCAATCTATTAGGATTGATCCAACCCCGTGTCTAACCAAGGCCTGTCTGATAGAGTCGGTTGTGGTGCAATTAAATGCACCTTCAATATCTAAGAAGGCCACGAGTGCCACTTCTCGCTGATCTAGAGTCTTCTCCAGCCTCCCAACCAGATTGTGTAAGGCCAGATCAGTCGATTTTCCAGCTTGGTATGCAAACTGATTTGCATGAATGACACACCTTTCCAGTGGGCCATCCCTTAGGTATCTATCAACTATCCTTTCCAGGGTCTTAAGCACAAAAGATGAAAGAGTAATCGGTCGAAAATCCTTCGGGCCAGTATATCTATCTCTGCCTGGTTTAGGAATGAATACCACTTTAGCCTGCCGCCAACTTCTAGGTGTGAAGCCCGTGGCCACACATGCTCGAAACACATTCAACAGGTAAGGAACAACCGAAATCCGTCCCTGCTGTAACATGGCCGGAAATACGCCGTCCAGACCTGGACTTTTGTATGGGGCAAACGAATCTACTGCCCATACCGTCCTTTCGAAGGTGACAATCTCCCTTGCCGTGCGCCAGTCCTCCCTTGAGGGCCTGCGCAACTGCATGCACTCTGTGATTGATCGCGCTACTGTGGAACCGGGAAAGTGCGTATCCATCAGAAGCCTCAAAGTATCTTCCTCGGAAGTAGTGTTCCCTCCCGAGGGATCATGCAGAGATCCCAATCTTGCTTTAGTGTCTTTGCATAGGACTCTGTGTATTCTTGCAGTAGCAGGAATGTCATTTATGGACTGACAGAAGTGCCTCCAGGATTCTCTGGAGGCCCTTCTAATCTCCTTTTTGTACTCCTGCAATGCCTTTTTGTATTCTTCCCATAGAGGAGAACCTCTCCTGTGCTTAACTCTGCTAAGAAGTTTGTGCACCGCTCGTTTTCTATCCTCTAAATCTTTGGTCCAGAAGGTTGCCTTGCCCTTACCTTGTACTTTGCGTAACGGGCAGTTTTCCTCATATGCGGCCGTCAAGTCCCTGCTCAGAGACTCGACAGCTGCTTCTATGTCAGAGCCCCTGCCAAGCCTGTATGGGACCGCTCCAAGCTTACTGTCAATGTCTGCCCTAAAGGACCCCCATCTAGTATGCCTGGGATTCCGAGCATATTTATCCGGAATCTCTCCATCAGTCTTGAACAGTATATACCTGTGATCCGATAGAGAGGGTGTTAGAGACACTTTCCAGTCCCTGATGTCCTGAGCTAAGTTAAGCGTGCTCAGTGTTACGTCGATAACCTCTTCTCTTACACTATTGCTGAAAGTGGGCATGTTACCGACATTCAGAACCTCAAGGTTCGATGCCCCAAGAAACTCCATCAGGTCTTCGCCTCGTCTGTTGGTGTTCGAGCTGCCCCACGCAACGTGATGGGCATTACTGTCGCATCCAATCACAAGGTCGAGTCCAGAATCCCTACATAATGCGACAAGGTCCCCCATTTCCTTAGACGGAGGAGGGTCTCTTGAATCGTAAGGAAGGTAAGCCGAACAGACAACCAAGTCCCTGTCACTGCCTTCCTTCTTATATCTAATTCTGACTGCAACTAAGTCTCTAAATGTAAATTCTTTAAGTTGCCATGAGTTGACGGAAGTCATTACGCAAGCTCTGGGCTTAGTGTCCGGAGTATCGCTAAAAAGCGTATAGCCTGGTATACTAAGCCCGTTTACTGAACCGTTTCTCAGCCAGGGTTCCTGGATGAGAGCCACGTCATGTCGGCCTCGAGTGATCTCCTGAGTAAGGGCCCTCGAAGCCGCTATGCAGTGTTGTAAGTTAATTTGGATGAAATTGAAACTTACCATGGATGTTGAGAGGCCCTTCCTACACCTTCCCGAATGACGGTATGTAACCCCTATTCGGGCGTACCGCCGTCGCCGCCGCAGTCATCGCTGCCGCAGCCGCCTTCATCTCCGCTTCCACGGAGGAGTTCTCGGACTCGGTTCAGGATTCCATCCTCGTCCGAGTCGCTATCGTTTTCCTCTGGGACCAGATCCATCGCAGGGTTCGCCACGATGTTTTCTGCGGATATCCCGCTTGGACCCGCCGCCTCCACGTCCGTAGCCTCCGGTGGCTCCAGCGAGAGCTGACCCGGCCGACCCATCCCCTGTGAAGGAGCCTGGTCTACCGCCACAGCTCCCGTCGGTCTGGGCTGGTCCGACTCCTGGTTTGGAGCCAGGCCAGTTCCAGCAGGTGTCGCTCCACTGCTCTTCTTCTTGCTCAGGAGTGTAAACACCCCCGAACTTCCACCGCAACACAGCCTGTTGCCGTTACCTACAATGACCTTCCAGCTTATGGAATCAACTGAGAGGACAAGTCGGACACCTATCGGCTCTTCCTTCCTCTCAAGTATCCTCCACGCGCTGGGAAAAGTCCCAGGATTGTGCCTCCTGAGTCTCCTCGTGATGACCCCGTTGTCCAGGTTGGGACCCGGAAACCAGGCCATCACGCGGTGGTATATGGGAAGGTCTCCAAAGCTCATCGTAATGAGCCTTGCGCCTTCCCACGGCCGCAGATCCCCCACGTGGGCCTCCAACCATGCCCTAGAGGATTCGTCCTCGCAGACAAAGATGGCTGCCCCTCGAGAGAGGTAGCAGTCAATGTACCTGGGAAGGGTCACCTCATCTGGGATCCCATCTATCAGCACACTGACCGCCTCCTGGACCTGCTGCACCTGTACATTAGTAAGTTGAGTCCCAGGATAACCGTCGGACACGACGGCCACCCTGAGACCCGCTTGGGACGCTCGCGCATAACTAATTTGCGCATGCGTCGCAGTGCGAGGCTTCTTCCGCGAGGATGCGCCCTCCGGTGTCCCACCGGCAGACCTCTGCCGCTTCCCGTCACCGGGCCGCTTTAGGGTCTCCGCTGACACACCGGATTGCGCACCGTCTAGCCCAGATGGCGGTTGGTTCCGTCCAGCCGGGGTCCCAGAAGTGGTGCCCCGACCTTCCGAGCCCTCCGTCATCTGCGCCTCTCTCCGCTTCCGAGCCCTTTTCCTTTCGGAACCTGGCCGAGACTTTTTCTTAATCTTTAGAGAGCCCACCCTTTCCGCTAGCTCTCTCGCTAAGCTTCTGACAGATTCCTCTGTCAGAGTACGATCAGGGTCCCCTGGTGAGGGGTCGCCTGGATGTTCGGGGTCCCCTGTAGGGGGGGCCTCGGGTTTTTTATTATTTTTTCCATCGTTTGGTTCCATAATGTTCCCACGAGTATAGGGGAAGTGGTGATCGACGTCCGCGGTGCCCCTACACGGACGCAAGGCTGGATACTCTGGGAGGTCGCCCGGTGTCCCAGAGGCTCCGTTTAAGACGGTGCATCCCCACCGCCACGCACCCCTCGGCACGGAATCGCTTAACACCTTGGGTTGGGTAACGTACCATTGCCCATGATGACCGTTGAGCTGCAGGCGTCCCAGATATACATCCGAGACACCTGTGGCTCAACGAATCATTCGATTGGCCGGGCTACCGGCTTTCCGGCGGGTCTCCTCAAAAACTAATCGAGGCGGTCCACCGCAAGACCGGCACCCCGTTGCCCCCCCTACACGGTCGCACACGGTTCAGCGCCCACGGCCGCCCCGCAGAACGAACTCGAGGACGTACGGGTTGGATTTTGTAGGGGTATATGGAGCTTATAGTCTATCATTTATGAAAATAATACAGCAACTGCTTTATTCAGAAAATTTGAGAACCCTCAAGGATCTATTTTGAGATCCCTTCTGTTTGCTCTTTATATATGCGATTTTTATAAAACTGCTAACTTCTCAGTCGTTCATCATTTTATAAGAGCTCCAATCCTGAGGAGTACATTTTTGGGCAACGTCAAATAAACCAAGATCTGCAGTCTATTTCTGACAAATCTTGTGCACATAATCTGAGACTGATTGCATGCAAATCTTCCTGCATTTTACTTGAGCCCAAAAGGAATCATGAATTAATATTATGATGAACAACGAAGACATGTCATTTGTAAATGAGCGCAAAAACTTTGATGTCTGGTTTGAGTGCAATCTAGGCTCCATTAAATCTGTTAACTAGCTATGCAACATATCCTATAATGTGCTTCGTCAGTTACACCCGAGTCCTATCAACACAGCTCAAGCTTAGACTCTAATCCTGCCAAAACTGTCTTACGGTGACTCTGTTTATGGATCTGCTCACCCACAATGTGACGCTGAGAAGATTTAGACGATGCAAAACTCATGCATCAGATTTTTTTGTAGAACCCGTGAATTTAATCATATTAGTGGCGCTTTTGGACTATCGAGATGGCTAGAGATGAACGAATTGAGAAAGCTGCATTGCTACATAAGACCTCTCTCTTTAAAGCGTCATATTATCTTTATGTCGGTACGATCGAAAATCCTCTAGAAATAAAGGCAATTTACTCATCCCCCGCGATTCGGCAGCATTGTTTACTCGTAGTTTCTCGTACTGGTCACCCAAACTGTATAGCTGCTTGTAAACTGAGTATAAAGAATTCAGCCTAAGTAACTTTCAAACAAGGTAAAGATGAACTTAAAGTAATTGGATGACTAGAATTTAACTTTACGCATCTCTACACATAATTGATTGCTCCCTTTCTTTGTGAAGTGGAATATCTTATGCTTTTCTTTTTTGTGATCGATGTTGTGAACTGTTCCAAAATTTATGTATTGTCTTTTCTTTACAGTAGCTTATCGATTGTGTCTATATCTTCAGGTTGGGTTGAAGAGCGGTGTGAGCTGATACTCTACTTTCGAGTCTATTGTTTTATAAAGTTTGAACAAATAAAGACCATTTATTATTATTACAATTATAATTTCGCTATTGTAGGAACCTTCAGATTTAAATCTAATTCTGCTGTATTAGAAAGGTTGACCGTTCAGACTCTATTTGAGTAGATATTTCAGGAGGATAATGCCAAGAAAATATTCATATTTATCATGAACCTTTCAGGTGTTGGAAAATCTGTAGTAGCAAAAGACGTCCTCTTTCGATTAGGAAAAACAAATCTTTTCGTGCCAGCCACTATGAACTTCTCTGCACAGACCAGCAGTTTCCGAACACAAGAAATCGTAGAACTGAAGTTAGAGAAGAAAAAGAAAACACTGCTTGGAGCACCGGCCGGAAAGAAAGTTATAATATTTGTGGACGACGTGAATATGCCAAAGCTTGAAACGTATGGTGCTCAACCACCTATAGAGTTATTGAGGTAAAACAAATCGAGATCAGTTTTTAAGTTGTTATAGGCTCGGAGTTTTAATTGTTAGAATTCTTAGCAGGTTTCTAAAATAATGGATCGTTAAACTCATCTGTACGTGTTGATCAACGTACCTAAAGGTACATTGTATTTCAGGGTCAAAAAATCATCAATGAGACATCATGGCGTCGATCTATTAGAATTTGTCAGAGCTAGGTTTCTCCTCTCTGCGTTGATTACAAATCAATGGACAATCGTAAGCATGTCTCTAATAATATGTTATTGGCTTTATCAGGCCCAAATCGATGTGCATCGAAGACACCAAAGTGAATACATCTGCTCATCATATCTGGATACGGGATGGAAAAGGGAATATTCTATTTTTGCTACATGTTTTTCTTAAGATTAGAAGTGTGCTTTGAAAAATTTAGTGTCTCATAGCGCCATCTATCTATCTATGACACCCTAAGCTTGTCAACGTAGATTTCTAATTACCAGGGAGAGGAGGAATATAACTGACAAATTCTTACAGATGACGCTATGCTATCCCATTTTATGTTCGATAACATTTGCTGTTTGTTATCATTATTGAATTATTCTTGATTCATTTCTTTTTTCTAGACAATTCCTAGATTATGGTGGATTATACGATAGAGAGAAGCTTTTTTGGAAAGATATCAGAGACGTAGTTGTTTCTGTGGCATGTGCACCTCCCGGTGGTGGTAGAAATCCCCTGACACCTCGATTTGTTCGTCATTTTGGGATGTTGCTGATTCCTCCACCAAACGAGTTCTCAATGAAAGCAATCTTCAAGGCTATTTTGAAGGTACACATCTATTTGTTAAAAGTTTTTCAGTAGCGGCAAGGCTATAAGTTGTCTGTAAATCCAACGAAGACAAATGTTTTATTGTTCGGGAAACACAAAAAGAGCGTGGCAGATCCATTCCATATTTCGGTTAATAATAATGATATTCCTCATACATCTACTACTAAAAATTGGATTATGGATAGTGACCTGAGGTTTTCAAAGCATGTTGATAAATGCATTGGCCGTGCTTATAGTCAGCTTATCATGTTGTTTCCACATCGTCATATCTTTTCTACCGAACTTAAGGCTTTACTTTGTGACACGCTTGTTCTGTCATTATTCAATTACTGCGACTCAGCTTATGGGCCTTGTGTAACAAGGTATGATGTTGATCGTATACAGCGTGTCCAAAAGTCTTGTCTTAGGTTTATTTTTGGAGTGAAAAAAAATTGAATCTATTTCTTATAAGTTACCTGTAATAGGATGGCTTAATGTGGAAACCAAAAGAAATCTGCAGTCAGCAGTTTTGTTTCTTAAAATTATTCTATATAAAACTCCGCTTTATTTGTATAATAAGATAGCATTTCGATGTGATGTGCACAAGATCAATGTTCGGTCCCGGAATCTGATTTCCCAACCACGTCATCTTACGTCTATGTTTAGAAGATTTTTTTCTCATTTTATCTATCACTTGTACAATCACGTTCCCACAAACCTCAAGTCTATGTCTGTGTCAGCTTTCAAAAAGAAGTTTCAGAAAATTTCTATTAGATGAATTGTAGCTTTTACTTTATATTGTTCCCTGCCTTTTTATATTTCATATGTTTTTTTTGTTAATTTTTAATATCGACTTATATAATTTGGTTAAGAACTCCTTTGTTGTTATTTAGTTTGTTGGGCTAGTGCGCTGATCAGCTTTTCTGCTTTCTAGTCCCTTTTGCACGGAATTGATGCTGATTCATTTTTAATTTTTTTCTCTTTGTGTTTTTTTGCTCTGCAAGTAAACGCTATTTTTATTATTATTATTATTATTATGGCATGTGAAAAAACGAACAAGTCCTCATACTCGGTTTTTAGACGTTTCAGATGCCTCTGATTAGTTTTAGACACATTTTTGTAGGAGTTTAAATTGCGTTTTTTGGGTTTAAGCGGATATGGTAGGCTATACCTCAATTTGTTGGCGTTAGTATATTTATACGGTTCTGACACCGATAATTCTTCTCACATATTGAATATGTTTCAGACAGCATAGATTTCCCCGTACATCTGCCCTTAGACTTAGAAAAATAAAAGAATTTTTTAACAGACGTGTCACGAAGAGGAATAGGGAGATATTCCAAGACCCCAACGTTATGAAATGGGAGGGGGCTATGCACTAACTATATGTGCCTATTTAACTGGCTTGAGCCATCCTATTTTTTTTTGTTATACCTGTTAGTACCTATCCTTTTTCTCATAGGCCGAACGTAATCATTTATGAACTGATTCCATTGTCCCGTATGAAGTGCAGAGTGAACATACTTGATGCAATTTTTTTGTGCTTGTCTGATCGATTGTCATACAAACTAGGGCTTCCTGTTCGAATTTTCGAATGACGTCCGCGATCTTGGCGACTACATGGTGAATGCTGCTGTTGAAATCTACGAACGTATCGCAAAAGATCTGCTACCAACACCAGCCAAGTCACACTACGTATTCAACTTGCGTGATTTGTCGAAGTGTATCCAGGGCATCACACAAGCAGATTCTGGTACCATGAGGGATGAAACCAGCATGTTGCGATTGTTCTATCATGAGTGTCTACGGGTCTTCCATGACAGGTAACATTGCTAATTTGCGGCAAATCAACACCCGTAACATAAAAAAGAAAAATTCTCACTATTCATTTGGTAAGGAATTTCAAGTACCACCGTGTCACATGTTGTTTACCTCTTCATAAATTAGGGTCTGTCTATGCCTTCAACTATATTCAACCAGATGGCTCTTGCACCATATAAACAAACATATGCAGCTCTGATGGAAACAAACATCGAGGACGACGGTGATGTTCGGAGTACGCCCGCAGAGTATCAATAATATCTTGAAGATGGTCATATCAAATCTATAACTACGTGATTGCTTGGGTAATGCGCCAATTTCCCTTTTTCAAATGCGGTTTGTTTATAAACTAGGTCAACCTAGACATCACGCGACGCCTGATTTGGGTACTGACTCTTATAGTCTTAGTACGTGTTGATGCAGGTGCAGATTGTGGGAGGGGAGGATGACAAGGTCGTACTGACTCCCTTATTGGTTTTTAAAACCTAATATCTCAGTCATTTTAAATTATATGTTACTAAACAAACATGCTTATTATTCCCTGACCTATAGGAAAGTCCCCTGTATAGTAAAAAGCATATTTTCTATTAAGTTCAAATCTAACGTCAATTTTTGGGACACCCTTTAAATACAATTTCTCACTTATGCAGACTGATAAATGTGGAAGACAAGAGCTACTTCTATTTTCTTTTGAGAGAAATATGTACAAGAAACTTTGGTACAAGTGTAGTAACTTTGCCTGAAGGTGACATTATAACCAATCCACCAGTTCTGTTGTTTGGAGATTTCATTCAGTTTGGAGCCGATAAGGAAAACAGATTGTATGAGGAATTGAGGAGTGTCGACAAAGTTAAGAACGTTCTACAGGTAAGCCACCTCTAAATCATCCCAAGGAATAGCAAATTTGTTTCCAGTATTTCTAAAACAGATCAAAAAATACACAGCATATGTACTTGAATCAAACATATCACAGAGCAAAGCAGGAAGGTTGTGGAGCGTGCTTAATATAGGGAGGAGTGCTCCTCCTACCTCTCTCTCTTGAATTTTGTTTTGGATTACAAGATATTGTTTTGCATACTTCGTTGATACCTTAACTGCTAAAGAACTAAATAGGCCCATTTACTGGTCTAATTTGGTCACTACCTTGCCTTCGATACTTCGAAAATCTTTTAAACATTTCGCAAGGTTGCTTCTGTGCTTAGCTACAAGGAAACCGACCTGCAAGCTGACCAACCTATCCTGGATGCACCTGCCACTCAACCATATTTTTACTTTTACGTCAACACTTTATTTCAAACTTGTGGTATAAATGCTGTTTTTCGCACAGGCGAGCATTGACATGCGTCTTCAATGATTATATTGTGTTAAATCCGTCTTCAAGATGAAAATAAAATACAAGACTTTTTATGGTATGCTTTATCATAGGACTACCTGGACGACTACAATCTGTTGTCTTCCAAAGAAATGAAACTGATATTTTTCATGATGGCGATTGAACATTGTGTCCGGATAGCTAGAATACTGAGATCGGAAAGAGGTAATGCACTTTTAGTAGGTGTAGGAGGAATGGGAAAACAGAGCTTGACGAGATTGGCCTCACATGTCAACAAGTACAGGTGCTACCAAATTGAGTTGACGAGGAATTATGACCACGCTAGCTTCTTTGAGGATCTGAGAAAGATGTATTTTAATGCAGGAGTTGTATACGAAGATTCAGTTTTCTTATTCACTGATACACAGATTGTACAAGAAGAATTCTTGGAGGATATAAACAATATGCTGAATTCAGGTGTGCTAATATGTTTTGCAACAAATGCTTATAATTGAATCGGTTATTTCAAAAACCATTGACCCACACTTTTCTGCACACTATATTTTTTAAGGTAGGCGCATATTCCAGACATAATTCACGTAAGTCGCTCGACTTACATTGTATTTGCGTGCACTACTTGATAATGGGTCATTTCAAAACTAGCACCAGGAGCTTTGATTTGTTTTCTTTTGATATTGATGCACCAAAATACCATTTTTTAATTTCAGGGAATACAAAATAAGGTTACGGGCGAAGATATTATGCGCTTTGTCTCATCCAAAACAAATATATCTCAATCGTCCTCAATACATACATTTGCATTAAAGATTTAGACATGCATCGAAAAACAATTTTAAAATTGTTTGGTAAATCAAAATTACACCCAACTGATGACTTGTACAATGACGCAAAAGTATATGATACCAAATAACTTTATTTCTTACATACCGTCACCGATTATCACAAAATTATTAGTACACGCGATACAATTAAACATACCTAGTCATAATAAACACCCGATATAAATTACGCGCGAAACATGCACCTTAACCAAACAAATCTGCAATGTAACTATCTCACCTGTATTTAGCTCTAAGATTGTATGAACATTCACCAAATGATTTAAAACAACTACATAATACATTGAGCTCCCCAAAAAATTTATCTTAACTTAACGTGCTTGGAAGAAACAACATTCATGGAATAGTCTCAAATAATACACAGTAAACAATAATATTTATTCACATCAATTATAAGTTGTGATTAAATTGATATGCCACATTATACCCTATTCGCAGTCCATTTACGCCCCGGCACAACAAAGATGCAGAGCGGCAAAGCGGCAGCCGCCTAAGCGTTCCAATAGCTATTGGTCATTTAGCCATAAAACTACGACAGGATAGAACTCAGTCTCGGGGTATCGCCGGCACTCCGACGCCGGCAGTTGCTGTTCATATTCGGTGCAAACATAGAGTGTGTTTATATGTCAGCATGTCGTCTACGGATACAGCAGATGAAACTGATAATATTTCTCCCAATGCTTCATTCAGCCATGCTTCCTCTTCAGTGATGTCTCCTCCTTGACGTTTATAAGAGCGAAATTTTAGAGCATCCTGAAATGGAAATTCTTCATATTGAAAGACGTGTGGCGATCAAAAGAGGCTTATGTCCTAAGATAATTTTCAACATTGTTAAAGAATATCGAAAAACAAAAAAAATTGACTCCACCACACAAGAGGCTGCAATACACGAAGCTGTTGGATACAGCTGATAACTTTGATCGGAATGCCATCAGACGCAAAGTCGATCAATTTTTTGAAAGGCGGGAACATTCCACCATAGAGAAATTATTACAGGAGGTTAATAGTGATGAAGACTTACCTACTTTCAAAAGTACCACATTGTATAGTTTAGCTTAGAATTTCGTTTTGAGTATAATAAAGAAATACCGCGATCAGGGTAGGAAGATTTATCACTTGGATGAAACCTGGATAATAGGACAGGACATACAAACCCTAAGGTATGGGCTGACTCTACAATTAAATCAGCAAGACAAGCCTTCTTAGATGGACTAACCACTGGCCTGAAGCATCCGTCGCGTACGTGTATCCAACCAACACCTGTTGGATACTCTGCTTGTATTATTATTAGTTTTCTACTATGAAGAAATGGACGGGAGTTCATTTGAACGATGGTTTGAAGAAACGCTCCCAAAGCTTGACCAAAATGCGGTCATTGTCCTTGATAATGCTGCATACCATACTAGAAAACTAGAAAAAATTCCCACAATGTCCACAAGAAAGTCAGAAATTCAACAATGACTCCTATAAGAAGACATTAGTTCCAATGAAAATATGCTCAAAGCAGAACTTATCTAGACAGGCAGCATAAATATAAATATAATCTTAATGTTATTGACGAAATGGCTAAAAACCAGAATAAGACCGGTTTAAGGCTATCTCCTTATCACAGCGAATTAAATCCCATTAAAATGGTTTAGGAAATTTTTGTTTTGAAGCTTTGACATCCTGTATCTTGAAAACCAGACATTGTATGTCAGGTGGTTATGTGACTTTTTCTGCTCTTTCGTTCATGAACGCGCCCTTGCCATTACGGCCTATAATTAGGTAACACCCTGCATATCTCGGATATATCAGCTATATCTCGACTATATCTTAATTCATGATTTGAACCTTGTACCTTAAAGATATTATGACATGCAATTAAAATCACGTGTTAACAGGTCATTATTTAAGTGTAATTATTAAAAATAGGCAATAAAATATATGATTTGTTTGCTTAAGATATGTACAACTAGCCCCATTTCTTGGTCAAACAACACGTCAAGAACAGTTTTTCTTAGCCTTATTAATAATTAATAAACTGTGAAGCTTGTTGTACATTTCAATCATTAAAAATTAAAATACTATGCTTAGCCCAAAAAAGCTCTTTAAAACTGATTCATTTGTCGATGACACAGTTTTTACTATGTCCTGAACAATCCAAATTGTGTGACTTTTGAAATGACCAATTAAATTCTATGTACTAAAGGGTTGTCCAATAGGGACGCAGGAAAGTAAACGTGAATTTGACATAGACGCCATCTTTGTTTTCTGTCACCGACATGTCATTTTGTTAGTTGAATGTTTACCATTGATCGCTATGGAGTCGTATTCGATTGAAGACCGCATTAAAGTTATTCAAGAGCACTACAAAAATGGTGCAAAAATAAAAAACACGTTTCGCGCGCTTCGTGAACATTTCGGTCGCAACAACCGCCCAAATGAAACAACCATCGGTCGTCTGGTGCGTAAATTTGAGGCAACAGGTTCTGTGGCAAATCTGCCAGGCTCTGGCCGGCCGAGGAGCGTTCGCACAGCGGAAAATATTGCTGTTGTGAAGGAGAGTGTGAGAGACGATCCGAAACAATCAACAACGCGTCGATCCCAAGAATTGGGCATTTCGAGAACCAGTTTGCTCCGCATTCTCCACAAGGATTTGAATGTACACGCCTACAAGATCCAATTGACGCAAGAGCTGCGTCGGGCCGACCATTTTTCGCGCCGAACGTTCTCAGATTGGCTCCTTGAACATCGCCAAATTGATGCCAATTTTTCATCAAAAATCATGTTCAGCGACGGAGCGCATGTCACTTTGAATGGGACGGTAAACAAGCAAAACTGCCGCATCTGGGCGAACGAAAATCCCCGTGAGTATCAAGAGCAGCCGATGCATCCTCAAAAAGTGACTGTGTGGTATGCATTGTGGTCAAAAGGCATCATCGGACCTTACTTTTTCGAAAATGCGGCCGGGGACGCCGTTACCGTCAATTCTGAGCGATATCACGTGATGATAGAGGACTATTTTTTGCCGCAACTTGAAGGAATGGATATGGACGATGTCTATTTCCAACAAGACGGTGCAACATGCCACACAACCAACGTCAATATCCATCGATTGCAGTCCTTCTTCGGTGATCGCGTGATTTCGCGCAGAGGAAATGTGCCATGGCCACCAAGATCGTGCGATTTGACTCCCTTGGACTTCTTTTTATGGGGATATTTGAAAAGCAAAGTCTACGACAACAAACCAGCCATCCTCCAAGAACTCAAAAACATCATTGCCGAGATAAATGCCATAGAACCGACCATGTTGCAAAATGTCATTGAAAATTTCGACCATCGCGTGGACGTCTGTAAATCCAGTCGTGGTGAACATTTGAGCGATATTATTTTTCATTCATAAATGGTATAAATGAACCTTCAAAATAAAGTACACAACTTGATTTGAATATCAATCTTTCTTGTTTTAATATGCGTTTACTTTCCTGCGTCCGTTTTGGACAACCCCATACTATAGGGATATGTTTGGACTGTGTCGTGTTTATAGGAGGATTGCTAATTTTTTAAATTACGTTTAACGCGTACCACGTGTAAGTTTGTTGATTGTTGCGACATTTTCAGGTGAGGTGCCGAACCTATTCGAAGCTGACGAGTATGAGAAAGTAATTATAGGTTGTCGACCAAGCGCAAAAGAAGCTGGAATAGATGAAGGAAATAGAGATGGAATATATGACCTCTTCATAAGCAGAGTCAGAAGCAAACTTCATCTAGTAATATGTATGAGCCCTGTAGGTGATGCCTTCAGGTACCGCAACAGAACCTTTGACAAAATTTCTGAGCTTGCTCGCTACTCTAAGACCATTAATGTCACAGTCAATCGCATATTAACCCTTTGTGACGTGAGCTTGCAGACTACACAGTCGGACAAGCTCGCATTGAGACAAGACTACGATTCTTGATGCTTTGCTTTCGCTTTGCGGTATGTATGTGGTTGGGTTCAAGCCATCAAAAGTAGATGAGGTAAAGACAAATTCGAGAAAGAGGTAACCTATTTTTCACTTCATCACGTTTTGTTATCTGTTAAACAGATGATCTTTGTCTATTTATAACCTGAGACGTAACCTCCAGCCTAACTAGCGCCATTAACTTCTAGCTATCCAGAATACTTGAATATTAAATTTGATCCTATATTTTTGATTCAAGACGGAGATGTCGTATGTTTCCTTCATTGGTCAACTGTTGTACCATAGACTGGTTCGAAAAATGGCCCCGAGACGCCCTGCTCTCTGTAGCCCAAAATAGCTTGAAGGATGTTGATGTTCCAGAAGTTACCAACAAACTGGCCGACATCTGCGTATTTGTTCATGAAGTTAGTAATTCGAATTTTTAGCTAGAATAAGTTGGGTTATCTTCTCACTGTACGACTTTTATTTAGAGTGTTGAAAATATGACAGTAAGATTCTACAATGAAATGAGACGTTATTATTATACTACACCTAGCAGCTATCTTGAAGCAATTAAATTGTACAAACTGATGCTGGCTCAGAAGAAAGATAAGATAATCAAAACTAGAGAAAGGATAGCTAACGGTCTGAAGGTACAGTATTATTTTGTTATGGACGCAGTATTTTTGGATTAAAAATTGTCTACTTAATGGAAATTACTGTTTTACCATTTTTTTTTCAAAAATTTGTAACTAGCGAGATTGACAGGTAGATGAATTATATGGAACACATCAAAATATCTAATACTAATAACCATTAAAGTTCTAATCAAATAATGATATGAAAAACATTACTAATGAATTAAATGTGAAGAAACTCAAACTGAACATAAACAAAATGTATGCTTATTAAAAAATCTAGATGAGAATACGATAAATCTTACGATTAATCATGAACAAATTGAGCTAATTGAATCATTCAAATATTTGGGTATATATGCAGATATCAAATTAAAATTTGAAGGACACCATGAATATATTTATTTATTCCTCTTTCAAAAGGGATTGTACGAATTTAATAAATTGAGTAATGATATCAAGATAGACAGAAATTGAAAAAATATCTCATGTAAATTCAGAATTCATAGTAGAGAAATTTTGTATGAAAATATGTATACTTGAAGGCATGAATTATTGTGTGATATACTATGTACCTAACACTGATGCATTAATACTAAATAAATCTACAACAAACAAACAAATTTTTCACACAGAAATTGTATGAGACCAACATGGTTATTGACTCTATGAAAGAAACGTTAGTTGCGTTAGAACCTGAGCTAGCTAAGAAATCTGTAGCTGTAGTAGAACTGATGAAGTATCTAGCTAAAGAACAAAAAGCTGCGGACAAAGTGAGAAGCATAGTTAAAACTGATGAAGAAGAAGCAAAAGTAAGAACTTGAGAGTATTGACTATTGTAACTTAGTAAGTACGTAGCTAGGCATTTATTCGTCGTTTTCGAAGTCTGGAAAGAGCAAGAGACGGAGAGAGCTATAAATGTTGTAGTTGCGTTTTACTATCATAATACTTTTATATTTTTTAAGGACAAAGCGGAAGAGACTCAAATACTAGCAGACGATGCACAAAAAGATTTGGACACGGCATTGCCAGCGCTGGATGCCGCCAAAAAGGCTCTAGATGCCCTCAATAAAAACGACATAAATGAAGTGAAAGTATTTCAGAAGCCGCCCAAGCTTGTGCAGTTCGTTATGGAATCAGTTTGCCTACTCCTTGGTGCAAAGTAAGCATCTTTTTGAAGGGGAATCTTTACTACATTTTGTTTTGATTCATGGCGAAATGGGCGAGCACCAGATACTTTGATGGGCCAACTGGCAATGATTGATGTCAATTTGCGACGAAAAAGACGGGCAGGACAAGCTGAAGCAACAATTTAAACGAGTTTTTCTGAATGATGAAAGCATTTCTCTGTCTAAACATTGTTTTGTTCCACTGCACAGGACAGATTGGGCTGCGGCTAAAACAGTGCTGGGTGACGCTAACTTCTTAAAAAGGCTTCAGGAGTATGATAAAGATCACATCAGCGAAATTGTACTGAGGAAACTGAAACCGTATGTCGAGCACCCTGATTTTACCGCTGAGAAGATAGCAAACGTATCAAAGGCTTGCAAAAGCATGTGCATTTGGGTGAGAGCAATTGACACTTATGCCAAGGTGTACAAGGTCGTTGAACCGAAACGAAAAAAGTAGGTACTATATAATAACTGAAACATCATAATAGATGATTCACAAAACTTTGGTTGTGCTAATAGAATTTTGTAACACCAAGGTCCGGTTTTTCAATGGCTGATTAGCTTCCAGAATTTGTTTTTCAAATTCTGGTTGAAAATCCATAAACCATTAATACAGCAACTTTGATTTTATACCTGAATTACGGTCCTCTATGCATTTCGTGTTGTTCGGTATTTGCCTTTTGCCAGGCTACCATGCTGCAATCTGTTCTACTATTATTTATTTATGTCATAGAAACCGAGTTTTATCAAAAAAAAAAAAAATTAAAAACAGGTAACTGCAGATTCCAGCGACCGGATGTTTTAGGAGAATGTTCGTATGGTGGATGGTTGGACCACAGAGATGCCAGATGGGTTGGACAGAATTTCCTCTGAACATGCACAAAAATCCGTCAGAATAGCTATTTAAAAAAATCCACAAATTTCAGGCTCCATGCTCGTGTCATCCATGAGAACTTACGTATCTATCAAGCACATTAGGTTAGACATTGGGATTTGACCATAATTATTTGTATATACCTGTAGTTATCCCTTACTTGGTCCTCAGGTTGAAGTTAATTACTACTTTAAGGCTAACTTGACATTCAAAAACACTTTTTGAGAGCTAACTTCGGGTTCGTTATCCAGTTGTAGTTGCGATTGAAAAACTGGGTCTTCACATTTAAATTAAGAAAGTTAAGACGTTAGGAATACGAATCCCTATAGACAATGAGAGTTCGACGTTTTAACGTTTGGAATAATGTTTTCGTTTGTTTTCAAAACAAAAATCTTGAGGCTGCAGCCGTCCAAATCAGAAGTCCAGAAAGAAAGTTTGTTCTGTTTTCAAATCAATCTTTCGAAAAGTTTACCTTGTTGTTTAGGAAATGCTACAAAAATGCTACAATACTCGTTACAATATTAATAAGAAACTACTTACAATGTTGACATCCTGTTTCAGGACAAGCAATCTCGAAAACCGATAAAACATCCGGAAACATGAAAACCAGAACTTTCCGGTCACAATACAGAAAACTGAATCATTGATAAAGTTCCTTTATGAAGCTTTCAAAACTTATTGAAGTAAAATCTATACTAATCGGTGGAGACATTATTAAACCTAAACATGGCGGTTATTCTAGCCGTTAGGAACGTGGTACAGTTTCAAATAAATTTTAATTTTACGAAGGGATAAAAAAAAAGTAGTAGCCCATGAAATATACAATGTTCCCAATCGCGTGATGTAGAGGGGATGGATTTGTAAGCACTTGTGGTCAAAAAAAGAGCCTTATGTAACGAAGACAAACCTATTTAATCATGGAAAGAGAAGAAAAAAGAATAAATGAGGAACATTGTTTTTGAGAAATATACCCATAAAATTTTTTTTATGGGTAATTTACTCAGGTGGACAGAGACAACCTTTCAGTATAATAAAGAGGGAAAAGCTAGCTAATGACACTATATTGTCAAAACGTAGTATATGTTAACAGTTAACTGATGAAAATATTGTATCGGAAGAATGAACTTCTGAAAATGGAATGTTTGCAAATCTCTCCCCTTCCAATCCTAAAACGTATGCGTAGATGCTACTTAGACTGCTGCTAACGGACACTTTGTTAATCTTATTAGAGCAATTTTATTGATCTGAACCATTTCAAGAAAAAGTCGTCTGTAGTAGTTTGACTCAACGTCCAAGACCAATTTACTTTATGGCCAGTATCAATGACATTGTTTTAAATGGCGTTGTTGATTTTGAAAAAACTGCAGAAACTGTACTACGTTCCTGCTAGAGTAACCGCTATGTTTGGTTTTAATAATTTGTCTATCCATTATTTTTCATACTGTGACCAGTGCAGCTGTTGCTTTCATGTTTTCTGATGTTTTTCTCCGTTTTCGAGATTGCTTGTACTGAAACAGGCTTCAACGTTGTACGAGGTTTTTATTATTATTCGTAATTCATTCAGTATTTTTGAAGGATTTCCTGGAGAAGAAAATAAACATTGTCGAAAGCGCGAACGCCTTCTGGCCTCCTGATTTTCGATTGCGTCACGGCTGCACCTTTCCATTTTGCTAACTAGTCAGCCAAGACCTACCCCCTCCTCTATATTTGTTTTCTGAATCACATAGGCTAGAAGCGGCTGAAAAAGTACTCAATAAAGTCATGAGTGTATTGAGAGATAAACAAAAACAATTAGCGGAAGTAGAGGCTCAAATAGCAAAACTAGAAGCAACTTTCAATGAAACGATGGAAGAAAAACAGGCTTTAGAGGATACTATGGAACTGACCTCCGTTAGACTGAATCGAGCTGGAAGACTGAATATAGCACTGGGTGATGAGCAGACGAGGTGGGAGGATAGCGTCAAGGTAAAAAAAAATAGGATTTGCAGAGGACTCACCATCATCCATAGAGCCAGAAATTGGACAACACTTAAAGCAGAAATTGAGAAAGATCTAGTACAGATAATAGACTGGTTCGATAAAATAAATCATTAACTATTAATTATAAAATACCTAAGTAATAAATAACAGTACTCGTATAAGTCATCGGTCAAAAAACGGAAGCAAGACAAAAATGCTAAAGTTTCTCGACGTTTTTATTGATATTTTTTTTCAACACGTCAGAGACTTGCTGTAGAATTGAAGAATTCCGTTGGAGACGTCCTTATGGCTGCAGCATCGGTAGCATACCTGGGAGCATTTACAAGTAACTATCGTCAAGAACTGAATCAGATGTGGGAAGAAAGATTCATTGCGAATGATATACCCTTAACAGAAAATTTCAGGTGAGGTCGCTTCTTAAAACACCGAATTACATCTCGGTAACCCATGAAAAACTTATTATTAGGCAGGCTATATCAAGATTATCGTAAAGATCGTTTTAGGCCATGAAAGCTTACAAAAATATGCGCATATAGTATAAAAGTTCGACTGGTAGGAAAAATCAAGTCCTGTGTTAACTAATCCTCCGGGTACCTCACTGTGACGGGTGGGCCACTAATAAGGGATGCCAGTTGTATTTCGATTACGGCTCAACATAGAGCGGTTAAAAAAATGTATAACAAACTTGACCAAGAGAAGCTGCTAGAAAGTATTTTCAGCTTCCGAAAATGCTGGTAAGTGGCATCATTCCAATTTCAAGAATTCAAACGCTATTATTTTGCAAACATTCATAATTAACATACTCACTAAACCCTATCATGTTGACCGCCCGAAATCCGAACTTTTTTGTCTACGCTATTTTGTCATATATTTTGGTTATATATTTTTTATACCGCAGCAGCCGCGCAGGCAGAAGCCTAAATGCCGGGACACCGCGGCTGCTATGAGGATTCCAAAGGAATTCTGCGTGCCACAGCTGATCGAACGCTGTCGTGATATCAAGAGCAACGACGTGAGCCTCACCATAAGACTGGATGAGCTTACTCCACAATTGCATAACGTAAGCTAGAAGATCCCCTGTGGATCGCTGGTGCCAGAAACCATACTGCCTGTCTCTATCAAGTCATGACATTCGAGGTAGTCCAGAAGCTCGCGATTTATGCCCCTCTCCATCACCTTACTCATAACAGAAAGCAGACTATAGGCCTATAGTTGTAACGGTCGGTTTTAGATCCTTTTTGAGATGGGTTGGATATGAGCAAATTTTCAGTTTTGTGGGAAGATTCCGGATTCAAGAGATATCTGGAAGAGACGCGCGAAACAACTGTATCTGCTGCACACCTCTTCAATACAATGGCGAGAATCATATCCGGATCAGAAGCTCTGTTGAAGTCGAGCGACAAGAGCACCCGTCTTACGGTCTTATGCCTGAATGTTACTTCCCGCATAGTATAGTCAGCGTTTCTTTGGATGTTTTCAAAAATTTCAAATACGATACGATTCTGATCTTATAAAATGATTCCATCCGCAGATCAATATCTTTACTCGTTATGGAGACATAACGAAATAGGTTAAAATTACAAAATCGGTACAAATAGAAGCTATGCGACTTTTTCTGGAATGGCATTCAACCAAACCAAAATATGAGAAAAAAACATACACAAAGAAGTTTTGAAATTGAGCGGTCAACACGAAATACTGGCGTGTGAATTTGAATAATTTCCTGAAGTTTCTCTTGGCCACTTTTGTTGTAAAATTTTACAACCGGCATAAAAGAATCCTTCGTTATTGGCCCACCTGCTACAAACAACTTTCTTTAAAGCATATAAAATGTGTAACTTCCAGCTTGATCGCTGTATTGGCTGATCCATACGATATCCGAATGTGGAACTCTTGTGGATTGCCAAGGGACAAGGTATCGACAGAAAATGCCATTTTGGTTACCCAAGCTGGACGCTGGCCTCTGATGATCGATCCTCAGGTAAAATTTCTTCAAACTTCCGTTATGAAATATTCACTATCTTCGGGAATATTCTATGGATAACATTGTTGTCGCCTTATAGGCTTAGATACGTAAAGCTTTCCTAATATGATTCTTATATTTTATTAGGAACAAGCAAATCGATGGATCAGGCAAATGGAAGCAGAAAGGAACCTGAAAATCATTAAATTAACAGACGGAAATTTCATGCGAGCTTTAGAAAATGCTATACGCATTGGAATGCCTGTTTTGCTGGAAGAAGTGGGAGAAACCCTAGATCCTACATTGCGGCCAGTGTTAATGAAACAGACATTTGTCCAGGTATAAAATATCTGTATTCCGTCCGAACGTCAATGTAAACATATGAAACGTATCCAGTGAATGTCTAGCTGACTAGTTTTCATCTTGGCCGTCGGAGAAGTCCACAGATGTAGATTGTACTTTGAAGAACGACACCGATGTGACCGAGATGATAATCATTTTTTCGATTTACATCTGTACTTTTATTGGACGACCAGAATGCCAATGGATCATTTGTTCTTCTAAGCAGATTGCCAGTACTAGAAGTCACAATCTTTGAACAGCTTCTCGCAATTGAATCTGCTTTCTTCTATTGTTCTTATATACTTCATTTACTTTCCTTTTCTTCATGACCTCTTGTATCGCTCTCCTCCGTGATGTTCTGATCTGGCACTCTTCCTTCTGTTAGTTGAAATGTAAGATACCATCTTCCTATGCCATCTTCCAGTACTCAGAACGATCACATGGCCGTTTTAGTTAGACCATACTAAAATAAACGAACTACAAAGCCGTAACATGCACTTCAGGAAATTCCTTTATGCCATCCAAAAATACATTCCTTCATGATCTTTATTAACATCTCAGATTATGCTATCTAGTTTGATTTCGATATGTTTGCTTTAGGGTGGAAGAACTTTGATTCGGTTGGGAGACAGCGATATAGAATATGACGATAACTTCAGATTTTACGTTACAACTAAACTTGCCAACCCTCACTATTTGCCCGAGGTTTGTATTACAGTGACCATTGTGAACTTCACTGTCACTCCATCTGGGTTAGAAGACCAGTTACTGGCGTAAGCAATTGTACTGTCTTCGTTATAAAATATGAAATACTGTATTACAGCAGCCTTCTATCCATTAATTATTTATCCACGTTTTAGCAGGCACCCAAAAAATTTTTTTACGAAAATATTTTATTATACAGGGTGTTTCAGTTTATTGTTGCATGGCTTCTGAAATACAGGGTGTTTAAATTTACTTTCTAAAATAGTTTTTTTTTTAAATATTTCGAACAATATTTGATGTACAACAGTGAAAATTGGTATACAAGGGTTTTTTGGTACGACAAAACGAACCATGGCATAGTTTTACTGTAGCCGCTAGAGGGCGCTCTCTACTGTACCTGTAGTGTATTAAAATGACGGAAAATTTTTTCTTAGCGCATTTTTTTGTTTTTTTAATAAAATAGCTGATTCCTCGCACTTTTCAACATAAAAACGCTTTCTTGTGAATTTTCGTTATAGTTAGCCGTTTTTGAGATATTTCGATTTTTAAGGTTCAATGCATTTTTAATTATTTATGATAAAATAACGTTAAAAAGTCAGTATCTCGATAATTTTTAGAAGTAGGCTGTGCCTGCAAATATTTTTGAAATTGAAAGCAGAATAAGGTTAAACGTCAATTAGTTGACAGTTAGTTTTGTTGTCTGTTGAAACCTGAAACGATTTTTTGCAATTGTGAATGCACGAAATTTAGTTTCTTTTACCTGTTTTTTTTTTTCGTAAGTTTTATAAAAATGCCATTTTTATTCTCCAATCAAGAGTTAGCGGATATTCATTTTGTGTTTGGCTTTGTAAATGGAAACGCAACAGAAGCAGCCAGAGAATACGCACGAAGATTTCCAAACAGACGACATCCAACTCGCTCAGTATTTGTAAGAGTGCATCGCCAAATAATTGAAAATGGTTTTGGAAATCTCCAAAGGGATCAAAACATAAATGTTCGTCAGCGCAGATTTACCCGTATGATTCTGCGTGAGTTTGATATAGATCCGACCACAAGTGTTAGGATAGTTTCTGGTGCTTTGGGAATTTCAGCAAGCCATGTCCACCGTGTTCTTAGAAATAACCATAATCGTCTTTACCATTTGCAACCTGTGCAAGGACTACAGCCAGGGGACGGAGAACGAAGAATCACATTTTGTCAGTGGATTCTTGATAGAACTGATAATAATATGCCGTTTTTTCGTAACGTTTTATGGACCGATGAGTCATGCTTCACTAGACGTTGAGTGGTAAATTTTCATAATCAACATATTTGGTCGCATGAAAATCCGCATGCAGTTCGGGAAAGAAATTTTCAGCACGAATTTAGTGTGAACATGTGGATTGGTATCTACCGTAATCGGCTATTTGGACCCTACCTTTTGCCTGCAAGGTTCAATGCTGCGACCTTCTTGGAATTTTTAAAGGCTGAACATGCAAATATGTGGGATGATGTTATGTTAGATTTAAGAAGATTGGCCTGGTTCCAGCTTGATGGTTGTCCAGCTCATTATTCGAGAACAGTTAGAAACTGGCTGGACGAAAATTATCCAGAAAGATGGATCGGCCGTGGAGGACCAGACGCCTGGCCTCCACGATCCCCTGACCTAAATCCATTATTTCTTTGTGTGGGGATTTTTTTTATGCAGAAAAGTGCGAAGAATCAGTTTTTTTTATTAAAAAGCAAAAAATTGCACTAAGAAAAAATCGTCGGTCATTTTCATACACTACAGGTACAGTAGAGAGCGCCCTCTAGCGGCTACAGTAAAACTATGCCCATGGTTCGTTTTGTCGTACCAAAAAACCCTTGTATACCAATTTTCACTGTTATACATCAAATATTGTTCGAAATATTTAAAAAAAACTATTTTAGAAAGTAAATTTAAACACCCTGTATTTCGGAAGCCACGCATTTTTCGACCCGTGTTGATATAGACTTTATGCATTAATTTTAAAAATTCTATCGAATCTCAAAGTTTTGCAACAATAAACTGAAACACCCTGTATAGTGTCACTGTTAACTCAAACGGTTTTAACATGTGTTTATCAAAAATAATTCAACGGTGCTGAACAGTCAATATATCTTTTGAAGTCCTATCATTTTCACAAGTGTGTAGGCTGTATTTCTGTTCTGAGCAGACATTTCGAGGATCAAATATCTTTCAGAGATGTGGTGAGGTTAGAAAGGCCAGAACTAGAGGAGCAAAGGACTGAACTAGTAGTCAGAATAAATACTGATAAAGCTACACTAAAAGGAATTGAAGATAAGATCCTTAGACTGCTGTATGCCTCAGAAGGAAACATTTTGGATGACGAAGAGCTCATTGAAACGCTAAACGAAAGTAAGGTGAGAAATTGAGGAAAATGGTTGATATAATGAAAACTTCACCAAAAGTGTGGCTTCATCTGTTGTACATCGCATTCCAAAATATAGAAGAGGATTCAAAATCAAATGAATGATACTATCTGCATGTGTTGTAGGAAACATCAGCTATCATAGAAGCCAGGCTTGTCGAAACAGAAGCTACAGAAGAGAAGATATCAATAGCCAGAGAGAAGTATAGAACGGTCGCTACACGAGGTTCAGTTTTGTATTTTGTTGTAGCAATGTTGTCAGAAATTGATCCTATGTATCAGTACTCCCTGAAATATTTCAATCAGGTAAAAATATTATTTGTCATGCCAGTACTTCTAGTAATTTTTAAGAGCTAAGTTCGAAACATAACCAGGTAAAAGACCCACATAATGACTTTCATTGCAGGTTTTCAATAATGTAATAGAAACGAGCGAGAAGAGTAAAGACCTACTGACTAGGCTAGTTATTTTGTATAGAGAAATAACCCTAGCAGTTTATACCAATATATCAAGAGGGCTGTTCGAGCGACATAAGCTGATCTTTAGCTTCATGCTCTGCGTAGCCATATTCCAACAAAGTGGCGTTATTGATGACAGTCAGTGGAATTATTTGTTACGAGGACCTATAGGAGCAAAAGGTAATATTATTTATTCAAAGAAGCATGTAGACATTGCTGATCCTCTAGTTAATTTTTGGCCGAAGCCGAATCCACCAAAGTGTTATAATAACGAACGTTTGTGTTCTGTTCTTTTATAAGCCTCTGTTTCGATGCAATATCGCATCGAATAATCTAGTGAAACGTGATGGTAATTTGATGATTATTATTAATATGTAACTTCAATTAAGTTCTGTATTTTGATTATATTCGAGTATATCAGACATCCTGATATCCTCATTTTTTTCTGATACACTTACGGTTCTGGTAATAAAAAAGTAGTATTCTTATCGAGATATTTACAATAAAAAACGACTCCATTAGTAGAGATAGAGATTTAAAAACAGTTGCATATCAACAGAACTATGAAACACTTAACTCCATGAAAAATTTTCAAAACTATACTTTGCAGTAAAGTTGATTTTTTAAATGAAGGACTAGAATCACTTTGTTTTTGGGCCAGTTAAATAAGGCCGATTTAAGCAACTATAATAAATATAAATAAAAACACCGTATTCTCGACTAGCCTTTCTTCTTCGATTGTTTGGCCTGCAGGATTGGACGTCTGATAAAACAACGTACACTGTAACTAACTGGTAGCTCAAGGATATTTTATAGCGCCATTGATTAACGTATTCTCCCTGTAGATGACCAACCTAATGCTATGTTACAGCGATTGAAACATCACTCGAGATAAAATGAAATACCGATGCTGTTTCTCTACTTACTATATATACAGGGTGGCGCATCGAAAACGAAACAGACGCATTTACTGGCAGTTTTTTTTTGGAAAAACGCTCAGACCCGTCGATTTTGTTTTCGAGGGGGACATAAGTTTGGCAAAAAATCACGTTAACACGTGCAGCCCTCTGGGCGGGGGTGACACCAATCCTAAAATCTTAAATGGAAAGGGGGGTCAAGTGATACTTTATTTTAAAGGTCTTTCAATTCCCTTTATAATGATGTAAAATACATGAGCTTCAATTCAGTAGTTTTGAAGATTTATTGATTTAAAGATTAAAGTAGACTTTAATAGGTACATCAGATTAGTTTGTACTACTTTCAGAAGAAATTTGACTAAAAGAATTTACTTAGCAAATAAAGTAAAGTAAATGCTTTTCTTCACTACGCCCATGGTTTGTTTATCATTTTGTTGTTGAAAATAGCTATTGGAGCGTTTTTTTGTGGCAAAAAGTTATTTCCTGAAGAAAGATAAGGAAATATCTCGTACTTATTTTAAATAGGAATTTAGTACAGAGTTTGCGATTGATTTGACCAAACTTTGTTGCTAAAATAACTTGTAACGCCTTATTACATAAATTAACCATGGTATATTTCACAGCAGAAAGAGTTGAAAATATCGAAAAATTCTTCGGAAATAATCAGTGCGCTAATAGAACAGCAGAAATATTTAATGAGCGACATGAGAACTGTAACGTGCATCGAAAATATATTCTAGAACTTGTAGATAAATTTCGGGAAACTGGGTCAGTCGCCAATAAAAAACGAACATTGAAAATCCTATAACGAACGAAGCAATAGAAGTGGGGGTTTAGGGTAGGTTTATGTAGATCCTACGTTAACTACCCGCAAATTGGAGACAATTTTGTGAAGATATGAGTGAACTAATTATAAACGATGAACATTTTCTATTCAACACTTGCTTTTCCGATGAATGTTCCTTTTTCTTAAATGGCGTAGTAAATCGTCATAACTGCCGATATTGGTCCGATTCTAATCCCAGAATTTATCGTGAGGTTCATACACAGCAGCCACAAAACTTAAAAGTTTGGGCTGGTATTTTTGGCGATCATTCAGTTGGTCCTTTTTTCTTACCTGGAAATTTGACTGGTATCACTCTACCCCCCTTTCCATTTAAGATTTTGGGGGTGGTGTTACCCCTGCTGCACGTGCTAACGTGATTTTTTGCAAAACCTGTGTCCCCCTCGAAAATAAAATTGACGGGTCTGACCGTTTTTCAAAAAAAAAACTGGTCTGCCAGTAAATGCGTGTTTCGTTTTCGATGCGCCACCCTGTATATAAAAATATATAGAGGACTTTTTCTTTGGGATATCGACAAATTATGCTAAGTGTACCCTTTTGACTTACAATACCCAAGCTTTCGACAGACTATGCTGTCATAATCAGGAGTCCGTGGGTGAGAATGGTGCTAGTATTCGATGTTAAAAAATGTAATAGAGGACACATGGTAAGGTGATTTAGGTGTTTTAATACTCCACCGCAGAAGGATTTGGACAACAATTAATTAGATAATTCTTTTTTCCACTTCCAAATTTACATTTTTGAATAATTTAAAAATGCTCGTGTGAGCGGATAGAAATTTAGGAAAATATTAATATTTTAATAATAATATTTTCTCGTGCACTTCCAATTCTTTGCCGTTGGAACGTAGGCCAAAAACCTCAATTGGCTCGTAAGTTCGCCATTAATCGGGGAAAAACTCTCATATCGCAAAGACGTCGAGTCGCGTAACTCTTTTTGCGATTGACAATCTGAGGATTATTTATATTTTGATTAGGTATTTGTTTTGTTGTGTTCCATGGCCTGCTTCTGTTGATTGTCTTTTCCGTATATACCCATAGTGAATATGCATTTAAACATAAAGTATGCCTTTTGTTATTAGCCTAACTTACTTACCTTTCAGCGATATTTTCAATAAGTGTGACTTTATTCTGATGAATAGAAAAGAATTCCAGAAAAATTAGTTTAAAAAGATTAAAATTCAAGGTTTAACATTTTATTTGGCCTAAATTTTAGGTTAGAAACAAGATGTCGAGATGCGGTTTCCGCGACCTTGTTTAGACATCATTTAGATACTTTTTCATGAAAAAAATCATACCAATGCATTTAATTTTTTGAGAAAATTAAACATTTCTGTAGGAATGTCGAAAAGAGTCCTCTATCAGCCACATGTAAAATAACAAAACCTCAAATAATATAACATTTGTAGCCGAAAAATAGCTCTTTTCAACTAGCATAAGTTTGTTAAAATCGGCTCAGCCGTTTTGAAGATTTTCTACGGAAAAGTTGACTTTATCATCGACTTTGAAGATCAGCTACTTTTCGTTAGGTTAATACAGTGGCCATTTCATGAACTTGAAAATGTTTTCCAGATTTTTCTCTTGACCGTTTTGGTTAGAACTTTTTTTTGCCGCAAGCCTCTACGATGAATATGTTCCCAGATACAGTACCTCGCATTCATATTTGGCCTCAGTGTACACTAGTCGGCTTCAAGATTAAAATGACCTAAGTGCCCTAGCTGCCAGAGTCCAGTCATAAAGGCAATGCCGGGCTGATATGCCTATTTTTATTAACATTGGTGGATCCAGGGGGTGTCTAGGGATCTCCCCCCCGATTTTCAATATTCAATCATTCAATCGCTGATAACCCCCTCCCCCGAGACAGATATCTTCCTGAACATGAATCCTGATCTCCTCTCACAAGCACTTTTTTGAGCTGGTAATTTCAAATTCATTATATGGATCCTTCAAATATATTCTTATATCCGCTCCTGTCAGCTAAGTTGCAATTTTTCAACAACAGGAGCCGTAGATATCGTGTATCTGTTCATAAATTTTGTGATGATTATGGAAAAGTGTGATACGTCCCCTCTGTATATGTTAGGGTATTTAAAAATTGGATATTCTGTGTTAGTGCAAACAAGGTATGGCCAGGCTTATTTGGGATAAAAATCTAACATAATTGAGGATGCAGTACGACTTGCCAGCATGTGATTGTTATGCAAAAGAAATCTCTATATCTATATAAAATTGTTGGTCCGCTGCTTTTGGAAGGGCCGAGCTTATCACTAGGCTTAAAATCATTTGCCTTTTAGATAGTTGATTCTGAAATTCCGTTTCAGGAAACTATCCCAAAAAGCCAGACTATCCTGCTATAACAGATTTTATGTGGACAGCAGCAAATTTCTTAGCCGCATCATATGAGAAATTCAAAGATCTGCCAGATAATTTAATCAATGTTCACAGAGTTACTGTAGGAGATTTTGACTTGGTAAAATACATTTATACTTCGGGATGTACTATATGTCTTCTAAGTTGTTTTTATCGTAGACGATTCAACTAATACCGCTAATAAAGAACGTGAGCAACGTTCAGTGGAATACAGTTTTGGACGATTTCGAAAAACTCCTGCTGATCAAAACCATGCAGGAAGAAAAGCTTGTATTTGCAATTACTGAATATGTCAAGATAAAACTTGGACAAGTATTTATTGAGAGTCCACAAGTAGCTCTTCCTGTTTTGTAAGTTGCCTGCTTGATAATATTGCATAACACAGTGAACATGTATCATCTTGCTTTTAAATGTTTGTTTCTAGAACTTACATTCAGAAGTTCCACGACTTGATGTGAGCCATTACTGTATAACACTAACACTTTTTTAATAAAAATTTTGCAGGTTTCAAGACACTTCTAATGGAGTGCCCCTGATTTTTGTCCTAAGCACCGGTTCTGATCCTTTTGGTGCCTTCCAAAGGTTTGCAGCAGATATGGGTGTTCTAGATAAGGTCAAATCAATATCTCTGGGTCAAGGTCAAGGACCAGTTGCAGAGAAATTGATAATGGAGGGCGTTGAAAGTGGGGACTGGGTATTTTTACAGGTAACAGAGCACTATAATATAGTGCTCAGTCAATGTTACTTATGCCATTAGAATTCAAACAACTAAACCTAAAATATAGTTCAAACAAAATCATTGACTCAAGTGAGGATTTCTATTCGCAGAACTGTCATTTGGCGACATCTTGGATGTTGGAAATGGAGAAAATAGTCTTAAATATAGCGCGAGATACATCAAAGGTCAACGTTAAGTTCAGGCTGTACATGAGTTCAATGCCAAGTAAGGCGTTTCCTGTTTCGGTGTTGCAAAATTCAGTGAAAGTTACCAATGAACCTCCAAAAGGATTGAGAGCAAATGTGAAAAGGGCATTTTCGGAGATGATGGAGGATTTTTTTGAAGAACATCGTGAGTATCTCACCTTAACGATGTTGTCGTTGCAAATTATCCTTAGCAATTTCTGTTTTATAACTATATCATAGAAGATACTGTCAACCTTTAGTTAAATTCCTTGTATAGAATGTTTCAATGATGATTATAATGGTTGGAGGAATCTTCGTTTATAAACAGATAACATTGCACATAATTTCAGTTTTTGTCAAATCAACAATAATACTCTTTTCACTTATATTCAATCTACTCTACGTCCTTATGCCAAGGTAGAAGGATTTTGATAGTCGGTAAGCAATAAAGATAGCAGAGCGTACAAAAGTTGACTCAGATACTATACAGAATCAACCTACTTAACGCCATTTTTTTATTATCTGAGATATTTTCTCCTCCCTTGTGGTGACGGTTTTCTATATTGATCAAAATGACTAAAATTTTCGTTACTGCTTAATTCCTAAATAGATAGAGTCAACATACTTAACTCATTTTTAGCCCTCGAACAGGATTGGAGATCCATGCTTTTCGGTCTGTGCATGTTTCATGCCGTTATACAAGAAAGAAAAAAGTTTGGTCCATTGGGCTGGAACATAATTTATGAATTTAACGATAGCGATAGAGATTTTGCCTTTAATACTTTGAAGATGTTTTGTGCCGAAGGAACCATTCCATGGCATGCTCTCGAATATTTGACAGGTAAAACTTCGAATTAAATAAATATACATTAATGTCTGATGCCACAAAACATATACGCATTCACCATTTTTTGAATTGCAATTTGTTAAAACTGGTAAATGTCATACTCTGTTTAATAGGTGGAGGGGGACAATACTTGAACAATCCACTGTGTTTCAGTGCTTACCAGTGGCGTAGCTTGCTCCTCAGGGGTTCCATATCACAATTTGTAGGGGTGGCGAATCCCAAATGGAGGGTACCATTTGAAATATAGATTTTTACAAAGAAACACAAACTCTTGCGTTGAATAATATGAATTGTCGCGTACTGACCATGATCTCAGTTAGAGGGGGCCGGATCACCGACAAGAAATAACTTGCTATAGAAGTGTACCTACCCTCAACACATTTTGAAGAGCGAGGGTTAGTTTTTTGGGGTGGGGGTACTGTGAATGCAAACCTTTTAGAAATTCAAATAAATGTTTTTGTTTTCCGATGTCTACAACTCTCAAATCTATGTGGGGTCATTGTAGGAAGTGCTACGTCAATTTTGAAAATCGTTCAAATGGCAGCGGGGTTATGAATAGAAATTAAAATATCTTTCAGACCGTCTCAAAGTTTGTTTCTGTATGATTTCTGAACATTTTTGAGGTTGATTATCCTTATCTATTTGGGGAGGTAACAATTTTTGAAAATATCAAACATTTGCGTTTATTGTTTCTGATTAAATCAGTCTGGGACATCAAAAACATTTTGGAGCTCAAAAATTTTGTTGCTTTCAAATGGTTTATGTTGTCTCATGGAAAATTTGAAAATAGGCATATGTGATAGTTTGGGAAGTACCGAGTCAATCTACATGCAACCATTTGTTTCCAAAAATTTTTTTAATAAACCATCCATAGCGGAAGGTTATTTCAGTGATATCGTAATTGTCAGCCTCTGAAGACAGTAATAATGATATTTATTCACTCAATGTACAAAGAGAACAAACAAAATCAGTAAATAAATATGGAATCAAAACAGGCCCTATATTTTATTGCCTGTACATGGACTAATAATTTCAAGTTGCAGCTGTAGAGTGCAAAAGACAAAAAAGGACAAAAATTAGTCACAGTAGATTATGTATTTAGTTGATGTATTTACGAGTTTACCAGGCTTGATAGTCAAAGTTGCCTCATAGAAGATATTTTAATCACTTTCAATTTCGAAAAGCTTCTTTCAGCTGTTGCAGTTTTAGTCTAGAGGGTAAAAAATATGAAGCATGCTGCTATTACCTAAGGTTTAGCGTTTGAGAATTCTTAACTTAGTGTACGACCTAAAAACTTGAGTGAGATTGTGAATAATCATATACGCATTTTTTTCGTACACGAGGGCTCCTGTAAACTGGGGGACTGTATTATTGATACAGCTGATTCGGCAGCAGCTACGCCTCCAGTGTTTGCACTGTACCTCTAGAAGCACAAACACAGTAACCAAAAAAATATCGTGAGTATAAGATAGAGCGATTTAACAGAACAAGCAAATCGTTTAAAATGAGTCCTTAATGTGTCTGCCCAGTGGCCGCTGAAACGTCATTTACACGTATCTTTTTATTAATATTAGAAAGTGTGGCGTTTTCGTATTTTGGTTGGAGATCTGTACCTGCTATTTTACACGTGATATTTATTTCCTGAATTGCCCCAGGTGAGATAACATATGGAGGACGAGTTACCGATTATTGGGACTTGCGATGCCTCAAAACAATTTTAAAAATATTCTTTTCACCCGGAACATTGAAAGAAGGATACAAGTATTCAAGCTCCGGCGTATACTATTGTCCAACATTACAGAAGCTGGCAGATTATCAAAAATTTGTCGACCAGCTGCCTATAATCGAGGAACCGGAGATATTTGGAATGCACGAAAATGCTAACATTGCGTATCAGGTACGAATAAGTGAACGTGTACGCATTTTATAACGAAATTGTACAAAGAACCAATTTTAAATATCGTCGTGATGTCCCAATCCCCAGGTTTTGTTCAACGTAGCTATTATAGAAGCGTATGCCATGAGTGTATTCTAGAAAACGAGAGAGTAGAATAACTGACATTAAAGCTGCCAAGGGACGGTGAGCGATAATATAATATATATTATAGTCATACAATACGCTATAATATTATATTATGACTGCAACCGACGACAGAATATATATTTTATAGTGTTGCCGACTTCTTAGTATTTCTGTGAGTAGGCTGATCTGCTGTTCTGTGCTGAACACAGTGTATTTAATTAACCAGTGTTTCATTATTTAATTGTGGTGTTCATTCAAAATGTCTAATGACTTGCTAATACTAGACACAATCGATAGCTCATCAGAAGATGAAGCAAATGCCAAAAACGATTAATTCTTAGCAGTGATTGCTTCTAATCAAAAAGGACCATATCAAGTTTCGGAAGAAACGAGAATTTACACTGTTCAAAGACTTAAGTGATATGTATGGAAGCTTTCCTTGGCAACAAAACCGTGTGTCAAATTGATTCGCGACATGGACATTATATCTCTAATAATTCCCTTTGTTTTGTATTTAGGTTTTTCTAACGTTGGGTCATGTTTTTAAATCCCTCAAACTCTTTTGGACATTTCTACTTATAGTAGGGGAGCCCACGATGCTAAATGGGAAGTCACTCAAAAAGATCTACCTTAGCTTATATGTATATGATAGAGGTGCTCAAGAGGGGTACAAGGTATCCCACATATGTTAATCTGCCGGGCTTGATTAAATTTCAAAATCCCCTCTTGGGCTCATTCACATAATTCTCTGAATATAAGGGGTAAGCTGAGGTTCCGTGAAATATGTGTAAATGAGAACTCATTCTTCAAAACGATATAAAAAGGAACATTCTATATTCAATTCACGGCTAGTCATCGGCAAGAAACCTGTCACAAACTGACCTAAAAATGTCACTGATTGACTTCTGTGGCAGACGGTTTGTCTGTTACACAAAAATGGGCACCCGTGTTTTTTTTTATTTTTCATCTTAATTGTGGTTATCTGATTTGGAGACAATATAAACAAAAAAGACAGATATTTTGAGTATTTTGCAACTACGAGCCCCTTCCCACTTCAGTTGGACCAGTTCAAGATTTGTACCAAAATATGCCTTTATAAACTAAACATGACGAAACTATTTACTTCTAAAACAATTTATTTTCTCAAAAACATTTTAGATACACTCTAGTCGTAAAAAATACATATTTGACATAACTTAGACCTATAACTAATAGAACATCTGAACAAATAAACAATGTGCGAATAAATGCGCGAAGTTAACAAAGCAACAATTGAAAGATTACCATTGGATAACATCACCTTTATTTTTTATTACGGCTGAAATTCTTTGGGGCATAGTGTTTACCAAGTTTTTACAAAAATTTGGTGTAAAACAATCTCATATTTCTTGAAGCTTTTGTCTCATTTCGGTGATTGTACGAGCAGACGGTTGTCGTAGAACCTTTTTCATCTCGTGCCACAAAGTTTCAATAGGTGACAGATCTGGACTGCTAGAAACCCATTTCAAAGGTGGTACATTATTTTCTTCCATCCATTGTATAGCCTCTTTTGAGGTATGGCACGCTGCACCATCTAGCTGAAACACAAAATCTTGGCCGGATGTCAAACATTCTTCCATCACTGGTAAAAGCCATTCTTCTAAAAAATATTTGTTTGTTTCCACATTTCCATTAATAAAATGAAGTTTTCCTACTTCTTTTGATAACATACTGCCCCAGACCATAATGGATGCTGGAAATTTCACTTTTCTCTTCAGACAGTCAACATGGAATGCTTCATTTTTTTTGCGAATGACTCTACTGCGACTGTCACCAACACATACTTCGAATCGGGCCTCATCCCTCCATTTTATTGCATACCATTTTTGAGGTGTCCAATTTCTATGTTCTTTAGCCCATCTAAGCCGATTTTTCTTTTGCAGTGGTGTTAATAGTGGCTTTTCTTTGGCCTATAAACAAGTTGTGCAACTTTAGGGTTTTTACTTCACTTTTTTTTTATAAGAAAACGTACCTTGCAAGTGCTCAATCCCAGTTTGTGGGCCTCTCTATGAGTTGTGGATCTCGAAATTCTCCTTCCAACAGCGTCACTCCACAGAACACTTAATTGTAAATAATTGGCACGCCTGTTTTTCACGATTATTCTTCTTAATGCTCTTCGGTCGGCATTTGTGATATTACTTTTTTTCACATATCGTGGCTTAATATTAGCTGAACTAGTTACGTTATATCTTCTAACAATATTTCTCACACTGTACCGCGATAAGTCTAACAAAGTTGCGATTTCTGAGTTTGATTTCCCAAAATTAAAAAATTTAATTATCAGTAACCGAATTTTCTCACTAATATCCTTTCCTCTACCCATTTTGAAAACCTTAACTACCCAAAACTATTTTAAACGTATTCTGACAGCTATGATTAATAAAAACAATTGTATGGCTTTTATTTTTCCAGAGCCACCTATGCGTTATAGACTTATTTTGCATTGAAATGGAAATTACTTTGATATGCTGTAATTGAAACATGTGTTATTTTTATGCTGCAAATTTGATTAGGGAGTGATCAAGTTGGTGTTTTCTACTATATATTATCAAAATATTCATTGTTAATATTTTAAACCTATAACACCCTGCTACATTTTTTTATTTGTGTTTGATAAGATTTCAATAGTTGGGCCAACTGAAGCGGGAAGGAGCTCGTAGTTGGGAGCTGCTACTTAAAACAAAACTAAGTGTGAGATGTATCTGGGAGTCGCGCAAAGTGTTACTGGTGTAAGGCTCTGAACCCATTTAGCCATCTTTGTTGCAAGCATAGCTCATTAACCTTGTACTCAAGGGCTGAAGTAAGTGCTTGATTGCAAATACATTTTTTATGTAACATAGCAGTTCAATTTCGAGATGGCATTTTGCTGCTTCGTGTGTATATACCGCCTTGAGAAGAATTGAAAATAGTGAGTTTATATAAATTTAATGAATCGACTGGAAAGCAAAAGTAACTAAATATTTGTGCTATCAGAATCTCTAAACAGCCTGAATCCTGTTTATCATATCTCAGGAGGGGCAATCGGTGCCATTCGCAGAAAGATGCATCGGTATCGAAAATTATATCACTGTAGTGTTTCTACTCATCTACATATTCAAAGCCAGTATTCCATCGTTCAACTACTTGTTTGTCTTCAACTGTATCTCATCTGAGTTATCAATATTGGCCTATTATGTATGTAGATCTGATGGTTCAAACGACCTCTGTTAGTTCGAAATATTAGATTACAGCTAGTTATAACACTAACAGTAGTAACAAAAAAAGTCGTGCTAGATTTGAAGATGTCAGTTCATGACGGTGCTGGTGCAAAATCTATTAATGTAGCGAATAAATTTCTTGAATAATAATTGCTGCCTGTAACACAAGATTTGGATCCGAAGTTAGATTGATCAGATCTCCCCCGTTTCATAGACATTATACTAAACGCATGTTTGCCACGGACTGGCACAGACAATTCAAGGCTCTTCAAGATCCAATTTCACAATAATGTCATTATCAAGTAAGAATCTTCAGATCCTTTCAAGATAATACAGCGATATTTGTTGAACTATGAAGAAAATCTGGACTACAAGCACAATCAATTTTCTAGTAGAGCGCCTTATGTGAAATACGTTTTCTAGTTCAGCATAATCCAAGATATGAAATTCTAACTTTAAGGCTTCCTGCGCAAACACATATTTACTCAGTCCATGTAGAGTAAAATACCGACACAATTAATCATGACAATTAGCTTCAGTTTTTGTTTATTTGGTTAACATTACCGTGGTGCTGCTTAAAAGTTTCCATCATATAAATATTTCCCCACATCGACTCGATACAGCGATAGCGGTAACGTCAACGTTAAAAATCGCATTTAGCGCGAAAGCTGCATGTTCACACCGCCGCGGTACGGCAGTTTTCTCACCAGCGCGATATTCTCAAACGTTTTTTGATTTCTTATACAATATTTCTCCTGATGAAGAAGAACTATTATTGCTATTTGCAGAAGATTAAAGGCGAAATAGTATTTTGATGATAATCATTAGTTAATAATAATTAATAATTGTGCTTAAGGAAAAAGAAGAAATGGATACATTATATCAATAAACAAAGAAGAATATATGGAAAATATCATACTTTTATGCCTGAATTACGTAGGAATCTACGGCGTCTTTATGTATACTTTCGATGAAATTTCAATTTTAATGTGATCCCACACTTTATCCCTTTTTCCTGCAATTTTCATAATCTTCGTGACTCAAATCGTACAATATTGGGTACTTCTTAACTTGTTCAACTAGATTTCTCGGATGTTGACAGCGTTAAAAACGTGGCGATATGCGATTCGAAACGCGTCATAAGCGTTCCTGAAATGACACGCTGTCAAGGCGATAAACCGCGGACCACCCCACCGCGCTGGTGTGGTTGGTGTTATTTACCGCTCTGAAAACTGAGTACTGCATGAACAGCGGTGCGTTTATCTCTATCGCCTTACCGCGTCGGTGTGGCGGGTCCTTTATGGCTTCATCTGTAAAGACGAATTTAAATTTGTTATGAAACGTTTAATTACTTGAAGAACCTATTGTTTCGCTAAAAATGGATACATCCACAACCATGTTTGACAAAGGTCCACAGCTGCCAGAATTTGGGAGCATTCCCGAAGAAGTGCTCTGCGCTCAAGGATTGACCCCCATAGCTCAGAGATAAAGATATTAGTTTAGTAATGATAGATAAATACATTGCTTCTTTGACATTTCGTACGCATTTGGACTAACTGGTGGTTTTGAAAAATTCTAGATTAAAGAAACTCAAACAGTTATACGGACCATAATGGAAAGTCAGCCTAGAGCAGCAGGTGGAGGAGAAGGTACTTCCAGTGAAGAAATCGTGTTTCACTTAGCTGATACTATCATAGATTCAGTGTTAACAAAAATATCAACCGACGAAGCCAATATTAATATGTTTAAGGTAAGTGCTGTACACTTCTAGATCAGCGATTGTACTTGCACGGATTTTAGTTACTATAATTATTAAAATAATTATAGCAATGTTCAGAAACTGTTGAGGTTGAAACAATATACATAGACACTTCACTTCCTTTTTGTATCCTACTATACAGGTTGTTCCGTACCTAAATATGGACATGGTAAAATGGTAGGAAGTATGGACCGAGACGTTCCCATATCCGAAAATGAGAAAGTTCTAAATTCAGTTTTCATATTTTAGGCACATTGAAGCGACCTTTCACCATGTCCATTCATATACGTAAGTTAAACACAAACTGTAGGAAACCCTGTGATCTGGATGATCTGGTGTTATATTACCTATTCATGCCTATGTTAATGCTAAGCATATTCCAGAAAGACGATAAAGGCAGATTACCATCATTAACCACTGTTCTGATACAAGAAGTAGACAGATACAATATTCTGCTTAAGTTGATACATAATACGCTTCAAATGTTGAAAAAAGCAATCAGAGGTTTTATTGTAATGTCAGAAGCCTTAGAAGAAGTATTCAAGGCGTTTATGAACAACCAGGTATACTAACATTACTATCAAATGCAAAAGCTAATAAGTAGGGTCACATTTACAGGAGTTCCTTGAGGATTGAAGAATGCTCTCTCTTGAATCTGAAAAAACCATAACGCTTCATTAGAACTTTAAAGAGTTGATTTAAAATTTGCATCTGGTAATAGCCTGTAACACTTGTCATCATAGGTTTTTAAATTTGGAAGTTATCCAAAGTTTTTGAAATACGCATGATTTTCGACATCAAATTTTAAAAGCTACCAAATTTTCAAGATTTTGGAAATTTTGAGGGTTTGAAAATTTTTTAAATCCGAAAAATACTAAAAATTATGAGTCTTTTGAGACTTTGAAAATATTAATTTCTCTAAAACCTTATATGACAACTGTTTCAGCTATTTATTGCAAGTGCTGAGCTACCTCTTGGACGTTCTCAAAGGAAAATCGAAGGTTCGATCCAACGGCACTCAATCCTCAAGAAACGTCTATAAATGTGATCCATGGTCTCCCTCACGAGGATCAGCTCACATTACTTATTTTCAGGTGCCTAGGATGTGGAGTGCCAAGTCATATAACTCCCTCAAAAGCTTAGGAAGCTGGACAAGAGACCTTCTGCTAAGGCTGGACTTTATCTGCGTAGGTTCCTAGCTTAACATTTTCCTCTTCATCCCCAAGTAACTATCTGAGTTCAACCTGTTTAAAGATATACTAAGTGACATATAAAATGCAACATCCAGAATTATTTATTAAATTTTGATAAAAACTTGTAAACATATTTGCTATCATGGAAGTATAGGCTGATAAAATGTTGAAGGCACTCCGAGTCGTACTTTGTAAATGCGTTTTTTTGTCATATCAGGATCCGATCAACATGAACATGTTTACTCAATATTCAGTGATTTTCCTGTGTTGGTTCCATTTGTTTCATTGCATTATCATGCCCAGAGTTCGCAGGTTATGTGAAAAGAAGAATTTTAGATAGCAGCATTATCAAATTGGTGCGACTATGGACTAATTGTATTTGTCTGTTTGACTCACTTGATCAATTTAATTTCTCTTGTGTTGTACATGTTTGTGCTTAACTTTTTTCTCATAATTATTAACTGATGTTAGCGTTGCGTGGTAAGTACAGAGTTAATCTATTTGACGCCATTTTTTTCAGATTTGGGTTAGATTCGGGCATCCCATTTCCTACTGGATATCTGGGTTCTATTTTCCACAAGGATTCCTGACTGGAGCCCTACAAACTCATGCACGGAAGTACGAACTGCCTATTGATGAACTAAAGTTTGACTTCACTGTGCAGACTGTACTGTTGGATCAGGAAGAGATAAAACAAGTACATGATGAAGCAGGTAAAGAGGTTAGTCGAGAAACTGAGCCTTCAGTAAGACCACAAAAAATGGTTAACTGTTTTATAGGTCTTTGAAGTATACAAATCATTAGTTCATCCACAAGATGGCGTCATAATACATGGTTTATTCTTGGATGCTGGAAGATGGGATTTATCTATGATGAAATTGGTTGATCCAAATCCAGGTATGTAGAAAAAGTGGCGAATCCCAAATAGAGGGTGAATTTTCAGGTAACGATTTTCTACAAAAAAAAACAAAATAATATGGCTAAGAATTGATTTTTACAATTAGCGTTTCAAGATGGGCAATTAACAAATATTCGCTTTTCCTGTGATTTACTTCTCCGCGCATAAGGAATTTCAAATGAGTTTTTTATGTTTTGCGATACCCACAGCACATAAATCCATCATAAATCAAAAGTCAACAAATAACCACAAAATACAACTGAGTCAGCTAACGTACGTCCTAAAAGCTTTGGCACAAAACCAACCAACACAAAATAATATCAAGTTGCCTTTGGAAACAAAAGTTTGTTTACTTACTTTACTGTCAGTTGACATTTATATATTTTGACGTGTTCACTTTAAGATGTATAAATTAGAAATAAGAAAAAGTATCTACAAGTTGGTTGGGCGGATACCTAAAGCTGAAATCTGTCGAATATTCCGGAATGAAAGCATTTCACGCAGAACCATTTATCGAACAATAGCGGAGTGCGAGCAGGGAATACCATGTCTGAATCTCCCAAAAAGTAGAAACCCACGTGCATTGACTGTACAGAGGTCAGAGAGATTGGTGAGAAGAGCAAAAAATCAGGTTGGAATGTCAACAAGGAGACTGGCTCGTCAATATCTACCTTCTAAAGGTGGGATTCCACTGCGGCAACAGTGAATGTGGCATGCTACTTGTTTCCTAGTGTTGCCTCTTGTTGACGTTCGACAGTTTGTCCAAAATTCTATTATTGCCGCATGCGGATTTTGCTCGCCTGTGTGGCATGCGCTTTGTCGTACATGAGGGTAGCATGCGCCTTCACGATTCAATTTAGGCAACTAAATCATTGAATTGAAATTGCTCCTGGTATATTAGGTGGTTTTGAGGTCGAATTTTTTAAATTACCATCTTACTGAGAAGAGTTGGAGATATTTGGGGAAGGTTCTAAGCTGAAGGCTGGTGATGCAGAGTCCTTTGTCGAAGATCAACGGTTCGAAGTAGATCAGTGACATAACTGATAATTTTTTGTTACTGGTGACCCAGTTCCCTACATTAAAAAATTGCCAAACGTAAGCAAAAACGAAAATAAAAACACAAAAAATGCCGAAAAAGAAGATGAAAAGGCATTTTGAGTGGAAGATGTGATAAAAATTAAGGATTATACAATTCACATACCATAACCCTTAAAAGGGCTGCAAAAGAAGAATGCATATCTGCAAGTGAAATTAGACGAATTACAAATAGAAAAAAATGAAACTAAATCATTTGGAGATGCTATGAAGTACAGCAAAGAAAAAGTAGTAAACCTAGATAAAGATAATGACATTACTGAAGTTTCCACTCCAGCTAACACGAATAAAACAGAAACACATGCAGAGCACCGAGTAACAGTCCAAGATATAATAGAAATGTGGTTACTTCTACAGTACAACCAGAAAAGGCAGTTATAATGAAACCAAACGATAAAAATCAAAACTGTTTACACACAAAGAAGGTACTCAGCAAATATATAAATCCTGCAAAAATAAATGTCTCCATAAAATTCGATAGTATAGTTTAGTTAAGTATTGAGTTGTAATTTATGATCACTAGTTAGCGTTTGAATAAATTTCTACGTTAAGAAAATCCGTTAAATATTTTGTGCCAAAACTTTTAGGACATACATCACAGAGGGCTGCGTGCTACTGAATTTGCCACCACTGTAAATTTATATGATACAAGTAGCTTTGGCAACAATGGTACGCTTTAAATCAGTTTGTCTATACCCGAACATATAGGGTGTGAAATAGCTAGGAGCTGCTTGTGGGATACATTAATTACCTGACATGCCATTTCTGCAGGCTGACATATACAGGGTTATCCAAATTAAGTGTCCACCATTAGTAACTTTGTTATTAGTGAAAATACAAAGTTGTTTGAATTAGCAAACTAGTAGCATTTTTAACGCTGGTAAAAATGAGAAATAAAAAAAAACAATTGAGAGTCGTTATTTTGATTTTTTTCAGTAAAATAACATTTTTTTAAATGGAAACCCCTGTATATTATATTTTTTTCTGTTAAAGCATCAAATTTTAAACAAAAAAGTTCATAATGACTTTTCCGCTAAAGTCAAAAATAAAGTCAAAATAACGATAAATATTTTTAATTATTTGCAGTATTATAATATTAAGACGGCTATGAAAACAACATGGCGTTCGCGATTTGACAGCATTAAGATAAGCGACAAATTGTTAAACTGGACATACTCGCAACTAGAAGGCTTTGGAAAACAATGATAAAATCAAATAATGTCAAACATTAGTGTAAATACTTGTTTATAAGCTTTATTGTGTCATTAATTTAAAGAAAAATGTTCTCTAATGAAGAAAAGTGTGATATGTTAGAATGCTATTTAGTGTGCAGAAAATCCTCCTTGAGAGCAAGAGAATACTACAGTGAATTATATCCCGCTCGCATTCAACCGTATGAACGATATTTTCTGAGACTTTATCGAAAATTTAGGGGCAACGAAAATGTTTTTGCTAAAACAAGGGCAAAAAAAGAATTCATAATAAGCGAGGCCACGGAAATTGCAGTTATTGGATATTTTGAAGCTTATCGTGAGAATTCAATAGCAGATATTCTCAAGGACTCTAATTTCAGTTATGGTACTGTTCAAAGGATTTTAAAAAAATACAAATTTATTCCGTATAAGTACCGACCAGTTCAAACGCTTTTGGCAGGGGATCCAGAGAGAAGACTTGTTTTTTGCCATTGGTATCTTAGCTTCTGTCGCCAAAATGTAAATAACTTTCGTTACCTTTTATGGACAGATGAATCAAATTTTTCAAATTCTGGAATGTTTAATAGAAAAAACCACCATTATTGGTCAAGAGAAAATCTTTTGTTAGTACATCCAAGAGGCCCACAAGTCCGTTTCAGTTTCAACGTTTGGTGCGGTATAATTGGTTCAAAAATTGTTGGCCCGTTCTTTTATGAGGGAACCCTAACTGGTGAAAGATATGTGGAATTTATGTCAGAAATTCTGACTAATTTCTTAGACGAATTGGATCTTATAAGTAGACATCATCTGCATTTTCAGCAAGATGGCGCACCTGCCCACAACTCCAGAGGTACTTATCATTTTCTAAGTACTACTTTTAATGATCAGTGGATAGGAACAAATGGCCCAATACAGTGGCCTCCCAGATCACCAGATCTAAACCCACTTGATTACTTCTTGTGGGGTTACTTAAAGAACCAAATTTACAAGCGAAGGTACGATAACCTTGACGCGTTAAAGACTGCAGTTAGGGAAAAGATAACCCAGATAGATGGTAGGACCATACTTAAGACAGTTCGAGCAGTTGAAAAACGTGCCCAAAAATGTATTGAAGAACAAGGTGGTGTTTTCGAGCATCTTCTTTAAAAAAAATTGTTATTGTATTTTGTAAGATTATAAGTTGATGTTGAAAATAAAGTTTGTCGATACAATTTAATTGTTTCAGATTGGAGGCCATAACTTCAACAATTTGTAACCTAGGACAAAAGTTATTGTAAGCTTTTTTGTTTAAAATTTGATGCTTTAACAGAAAAAAATATAATATACAGGGGTTTCCATTTAAAAAAAATTTATTTTACTGAAAAAAATCAAAATAACGACTCTCAATTGTTTTTTTTTATTTCTCATTTTTACCAGCGTTAAAAATGCTACTAGTTTGCTAATTCAAACAACTTTGTATTTTCACTAATAACAAAGTTACTAATGGTGGACACTTAATTTGGATAACCCTGTATACATACACACAGCATCTGTGTATTAGAAAGGCTACAAAGACCTTCCTATAAAAAAACGAGCAGAAGGGGCTAACTGCTGATTCTGTAGAAAACACGAGAAAACCCCTTCTGAAGCGAAAGCATGGCGAGGTTAAGTTTTCAGATGTTTGGGATCACAAATCTAAAAGTAGAATTCGTCAAATGATAGGAACGTTGCCTACGTCGTGACGTCAATTGAAATATACTATTGTCTACGTGTAGACAATTGTATCAGTCTACATATTGACATTCATGTAGACAATGTAGGCAAAGTAGACAATGTATGTAATCTAGGTTTAATTAATTTCAAATCAACCGTCATTATTCTCATCAAGTGGAGGTAGTCACTTCGAAAATAGTTCGTAACTGACTCAAATAAGATCGTGAAAGTCTAAAAAAAAAATCCATTGCGACACCCGTATTATAGTCAAATGCCAGAATTGATGACAGGAGCAGAAGTCATGGTGCGCCACTGCTTTGACGCGGTACCGTTTGATTACAGCGACGGTTGCCGACATTTCACAAAGAAGCGCCGTATTTGCTGTCATCAATTTTGGTATTCTACTATACGAAACTTAAAAAGTGAACTGAGATCGATTGACATTAGGTGAAGGTTTTCTGAAAAAAGTCACCTTGGAACTACCTGTCATTCACTCCAAGTTCACTTGTACAGGTTGGCCGATATGTAACTGACTGGTTTATATCTTAATATTTGTGAAATGAAATAAAATACGTAAATTAATTTGATCTGGATCTTTTATTGAAACTTAGAAATTATGTATGAGAAATAATATCAGACAAATGTCCGCCACTAGAAGCCGCGCAAACCTGAGCCCTCTTGATTACATTTTCCATCATTTTTTGGTAGGTTTCGGAAGGAATATTTTCATTCGCTTCCGTAATATTGTTATTTAGCTGCTGCTCTACAGTATTTGGTTTGCTGGCATAAACCCTATTTTTCAATAATCCCCTTAAAAAAATTCAGGAGCCGTTAAATTCGGTAATCTTGGTGGCCAGTTGACATCACCAAATCGAGAAATTGAACGTCCCGGAAATGTTTTTTGCAAAATATTCACTGTTTCCCTAGATGTGTGACAAGTTGCTCCCTTCTGCTGGAACACACATGTTTTGCAGGTGAAATTGTTTTATTTGAGGAGCCAGAAAGTTTTGCCCCATATCACGGTAGCGCTCGCCAGTGAGAGAGAGAATTACGTGCAGCGTCTTCAAAGAACTACGGTCCAATGACACCTCCATACCAAACACCGCACCAAACTGTGACTCGACGAGGATGTAGTGGTCGTTGATGGATGACGGGAGGGTTCTCTAATACCCAGATACGACAATTCTGCTTATTAACAAATCCGTTCATATTGAAGTGGGTTTCATCGCTCATTATCAGTTGTCGGTAAAAATGGTTATTTTGGGTATTAAGCTGCAATATTGCTGGACTGTATTTTCGGCGACTTTCATGGTCACTAAGCTGTAGTTCTTGGGTTACCTGAATTTTGGATGCATAATGACGTGCTACGAATACCCACTTCTTGAGAACGATGACTGGTAGACGTCTCAGGGCGCTCCACTACACTTTCACGAGCTCTTTCGATATTTTCCGGTGTACGAACAGTTCGAACACGGACCTTGGTTAGTCTTCAACTTCACCTATTTGTCCCAATTTCAGCACCAACTGACAAATGGTATTGACACTTGGCACATTTTTTGGACAGAAATCTTGTCGTAGTTTCCGAATCGTTGAAACAATCGACTCATTATTTAAGTAAAACGTTTTAACAATACGGACGCGGTGTGGGGTCGTGTACTGCTCCATGATGAATTGGACACATGTGCTTTAGATAACTACTACGGCGCCACCTACTGCGTGTATAAAAAATCGCGCGCAATTTAAATCAATCAGTTATATATTGGCCACCCTGTACTACCTTTGCGTGTCGCCTCATGTCACTTGAGCTATATGGTTTGATTCTGCTGTAATGTAACCTCTGCTTCAGAGATCGCGCTAGCGGAGACCATTTATAGCTTCTAGGGCTTAAGCTGTAAATTCTACCATATGTCATAGTGCCGTTCATCCACAGGTGGGGTCCACAGTGAGTGCGCGTGGCGTGGACTAAGAACTAGCTAGTATACAAGTTGTTTTATCAATTTCTTATGTAATACCACTGTGTGAGCTCCTGGGGGCTTTTTATCATTGATCCGACGCGCGGTTGCTGCGCCCTTTCATTTGACACTGTTACGTTTTAGGTGAAGTCAATCCACCGCTTCCTGCCGTTTGGCTGAAGCCAACAACTGTCCTGCCAGAATTTGATCCCAGATACGAAACACCTCTTTATAAAACCTCAGTACGCGCTGGTACTCTTTCGACGACGGGACATAGTACGAACTTCGTTATAGCCGTCTTACTACCTTCTTTAGAGAAGCAAAGTTATTGGATACTGAAAGGTACCGCGTTACTGACGCAAATCACGGACTAAGTTAATTTGTTATAATTGAATTAATAAATAAATTTAGATTATAATGTGTTTTTTTAGACAGGGGAAAGCTTTTATAGCAACCTTCAGACATACTTTTTCTACCACCTTCTTCTGGCCGAAGTGTGAGATTCTCCTTAAACGACATACTAAAAAAAACTCCTTAGTTATTCGTCATGAATCCCACTATGGAAGCGCATAATGTGTGTATAATCTTCATCCTTACTGCCAGCAGAGAAATGTAAATACGTGGGAAGCGGTGAATCACGGGCAGAAGCGGTGGCCGCAGTAGTAGACGCTTCGGTCTCCTGATCAGTCGCCGTGCGCTGTGCGGGTTCGAGTCCCGTTCCAGGAGAAATTTTTCTCTTGGCTATGGCTGTTGTTGTTGTCCGTAGGTGGTAGATGGTCTCTGACTGTCGAACGTGGAGGTACCACCCGGCGGATTTCGTAGGTGGAACCAGAATGTGTGCATGCACACGTGTCCGTGGGGCGTTCCCTCTTTCCCCTGTAACACCTTATAGACCCACGTTACCTAATGGGTGTTTAGGCTTTAGGCCACTGTTAACACAAAACTGCATTCTTACTACGTATCTTGTTGGTTGTTAGAAAATGGAGTCTGGAATGAGTGAAGTTATTGACGCCTTTCGAAATATATAGATGGAATGGAAGAAGGCAGTGAGCAGGAAAATAAATATACGCGATTTTTGTCGCTGAAGTATGAATCTGACTTAAATATTGAGTTGGACCATATAAGGTATACACATACTGCCAAAAAAATGGGCTAAAATTTAATCCCAAGAAACATTTCCATTTTTTGGGTTCCAATGAGAGACGGGCTGGAGAAAATACTAATCTGCATCAAAAAATTTGGGATTAGTCTTTGATAACAAATTTAGGATTTAGAGCACGTGTGAATAACAAAAGTTATACAAGACATTACGTAACCTCTACAAGAGTAAAAGTATTCTAAATTTTGAATTGAAAAAAAAAAAAACGTCGTGCGAGTCGTTTGATCTAAGCCACATAAATTATGGTATTCCAGTATACTCATGCCTAGATAGATATAGAGATATTAAGGCATAAATTTGTGACGTGCGAAAATCACGTAACCTTTTTTTCACTATTTTGATAACTTACCAGTAGTTTGAATTTCTCTTTATTGATTATAGAGTACCGATTCCTAGACCAAACCCTTTTTAATGATTTTCTTTTGGACACTAATGTTACAGTATTATTAACGACTAACTCAGAAATTTCATCATAAAATATCGTTTATCCCTCGTAGAGTTGGTTCCGCCTATTGCCAATCAGCGCCACTCTGTGATTGCTGTACGTACTAACCTGTATAAGAATGTTTGGTTTCCTATCAACATACCTTCTTTTATATGGCAATCAGCGCCACTATGTGATTTCTGTACGTACTAACCTGTAAAGAATATTTGATTTCCTATCAAGATACCTACTTTTAAGCGGCAATCAGCGCCACTCTGTGATTTCTGTATGTACTAGCCTGTATAAGAATATCTGGTTTCCTATCAAGATACCTTCTTTTAAAAACGTACGTGTACAGACGGGTTCAGCGTCATTCTCTTTTTTCCTGCTGAGGTATGGTGCATGGGTCGTCACCAGATTATGGAGAAGTACCTTTTATTTTGTACCTTACGTTTAGTTGTTTTGGTTTGGGTGCTACCCCGTCCATTTTCATATGGGGTTTTAACCCTCAGCTGTGTTATTTTTGTATACCATAGGACCACGAGCATTAATTCATGTCCTTAAGAAGTTTGTTCAATATCTGCTTCCTTTTAGTGGGAAGGCATTGCAGAGAGCCACCATTCACACTCCTCCTGCTTTGTTTTGTAGCTGCCCCTTCCCCTTGACAAAAAACCCTGATGTGAACAGGTAAAATATCATTTTAATTGGGTATTTTAAAGGTATTAATATGTTGATTATTGCTGACTGAAATTCTTAGAGTGTGATTTTGTTTGGCATTTTACGTATTCAGATATGGGGCAGTGCCTACATGTCACCTTCTATTGGACTTACTCTATACATTGATCATGATTTTGATTTTTGAGGTGCCATAACTTTATTTTAGAACAAGGGATAACTTTCTGAGGGAGATTTTTAAGCAGTCTTTCTCTCTCTCTAGGGTTTTTATACTGTACATTTCGGGAACGAGGCAAGTAGCCCATACCTTGTGACGTGCCCACTACTGGTCACCTCTTTTTTTGACCTGAGGATTTGTTAGCCGAGGATATCTCGGATGCGCCTAGGGCCGTAACGAGGGGAAGACCTCAATCCAAATAAGTTTAGGTTTACCATGGTTAACGTTTCGCGGGGTTACTTATCACGGTCAAATAATTTTATTGTGAGGTAGTTCTGAATAAAATCCTTTTTTTTAACTTCTCCACTCCACTCCAGTGGTGGATCATATGTGTTATTTGATCGGTGAATATATTGTGATTCTTTTTTAAATATCTTATTTTATTTGGCTCTCGGTGTACTATTAATTAGGTTACGTCATTGCTATTCGATTATTTCCCTTTATGTGGTGGTCAAGTAAAACAAGTTCCGACTAAGATCTCGGGGATTTGAGGCTTAATCCGTCTCAAGTCACTGGCACCCCCCTAATCTCCACTTTATTGATCTAGGCCTTTAATTTGCATTGGCTGACCCTTAGATTTCATATTATCGTGTTTTATAAATTTATTAATTAATTAAAAAAAAGAAAAGAGGAACCACACCACCATCCTCTTGTTTTTAAAAAAAGACGGGCCAAATTGCAGAAAGTCCAAAATTCATGTTACGATTTATTTATGGTTGAGGTTTTCGAGATCATGTGACTTGAAAATTAAGAGATTTAAGGTGGCCGGGAAACTCCATTTCTCTTGCATGTTTCACAGAATATTAATTTTCCTGGCTATCTGAAGCAGAAACTGACACATAGATATTCTGATCATGAATTGAATACTAGATATCGTAATTTGGTCAATATTCATAAAAGTGTATTACATAAACGTTCGTCTTCTAATCAGACTGCTAATGTTTTTAACAAGTAAGTACCTAAAGTTACGCATGAACTACAAACTTCCCGTTTTAATGTGAAGTTTAAAGAATATCTTTCAAATAATAATCTTGACATTGCACAAATGCACACATTGCTTATATAATATTTTGCAAATGCATGTTAGCGTATTAAGATTTTTGAATTACGCTCGGTTAAGTAAATAGCTATGCCGACCTTCGCTGAGTGAAAAATAAAGCCGTTTATATAATTCGTATCCTTGCTTAGGAATTAAATCTTAATTGAAGGTTAACAATTGATAATTACATTAATAGAATTCAGGTTTTGGCACCTACTTTTAAAATCAGGGGTAAGGTTTTTGGAAATAATAATTTTCAAATGCAATTTATGAATGTGTGAAGTAGGTGAACATGAACTATCGCTCAGTTTATATGAGCTCAAAAGTTACCTGTGTAATCCTGCTGTAAATAATAGTCCTATTAACGTCATCCAATAAACCATGGCAACCGAGAATAGACAATCTATTGCTCCAATTAACCTATCTTTTAAGAACGGGATTGCTAATGAGAATGTACCCCTTTCGTTAATAAATAGACCCAGCATTTACAACTGTATTGTAAGGTCTAACGCCCCTAATTTAGCTTTCTGGCTGTAATCCAATGTCAGAGGGCAGGTATATGGAAGTCAGAAAAGTCACACCTGGGGATCTCGAAGAAGGTATATAGACAACAGATCGTTGGGCATGTATGTGGGTACAAACAGCTACAGGTCCGTATTCGAAGATAATATTTGTAACGAACGGCAGTTCACAACCGACAACAATTTTTTATTTGAATTCGGGTAGCTTTCTCGACAAAATATACAAAAGTTTCTGAAAAAAGGTAGTATAAGGGTAATGTTGATTAATCTGTACCGATTGGATATAGCTTCTAAACTACTTATTTGAATTAATTGATGATTCAGAGTAAGATTATCTTACATTATCCTATCAAAATGCTCAACAAAGTGTGTGTTAATTCATTTTCATAATCTTTCAACAGGTCCAGGAAGTACGAGGGATGTCTTTTAAGTTTTGCATATAGAAACATATTAGGCCGCGCGGATGGAACGTCAGTGAATCTTAACCTCACTCTTTAGTAAACTTAAATTCAAAGTTTCACAACAATACGTGCAATGTTCTCACACTACAGTGAATTTTTAAGTGTCACCAAGTCATAAGAAAAATGGAACTCTACCGAGAACATTTTCGCGCCATAATTTATTACAACTTTCAGAGACAATTATCGCAACAAGAATGCCTTGCTGAGTTAGTGTCTGTTTTCGGCAACGAAGCACCACATCAGTCGACAATTTCCCGTTGCTATGGAGAATTCAAACGTGGACGGGTGAGTCTTAGCGACGATCCCATGGTGGGTGCACCAAAAACGGCAGTCACCCAGGAAAACTCATAATTGAAGATATACATGTAACATATCGTGAGATTGAGGCGTCCTTGAAGATCTCAGAGACCTCAATTCAAAAAATTTTACATGAAGAATTAGGAGTAAGAAAATTAGTTTCTCGTTGGATACCCCACCTGTTGACTGAAGAGCAGAAAGCAGCCAGGGTTAATTGGTGTCAAAAAACGCATGACCTTTTTAATTTCGGAAACTCAAAAATGTGTACAGCATTCTTAGTGGTGATGAATCGTGGATCCTGTTTGGGTGTTCCAAGCTGAAGAAAAGCCAACAAAAGTCATCCGTTCTCGAAGTGTTTCGAAAAAGATGGTCGCCATATTTGTGTGAAAAGCGGGTCATATTGCAACAATTATTCTTAATGAGCAAAGAACTGTTACTGCGGATTGGTATACCACCATTTGTTTGCCAAAAGTCATCATCGAGCTTCGAAAAATCAACCCCGAAATAAGAATCATCCTCCACCAAGACAATGCAAGCTCGCACACAGCCCAAAAAACAAATCAGTATTTAACGGAAGAAAAGTGGAATTATTGGACCATCCTCCATATAAGTCCTAATGATTTCTTTACTTTCCCGAAAATTAAAAACAGACTGCGTGGTCAAAGGTTCCAGTCACCAGAAGAAGCAGTTGACGCATTCAAGAATGCCGTTTTGGATCTGTCAGCAAACAAGTGGAATAAGTGCTTCGAAAATTGGTTCGAGCGCATGCAGATGTGTATTAATCTTCGTGGAGAATACTTTGAAAACAATAAAATCATTTAAAACTACCTACCGTGTTGTTTTATTTCCATACGCAAACCTTAAAAGATATCCCTCGTACCTTCGCATCTGCTCAAAAAGATACTCTGATCCGTTTTCTTTGACCAATATTATGCAAAAAGGACCCCTTTTAATGAATCTGCATGTTGCCAAGCCCAAAATTGAAACAATGTTAACAAATAAATTTCAAAATTTGTTGTTGTTGTTTTTTAGGCTATTTATAACAAAAAAAGTTACTAAAGATTTTTCTGTGAAGTCGACAGTCGATAGACAAACCAAGGTGTTCAAATCAAAATCGGCTGAATTTTGTTGAAAATCCTAAAAAGAAAAAATAAATATCACCACCCAGACCCCTCCGTCACCCATGTCATCAAAAATTGAATGGTCCCCTGGACTAAATGGAGATGGTCCTTCGGGAGAGCCATGAAAGCAGATATGGTAAACCATGTCACTACTCAGGAACCGGAATGACCGATGATTGTTGGGCTATCTCCAAATCACGTCTTTAATACAAATAAGATAGCGTGTCTGTCACTGTTCTTACGGAACCTTAAAATGAGTCCGGTCCTCTAGGAACAGGATGTACGTTCCCAACCGAGTACGAAAGGACTGAGCTAACTGTAGTTATCCTCATTAGTCAGTTGGATGCACAAGCATAATGCGGCATGCCCTAAAAGGGATGATTTTTAAGTATAGGCGGTCAGCTTGGGCTGAAAGCAATGATGCGCACATCTTTCGTTCAGCTTATGTCTATTTCATAGATGCAGGGGTGTCGTACACAGGGGAAAAAGGCTGATGTGAGATTCATCTCTGACTTTTATACCTACAAGGCTGTTATGCAAAAACTTTTTTAAATTTTGATAGGTAAACAATATTAGAGCACGGAAGTAATACTTACGTTATCTGTTGACAAATTTCACAGTGATATGGTTCTTACTTATGATTTAAGAAAAACATTGAATAGGGTATAGTCATAAATGGAACTATATTCTTAAAGGTTGATGAACATATACAGAGACAAATAGTTTTGCTGGATTGTAGAGTGTCATACCTAAAGTATGAAACATACTTTTTTCAATTTGTTATGGCGGTAATTTGTTATTCCAGACGATTCAAATATACAAATTTATTTTTTATCGAAAAGCCGAAAACAGTATGTAATAGTAGCCAAAAACTAAAGTGTTCATAGTGGTCAATATCAAGAAACGGATTACATTAAACATGCTTAAAAATTTATGCAAATTTTTATTTTCATCAACTTTCTTTAAATTAATCTTATTTGACTAACTCTCTAGCACCATATGATCTTCGCTATATATATAGAAGGAGCCATTAGAAAATAGAGATGAAAAGCATAAGAACCCATCCAAGTCCTGAATTAATATATGTTATATGCCCTTATTAACTACGCAGCTATTAAGTTAGCAGACAATGTTGCTCCAGACACTGCGTTGGCTTAAGATAACTTCTATCAGTTGCTTTCCTCGTGTCTCTATTGTCTATTGCTTGTCCATTGTTCGTTGTATATTTTTTGCCGATTCTTAGTCAGCACCTTAAATTGTATAAATAGTCTCCCGGCATTTGAAGTGTGTTCAATAAGGTGTTAGATTCCGTCATAGTCACTTATAAACCTTTGTAATTTGTAACTAATGGTCTGTATGTACGAACCCGAAGAAGTTTTTTGAAAAGTCTTTTCCAAAGTCATATTAAATTTACATGGCGCTGAGAAACTTGTATTTCATGGCTTACTGAGGTATTTGGGAAAAACTAAAATATTTTAAGGAAAATGAAAAAAGTACCATTGAATGAAAAAGTTCATTGGCACTTTTTAGACACGGCATGATGGTGTTTTTAAATTTTGTAAATTTTGTGACCGACGCGACGTTTCGTTTTTGAGAAACCATCAACCTTGTTTTTTTTTCATATTCATAGATGTATCACATATTACGTTTGTTTCCTTAGTTATACAGAAAAATGTGTTTTTTATTTTTCCATTTTATTGCAGGCTTTGAAGGCAAATGCTTGATGTAAGATCATGTGATTACTGGTAGATGCATATTACATAATACAAGATATACGATGGAGTGAAATTTTATAAAATGATTCTTAATCTAGCGATGCGTTGAATAACGAATACATTTTTAACATTATTTTTATTTTATTCACAATAGATGTTCAAATAGGTTGCCATTATTTTCTAAACATAAACATGATCTTCTAACAGTAGAATTCAAAACATTACGTAACATTTCTGGTACATTCATACTAAATGCTTCCATTACACATTCTCATGCTGATCAACTTGGTTCTTAATAAAACCTCAAATTGAAAAGTCCAAAAGAGTTGAATACGGGCAACGCCCTGGCCAGGCCACTTCACTGGAGGTTCCAATCCGGGAAATCGCTGAGAAGGATACTCTCGAACTTGCCTTCTGCAGTTAATGAGTTGTGGTAAATAATTGGACCTAGTATTTTGGTACTTAGAATTCCACAACACGTATTAAACCCAAAACGTTCTTGATATTTTTTTGATCGCTCATTTTCTTGAGCCCAGTAATGAGTGTCGCGGCGATTAAAGTTATTATTAGTCATCGTGCTGTCGTCGGACCATATTATTTGTGAAGAGAAATTAAAATCTTTTCACTTGTACATGTGCACCACTCTCAAAACTGCTAGCGTCGTACGCTATCCTCTGGTCTAAGACCTTGGCAAATCCTGAATTTATAGGGGTGATATCTATTTTGACGCAAAATAAATTGGGCTATGGATTTGACTACTCCTACATTTCTCTCAATTTGTCTAGTTGATACCTCGGAGCTCTCAACAACTGCTTGTAAAACACGATTTTGAGTTTCCTCTAAAGATTCCTCTTTTCGAGACGTAAGAGGCTTTTTGAATGGACCAGCGCGTGTCTCGTCTGTAAATATTTTTCTAAACTTTACGGGCAATTGTACGGGGAAATCAATGATGTGTAAAATATGTACTAATAGATGCATAAAATTACTAGGGTTGAAAGCGAATGAATATACTGCCGCCAAGAAATGGAATATACCTTCCCCCACACCCTCCGACCCCTAATTTTAGCCTCCACAAGACTTTTTCTGAAAATGGTCAGGAGCCTCTGAAAAGACAAAAAGTTAAGTTTGAGTAACTTGTATTTTTTCGTTTTTTGCTCTTCTCGCCGCCGCCACTGGACCGATTTTTAAAAACAACAAAGCTTTTTTTGCCCTTTGTCATAGTAGCCACCTTGTGTGAGAATTTCTTGAAAATCCGAGCGGTACTTTCCAAATTATAGACGGGGCAATGACTAGCGGACAAACAAATCGACAAAGCGGCAAACAAATCGACGGAAATGAGTGTAATGTGATGTGCATGCCATACAACAACCAAAAATATAATATCTCATTTTCAATAATTTTTGCGATTACAACAGTTCCCGCAAGGTAGGCGCTGGTAGTAAAAGTGAAAACATTCAATATACTTTTTTAGGCAAAATATATTCCATCTTAATAAAAAATTAGAAAATACTCAAGTTGAGACTAATTATGCATGTTCAAGCTGTTTTCCATTTTTGGGACGTAACCGAAATATTAGAGGTTCAAAGATTCTAGAATGACATGTTCCATTTTTCGAATTTCGCAAAAGTTGCGAATTCCTTCAATTCAGTTTTTTGTGCTGCTGCACCTGATTAGCATTTAGATAGTCATTTAGCCAACATATGTAACCATTATACCATTTAACCATTATTCGACTTCTTATGGAAAACTTTTTCCGACGCGCATTTTTTAAAGGGCTGCGAAGACGTTGTGTGTAGCACCATGCCCCTTCCCATCAGACAATAAAATGGCGGCTATATGCAGACACATGGCCTCTCGTTTTGTCACTACATGGCTTTGCGACTAAATAACTGCCTCATGGGGAGGATTATGCCCTTTTAAAGGGTCATGTCGGCCGCATGGTCGCGCGTTTCACCAGAAACGATTAGGGTGGACTGGGATTAAAAATATGCGTACGACTGGTTTTCAAATGACATTACCGTTGAAAAAATCTGGATTAGCGTTAGACGCACACCAGTCGGCTCACACATTGTCTGTTTTTATTCATAAGTATACATAATTAGTTTTACGCCTGAAGGGATTTTTAATTAAAGGAACATCGAAATATAATAATAAAATAAACGACTTTTATTTACGGAGAAGTTTAGCTACAAGCACTCCTCCAGTTAATTATTGAAAACAATTAGCACTAGAATATTGAAAACAATTTTAACGAGATACTTTTCCAAAATTTAAACGAAAATTGCAAATTAAATACAGCGTACACATGTATGTACAAACAACTATAAAAGGTTTATATATAATATGCAGAAATATGATTAAATATGGTTGATCTGCATACTGGGAGTTAATTCAAATTTGAGCGTCAAAGATAATTTGTTTAATTTGCTTCTGGAAATTATTAAATTGCTTACCAGTCGATGGTAGTGCATTATACAGATTGATCGGATTATAGGTAAAGCATTTATGAAATACAGAAGCTTTGTAAAGAGGTGTAATTAAAATGTCAGTGAATCGAATGTTTCGTGAATGACTATGCTCACGAGATATCAATTTATTTAAAAAAATGAAAGAGTCGAAGTATGTAGGAGTTTGTGAACATAGCATAATAAATGAAACTTAAACAACCTTAAAATATTTAACTAGTTAGTGCAGCCATTCGAAACGTGAAGTATTATGATCATATTTTCTTAAGTTGAAAATCAATCTACAACATAAATTTTGAATTTTTTTATAGACGTTAGCAGAAACTGAATCTAGAAATGGATAGTATTCTAAATCACAATATGTGATTTTTTTATATTATTGAAGTTTCATAAACAGTTTTTTAGGATCTAAAATTAAGTACGTCTTAAATAAAAACGACGTAAAACAGTAAAACAATTTTTAGTTATATTATTTACATGAGAAATAAATTTGAGATTTTCATCTACAATAAACAAACCTAACTTT